TACACGTGCGGCGCGATGCAACGTGCCGGGGTTAGTTAAAGAGGGGTCGATCATAGACCTAGCTAGCTAGTAGCTACCACATAATGTTCCTACCCCACGGATGCCCTAAATTCCATTTCCTTGAAAAAATAATAAATAAATAAATAAGACTATTCTATATAATTTTATTTTTTAATTAGAATTTTTTTTAAAAAATAAAATTGATTACTTAATTTAATATTTTGTAAAAGAATAATTATATGATATAATTATTTTTTAAAAAAACAATTATGTGTTTGTTTGGGTGATTAGACTTTTTTGTTACTATTCATCCAATTTTTTTTTAAAAAAATATCAAACCAAACACCTATTTTTTATTTTTTTATATTATACTAAAAATTAATTTTACATTCAAAACATCACATCAACACCTATTTATATTACATCATACAACTATTCAAATTCAAAATTTTTACTATTCAAATCTAAACTCAAAATTCAAACCTCCGAACAAACACACTGTATAATATATATATATATAATATATTTTAAATAGAACTTAAATAAATAAATAATACACATTGAATTGCTCCCCTCACATGGGGGCAAATGGGCTCCCTTTTTCCCACTTTATACATCACCCGCACTGTGTCAACTGCTTTGTGCCAACCTTTTTAATTTAATTTATTATTATTATTATTATTATTACTCTCTCTGGCTTATAATATGAGTATATTTACTTAATACAAAAATTTAGGTAAAATATAATTAATTAGTAATTAAGAAGTATATTAGTAAAAATAATTATAAATTAAGATTAATATAACTAAATAGTTTAATTAAGATTAAAAAATTAAAAAATTTAAAATTTAAAATGTGATTAAAGTGTATAATTAATTATATTTTCAAAATAAAAAATAAAAAATTATATGAGACATATAAAAATAAAAAATAAAAATAAATTACGTATTGATAGAGTATTATTATTATTATTATTATTGTTTGCCTTATACCAATTTACACTAGGCTAGGGTTCACTATTGCATATGCTTTGCTTTGTGTATAAATATATTTTTATTGTTATAATAGTTCACAACAACTATTTAGAACATATTTTATGTAAATTTTTTACTGAACTTAAATTAACTTAAGTTAGTAAAATAAAATACATTAGATAAATATATATATATATATATAACATATTAATTAGGCATAGAGAATGTCAATGAATTTTAAAATTTTGATCTTATAATCACAAATCTCCTATCACACTATTGTGACCTAGTTATAGAAGTCACGAGTTTGTTATTTTATTTTACTTTTTTTAAACTTATCATTGACATTTTATTTATAATTTTTAGGAAAAAGATTATATCTATTTTGTAATTATTTTTACTATAAAAATACTAGAAAATATCATCAATTACTCATTACTTATTCATATTAAAACTTGCCTTTTGGGAATACTATTTAATTAATATTCTATCTGTTATCTATAGATATCACTAATTAAAAAAATTAAAATATTTTACATTTGACAAATAGAATGTAGTTATTTGTACATTTATAAACTTGTAAAGACGTATAAGGGCTCATATAAAAATATTTTAATACTTTTTTATACATTCAAAATAATAGATAAGATAAAATAAATTGAGATGTACTCTCTCCGTCCCACTACAATTGACACTATTTTTATTTTTGTTTGTCCCCGTAACAATTGATACTTTTCTATTTTGATAAAAATTATTAAATTAAAACATATTAAAAAAATATAAATCAACTTAATTAACTACGTAACATAAACACCATAAATGACGTAGGACTCACTTAAAACTCATTTATTTCTACCCCTTCTTCTCAAAAAAATAAATATTTTTATCTATATTTAAAACTATACATTTTTTATAAAATTGTTTATATTAATTATAAATAAACAGAAATAATTTTTCTTTTATTTACTTGTATTATAGAAAATTTTATTATCTACAAAACGATATCCATATTGCATATATTTTTTAATTGCTATATAATTTTTAAATATTTAAGCATATATATATTTTTAATCATATATATTAAAATTATTTTAAAAATATAAATATTATTAGTTATAAAAAAAATAATATAATAATATCATAACTAATTATTATTAACTAATTAAATATTTTCACCTTAAATACCGTGTCCCCAATCAAATGGTGGGACGGAAGGAATATATAATTTAAAAACACAAAATAAAGTGTTTTGGTTTTTATAAATGTATCTATTTATTTTATTCATCAATTATAAATGATATATTTATAGTTTAATATATTTACAATAATACCATTTAATAGGAGTTTGTTTTTTTTTAAAAAAATATTTCAATATATTTTTTTAAAAAATAATATACTATTATACGTATTTATTATTTTTATATTATCCACGCAATTTCTTATATTTCATATCAAAATATTTTTTCAAACAAAAATACAAAACATACACACCCTAGGTAGTCGAATTAGTATGGTAGGTATGTGAACTTGTTGGAAGGTAGATGATAAAATATACATTATAAGAAAATATTATTTTTGTAACGAAGTTTTTTTGTTTCTAAATTCATTTTTTTCGTTACTAATAACACTATAAATTGAATTAAAAATAAAATTACATTAGCTATGTGAACTTTATGGCCAAAATTTCGATACAAATATACTATTTTTTTTTTTTTTTCAGTGATATGTAAAATTTCCGATATGTTTTGTCAAGGTAGATGTGTATAATTCAATCACATGAACATTTATTGCATCGTGCATGCATGTCCCTTGTTGGACAATAAATTCCCTTGCCGTTACAAACATGCTATCAAGGTTCGTGTTCTTTTAATTAATTTGTCTATAATTTTTATTTTTTATTTTGTATATTTTAAATAATTGTTTGATATAATATAAATAAGTGTTGATGTAATATTTTAAATATAAATTAATTTTTAATATAATATAAAAAATAAAAAGATATCACATTAAAATATTATTTTTAACCTAAATTTAAATAAAAAAATCAATCCGTAACCAAAACCAATCAAACATATTTTTTTATTGTATTTAAATATATAGTGTTAAATTTTTTGTTTAGTGTTTTTTTTTCCATGTGAAATACATAGAATTATGACAGCAGTATAAAAAATATATTTTAAGTTGAATGTTAATTCTTGTGAAATAATAAAATATATATTTAAAAATAATGTTAAAAAGATAAGTTGTCAAACAAACCCATAATATTTTATAAGAAAAATAATACTCTATCCGTCTCATAACTAGATATTCATTTATATGTATAGTAGAAATAAAGTAGAAATGACTAAAATAACCTTATTATTATGTGTGATATAAAAGTAATGACATTTGTATAATATATTGTAAGTTGTAAGGGTATTTGTAATGTTAGGTAGATAATACAATTACTAAAAAAGAAAATGAATACTTTGTTATGGGACGGTCTAAAATGAAAAAATGATACTTTGTTACGGGACGAAGATGGTACTTCTTTTCCCCTACATCTCATGTTCACTTTCTTGTTTTAGTCTGTTTCATATCTAGTGTCTCATTTACTTTTTTAAAATTATTATAAATTTTAATTATATTTTATATTTAATAATCTATGATTATTCAATTTTAATTAATTATTTTAAGTTAATCTAACTATAGTTATTTGTATTAATATATTTATTAATTGTATCACTCGTAGCTCCAATATTTACAATACATATGACAAAGAAAAGTGGGACAAAAAGAAATAGTCCTTCCGTCCAGTCAGAAAGTATACATATTTCTATTTTAGGACGTCCAATTACAAAGTAACCATTTCATTAAATATCCTATTTTTTCCACAAATATCCCTATTTTACATCACATCATTACTTTTATACCAAAAAAGTAAGAGCAAAAATATCATTTTACTACTTTAATTAAAATACTATTATTCTTTAATCTCTGCGCCAAAAGTAATTGTATACTTTTAGCTTGGACGAAAGGAGTATAATATTAACAACAACAATAATAATTCTATAAAAAATAATACTATTTAGTTTAGCCAAATTTATTCTTATTTTTATTTTTTATCTATCCGTTGTTACCCCATTACTATATTTAGAAAAGTAAAAAAAATTAATATTTAATTTATTAATTTTTATTCAATACTTATTTATAACAAATACGATTAATTTTATTAAATTCTATTTTTCATTCTCTTCAATTACTAACTAAATTTTCAAAAATATCATCAAATGCTTTTTTTTTTTTTTTAACCTTTTTATTTTTTTTTTCAATAAAATATTTATTATTTTTTTTCCGTGCCGAGCCTAAATGAGTTAAATATTGCAGACAGAGGGAATACTTAAATATTAAAAAAGAATACTTCTTCTATTCCAACTCAAAATACTATTTTTACCATTTAAGTTTATCCCATTCATAAAAAATCTCTTTAATATTTTAGAAAAAATAATCTTTTAAATTTTACTTAAATTACAAATATATTATTATACATAAAATTATTTTATATTTAAAGTCAAAGAAAAAAAATCTCCCTCCGTCTCACATACCATGTCAACGTTGCCGTTTCTGTCCATCCCACATTCCATGTCACTTTCATTTTTTGAAAAATGATTACGCACTTTAATTTTATTTTTAAATTTTTAAATTTTAATTAAACTAATGAATTATCTTAATCTTAATTTATAATTATTTATATTATATGATAATTATTTTCACTAATATATTTTTAATTATCTATTAATTATACCCCTTTTAAAATATAGTGTATATGGGACGAGGGAGCATCAAAATTTCTTAAACAGTACTTAATAAAATATTATTATTATTATTTTTATTTATTACAAAAACCCAAAACCCTTTTATTTTATTGAGTATAAGAAAAAATAAAAAAATATATATTTTTTATAATTATAAACCCAAATTTCACGGTACAAAGTTTATTTAATTGGGCTTTTTTTACAGATCCATAGGCCCATTAAGATTATAAAGCATTGGAAACCCTATGGCTTAGAAGGCCCTTTCTTCTATGACCTTCCCGCTTCCCCGCTGGTCGTCTCAGGTAACCGCTCCGATCAAGCAGTCCAGAACGCCTGCGATGGTGTCGCCGCACGGGATTCAACTGGCCGTTCATTTGGTCTCCTCCTTCTACGGAGACTTGTGCTCGGTAAACTACTCTTCACCTTCGATTTTACGGTTGTTTGTTTCTTATTGTTTAAGTTTCTGCTTTTTATTATTTTTATTTTTTTTATGTATTTCATCTGTTGATTTTGCCTCCTCTCTGCTATGTGTGGTTTTTTTGCGGAAAAATTTTGGCGCTGCAGAAAGTATGCGAGTGTTTACTTCGCCGAGGAAGCCTAACCCTAGCTAATATAATTCGATTCACGGAGCTTTCCAGGGAGAATGTCATGAATTGCTTGCGCGTTTTAATCCACCAAAATTGTGTGCAAGCTTTTGCCATTCAACAAGAGGGTGATTTTTACTTATACTTTTTAAATTTTATCATTATCGTTTTTTGTGTATATGTGTTTATTTACATCCAAGTATGTTATTTCCTCAAGCGTTGAGTGAATGAATTTGATTATGAAACAACTTTTGTAGTTCTACTGCTTTATGTTACTTATTCAGGCGGCTTGAATTATCTTTGAGACTAATTAATTATCAATGTTCTTGGATATGTTCAAATTAGTTACGTGTTATATGCTAACAATTGGATAGAAGCACAGTATGAGAGAGCATAATAATGGCTGAAGATATAGGGAATGATATGAGGAAATTATATAATTTGTTATGAGTCTTATAAGAGGAAGAGAATGAACAAGATTTATTAGTTGTTATTAAGCTTTCATTTTTGTAATTTTGGTTAGATGCTTGCCAAACCTGAGCTTGCAATGTCCCTTCTATTCCTTTTTGGAAAGAATGATTATTATTTATTTTTAAATGATATAATATTCAATGTTTATAACTCTATCTTTAGAACTTCAAATAATTATCTTACAGTATTTACATTATTCTGTTTTTAGGAGCTTTCCAAGAGGCACCAAAGATCATCACCAACTATATGGCACTATTTGACAACATCATACACAAAATGAGGGCTCCAAAATTTATGCAAATTGTGTCAGAAGGACCTACTAAAAATGTGAGGGCTCATTTTCCCTATTAAATTTATAGTTTGTGTTCGTTTTAGGGAAATTCCCCGAATTCTACTATTCATCCACCCTCCCTCCCCCTCACATCAAATCAAACACTTATTTTTCATTTTTTATATTATACTAAATTAATTTTACATTCAAAACATCACATCATCATAAAACTATTACAATTCAAATTTTTTACTATTCAAATCCCAACTTAAAATCCAAACCCCCAAACAAACACGCCCTTTGTTGATTATTTTTGTTTATCCATGCACTCTTTGCATCTGATTTATTAGTTCATTGCATGACATTGATTTCTATGCTATTGTAGTGTCTACAAATATTCGAGGGATTAATTCAGCATGGGAGGCTTTCAATTAATCAAATTATTGATAGGAGTCGGCAGATAGAAGGTAATATTTACATTGTGGTGCATTGCATGATGATTTGAAATATTGACTGCTCATTATGCCAGAAAACTACCTAAAATAATCATCTTTTGATCCTTGGTTTCTGGATTAACTTCAACAAGTCCAAAGTTTTAAAATACCTTTTTCTTCTTTTTATTATTTTTTAGTTTTTATACATATTTTAACTAAAAACTTCCTGGATGGACAGCTTTAAATTCTATGAGGTTGTAATACTGTGATTGAAAGTCAGCCACTGACATTTCTTGTGGTAGTTAACTACTTAACTATCGGATTGGTTGCCAAAGACTATAATTTATTTATTCATTTTGGGTGTGTTTGTTTGAAGGATTTTGGTGGATTTCCACTATTCATCCAATTTTTCTCCCCCAAAAATATCAAATCAAACACCTATTTTTTATTTTTTATATTATACTAAAAATCAATTTTACATTCAAAACATCACATCAAACCCTATTTATATCACATCATACAACTATTCAAATTCAAAATTTTTACTATTCAAATCCCAACTCAAAATCCAAACCCCCAAACAAACACACCCAAAGTTAAATCATTTACAGTCAATTCGAATATGATATATTCTTGCAGTATTATCTATGACCTTGTACCAATAGTTCATATTCAAATTCTCATTTAATGGGGTTACTTGCATACAATGCTATGCATTTTAGTTCTGATGAACACTATCTCATGCTTTGTTTCTGCAGGTAGTTCTGATCCTCACGCTGTGAGAGAATGCTTCAATCAACTTCTGTTTGCCCGTTTTGTTGAACGCTGTCCTGCCCCTGAGCCATATCTTGCACCACCATCTGAAGAGGAAGCTGCGGTGATAAAGAAACGTAGTAAGTTTGCAAAGGTAGATTCTGACAGCTAGGAAGTATGGAATATGGAAGTAATAAGGTGTTTCCGTCTTGGTTTAGATTTGCAAATGTATGGTCCACTAGTGTGTGTTTTCTTACCAATTTATTAATGTGTAAAAGTATAGAATATGGAAGAAATAATCTGTATCCCTCTTGGTTTAGATTTGCAATGAATGGCCCCTAGTATGTTGATTTTTCTCACTATATCACTGATTCTTCGCATCTAGTTTTCATTTGTTTGAGGTTGAAAGCATAGAGCTGAAAATAAAGTATGCCTTCTCTTTATAGAGATCTTTAGAGGATAAAGATAGGGGTTACTTGATATTATCAAGCTTGTGTTGTTGCTTACAGCTACTCTGCTATAAATGCGGCACGCAGTTTATTAGAGATGTCGGTTATTTACCCTATCTGTGCAAGTTAGGCCTTTTTAATTTACGAATTTATATCTTTATAGATTAATGTGGGTAAACACTTCACTCACATATCTGTTGGCAGTCATAGGTCTGTGGGAGGAGTTAGAATCTTTATTTTACATTATTTAAGAAAATGAAGCTTCATCATTGGTCTGTACTTCTTGTTTTCTTTTTCGTGTCTTCTGTGTATTACATCACGGGTTCTATGCAATGAATCAATGCAACTGAAATTAGAACAATATTATTTTTTTTTTTTTTTGATCGGAGAAATTAGAACAATATTATTAATCATGCTATATGTGGTAACAGGTTTCTCAACCGACCACAGAACAGCGTGTTTTGGAAGAAGCTGCTCCAATGGAATCAATGCGATTCTTAATGGAAATGGATGATCACACGGAGAACACAGGCAAGGATAGTGCTAGCAGTGTGTCAGTGGGGAAGAAGGTAGGAACTATTTTTGTTTCAAATTCTGTCTGTTGAATCCTTGAGTTTATTGAATCTCTCTTATTTAATTTCTTATGCAGCGCAAGTCAGATGCTTTGAGGTTGGACGACGATGTATTAGGTGCAAACAGAGAGAAAGAAGTTCTTTGGCGGGTTAATTTTGAAGAACTTGTATGCTGCCTTAGACATAAGGTTGGTTCTTATGTATATTTTCAGCATGGTCTCTTGTTTTCTTGTTCTAATTGTGTTTTTTTTTAGCGTGCATCCAAAAACATATTACAGTTGCTTCACTTGTGCTTACATGTTTATTGAAACTGTTTTAGGCTTGTATTTCATATGTCAAAGCAAGGGTAGGCAAGGAAGCTGGCATGGTAATGAGCGCAATATTGGAATTAAGTAGGCGCTCGAGAGAGACTCGACCGAAAGCTGAAAAAACAGGTAGCAACTTTCTCTTACACTTGTATAAAATTTTGAGGTATTGTTTTTGGAATCCCTCATTACCTTTGTCTGTAATGGATAAACCAAATTTGATGGGTGTCATTGAAGTTACCCATTTCTAAATTCTGACTGCTTATAGATTTGTCATAATTTATTGATTTCAAATCCAATTACATTAAATTTGAACACAACAATGTTGTCAACTAGATGGTTGTTCAGTTCTTTTTAGTTTGGTATGCGAATGGTTTACATTTAAATCTGTGGTGTTGCCTTGCGCACATTAGGTGCATGAATTGATTGCAAACCCTCCAGTAATTTTCAATCCGCAGGCAAGTCTAATGCATGTTATCAATTACGTCTAAATGCCTAGATTCTTTACCAAAGTTTTCTTAATGATCATGTAGTTGAGGAGAGTCGGTAGCAATAGTCAGTAGAGAAATATGGTCAATGTAACTGCCATCCTGTGGCATTATTGTGCTGATTTTTTCCGGATATTTCCTCTCTTTCAAAATTGCTCATACTCGGTCATTGTTTGCCTGACTTAAAAGTGTTGTTTTCAGCATATCATTCCATAAATGATATATATGATGAAGTTATAAAAATGGAAGATGGTGTTGGAATTGACATCGGACGGGTCAGAGCTACACTGGAACAGATTGGCTGCGAGCCCTCCCCAACTGATATAGATGAAGTTTATAGCATTGGTACTCGCATTTTGTTGTTAATCTGTTGTATCTATCTATCAAATCCCACCCATCTATCTTAACAACTTCTTTTAATGTATTGAGTTTTGATTAACACCTTTTACCTCCCTCTCTCTGAAGATTTACAGAGGATCATCGAAATGGCTCAAAATGAAGAAGTTAGTCATTTTTCTCCATTTTATTCATTTCTGATCGTAACTATTGCATGCAGCATCTTTTGACTTTAATATTTGAATTTAGGTGGAGTCTCTCGTGTCGAGAAGATATGGGAAGGAGGCTTACAGAATATTCAGGTTACTTTCAAAGAAGGGCTGTGTTATCGAGTCGGATAAGGTAAACCCTCTAATTGTACGTTAGTGTCGGCGAAAAACATTTTAGCACTACATATTTTTTAGTTTTTGTTTTCTTAAGTGAGCATTAGCGGATTTATCTCTCGAAGAAATTGTTGCTTATCTATGTATATCTGCTATTCAAGATGTTTTAGCATCGGACAGTGCTAGTCTTGTTGGCGGAAAATGGTTACGGAAGTAACTAGTAAAATTTGTGGAAAAATAAATATCGATTTCTCTAGATGACATATTTGCCCAAAACTCTCTAACCTATCACACCCATCTTTGTAGATTGCAGACACCGTATTTGTCGAAAAGAAAGATGCGGTCAGGATTCTACACCGGCTTTGGAAAGATGACTACTTGGACATGGAGGTGAGTAACTTATGTCACAATATGTCTACAAATAGGTTACATATTTATACCAAGTGTAGAACCACTGGAAAAGAAATCTGAAAAAATCAATTATATTGGCTGAAAACAAAAAACCGAGAGTCGCCCCTTATTGATTGATGGTACATTGTTCGTTCGCAGAAAATATCTACAGGTGGAGCTAGGCAATCTCTATTCATTCTTTGGAAAACAAATAAGCAGTCCCTCCAAAAACACGTGCTCGATGAAATGTACCACGCAGCTTTAAATTTGAGACTCAGAATCGCACACGAGCTAGATCAAGGAAAAGAGGTGCCTTTATATACGAATGGCTTATGTAGGTTTTATGTGTTGCATTGTGTGGTCAACAAGACCGACGTATGGGCCTAACTTATTGTCATGTTAAATGTAACCAGGTTCTTCAGTTACCTCGAGACAGGCTTGTCGGCGAAATGGGGAAGAAACACAAGTCGCTGGTGAAGGTTAGACTTATTCTCGAATCTTCTTTGATCAATCTAGATGATGCTATCTTGCTTTTTCATGATTTCTAAGTGTAAGTATTTATTCATAGTTTTGTCTAATATTATTTGATGCTGATTACGGTATTGTTTGAGTTTATTTTAAAATTACAATGTCGAATGATACATATATATATATATTTTTAAAAAAACATGTTAATCACACAAATTCTGTTTGTTCTTTGTACGTAAATTTTTGAATATTAGTATTATATTAGATTGTAGTGAAAAAAACAAAAATACCCTTATTAGTATTGTATAGTATAAAAGTAATGACATTTTAAGTGTAATAGTGTAAGTTGGAAGTGTATTTATTATGCTATGTAAGAAGTACAATTACTAAATTAGAAAATAATAATATTGTTTGAGACGGACGAAAATATAAAATAGTAATCTTTTAATGGAACGAATGGACGGAGTATTATTATTTTACATGAATTTCAAACTCATGCCACCAAACCTTGGAGTATGATTAATAATAATAATGATAATTTTGAGTATACGTGAATGGAAGTGTAGTCAGTGGGAACCAAGCAACTGTAGAAGTTAAAAGGGGCAACCCCCCAAAAAAGGAATCTATTTATTTATTCTGACTTATCTTGACTGTTGAGAAGTGTGCTCACATTTTTTGTAACACACAAATTGGTTCCATTCTCACCGTGAACACAATAGCGATTTGTGTAGCGGCGTATCCAAGTTGGACAAGCTAAAATCAGAACAGCCACTCCATTATTTTATTATTTTTGTGTAAAAAAAGTTATATAGATATATAGATCTATATATATATATATATAACGAGTGAAAATCAGTGCATGCATCAATGACGCTTGATTGCAACACTTGCCTGTTCTAATTCATCTCCGTTTGGAGGAGTTCAGTACAATGCATTAAGACGCGTTTTATTTCCACTTACATTAAATTATACAGTATTTTACATTTTAAACATTATACATATAATACTATATCTATTTTTAATTTGAAAAGTATATTTTTTTTTTAAATATAATTTATAAAATCATCCTATGCGAAAAAGTAAAAAAGAAAATAATAATAATAATTATTTTTTCTAAATTATAGTGTTATCTAAAACATGCAGTCGAATTAAGACATACGAAACTTATGGAACATTTAAAAACCGATTTCAGTAGTATGTATGAAGTGCGTTCATGTGCTGTTAAATTTTATATCATCATAACATGAAAATTGAAGTGAAGTCCTTTGATTGCTCACCGAATTTATTGACCGACCATGGTTGTATATACATGTATATGTATATATATATTTATATTTATTGAAATATTTATTTTATTGTCTTTTATATATTTTCTAATAATAAATCATATTTATTTCGTCTCAGTCCAAAGGATTTTTTTTTAAAATTTTTTTATAATAAATTTTAAAATAATAATATTTTATTAATTAGTAGAAGTGTGTAATTCTTTTATTTATTTTTTGATATTTTTGTCTTTTATACTCATATAACTTATAGTCATATAATAAATGATTACTTTTTATTATAATAAAAAAAAATTAATTTTTAGTAAATCCGACATAGTATATTTGTATTTAAAACTTTTTATCACTAAAAATAGTAACTTTTGAAAGTGAACACTCAAATGTGTTTGGTTAATAATTCGAAATTGAGCTTAATGAGATTTATGTAACTAAAATTTGACTTGGAATATATTCCTTTATCTCCGTCAAAATTATCTGTTTTTCTTTTCCTTTTAATTATAATTATATTATATTATTATCTTATTTTACTAATTTTCTACTTATTTCATTGATTTTTTTACTTTAAAAAAACTACTATAACACCATAATTTTATTTCAATGATTTTTCTCATTTTAATATAAAAATAATTAATATTTAGTTTGTATCCAAGCAAACTCATGTAAATTTTTATTGGACAATAAGAGAATACATATGATTAAAATAAATTTAAAAAATATATTTAAATAATTTTAAAACTCAAATCAAATATTTTTAATATAAATATTATTTGATGAGGAATAAAATTTTATATGATACTATGCATTTATACATAATTAATATGAATTAATTTAAAGTAAAAACTTGAAGTTTTGAATTTACAAAAATATTTGTTTATAAGAAAAGGACAAAATATGTACGTAAGTTCTACTTAAAAAAATATTTTAAAGAAAATGTGAATATAATCCAAATGGATAAATCAAACAAACAGACCAAAATATTCAATTTTTAGTAATGTGATTTTAATGTTAAATGACAAAAAATATACATAAATACATATATATCTCTATAAAATTTATGAGCCGGGTCGGTTCAATTAAATTAAAATAATTAAATCTTGGAATTGTAATAGAGCATTATGCAATATATAACTAATTTTTTTTATTTGATGACGTGAGACGCAATGGGTAAATTCTAAGCCGGACGAGGCGAACTATGTGTGACAGGTGATTTGAGACGTCGGAGGTTTGAACCCATGACTTTATGATCACACGTCCAACCCCCATACCACCAATTCCTTACGGTATAAATAATAATTTACATAATATATACTATAATTAATCTGGTATATAAGTTATATTAACACAAAACAATGTAATGTTCAATAATAATAGATCCTTGATCTCAAAAAAAAAAAAAAAAAAAAAAAAAAAACAAAACAAAACTGTCTCACATAATTATTTGAAGTAATTATATATATATATATTAGTACCTTAATTACTTGTTTTTTAAAAAATCACTAATCTCACTTTGTTTGTAGGGGTTAATATATTAATTATTACTCTATCCGTCGTGGTTATTATGTTCATTTTACTGTAAACACCATAATTTAAAAAATGAAGTAGTATATAATTAGTAAATAATTAAAAATATATAATGAAAATAATTATCAAAATAATTATAAATTAAGATTAATATAATTAATTAGTCTAATATTAAGGTGTATAATTTTTTTCTAAAAAAAAATGACAAAATAAGTGAAATAAGCGAAAATAGAAATGTGGACATAATAAGTGAGACTAATAGAGTATCATTGCTTTCTAAAAACAATATACAATATCAAATACATATACTATTTTATTTGTTTGTGGGGGTTAATAGTAAAACGACATTTTTCTCTTATAAATAGTAAAATTTTGAATTTAAATAATTATTTGATGTGATATAAGTATTATTAATATAATATTTTAAATATTTCCTCCGTCCGCCTTTAAAGATCACATTTACCTTTTGCGTCATTGTACTTAACATTAAAAATATCCTTATATTTGTATAGTTTTTTTGTACAAATATCATTATGTTAGTATTATAAGACACTGATGAAAGTATTTTTGCAATTTTTTTTCTTAATTTATACTATATTTTGATATAGTAATTAATATTCAAATATCAACACGCAAAAAGTAAATGAGACGCTTAGAGTCGATCGGAGGTAATATAGAATTAACTTTTGTATTATAATTTTTTTTTTCCATGACACAATGTTTATATTTTATCATTTTCGTTTATCAATAACAACAAATATATATTATAATTTATTGTTTTAGTAAAGGTGATTATATTTCATATTATAAATATTATTGAATTTATATTTATTTTTATTAATACTATTATATTCCCTCTGTCCGGCTGCAAGAGTTATATTTACTTTTTGTATATTGATCTTTAAATATTAATTATTATATCAAAATATAGTACAAATCATGAAAAATGACAATAATATACTTCTATTAGTGCTTATAATACTAATATAATGACACTTGTATAACAAATTATATAAATATAATAATATTTTTAATATTAAATATAATAACGGTAAATATAAATCTCGTAGGTAAAACAAACACACCTTGAAATCAATTTTTTTTTTTTTTTTAAAAATCTAGCCTACATTTATAAAAACATGATACTAATATTAATAAATAAATTGATACGTAATAGTGATATAAAAATAATACTTCGTCCCGGCTATCATGTTCACTTTACTTTAGATACAAGAATTTAAAAGGAATATAATTAGTAAATAATTAAATATATATTAGTGAAAATGATTATCATATAATAAAAAATATTATAGATTAAGATTAAGATAACTAATTAATTTAGTTAACATTCAAAAATTATAAATTTTAAAATTTTAAAATAAAATTAAAAATTTATAATTCTTTTTCAAAAAAGAAAAATGAGAAAATAAGTGGCCATATGAAAATGAAAAATAGACATGGTAAGTATAAAAAAATTATTAAATAATTAATAAAAAATTAATAGGATTAATAAAAAAAAAGTGACAAATTGATTATTATATGTTAAAGTAAAAGTAATAAGATTATAGATGGATAAAATTAGTTTATTAATATCAATTTTGCATAAATTAGAAGGCAAAAAATAATGATATAATTTTAATGGGTGGAGGGAGTATATATATATATATATATTTATCCTACATACTTTATAATCTCTATGTTCTATTTCAAGGTATTCTTTAATAATTTTGTCCGTCTCACTTCAAAGTATTTATTTTTTATTTTACAAAAAGTAATTGTACGCTAATACTAAAATACTTTTAATTTTTACTTAAATTACAAATATACTATTACATATAAAAAAAAAAAATAATGAGAAAATATGTCAAAACCTCTTACACACTTCCACTGAGTAATAAAATATCACTCCCTCAGTCCTTTAACAATCTATCCATTTTTCCATCTTGGTCCGTCCCATAACAAAGTATCAATTTTCTTTTTTAGTAATTGTATTATCTACTTAACATTAGAAATACCCTTATAATTTACAATATATTACATAAATGTCATTACATTAGTTTAGTCTTTTTACCTTTATTTCTACTACATTTCAATATAATATTAATATTTATAAAACTCCGTACAAAATAAATAGATAGATAAATATAGAACGAATGGAGTATTATTCATTAATTTCCTACAGAACCCCAGAGGGCCTATTTAAAATAGAAGAGGGAGTATATAACTTTATTGTATATATAACGATGTTTTTGTAATTTATCTAAAAATAAAAAATATTATAATAGTAGTGTATGGTTATTTTTACAAACATAATAAAAAATAATTATTTTTTTAGTAGAAATCTGGAACTTAATAAGTATATATATATATATATATATATTTTCTTTGAAAACTTTGATTACTAAAAATAGTAAAATTTAAATGTGTTTGGTTAGTGATTGAAAGTTGAGCTGAATGAAATTTATGTAATTAAAATTTGACTTGGAATATATTCATTTATCTCTATCAAATTTATCTCAGTCTTTTATTATTTTTTTGTTATTTGTTAAATTTAAGTATAATTTATTATAAAACAAATTATTCATTTATAAACTGTTCCTTTGTTGATGGTAATTGGTTTACTCACGGCTTAAAAGAAATACTCCATCCTCCCGGATACCATCTCGACGTTGCCGTTTCGGTCCATCTCACGTACCATGTCACTTTTCTTTTTTGGAAAATAATTACACACTTTAATCTCATTTTAAATTTTTTAATTTTATTTTTTTAATTTTAATTAAACTAATTAGTTATTTTAATATTAATTTATAATTATTTATATTATAGGATAATTATTTTCACTAATACATTCTTAATTATCTACTAATTACACCCCTCCTAAAATACCGTGTCTACAGTGTAGAAGACACGGTATCTGGGACGGAGGAGGGAGTATTACTTTTGTAATAAATCTTTTGTTTTGGCATGCTCGATACGATTATGGTTCATCTTGAGTAAGATAATACTTTCTCCGTTAGCTTCTAGGGGTTAAATTTATTTTTTGTATCATTGTACTTAAAATTAAAAATATATTTTAATTTGTATAATTTTTTGGGCGAATGTTATTATATTAGTATTATAAGACTTGAAGTATTTTTTTTTCAATCATTTTTCTTTGATTTGTATTGTATTTTAATATAATAATTAATATTAAAATATTAATACACAAAAAATAAATGTGATCTTTAGAACCGGACGGAGATACTGTTGCGAGTAAAATAGAACTATTTATCATAAATATGAACTATTTTGTCATGTTTTTTTAACTTTTCAAGTTCAAGCCACGGCATCGAGGCAAAACTTCATTTGAGTAATTATATCCCTCTCGGCTAGAGAGGGTTTGATGATATTACTATGAACTTTGATTAGCCTCTATTTTACCCGATTTTTAACTGTCGATTTGACCATATTCATGGTGTTTGCTATTAATAAATAGAACACCCTAATTATTATATGAAATATAAACTAATATTAACATATAATATATATATATATAAATTGATAACATATGATAATAATTTATACATTATATTCTACCGTTTCAATTTGAGTATTTATTAAAAATTTATTAGTACCATGCTGATTGCCCGTGTCAATATATGAAATTACAATAAATAATATATAAAAATATATCAATATTAATATGTTCAATCAGTTCTATTTTATCTTTTATATATATATATATTATTATACTATCAATATAATTTTATTATATCTAATTAACACCTTAACCGCGGCCGACCAAACAAAAACAATACAGTACAATCGATTCATGTCATGCAAGTTGCAACGAATGTGCTAATAATATATATTACTAATAAAAGTGATGGAAAAATATTACTAATAAATTAATTACATTCAAACTAGGTCAGTTGGAAAGTCAAACATGTGTAGTTCTCGAAGTGTGTTCATTTGCATGGTAATAATAATAATATATATATATTCTTAAATAATAAAAAAAAACAATTAATTGTATATTAAAATATTAAATATATATATATATATACTTTTTAAAAAAATATTACAAAAATATAATGTGAACAAACGCGGAGCCCCGTGGCCTATAAATACCCTCGACATATTTCCTCAGAACTCAGCCAAACCAACTCATCAACCTAGTCTTCTTATCATCCATAAATCAAATTCAAAATTCCCGATGGCGGCGGTAATGGCGGCGGTGGCGGCGGCGGCGGTGGTGGTGAGAGTGGTGTTATCATGGTGGATTTGGCCTTACTTTGTTTCAAAAAGGCTCAAATCAAATGGGTTTTCGGGTCCAACCCCGACGTTTCCTCTGGGCAATTTACAGCAAATGAAGAAGAAGAAGAAAACAACAACAATGGCGGACCAACAAGATTCCGCCACGTCATCACCAAAATTTAACGACATTCATTCCATTGCATTTCCGTACTTTTCCAAGTGGCAGAAACTCTACGGTAATAAATGATGGTGTTACTTATTTTGTAATTATATAGATATATATATATATAATATTATATTAATTAATTAAATGTTTCATTAATTGTAGGGAAGGTATTTGTGTATTGGATGGGGACAGAGGCGTTTGTGTACGTGGCAGATGCAGAATTCTTGAAGGAGATGTGTGGGGGGATACAAGGGAAGAGTTGGGGGAAGCCTAAAGTGTTCAAGAACGATAGAGAGCCCATGTTTGGGAATGGTTTGGTTATGGTGGAAGGCCAAGATTGGCTTAGGCATAGGCATCTCATTACTCCCGCATTCACCCACCCCAACTTGAAGGTACATTACTCTTATAATCATATCATTATTCAATATATACTTATAATTTTTATTTCAAAAGACCGACAGAGAATATTACAATGTATGTTTAAAAGTAGGAAAACATAATTGAACGAATATCGTTCGTCTAGTCTAGTGTGACTTGTCTTATCGGGTCTAATTTGCAGGGTATTATTATTTTCGGACAGCAGCTGAGAATTTCCATATCATAAAAAAAAAAATAGAAAAAAAAAAAACATAATTGAACGAGGAAAGGACTATTATATCTTAATTAAAAGTAACACCAAAAACTAAAATAAACAGAAAAAAGAAGAAGATAAATTAAATATAATCACGACAATTTTTATTTTACTATAAATCATGAGGGATAATATTATTGATGATAGGCAATGTCAAGCTTAATGGTGGACTCGGTGACAAACATGATGGATAAATGGGCCGCCCTAATAAACTCCGGCGGCGGCGGTGCGGCAGAGATCGACGTGGAGGCGGAGATCGTGGCGACGGCCGGTGAGATCATCGCGCGGACGAGCTTCGGGGCGGGCGACGAGAAGGGGAAAAAGGTGATCGAGAAGCTTCGGGAGATGCAAACGACGCTCTTCAAGTCGGCGCGCCACGTGGGGGTGCCTTTCGGCAATTTTTTCAACTCTAAGGAATATCTAAAGTCGAAACTCCTCGGCCGGGAGATCGACGCCCTCCTACGCTCCATAATCGCCGCCAGATTGGCGGTGCCGCCGCGCGAAAAGGATCTTTTGGGGCTTTTGATGGCGGAGGACGGCAAGAAGCGGCGGCTGACGGCGAAGGAGCTGGTGGATGAGTGTAAGACTTTCTTCTTCGCCGGCCACGAGACGACGGCTTTGTTGCTGACGTGGACGTTGCTGATGCTGGCGGTGCACCGGGAGTGGCAAGACCAGCTGAGGGAGGAGGTTAGGGAGGTGGGTGGAGGTGGGGGTGGGGGGGTGGATGCCACAAGGCTTGTTGGCCTCAAGAAGGTAACAAATTTATGCTTTATTTATTTAATTATTTATGCTTTATTTTCAAATAATTTTTGGCATTATTTATTCTACAACAATTATATTTACAAAAAAAAAAAAAATACTACCTCGGTCCATTTAAAATATTTATATTTATTTTTTTAGGTTGATATTTGAATATTAATTATTATATCAAAACTTAGTACAAATCAAAAGAAAAAAAAACAAAAATACTTCTATTAGCGTTTTATAATACAAATATAATGACATTTGTATAAAAAATAATATAACTATAAGAATATATTTAATATTAATTATAATGACGCAAAAAGTAAATGTAAACTTATTAAATGGACGAAGAAGGGAGTAACTAATAAAAAATGTATCGAATATCTACTTTTAGACTGCGAGTAGTGCTGATTTGATTTAGGCAGTATATCACATCAAGGTAATCAGGATATATTATATACTAATACCATCATAGCATATTTATGATACAACATATGTTATGTTATCATTTAGCATATAAAATAAATATTATATGATTTCATGTGATATATTGATCCAATCACATAAACACTCATCAAATCAAATTAGTATCGTGTTGATTTGATCTGCGCCTCTAATTTTATTAATTATATCCGGTACAAAAAATAGTATATTAGTAACGGAATTCCGTTTGTAAAGTGTGTGTAGTTAACGCAATTTTCTCTTTAATTTCGTATCTAGTGTCTTTAGTAACGAAAAAAGGGGATTTATAGACAAAAATATTTTGTTACAAAATTGATATTTTTTTGTAGTGATCACTTCAAATATCTATTTTTATTGAAATTTATACTATTTTTTAAACCATCTTTAACTATTTTTATTGAAGTTTTTACTATTTTTGAAACCATCTTTAATTTGAAAATACTTCCAAAATAGACGTAAAGGAAACTACAAATATGGTCGTGCATGCATGTTTTATTATTTATTTTATTATTGTCGTTATTATTATTATTGTGCATGCATGTTGTAGTTGGGGAGAATTTGATTTAGGGTTTGGTCTAAAAAGGGTTTGAAAGTTTGATTGGGGATGGGGGCGGTTGTCTCCACGTAAGCAAGATAATTTAATTATTAGTCTTATTGTTTTAATTAGCACTGTAATGGGCAATTTGTTAGTACTTCCTCCGTCCCATATACCATGTCCACGTTGTCGTTTCTGTCCGTCTCACATACTATGTTATTTTCCTTTTATGGAAAATAATTACACACTTTAATCTCATTTTAAATTTTTTAAAATTTTAATTAAACTAATTAGTTATCTTAATCTTAATTTATAATTATTTATATTATATGATAATTATTTTCACTAATACATTCTTAATTATCTACTAATTACACCCCTCCTAAAATATTGTGTCTACAGTATAGCAGACACGGTATTTGGGACGGAGGGAGTACTAAATAGCGGAGTATTATTACCAAATATTCACTAACATAAAACACGTGATCCACGTGCTATAATTCATTACAGCTTAAGGATACCCTTTTTAACATTCTAACGTAATGGGCCGGACTTAGGTATTAGTTTTATTTACAGCATGAGGATACCCTTTTTGACATACAGAATGGTTATATAACTTCATATAGATATTCATGGGACCTGAGGTCCATTGCGATTCAACATGGGAGTCCCGGGTGCTCCCAAGAATTACCGCGGTTTAACCGACCAACCATTCTTGATGACTCCCGGGACCCCAGCTCCACAGACAGTTCTATTTATCATTTTCTTTAACTCTCTAAGTAGAGTAGTCCTGAGCAGATCGAATAATTTTGTTGGATTCGATTATTAATTAACATAAAATTTTAATATTTAATTAATTTAAAATTCTTTTATCAACAATTTTTTATATATATCTTTTTACAGATGGGATGGGTGATGAACGAAGTTCTCCGACTATATTCCCCGGCCCCCAACATCCAACGGCAGACGAGGCACGAGATCCGGGTGGGGGGCCGGGTGATCCCGAACGGGACCAACATATGGATCGACGTGGTGTCGATGCACCACGACGAGGCCCTATGGGGGGGAGACGTGAACGAGTTCAAACCCGAGAGGTTCGACGGGGACATCTACGGCGGGTGCGGACACAAGATGGGGTATTTGCCGTTCGGGTTCGGAGGAAGAATGTGTGTAGGAAGGAACTTGTCGATGATGGAGTACAAGATTGTCCTAACCATGATACTCACAAGATTCTCATTCTCATTGTCCCCAAAATACACACATTCCCCTTCCATTATGCTCTCACTTAGGCCCATGCATGGATTGCCTCTTATTTTTAAACCTCTCTAAAAACTTAATTTTTAGCTATATGTGTTGTTTTAGTGATAAAGACTTCTTAGGGTTAGTTATTGGAAATTGTCCAAGTGTTATTAGATATATATATATATTTTTTTTTGTTCCAATTCAATGTACTTTTTTATGTTTTTGTAATAGATTATGAAATAATTGGATTTGATTGGTCAGTGTGTAAGATAATTTTGATATTTTTTTATCTTTTATAATAATAATAAAAAAAAATTCTGTTTACTTGTAAGATTTTACGTCTGATTTTACTATTTTAATTTTATTTTCTCTCCAAAAATATCAAATCAAACATCCAATTTTTATTTATTTTATTACACTAAAATTTAATTTTACATTCAAAACATCACATCAATACATATTTATATCACATCAAACTACTATTTCAATTCAAAATTTTATTATTCAAAATCAAAATCTAAAACCAAAATCAAAACCTCACAAGTAAATTGAAAGAGTATTTGGGTATTTAAATATGATTAATTATATTATAATTTGGAAATAGTTGTTTTGAGTTGTGACATAGACAAAAATGGTAAAAGTGGTTGAGAGAGAGGAGTATTTTATTTTATTATTTTTTGTATTTTAGATATTTTATGAGGAGAATAATGTAATAAAAAATTGGAAGTAAGCACATCCAAATTGTTCTTTGAATGTGTTGATTTTGTAAAATAATTTGAAAAGATAATAAGAAATAATGAATATATATAATATATATTTTTTTTTGAAAAATTGTGTACAAAATTTTCGAAAAAGAACACGCCCTTTGTCCTTTTTTGTTTTAGGATTTGTTTGTTTGAGGTCACACTATTGGTCATATTTTTTTCTCAAAAAATGATCCTATTAAACACTTTTTTTAATCTAAAAATAAGAAACTTAGGGTGTGTTTCTTTCGACGGGGTTGGGGGATTTGAGTTTGGGTTTGATTTTTATTTGAATTTTGAGATAAGTTTGATTTTTGTTTTCTCTTTTGTGTTTGGATTTTGTTGGGGTTTGGAGAGTTTTGATGTGTGTAATTATATATATATTGTGTGTATATGTATTCCATGGATATCGAAGCTCACTACAAAAAAAAATAGTATATTTGTAACGGAATTTCGTCTTTAAAATTTACGTATTTAATGTAATTTCATCCCTAATTTCATCTCTAATATCATAAATAATGGAAAAAGTAAATTTAAAAACTAAAAAATCTCGTTGCAAAATTGATATTTTCTTGTATTAGTTGTGGGGACTGTTGTATTTGGTAGTTGAGGATTCCAACTCGTACGTCCATAAAAATGTCTTTATATTAATTTATTTACGTAGTCTACATTTTTATAGCTTCGTATATATGTAGTAAAGTTTACAAATTAAGAACAGGCGCAAGTGTAGAGCTATAAAATAAATGAACAATTCGCGAGTTTGGCTCGTCTGAACTTGTTCGATTAAGTTAAAACGTGCGGAACACAAATATAGATTTTGGCTTATTATATTTAAGAACGAATTCGAACTTGTTCGAAAACGTTCGATAATCTTTTTTTTTTTTTTTAAAAAAACTAAATTAATATTTTTATATTTAATAAGCATATATATATCTTTATAAATATTATGTTTAATAATTTGTTTAATAAAAATTATAATTATTATTAAAATAGTAAAATATTGTATATTGGATTTAATATTTTTTTTTTAGAAAAAAAGAAATTTGGTATAATATTTTTTGAAAAAAATAAAATTACTGGATAATAACAAAATACTCCCTCCGTTGCAGATATTATGTCTACGTTGCCGTTTCTGTCCGTCTCACATACCATGTCATTTTCTTTTTTTGGAAAATGATTACACACTTTAATCTCATTTTAAATTTTTTAATTTTATTTTTTTTTAATTTTAATTAAATTAATTAGTTATCTTAATTTTAATTTATATTATAAAATAATTATTTTCACTAATACTGCTAAAATACCGTGTCTACAGACACGGTATCTGTATATGAGACGGATGGAGTAATAAAAGTACATCACGTAACTCAGTAGGAACTTTTAATTAATCAACAGTCAAGTTACAGCACGTGATGTTTTTGATTATGAGCACATGATTCACCAGAAACACAGTAATTTGGAACAAACAGTACATGTGCGTGCAGTGGCAGACAATTATTTAAGCAATTCTCGCAATCAACCCTAACAAGTGGCTGTATATTTTTTTAGATTTAGATAAATTTGTGAATATTTATTAAAATTCGGACTAAATAATAAATTTTTTTATTTGAAATAATAATAATAATAATAAAAACAAACAAACACCTTTAATTTTATAGTATGAATTTTGTAGAGTAAAAATTATTTTTGATCTCATTCTATATCATGATTATCAATTTTGATTTTGTTCAAATTAAGATTTATCAATTTAAGTCTCATGTAGCTAAAAAGGACATAACTTAACTTAATTTTAATTTATAATTATTTTAATTATCGTATTTGTAATATGTACAATTTTTGAGTTTTAGTTTTATATATATATATATATATATAAAAAGGTATATTAGACTTTAAAATTATCTACGACTATGACTAAATTTCATTTTCTTTGTTGTTTTATAGATATTGATGGCAACTAAGCACGAGGTTGCGGGATTTAACCCAACACGACATGCACCACATGTGTCGGTATTTCTCATTTATGTAGACATTTATTGAATATATAATTAAAATAATTTTAATATAGCTGATATTTTTCAAAAATAAATTTAATCATGCTTATAATTTATATTTTTGCTTGGAATCATATTTCTTAATCTATTAAAAATATATATATTGAATTGGCATGGAATCATGGAACAAAGATTTTCTGAAAATAATAAATTAATTATCTATAAATAGTAAAAACAAAAGCTACATAACGCAAATAAACAAACCCAAACGATTAGAAAAGCCTAACGAATTTCGAAAACATTGGTCTATTTGATTATAAAATTTGGAAATTGGATTTTAAAAAGTAGAACTTTAACCATGAAATCAAAATTAATAAAAATCCGACAAGATTCATTTAAATTATAACAGCTTCATCGTCGTTCTGTTAATCTTTTAAGGAAGAAATGAAGCATGAAACCACGGCAGTGTTCTTACAGAAACCGATCTCAGAAAAGCGGTAGCTTCGCCGGGAACCGGACGTTCATCCATTCCTTCTCGCGCGCCACCAGATGGCGCCACCCGATTCGCTCCAGCAATGAAAGCTTCAGCTCGTAGAATTTCTTCTTAGGAGGCTGCCCGTCGTCTTGGATCATGTCCGTCAGAACCTGTTTGATCGAACGAACGTACATTTTTAAGGATGTCTGATCGAGTCTCGACTCTAAGGTCAGCTTAGAGCATATATATATATATATATAAAGCATAACTACGTATAATTTACTTATTCCCCTCATTGTCTACAAATTGCACGATATATCCTCGTATTTTAAAAAATATTACACAGAATTCCTCAAAGTCCGGTCTTCAATAGCAAAAACCTCCACAAACCCATTAACTTTAAATGCTCAAGGAATTCCGTGCAATATTTTTGAAAATATAAAATAATATTGGACAGTTTCTCTACCATGAGGGAAAATAATGTAAAATTTTTCAAACCACAGGTAAATAATTTGGGATACCTTTAGCGCGGTACCAAAACGCCCTTTACGCCTCTCGCGTATTACAAAGAGGGTTCCGTATCGCGCGGATTTCACATCCACCCATTTTTTAAGTTCTTTGAAATTTTCTTCGAACGGATCTTTCTCGACCGCGCTAGAATCTGATGTCGCTTCCGTACCCTCCTTTTCTTCCACTTTTTCACCCTGCAACACAGATCGGATCGCCAAACTGAAGTTAGTGAACAACTAAAACCAAAGGTCTTTCATATTTAAACGATTCGCTGTTATCGTAGAAACACAAAATGTTCATAAATTTCGACCTTCAATGATTTGATTTCAGCTAAAGCCAACCCTTTTTGATATAAAGCTTCGGTGAATTGGTCGCGAGTGGCATCCATTTTCTTCTTCAGCTTCTGGATTGATTTCGAAAGGGCGTTTTCAGGACAAAACACAAACCGTTAGTACAGTAATTACGAAGAAAATCACAGTGTATATTTATAAAGCAGTGGTGGAAGCTCACTTCTGCGCCCTCGTCTTCGGGGTCGTATTTGAGCGCAAAATATTTCGCCAACTCATCTGTATCGACACTTTTGATAACTTCATCTGCAGCAATGATAATCTGGAAGAAAACAAATGCGCATTATCCGATTAATCGAGAGAGAGAGCCTTGACTGTAATCAAAGAAGAATTGTAAGAAACTGTGTCAAGAAAAGCAGGCGCAATTGCGATTATTACCTCCTCGTAGTGGCGAGTTTTGTCTTCGACATTGTTCTGAGATACCAAACCTTCCAATATTTTTGCGAGCAATGGAGTGTATTTTGGATATTCCGACTGCCAAGAGTCATCGAAAGAAATTCAGCGTTTAAATGATACCAAAAACAAATGTCGGATATACAGCAATCAATGATATACCGAGTGGCGAATGTAAGGATTGCATTAGGTAAGAAATTACAAAATCGTTTACCTTAAGAGAGTCCGACAACTTTTTCCAATCCGAACGTTCCTCTTCGGTGCTTAATTTTAGGCTCGACAAGACCCGAATTTTGGCATCTCGGACCTGATCGAAAGTAAGAGCCGCAGAAATTCAAATAGGCTCTGAAATCGTTACGGATGGCGTAAACATTCGAATATATGAAATCCGACAAAGGTACCTCCTCGTTAATCTGTTCCAAGACCGTTTTGGCGCAACTAGAAGAAGTGTCTTTACCTTTGTCCTCATCAATCTGTCGAAATCACGAATTTTCTTTGAGTCTATAAAAACACGCCGTAATAAAAAAATGTATCCACGAACCAAAACGACGAATTTAATCACCTGAGCTGGCGGAACTATATACGAAATGCTATAAAATGCGGGGTTCTTTTCGGGATTCTTTCCCTCATCGTTAACCTCGAAGGAAACTCTTCCATACGAAATCGACCCGACCAATACAGAGCCAGCAGCAATCCCCTGTTAGTATAGCAAAATTCAGTATTCAATATCGACTTATCGTGTACGAATATCCGTTGAATAATTGATTATAAGATTTTGTGAGGATCGAAACCTTTGGGAGCTTATCTTTCGACGGAGGGCCAACATAAAATGCTTCCTTGGACCTATCATCAATAAGAAAACAATAGACCCCATGAGTTAAAAAATGGAAACCCAGCGACGAAAAATTATCGTAATTTAAAAGCATACCCCGGAATCAAAACCGAAGAACTGAAGCTTCCATTACCGATCACTGGGCCGTCAGGTTGCGAATAGAAGCTCAATCGAACGGAGTCCTGTAGTCGGAAATTATAATGGAGTCGAATTAATAATGTTACGAATCAGAGTTACTGCTCGACAATTTCGTTACCTTGCTATCCAAGGTTTTCTCGATGAATAACACCAACTGTTTCATCTTCTCCAAACACTGCACATTGTCATGCCTGGAATCGCCACAGTTAGTCTTTCAAATACTCTGTTCATCAGATCGATTGAAAAAAAAATTAAAAAAAAATGTAAGATCGACGTACCTTAAGTAAAGCTGTAAAGTGTAGTCACCCTTTGGAAGTGTGGCAGCTTTTGGATAAACATCACCCGTTGCATATACACGCTATGTATTACGATCAAAAATTAAGGTTTTCAGAGGAGACCAACGGTAGAGACGAGCGACATTAGAATCACAAGAAGAAATATTGGCGGCAACAACAACAACGTACCTTGTTCGTGTCTGAAATCATATAAAATTGCGCCTCGAACTTATTATCATATATCCGATTGTTCAACAAGGGAAGATACGGTTGTACTTCGGCGCCCTCTTCAAGTTTGAACTTGTATCTGCAACGTCACGGGAGAAAGCTCCGTCAAACAACAGTACATGCGACAATGGTAGATCGTTATCTTTTTTTTATCGAAAAGCAAAAAACTGACGTTAATATGAGGGCCATAGTCTGTTTGCCGGAGGGTAGTCTGTCCCGGGATCCTGAAAGCGTGCTGAGTTTAGCGTCGACAGGACGATATGGAATTCTGACCTGCGAGAACGAGTAAAAGTTAAAAAAAAAAAACAAAGTTTGGCAGTCATATAAACAAAAGAAGCGACGGCAATCGTAATTCTATACCTTGTTTAGTACAGCTGCAGGGGCGAGCCTTTCCAACGAGACGAGAGCCTCAGCATCGATACGTACAGGAGCTTCGCTACCGTCGAGTATAATCTCCTCTTTGTTGGCAATAACGCCGTGAAATGCTATCTGGGGATTTTGGATTGAAGTCGATAAATAAGATAATATTTTAATTTTTCAAAAGTATTTACCAATATCGATCCTAACGTTAGGAAAATTATTACCTCAGCATCGACGCTGGTTGTCTCGTGGCTTCCAACGCCACTCGACCAAAACTGCGCGATCACAAGTTCCATGGTCCTTCCACCCTCGACAGAAAAGGCGAAGTTTTTGGACGACGGAGAAGAAAATATGACAACCTTTTCCCATTTCTCGGGTCTTTTGAGGGGAGAGAGCTGTACATCACAAGATGTCGAAAAAAATCGAGATTATGTCCCCATTGAAGAGATTGAGATGGATAAAATGTGGGCGGAATTTTGTCCCGAAATTTTCTACCTGAACAGAGTCTATGAAAAATCTTCGAGCTGAACTGAAACCGGATGCTCTCACGGTCAACTCGACCCAGGTGGCGCCAATCGGTACTTGAACGAATCTGCGTTCGATGTGGCCTGCATCGAAGGAAGAAAGCGAAGAACTAAGCAATCGTACTAATTAGGAGATATGTACAAAAATAAAATAAAATTTTAGCTAGTGAACAACAAACTTCAATCCGAAAACATTTTAATACAAGATTAATGAAAGATAAGACAAACTGAATAGCCCCATTTATCGAAGATCAACATTTATATATATATATATAAACTAAAGAAGCTGAAATCAATAAAGGTATCTTCGAACAGTTTATTTAGATGATATCGTACCCGGGACAAAAGGCATCGATCTGAATACAGCAACTGGTGGATCACTTGTCACAGGTTGAGGCTTTGTGACAGTAATAGGAATTCGAAAGAGAGGACCTCGCCAAGGACATTTCGAATCTAATGCATACACTTCGTAATAATGTAAACCGGCGCCGAGAGTGCTGGGATTTACAATTATGCTGGAAAAAGAACAATCGACGTATACACAATTTTAGCATAAATAGAAGAGAAAGTTGTATATATAACAACCAATATGAGAAGATTTAGTAAACTAAAAGGAGTCAGGACTTAGAGACACAAACTCACTTGAACTCGCGGCCATTATGTGTTAAGAGAAGAAACTCAGGAGCTTTGACCACAGATTCTCCAGTAGAATGTAACTTAACACATTCTTCGAAAGGAACAATTTGATCTAAGTTACTTGCATCATCGTGAAACTTTGGTTCGACTTTAACCGTCCACTACGAAAACAGAATCGTCAGCTACCCATCCCCGACAAAGAAGAATGTAAATAAACAAATAAAAATGAATTTACAATAAATAGAGACATTTGATTTATGTGTTCGAAAACGTGAGCCCTATAGAGCTTATGATGAATAAAACCGATATATAAAAGAACTGGTGAAGTAAAAAACAAAAAACTGCAACTTTGGAAGCAAATTTTCGAACCTCGGATGATTGTTGACACAAAGAAGACTCCCTGAGATAGATGCCTCGTGAAGTAGGCGCTGCAAACGAAAGAATATGTTAGATACAAATACACACGATCCAATCGATGAATAACAAATTTACAAATCTAAAAGCAAAAGATTCAAATCATGTTGGGAAAAAATACAGAGGATGGTTTACCCACTTGCTTTTCCAGATCGAGTGATCTTTATTTGATACCTAACAGGCGGGACGTCACGAATCTTTTGAATGTACTCATAGGCCCTGTCATGAAATCATTTAAAAGAATCCAAAATCAGCGAGCTCATCTAATCTAATCGCCCAAATTAGAACCATAGAGTCGTGAACCTAACTTGTCGACTTGCATTAGCCCGTGCCCGGAAGATAGTTTATCTTCGGGAGAACCACCAACAGGAACAGTCGTATTCTCAAGAGCCTCCCGAATAATATAAGGACTCACAGAAATCCCTTCAGCCTGAAAATCGTATAAATTATATCACAACCACAACAAAAATGGAGCCGGAATTAAATCGAGAAACAACCTTCATTGCACTAATAAGAAGCGCAGCCCCTCCGCAAGCACAGGGGGACGACATTGAAGTTCCATTCATAAACATACGATGTTGAAGCGTCCACGTCGGAACAGGAGCCATGGCGCCACCAGCAGCGCTTATCGTAACTCCAAGATCACCGTCAGCCGTCGGACCTCTGCTAGACCTACAAAAGTAACAAATTCTTGCAGTAGCCAAAAATGTCGGAGCTGGAATCAGAACAACCTGAAATTAATACGTACCAGGTGTACTCGAGGCCTTCGGGAGGTGCTTCAACTAAGTTGTGGGCTCCTGCAGCCATTGCTTGAGAGACGTATGCTCCGATTCCGATTATGCTTGACGTTGTACCGCCTGGTGCACCCAAAGTGCTCAGTGCAGGTCCCTCGTTTCCGGCGCTGCTGATAAATGTTATTCGATGCTTGTTGACTACCTAAATGATGGAAGCAGTTAAAATCAAACGGGTTAAACGGGACATGACACGGGGCTGCGACAACCTTGTCCGAATAAAACTATTTGAGAAAATTTGTTAGTATGGAGATATTTTTCAACTAGTGCAGTTTTTCGATGAAGAAGTTAAACTAATTCAGTCATTTTTAACAAATACACAAATGTCTTACCTCGTTTACCAAATCAACGAAGCGACCATAATCTGGAAACAAAGTAGCTTCCCCGTAACTCATATTGATAAGGTCGCATTTGTGCTGCATAAGAAATGTAGAAAAATCAAGATTGTGAACAGCTACCTATTGAAAATTCAATATACTGAAAATTCGGTATGACATATATGAATATATATACAGCACCATACCGATAATTCAGGATACCGAATAATCCATATGGTATTGATATATATTGTTTTATAACAAAATACTGAAATTAAAAATAATAATTTTTGTATAATATACCAAATTATCAATATATACCAAGATATCAAATATTAAAATGGTATACGATATTTTAGGTATATACCGAAATACAAAAAATACCTAAATTATTCCAACATTTTGGCATATACGAAAAATGTCAAACTATATATCTCATTTGTTCATCCAATATTTTTTCTGTAGCATGATTTTATATCAATATTATATAAATACAATATATCATCATATTAACACAATACATATAATATATATACTTTATTTACTCTTATCTAAGATTAAAAACAAATTCATCCAAAAATACTAAGTGAACAAACTCATCATTACCGTACCGAAAAAGTAGATGCCAAAATTTTCAGTATATTCAATACTTTTTTCCCACCCCTATGAGCAACAACAAACATTCCAAGACAACTGACTCAACAGTATGGTGTATTGGACTGTAATTAGCGATAAATTCTGCAATAAACAAAATTAAGAGTAAAGCCTACCTCGACGGCTGCAATCAAAGCTCGAACCAAGCCTGTTCCAGTTTCCATTGAACCTAATCGTGAATCTCCGATTTTGCATGATATCAACTGAGCTCCGGGGGCAACTCCATTTAGGACAGAATCCTAAAAATGCACCGTCAGGTAAAAATTCGAATACATTGCAGTGAATGGCTTCATGCTTAGCGACTCTATCTCGAATCTTAGTTACCTTTTCATGGAAAGCAGATGTGATAGCAGCGACATGAGTACCATGAGGAGAACTGTCTGTAACAATGCTCAAAACGTTGCCTTCGTTGTATATATTAAGGACGACTGTACATGCATCTAACTTGCTGAAGACGCCATACTTCCTTTCAATCCTACAAAGAAAAGAACGAGATAAAAAGATGAAAATTACTAATTTAAATGCTGCCGGATAGATGATTTATTCAAGATACTAGGAGTCAATGAAAGAATGCCGAACATTAGGGATATGCACACCAGGAAATACTTCCATTGCATCATCAAAGAGCAAATTAATATACAAAGTTGTACTCTCTCCCCGTCAGGTAATAATACACATTTTTTTTATTTATGACGTCCGTAAATGATAGACAAGTTTTCCTATTCAGTAAGTGTAACCTCAAAATAGTATCTTATCATTTTGCATGAAAGTATCAAAATACCCAATTGTAAGCGCATTCTTTGTTACGTGTGGCCTTGCAATCTAAGTGTATTTTGGTCTTTATCACTACAAAAGAAAATAGAATTCTTGTAACGAAAATTTTCTATCTCTAAATCCACTTTTTCCGTTACTAATGACATTAGGGACAAAATTTATTAAATTTCACCCCTAAAGTTCACATAGCTAACGCCATCGTCCTTAAGTTCCGTTACAAATGTTATTTTTTTCGTGTGTGTACTTAAAAACTATCTCCGAAATATAAGGTGTGTTCTTTTGTGGCTTTTCTCTCAAGATTTTATTATTCACCAAAATTTTTCTCTCAACAAAAAACAAATCAAACACCTATTTTTTATTTTCTATATTATACTAAAATTTTTATTATTCAAATCCTAAACACAAAATCCAAACCCTATTAAAAACGGCGTAGGTTGCATAGTAAAAACAAAAAAAAACTAAAATCGAGTGCAAAAAGAACAAAGCCTAAATGAACCTATTGTCCGTGGACAAAGAGAATATAATTTAACCTTTGAACTACACCGCCAAATATGTATGATCAATATATTCCCACATATGCATATATATATATATATGACATGTAAAGTCAGACAATTTAAATAACTTACAACAGAGATAATACACATGCAAAAAAAGTTTACGATAGTAGATTGAGTACCTATAATTAGTAAGAGGAACAAAGTCGGCAAGCTTCCCACATCCCGGTTCATTCTCAAGTCCTTGTGTATCAAGCGCCGCCCTCCAAACTTCTCCATCATGCCATACAAAAGCGTCGATAACCGGTCCTTTATCTTCATAGTTCTATAAAAAAAGACAAATAATTAGAACAAACAAGCCTATTCTGAATAACGAATATCATAGGGACATAATAAACCAAAAAAAAAGAATCATTACATCCGCATGTTTGCGCAGAAGATCAACTTTATTTTGGAGATCTTCACGATTCCTTTTCAAGTTCACATCATCGACCTTTGTGTGCTTCTACAGGTTACACATCACCGAGAACAAAAAGCTTAGAAAGATATAAGCCAACAACACAAAAGTTTAAAGCACTGAAATAAATTCCTTATTTATGCTCGATAAGAAAAGAATTTTCTTTCAATCAACATATTCTCGAACTCTACCATACGAGAAGTTTCCAGAGAGATACCGAAATTCATTAAGGTGTGTTTATTTGGCGGATTTCTTAGGATTTCTACTATTCACTCAAACTTTTCCTAAAAACATCAAATCAAATACTTGTTTTTCATTTTTTATATTATACTAAAAATCAATTTTACATTCAAAATATTTATATTCCATCATAGAATTATTCCAATTCAAAATTTTTCCTATTCAAATCAAAACTCAAAATTCAAACCACCAAACAAACACACGCTAAGTGCATAAACTATTTGCTTAATAATACCGTGTCAAATTCATCAAGCTGCTTTACAGCCTCGGCTATGGCTTCCTGATTCTTCTCGTCCCAAACTTTCTTCCTCTCTTTCTGCAAAAAACGGAAACCGAATATAAAGAGAAACAAACAATCTTTTAAGTCATGTTTAATTTCATCAATAACCTATCCGGGCTGGTTACCTTCAAGCGATCTGTCAAGGTTTGCGTGAACAGTTCGTAAATCAATTTTGACCCAACATGCCATTCTCCAGATGGATTCTTCCACGAAGAATTAACGATCAAACTATTTCCTGATAGATTTCACAGTGGAAGTCATTAAAAATCGAACAGAGAGTTATTCCAAAGCAAAAATAAGTTCATCAAGAAAAGTAAGAATCATTAAACCACCTGAAGTCCCTTGAATGCAGCCATTATCATCTGCCTTAACAATAGTTGATGTGTCTATATCTCCACTCCCAGTGCTATCACAACAAATCGTTGAAAAAAGGAGTTAAAGAAAATCGAAATTGCCAATGAAGACTCCAACTTTAAACCATTCGAAGAAGAATCCGAGTTCCAATTCCAAAAGAAAATCAATAGATCCAAAAAAATTCTTAAACTTGATTGCTCCTTTTCAGATTTTACAAAGATTTTTACTATTTGGACATTTCCACGAAAAAATTGAACTTTTTCCTCGACATCGGGCATTATTTAAATCAAAAACCCAAACTTCCAAAACCAATTCAGACCAAAAAGAAACACTGGTCTTTAAAAATGCATTCTTGCGCTGAAATTCATCATTGCAAGAACTCCAATCCCTCAATTTCCATTTGAAAACAAATTGAAATAGCCAATAAATACTTCAACTTTTAAACTTTACAAGAAGAACAAGAAATCCAATTCCTATTTCAGAAATTCCATAAACGAGAAAAAGGCAAAAATCCCCAAATTTTCTAACAAATATTCATTACTGCACTGAAATTCATCGTCACAAGAACTCCAATTCATCAAAATTTCCCTACAAATCTCATCCACTTACCAATCAATGACATCCAAAACCTTCGGCTTCCCATCTGAAGTCACCGTCAACCCAGCGGCGGCAGGGTCCACGCCGGAATCTGACAGGAATCGACGAGAAAAAAACACATCATAAACAAAAGATTTCAAAATCCTAAGATCAAATCAAGCCAAATCTTCACTTCCCCCCAAAAAAAATGAAACCAAAATTTCGAAAACCAAAAAATTAAAATTAGCAGACAAATCAAACACTAACACGCACCAAAAATCGCAATAATGGCGCCGCGGCCGTCGTAGTCAGGGTGAGCTTCAACGAAGCGGTCAGCGGCAATCTCTTTCTTCGGCATGAGTGAAGCAAGAAACGTCTTCTCGTTCAATTTGAAATTCGTTAGGGCACCATTCTCCCCGCCAGAAGGCATCGCCCTTGTCCTCAAACTGCTGATTCGAATTCTGGAGGCGGAAACAGCGTGAGTGAACTCTCTCTCTCTAGAATTCGCGAGGTTTTTCGGAGTGAGAGAGAGATGGAGTGATTGGAAAATGATGGCAGGAGTATTTATAGAGTGCCATAATGGGCTTCGCATATGATTCGATGGTTGGGTTGGCTTCTTTGGCAGGGGCGTTTTGGGAATTTCCGGCCGCCGGCGCGGTGGAGGGAGTGCGGTGGCGCAGGTGGACTGGGAGACTGGCGTCACGGCGGAGCTTTCTATGCTCTGCTGAATTTGGTATTTGTGCTGTAACCTTATCTGTGAGACTTTGGTTATTAGGATTTATGCGGTCTCAGCACCGGGTTGATCTGCACCGTTTATTTTACGGGCCCCACTTGAAGGAACGGCGTGGATTTATCGGGACTTCTGTTCCTTGGACCTCTTCAAAGGATCATTTTCCAGGAATCCATTGCTACTGCTAGATCGATTTTTTTAAGAAACAATAAATTCAGATATATTAGGCTTCCATATCCGGATATTTGAATTTTTAATTTTGGAAAGGAAAAAGATTAAGAATAATTAAAAAATAAATTACTCTCACATTTTATGTCTTATGTTTTCATTTCTTTCCTTCTCATATTTCATATCTTATTAAAAAAAAAAAAATTACACATTTTAATGATATACTAATAAAATAAAAATATAATTATTTTAAATAATAAATTAATCAATATTAAACAACATACTAATATATAAAAATTTTAAAAATAAAATTTATGTTTATGATTTGTGTTCTAAATACCAATTAATACAATCACTCAGTACAATTCTTGAAAAAATATATATACTACCTTCATCCATTCTGATCTTTTCATTTGTATTTAATGTTATTGTTTTCAAAATATTTTTATATTTGTATAATTTTTTTTTTGTACAAATATACTTACGTCTTGTTAAAATAATTAATATTTAAAATTTAATATGCAAAAATAAATGAAAAATTAGCAGTAAAGAAAGAAAGTATCATTTTTTCTCACAATATATTGTATCAGAATATTATTTAAATAAAAACTTAAACTAAATATTCAATTTCAAACCAAAGCCAAATAAATTATTTTAATTGTCATTATGAGTTAATATCAAGTCATTGTTTTATCAAATACTATAGTCAAATCTATAATATGCTAAAAACTAAAGTTAATGGTCAAATACATTTCAAAATCTACTCTTCTTTTTCTTTTTACTAATTACTTTTTTTTTATTTACTCTAAAAGTTCTTTTTAAAATTTTTTTGTACATCTGTAAAAGGATAAAAATAAATTTTATCTTTAAATTCATTTGTTTTATAAATGTTTAGTATGTTTTGTAAAGTGTAATTTTTTTTTTCCTCCTCTCAAACCAAAAAGTATAATTTAAGAAAAAATATAAAATTATAGTGCATTTTGAACTTTTGTAGGTTTTACATTAAATTTTATTTTTAACAATATTTTATTAGTTAAAATGAGACAAAATAGGATGTGTTTGTTTGTTTATTTGAATTTTTGAATATCAAAAATTTGAATTTGAATATTTGGTTTAATTTTTTTTTTTATGTATTATATAAATAAATATTATAAAAACTAATTATTTAATTTAATATTTAAAAAGAATTAAATAAATAATTAAAATGTTGTGATAAATCCAAATGCAACCTATATATCTAAGTGAACACACCAAATTTGGCTCTGCTTTTAGATTGATCGATTGAATATTTAATTTCTTTTTAATGAATATTTGAATTATTTTTTTCCTGACATTTGTAAAAAGTTTTTGAGTTGTTTTTTTAATCACTATTGAAAAATAGTGGTGGAAGAACAAAGTGGATTTACTTACCAAACCATTGGAAGTTCCCGGGACCCGAAACCCACGCCCGCAGCAAAACGGTACGGATCGACCTGGAGCTGGGGTCCATGGCGCTGCCAAAAACATCACCTAAGCCAAAGCATAAGATCAAGGTCTCATAATAAAAGGTATGATCAACTAGATAAAACTGAAATCCTGAACACAGACAGCTTAGTCCTCCCTCGTACCAAAAAAAAATAAAAATAGAAGTTTCCTTTTTATCATTGAAATAAATTTGTGGGTTTTTTCCAGGTGGGAGAGCAGATAGAGATCAAGATCATCCAGCAGAAATTTTTACAATATCTCTAAAACAAGTGTCCGAAATTCCGCCATGGATGAAACAAAAGAGCTCACACATCTGTAAGATGTGTTTTCTCACTTATAATCGTAGTAGAACTTCCTTCCCACAGCTCTTTCAGCTCATTCTTCGTCCACGAGAGGACGACGACGGGCCCTAAAGTACACGGCACCTACATTCCATGCATCCGACCCAAAAAAAAAAAAAAAAAGCATGCATTTCATCCATAGTGAGTGTTGGATGCGACAATTCGATAATGGATAAAGGGAAATTAATTTCGGCGTAGTTTACCAGATACAGAAGTGCTGGCTGGGGAGAGCGTGTCAAGATGCCTGCTGCCAAGGCTGTGATTAATCCGACGGCATATCCGGAGAGGGCGGGCCAGAAGTACTTGAACCCTTTTGAAGATTGTGAATCGGACGAGGGGGCTGGAGAGTCCCGACTTTTTTTGTGATCGAAGGAGAGAACCAGTGCCAGCAGCATCGAAGGAATAGCCTACAAGAAAAATTCGAAAGCATATAAAGTATGTTTACTTGGTATTTATCGAAAATATTACCAAAAAATATAATATATAATATATGCATATAATAATAAAAGCCACCAAAAAAATAAACACCATTCTCTGTAATACTTTCATGATTATTCATACCTTACAACAAAGATTACTAAAATTATAAGTACTAAACTTTCAACCTGACTGAATTGAGTTCGAAACCAAATACAGTAAAACACTACCATCAATAATATTCTCTCTAAAAATCCCATGAAATATCAAAACCAAATACGGAAAAACACTACCATCACACAAGGTCTAAAACCTTTTGTCTACACTCCATAAAGCAAAGAAAAATATACTATTTTCTCCATCCCAATTTTTTTCTCTATTACTTTCATTTCGATATATCTCAAGATATTTGCAACTTTCTCTTCTTTATACTCAATTTATCTTTTTAACTTTATTAATACAATGCATAAAATCATCACAAACAAAAAGTAAAAACAAATCGATAAAAAAACACACTTCAAATTATGCCACCTAAAGAGCTGTAACCTAACAAAATTAGCAAATAAATTGAGACGGGTAGTATTACAAATGCAGCATCAGCTATTCTATGTTAAAAAAAATAAAAAAATCGGAGTGAGATTGAGAGAAGAAGTGTGTGGATCATGAGAGCCATTGGTATGCCGACAAATAGAAAGCATTAAGTTTGAATACAATGTTAAACTAGTAACAAATTGACTAGTACACTTAGATCCAATCCTAATATGTTATACTCCTGTCGTTCAAGAAACTAACAAAAAAAAAAAAAACGAGTTTTACCATGTCGCCAAGACCGAGCATCATGTAGTACGAAGCGCTATTCCCAGGTACTGCACCGCCTAACATATTCCTCGGGAAGACAATTTTCACCGGGAGCTCAAGTTTCTTTGTTATCAACTGCAGACCGGGAAGACTCAAACTATCAGCAACAGTGTGTACTGGATTCGAAGCCTGCTGTCTTGCGACCGACACCATAACATTCTCTCCAAACAATCTTTCCGAGTAGAAAACCCAGAATATATCGTAGACAAACAGGCAGAAAAGTAGCATGGCGCATATCTTGATATTCGGCAATCGAACATGACTAACAAAAGCTACGCAAAGAGAGATCCCCAAGATGTTATTTAATATCCAGTGACCTGAAATAAGCCACGCCACCACTAAACCGATGCAAAGGGCCAGCAGCAGAGCTTGAAATCGTGTGAACGACTTTGAACAGCACCGCGAAATATAAGGATCTGATAAGCCCAATTGCGACTTGATGTAAGCAATATGTGGCGATAGGCAAAAATACAGAGCTGATGCTGAGGCAACCGCCGTAAAAGCTGTGAGGAGCTGAGAGACGGACGAGAACAAATAGAACATTAGAAGCAAGCTACAGGAGCTCATTACGGGGATCATCAATGCCTGTGATCTGTCTAAGGTAATCGAAGCTTCTGAAAGGTCGCGATTACGCTCCATTTCTTTTCCGTAGTTTAGAGCTCGAGAAGCAGAGGCGTACGACACTGCAATCGCAGTCGCAACGAGAGTGAGTGAAGATGGTTCGAGCAAATAAACAAGCTTCCAAAGGGACTCCATTTTCGAAACAAATCCTCCACTTCTAAGCTGCCTTTATCCCTTCGAAAACCTGGTTGGAAAACAATGTTGAATGCAATTTCTACCCGTTACATTCGACCACAAACAAAATAGTAGTGAACCTGCAAGAGTACAATTTACGGTAAAAATAAAATCTAATGAATGTGTTCACCTAACAAAAAAATAAAAATTATGCACCTTTCCTGATTAATATTACTAAAAAATACAATATACACACACATACAATATATATAACATATAATACCTCTGTCCCTATATAATGAATGCATCATTTTTACTATTTTCATCTGTCAGACCAGCAGACCGGCACACCAAAATATATTCATCTTCTATTATTAAAATATACCGTACACTAATACTCCCTCTATCCCTAAAGTACCTTTTTTTATATATATTTTTGTTTGTTCCACTCAAAAGTATCTCTTATTTATTACAGCATTAATAATCACAAACTAATATTAAAATACTAACATAAATTACAAACATACATAAAGCATAAATAATCACAAACTAATACTAAAATACTAACATAAATTACAAACATACATAAAGTACAAATAGCAAAAATTTCAAAAACTTCTTAAGCACTAAACAAAAACACCCAATAACATATAACAATGAAAACTTAATCAAAAACAGACACAAAAAGGCACATGAACTTAACAAGGATCTTATAAACAATCGTTTCCATAGCCAAAAACCATGCTATGATTAGGAGTGTTCCTAATTAATATAACCAATTTCCAAATAGTTTAAAGCGTTCACAAAAATGCGGAAGAGCAAAACCCTAAACCTCCTCAATTTTCAGTTCCCCAACACCAACAAGCATCAATTTCTCAACAATAATTCCTGCTAAATTCCAAACGAGGAAGAGGCTCGCTACATCGTCGTTCTCCGCCGTCAGAAACAATAATGCAGAGATACTTCAAATTAAAAGGAACTAATAAGAATTTCACAATAGAAACTGAAAATTTTCAGCAAAATTGACAAGGAGTTGACTGAACGACCATCAATTTCACGAAATAACGGACTTAAATCACACAGATCTTTCGGAACAAACAAAGCGGCACAGGAATAACCATATGAAATCATCGTTGATCGAATTAGAAAGGTTTATGGGATTTATAGATGACCTGAATTTTCGAATGGCAGGAGCGTTGGTTCCCAGCGAAGGCCAAGAGTAGCGCTGTGAACTGCGCAATTAAGCACTCCAAACGAAATCCTCCGTTTTTCTCACTGTATTTATCATTCAAGAGTTTTTTTTTTTTTTTTTTTAATATATATATATATATACGTATAAATTTGTGAAATTGGTGGGCCTTTAATGCAATTTTAGCTCAATATATTTTAGGCCCAGGCCGGCTTTTTTTGGGTTTTGCATTATATCTATTTTTTACCATCGTGAATTATATAGATGTTCAAAGTTAAATATCATACGATTCGCATAGATAGGTATTATGTAATTTTGAAAAAAAAAAAACAAAATTAAATTAAATTAAAATAGTAAAACATTGAAGTATTTGATAGAGATCGTTTGTAATGATAGAATAAAGGGTTCTTATAATGTCAAAATAAACATATATATTTTTTCGAAAAAAATAATATTTCTTCCTTTCCAAATCATAAGGTTCTTTAGATTTTTATAATAAATTAAAAAATAATAGTAATTATTACGTAATGAAAGTGGATGAAAGTTTTTAACAATTTTATTTTTAATAAAAATTAAGAATTTTTTTATTATGAAATGATATTTTGTAATTTAAATAAAAATTAATAATTTTTTTATATTGAGCGAACAATCATTTTTTATCTCATTCAATATCATAAAACAAGATAACTTACATACACTATGAAAAAAAAAAAAAAAGTAAAAAATGCCCAAAACCTTACAATACATTTGGAATAGAAAATAAAATTGTTAAAAAATAATAAAATCATAACACAATAAAATCATAAAAAATGAAACAACACATGTACATAAAAAACTATTGCATTTCTCAAATTTAAGATATCTAACTCAAACAAACAAAAAATGAAAATAATAAAATGATTGATTTATGATTATTAAATCACGATTTGATCTAATATTTTTTAAAAATATATATTAAAATCCTAACAGATTTCATTATATATATATAATTTTTTTAAAAAAAAAAAAAAACCTCAAATAACAAAGTCCATTAATCAGTGAACAAAATACCATGCAGAGCTCTCTCCCCACCTCTAGTTTAAGACTTACGAGTTCTTTCTTAAGTTTGTTTTAATCAAAGGATAAGAATCATGCCTCAGCAAAAATATAAATCTAATCCGCACGACAAAAACAGGGGAGATGGATGAGTTAGAATATGGTGAATAAGTTCATGGCACTACACACTGATCGAAAAAATATAAATCTAATCCGCGAAACAAAACTTTTAAAAATGTATTTGTTCTACCAGACTGGTCAAGTATCATCGATGAATGGTTTATCTGTGTTTTTTATTTCTTCTTCTCACCACCACCCGCAGCCCTGCATAATCACAGATCCAAAAAAAAAAGAAAAAGAAATGAGTACTGAATTATTTAAGCATTTTATATAATATATAAATATATACACACATATATATATATATAATTAAGGATGCAAATAGTGAAAATGGTGGGGAAGATTCCCAGTTTATGATCATTTTTAATAACCTCATCTTCCGGAGTGCACTTGACATTTCCTCTCTCTTCCTCTTGGCCCTCTTGTGAGTGCCCAATTTTCTCTTGGCCACCTTCAAGGCGCGCTTGTCCTTGCCAACTTTCAAAAGTTCGGTTATTCTTTTCTCGTAAGGTGCGAATCCAGCTACTTCCCGAATAAGGCTCCTCACAAAATGAACTCTCTTGCTTGTTTTCTGCATTCAACAAACAACTAATAGTAATCTTTTGTAGCAGTCGAGCCTTTCTTTGCAATCAAAAAATTAATAGTCATAGAGTGTGTTTACTTTAAATGATTAAAATGGGGATTAATCAAAACCTGGCGTAATAATCCTGTAATCAAGAATAGTTAATCTCTTCTATGAAGGTAGAATTAATTTATCTCACATAATATTTGTGCTAAAAATCTGTGTTATCATATATCTAATTAAGTAAAGTAACCACAATATTAATTAGACTAATGTTTATTTAATCTATTGAAAGAATACTAATGACCAGTCCCGTCTTATAAAGTAAAGTAGACCTACAAATGACACAGCCTATTCCATGATTAGATTAATTAAATTTATAGACTGCCCTTTTTGAATTTTTTTTTATGCAATTTCGCCTTTTCCACTAAAATCATACATACTTGCTTTTAATACAAAATATTATATCCAACCATTATTTCATCTCAGAAATAACAAAAACCAAAACCAACCACAACACCAACAAAAAAAAAAACAAAAAACAAAAATACAAAAAACAAATACTCTCATAGCATCACACAGCATTGTTCCCTTACAATAATGTATAAGATTCTAACTTTACTAAAGTTCCAACTCAAGCAGCAGTTACTCCACACCTATGCACACGCTTCTATAGCAATCATCCTACCAAAAATACAAATAAATTCATCCCGCAAGAAATGGCCTAGTGGTGTGAGGAGTGAACTTGTGATCGTCTTCATCTCCAATCATACTCTTTATTTTTTCGAAATCAAAAAAAACATTCTCTGTATATTAATGGGACAAATTTACAATGAACACAAAGGGCCCTCCCACATGAGAGAGTGTTTTGTTATTTATTAATTTAAATATATGTATAAATTATATTTTTTCTGTTTATTTTATTTTTGTCAATATTTTTTATTATTTATAAAATAATTTATTTTTGTATATTTTATATTTTAATTTTATAATTAATATTTATATTAATTATTTGATGTTATTTGTAAATTTAAAAAACTTATAAAATCATATATAAAATAGAATATATATAGAGAGAGAATATTCTTTTAACCCTCCAAAAATAAAGAGTATGATTGGAAATGAATTAATTAGAAGACCATGCAAAAATAGACAAATATATTGTAAATCCTCCAAAAAAAATCAAATAATGGGTTGGAGATGGTCCGGTAGTTTAGTTTCTTTTAGTAAGTCCTGTTTTGTTTTTGTTGTACAAGAGGACTCTGTTTAATTAGTGCACCCATGTAAGTAAATCCTTTCACTAATTAATATATTCAGTTCTTCCAAAATATAAACAATCAAAGCAAATTATGAGAGCATCTTTAAATGCACAAGCACATACAACTTTTAACACTTTTTAGTTCAAACAACAACAAATGTTAATATAAAACTACATCCACACGACTGATCGATTCAAAAACCTAAAACAGCAACAAATAGTCCATAAATTCAACTGGAGGTAGATAATTTAACTTACCCCTTTCCTATCAGCAGGACGAGGCGCCAATTCCTTCGGGGTAACAACATGCCCTCTTTTCAACCCCACAAATAAGCCACTGTTCGGCTGCTTTGGAGCCATTGCCTGCATCCAAAGATACAGGCAGCAATTTCATCTTCCAAAACTAACAATATAAATTATTACTATGCGATTAATAAGCAACCAACTATAAAACACACAACCATAGGAATAATAGGAATAATCAAATCGAATACAAATTAAGCAGAATGAAAGCGATCAGGTGGAAGCGAAAATTGCGAGCACACCTTTTCCGCCGATGTCTGAGAGGAGCGCTCATCTCAGATTAGGGTTTTGGTATTTATAGTAAAGTTGGAAGAGGGCACTGTGGCTGCGCAGGCTGTATTTAGAGTTTACTGAGGGTAAAATCGACCTTCTGTTTTACGACGTCGTTCCGAGTGCAGTCGACTGTAATTGAATGGACCCACAGGCAGCTCAGCCCATATAATGGCCCAGTATTTATTATCATTATCATCTCAATTAATAGAAGCTATTGTTCATTTATAGTAGTTTTTTTTTTTTTTTTTTCGAATTATTTTTCAAAATCATTATTATATTATGAAATTTTGAAACATATCTTATTTATATCCAATTTAATTAATATTAATTATACAATCATTCATAAAATAATATTCATGTTAAGTTTTAGATACAAAGCATAAAATATAAAAATAATATTTTTAATTAAGTTTTTTATTTTTGGAAATACAATATCTAGCTATTATAATACTACCTCAGTCCGGCTCTAAGATTCTATTTATTTTTTGCGTGTTGATATTTGAATATTAATTATTATATCAAAATGTAATATAAATTTTAAAAAAAATTGCAAAAATACTTTCATTATTGTCTTATAATACTAATAGAATAACATTTATACATAAAATTATACCAATATAAATATATTTTTAATGTTAAGTACAATAACGCATAATATAAATGTGATGTACGGAGTATGTTATACTCTCCCTCCGTATTAGACATTTCTTTCATTTTTGGTTGTAAACAATAATTAATATTTTTTTTATTTGATATAAAATTTACTATCATATAACATCATTATTATTAACTAATTAAATATTATTAACTAATTAAATATTATTATCTTAAATAGTATGTCAATAATAAAATGAGTCAATTCAACCAGACGAAGGAAGTACTATTATTTTTCTAATATTAATCAAAATTATGTAGAAAATTGTTTGTTCACTATGTTTTTTTATAAATATAAAATTATATTAAAAATAAATGAGAATGATGATGTAATCTAACGACGAAGCCCTCAATTTCTTGATCTTTATGTCATATCTTTTAAGCCATAACAATTTATTCATCTAAATCATACGTATATTGTATATATTTTATATTTGTCCGACAAAAATAGCAAAATAATGGGAAAAAATACAAATTTTATATTAAAATGTTTAAGGATGTTCCTTTTAACACCTCTCCACAACCTATCATTTAAGTCGTAGCAATTTATTTGTTCGAGTCATATTTATATTGTATATATCTTAAATTTGTCCGACGAAAATAACAAAATGATAAGAAAAAAATATATATAATATATATTATATTGAATCGTTTAAGGGTGTGTTATTTAACACCCAAAAATCCAAAATTTATATTATTTGGATTATGCATTTTCTCTGATATATATTCCTTCCGTCTCATTTAATTTGTCCACTATTTATATCCGTTTGTCCTACTTAATTTATCCTTTTGTTTTTTTTATATATAAATTATACATTTTAATCACACTTTAAATTATATATTTTTTTAACAAAATATCACATTATACATTATTTTAATATTAAATACATTATTTTTAATATTGAATTCATACTAGAATTTTTCAAAATCTATAAAAAGATAGACACCCTAGCTAAACCAAATAAGTTAGAACCACCCATATCATTTGAAATTATTGTTAGGGTTTGGGTTCGGGCGAGTAATTGAAGCGCAGAGAAATCGGTACACCGATCAATCTACCTCGAAAAGGCCGGACTTTCTGATCCCGGACTCCGGCACCAGATTTCCCTGCGAACGCGATCATATTTACTTACAGGAGTCGGTAACGAGCTGGGAGCGGAAATCACCAGGTAGGTGTGTGCTTGCTCACAAGCAGCCAACCCAACTGCCCCCTCCCCTACACCTCTCCCCCAAAATATCTCCCAATTTTGCTTTCCAACCCGCCATTTATCGATTCAATCAATCAGTTTGCTCCCCGACTCGCTTCCATGGCAGGGATAAAGCTTCCCCCGCACAAACTGGACTGAAATTTTTCTAGAAATCTACGAGGGTTTTGACTCTTAAGCCCTGGGATTGCTTCATCACTTTCGAATTTATTTATTTCTCGATTCTTTTACATTCTTCGTCGCTGTTGATTTAATTTAGCTGATAAAGTTCTCAACCAGTTCGTGTTTGTAATGAATTCGAAAGGCCTTTGTTATCTATTCATCTGAATTTGCTGTTTTCGAAGCTATGGATACGAATTTTACAAGCTTAGATTCCATCTCTCAATTTCAACTTTGCTGCTTCTGCTGTCAATTCTGATTTTCTGTATTTAGAAATACTTACAGTTTTCAGTTGAATTTGCACTTCCTTCAGTATATTCGATGATGCTTTGGTTCTATGAATAAAAATGTCGATTATCTGCGGTTTGCCTCTTTTGGAGTGTGTGTATTGCCTAGCCTGCGCTCGATGGGCATGGAAGCGTTGCTTACACACAGCAGGCCATGACAGTGAGAAATGGGGCTTTGCAACGCCGGAGGAGTTTGAACCAGTGCCGAGATTCTGCAGGTATATATTAGCCGTATACGAGGATGATTTGAGGCATCCACTTTGGGAGCCTCCTAGAGGATATGGAATCAGTTTGGATTGCTTGATTTTGAGAAAAAGTTACAGTGATACTAATGGAAGAGCTCCGCCATATTTGTTGTACCTGGATCATGTTCATACCGATGTAGTTCTCGCCATTAGAGGCCTTAATTTGGCAAAGGAGAGTGATTATGCACTCTTGCTCGATAATGGTTTGGGGCAGAGGAAATTCGATGGAGGGTATGTCCACAATGGGCTGTTGAATGCTGCTGTTTGTATATTGAATGCAGAGTGTGAGGTTTTGGGGGAGCTGGTCGAGAGGTATCCGAGTTATACGTTGACGTTTGCCGGGCATTCTTTGGGGGCAGGCGTGGCGGCGCTTTTGGCGATGGTGGTGGTGCGCGGTGGTGATAAGTTGAGGAATGTTGAGAGGAGTAGGGTCAGGTGCTATGCCATTGCGCCTGCTCGGTGTATGTCGCTTAATTTGGCCGTGAGATATTCTGATGTGATAAACTCAGTTGTTCTTCAGGCAAGTTTTTTGTTTGATCGATCTTCCATTTTGTTTATTCGTCTTTGTTTTTAGAAGAATATCTTATGATTGTTATGCGTATCGTTTTGTGAATCGAAGTTAGATCTATAAATGTGTCGATGTTAACTAGAACACGGCTTTTGATGTTGCACCTATTCGTTTGTTTTGTCGTCGAAAGACTCCGTGCTTGTTTCTTGTTTGTACGAATTCAATTTGCATTTTTGCACGAAATGGTTGAAACTGTATAGATAAATGTTGAGATATTTTAGATATTTATTAGATTTAGATTTGAATTTGATCTATCGTTTATTAGATTATTTATATTTGAATCTCTTTTTAAGTTGCCTATATATTTTTTTATGATCAAATAATGCAATTTTTCAGTTTCCTTAAAATATTTTCACAATAAAGAATGACATTGATAGAGTCGGCCTAGGGGCTGCTCTAATCTGAAATTTCAAAAATTTCCTCCCGAGTTTTCTGTTTGGTTCTTAGCTATGTTCATCAGAAACGACGGAAATGCTGAATGTGAATGTCTTTCTTCTATAAATTAACTTACGCCCTTTCTAAAATTAATGTTGTCTTTTGGTTCGAATGCCTCCCTTGATTTTTGTCGTAAATTTATATGACATTGTATGGACATAATGCTCGACTCTCGTCGTGTCCTCGGAATTAATTTGTCCTATTCTTTACTGTAACAGGATGATTTTTTACCTCGAACAGCAACCTCGCTCGAGGACGTATTCAAATCTCTTTTCTGGTAAAAGAATTGTGATTCAATACGATCGATCACTCCCATTCGAATTGAACTGTTGGAGATTGTTTTCGGGTTTTTTTAACATTTATATTACACTTTCGACAGTTTGCCGTGCGTATTATGCCTACAATGCGTTAAAGACACGTGCATAGCCGAAGAGAAAATGATCAGAGATCCAAGAAGGTTATACGCCCCAGGTCGCCTTTACCACATTATCGAGCGAAGGCCTTTCAGGTTAGCAACAGATTTGTCGATTTTACGTATATGTTGACACAATGTGTAATATAATGCTCGTATCGTATTGTATCGAAGATTGATCATCGTATGACGACACAGATGCGGAAGATTTCCCCCCGTCGTGAAAACCGCTGTCCCGGTCGACGGAAGGTTCGAGCGCATCGTCCTCTCGTGCAATGCCACTTCCGACCACGCCATTCTTTGGATCGAAAGAGAATCCGAAAGGGCTCTGGAAGTAAGCTAAAACCCGGCTATCGTTTGCCTATTTTACGACGTGAAATTTCTGAATTCATCTCTTAACGATTCTCGCCGTCCCGACGTGCAGCTTATGCGGGAGAAAGACGATGCGATGGCGATCCCGCCGAAGCAGAAGATGGAGAGGCAGAAGACGCTCGAGAAAGAGCACGGCGAGGAGTATCGAGCCGCACTACGACGAGCCGTTACGTTGGCTGTTCCCCACGCCGTCTCACCGTCTCATTACGGAACTTTCGACGATGACGAACCTCGGCAGGTGGCGAGGGAAAGCGCAACGGGTTCGTCGTCGTCTGGATGCAGCGAGAGCCGCGAGAGGCGGGACAACTGGGACGAGGCGATCGACGCGCTCTTCGATGGATCGCCAGCGGCGACGACGCTGCACAGCGACGGGCAGAATCCTCTGCATTATGGTTCTTGATGGTGGTGTAGATGAGATCATTCTTTCATTGAGTTTTTTATTTTTTTTCTCTCTCTTTATGCATTTCCAATTTAGTGATCAAAAGGTTAGTTTGGTTGTATTTTTATGTTTATTTCTACCGTTTGTATTTATTTAATCAAAAATTGAAAAAATCATCAATAGCACATATTACGTGAAATAAAAATATGTGATTAATATACTCCGTAAGAGATGGACTGGTGGTGTAGGAGTTGAATTAGTTTAATTTTTTTACCAACTTAATTTTATTGTTATTATAAGACACTGATATTGAAGTATTTTTACAAAGTCTTTTTAATTTGTACTATCACGTCAAAATAAATTTTAAAGATAATCATTCAAATCAACGTTTAATTTCAAATAAATTTAGAACTATAACCAAACAAATTCTATATTACTAGTCTCTATTACACCATTGGCCTCACATAAAGTCTATATTTTATTGTAGATATGATAATTTAGACTGATATAATTAATAAGTAGAAAAATTGTATAATAAAATTAGTTATAGTATAATAAATAATTATACGGTAAAATTGAGATAGTTAAATAATTTGTTTGGGGAATTTGTAAGGATTTACACTGTTCATCAAAATTTTTCTAAAAAAACATCAAATCAAATATTTATTTTTTATTTTCATCAAACACCTATTTAAATCACATCATACAACTATTCAAATTCAAAAATTTTACTAATTAAATTCCAACTTTAAATTCAAACCCCCCAACAAAGAGTGTACAATAATTTATCAAAGAAAATATATATATTGAACCGACCGTAATAAAAAGAATGAAACAAAGAAAATACTGCAATTACATCTTTTTTATACCAAACATACCTTTTAATAAAAGACAAATAAAGAAAAAAAAATAAAAAATAAAAAAAGAGAATAGGAATCTAATTTTATTTGTCGTTTCAACGCAAACCCTCGTCAAGAAAGCAACCTTTTTTTTTCTCCTAAAGAAAAGGTGAACTTTTTCATGTCGTGTTATTTATTTATTTATTATTATTGGTTAAACTTGTTTTCAGTTTAATTCATCCTTCAAATTTGTACTACACTATAACAAGTAATTATTTCTTTCATTAATTTAAATACTAGTATTACTTTTTAACCCATAATAATAATATAAAATTATTATTATATTACACATATATACTATCAATTGAATGCAAATTATTTTTACAAAAACACATAACTAAGAATGTGTTTGTTTTGAAATTTTTGAAGGATTTTTATTGTTTATCTATTTTTTTTAGAAAAAAATAAGCAAATAGAATATTTATTTGTATTTTTTTAATATAGTAATAAAATTAATTTTACATTCATAAAATAAAATCAACACTTAGTTATATTATATTAAATAACTATTTTAATTTTAAAATTAAATATTCTAAATCAAAATGCAAAATTCAATAGAATTTGTTTGAATATAATTTAAAATTGATTTGAAATATAATATTAACTATGATGCATTGCAAAAGAAAATGTTGCTATCTTTTATTAAAAATTATATTGATTTTATTTAAAATTACAGCCAAATATTCAAATTATCAAACAAACGTAGATAAAATATATATATATTTATAATTAATATAAATTAATTATATAATAATTGTGAAATTTTAATTATAAATAAAAATTAACTTTTTTTAAAGAGATATAAAAATAAAGAGACTTCGAGTGAGGACTACATGATATATATAATTAATTAGATTGATTTATATTTGTTAAATATATTTTAATTTAGTAAATTTTATTCAATATAAAAATATGTTACAGACGAAAATAAAAATGATGTCAATTGCGGTTACACGAAAAAGTATATTCTTATAATATTAATTAAGTATTTGAATGAATATATTTGTTTAGTATTTTAGTTTAAAATATAAATTATTTTTTCGTTAATAAAAAATATTTTATCTGTTTCAAAACAATATGGACATTTGAGATAGACATGAAAATTAAAAAATTAAAGAATAATAATATTATATTAATAGTAGAGATAAAAGTGTTTCAAAAAGATCAAAATGTTCATACTTTATGTAATTATTGTGAAAACGTGACGATAGTTTATAAAAAATGGAAGTTGGTTACTAAAAATGAAAATGAAACTATTATTATTGGAGCGAAAATAGTAAAATGTGACTACTATTTTGGAATGGATGGAGTAATATTCCGCATTAAATATTAATTTTTCTATTAAAAAATAAAATATATTACTATCTCCGTTTCGCAACAAGAGATTGTTTGCTTTTTGTATTTATTTTTGAATAGTAGTATTACATTTGTTTATAGTAAGAAAAAGACAAAAATGTCCTTGTTAGTACGATATAATATAAGGTAATAACATTTGTTTAATATATTGTAAATTGTAAATATATTTATTATATTAGATAGACAATACAATTACTAAATTAAAAAATAATACAAATTCTCTATCAAAAAATAAACCATATCCATCTGTCCCAAAAATAATACTCATGTGTGAGAGTGTTAATAGGACCAATGATCCGATTTGATTTTGAATAGATAAAAAAAAAAAATTATTTTTTATGGGACGAAAAAAGTATATTATTCGGAAAGAGTATATTATTTGTTAGAATCATTTTATAATACTCCTTCCGTCCCGTCCCATAACTAGGTATTGTTTTAGAAATATTAATATTATATTGGGATATAATAGAAATAAAGTAGATTTAATTAAAATAACCTTATTAATATGTTATGTTATAAAAGTAGTGACATGTATAATATATTGTAAGTTGTAAAAGTATTTGTAATATTAGACAGATAGCACAAAAATATAAATACTTTATCATGAACGGATTAAAATGAAAAAAAAAAATGGATATTTTACGGGAGGAGGGAGGACTATTGTATTTTGAACTAAACAAATCATTTACATAATAATAATTAAAAAAAATAAAAAAGTATATTATTACAGCAGGGATCGATGGAAACAAACACGTAGCGTGCAATTTGCTCCTTTTTTCACAAATTTGTATATATCAATCAGCTCACCTTCAACCCCCCATTTCCTACTGCTTTCTACCGCCACTTTACCAAACTTCTTCATCCCAATCGGCGGCGTAGGTGGCGGCGATTGGCGGATTCGATGAGATGGGGAGCGAAGGAGGGAGAATCACCGAGCGGTTTCCGCCGGTGCACGTGGCGGTGGGGAGGAATGTGAAGGAAGGGAAATCACTACTGGCTTGGGCGGCGATGAGCTTTCCCGGCGCACGTGTTTGTCTCGTGCACGTTCATCAGCCCGCGGCTTCGGCCTCTCACTGTAAGTAGCTGCCTAGCTTGCTTGATTAATTAATTGTAGTTGTGGTTTGGTTTTCCTGTTTGTTTCAGTTTCCGAATTGGATTCGATTTTTGGTTTTTTTGGATTGTGGATTGTTTCTGTTTTTGATTGGTTTGGTTTATCGCAATTTTGAGTTGGTGAATGATTTAGCTGATTTGTTGTCTGTTGTGTGTTCCAAGAGATAGCTCTCCTGAATCTGTCTTGATTTGCCATTCTGATGAAAAAAAATTGAACTGCAATTAGGGTTTGGTTGCAGGATTTTGCATATGGTGTTAATCCTGCCAGATTTCGTGCTGGTAACTTTTGTAGTTGAAACTTTAAAAGAAAAAGTGTGTTTTTTTTTTTTTTTTTTTTTTTTTTTTTTTTTTTTTAATGTTAGGGAGTCTTTTGGATTTAAAAGTTCTTCTAAAGGAAAAGGTGATTGATTTGTAGTTTTGAATGGAAAATAGGTTTTGGATTTGATGTTTGATTGAAAAATGTTAGATGATGTAAATGACCACCACATTAAATTTTCCCATAGATGACGACAAACGGGGGACGGTGGTACTCGAACTTGAGACTTAGAGCTTCGATATCATCTATATGTTAGATGATGTAAATGACTGCCACACCTAAAACTTAACTATTAGAGATACGAATCATTTATTTATTTATCTATAAATGGGAGTCAACTAAAAAAAAAAAACAAGTTTTGAATGTGTAAGTTTTAATTGAAAATAAGTGTTGGGTTCGGTAGTTTTTGTGCATGAAAAAATATTGCTGATTGAAAATGGGTACGGAAACACCAATAGATTGCACCATATACTTCTTCATAATGTTACTTTCATGATTTTTTTTTGGCTATGCTGTTAGGCCGTTCCGATAAAATATATCTATTTTACATACAAAACATTACATTCAACCACTATTTCATCTAAAATAATCAACCATTTTTGTACGTCTATTAACTCCCACATTGAAAAATCTTCCTTGACAAGGGGTGGATTGTTTGGCGGTGTTTTAGTCTATGTTTTGGGAATAGTAAATAATTCGAATTAAAAGTTATTTGATATGATATAAAAAGGTATCTGATGTAATGCTTTTAATGAAAATTTTTGTATGTAATATATTAAATAAAAAATAAATGAGGGTTAGGGCCATGTATTGATTTTTAGTTGCCACTACCTTTTCATGTGCTTTCAGCAAATGGGGTGTTGTCGGGAAGCAAGCTGAAAAACCAGGCTATTAAAGCATTCGAGAGATTGAAGATGCAAAAACACATGAACCAGTACATTGTCTTCCTATCTCAGATGGGGGTAACCATCTTCCTTCCGTATCCATCGCCATTCTGTAGATTTTTAACACTTTGGATGATTTATATTTTCGAATTTATTCTAAAATGCTCAAACTACATGTTTGCATTTTGGTTTTTCGTCCTAAAGACCCGGGACCTGATAAACTCTTGCCCTGTCCTATTTTTTTAAAAATTGAAATGTATTAATTGCTTTGAAATGTCTCCAGATTCAGGCTGACAAAGTTTGGGTAGAAATGAAAAATATCGAGCAAGGGATTCTCCAGCTCATCACCACACATGGAATAACGAGGCTTGTAATGGGAGCTGCTGCAGAGTCTTTCAGCCCAAAGTATGCAGCCATGGTTCTCAGTTAGTTATCCCTGAACTATTGATGCCTTCTTTTCCATCTTTAGAAAAAAATATGTGACTTCTGTTGGCTCTAATTCACACTTTTTAAAAGTTCTACACTTGAGGTAAAAGGTACTCAATTTCATTAATAATACGGATCTTCATGCTGTGTGAAGTCAGTCATGAGGTGATCCTGCTTTAAAAAAAAAATAAAAATCAAAGCTGCATGAGGACGACCTCGACATGAAGTCGGGGGCTTATTCTAACAAGAAACTTATGTGGATTTGTCTAGATTGCAGGGAATGCAAAAAATTTCAAGCAAAGCTATGGTTGTGTGCCAGCAAGCTCCAATATCGTGCCATATTTGGTTCATTTCCAAAGGGTGCCTCGTGCATGAAAGGTATGATCAGTTGAAGGTTAACAGTTTTATTAGTGTTTTGAAGTGTTTTTCGAAGTTTTGGTATGATGATATGTTTAATTGAAAAAAGGTGTTTGATAAGGGTGTGTTCTTTTGAAGTTTGCTTTTGTTTTTTTTTTAAGTTCGAATAATAGTTTTCATAGTAAAAAATTGAGCGCGTAGGCATCTAAAGTTTTCTTTGAGTTCGTATTATATAGGATTGTGAAATGCCAGGTATACATGATGTTTTTTATTAAGAAAATTAGTCGAAACTCCAAAGTTAGTGTTACTCTTTATATCTTTTAACTAAAATTTTCTCGAAGGCTTCCGGTGATCTCTGAACAGTATTCATTATATCAGTCATTTCAAAATTTGACATTTTGATTACGGTTAGGCCCATGCATGGTGGACATCGCTCAACTGCAACCACAACATCGTCGCCTTCAACAAATGGCAGTGGAACAGCTGCAAATTGTCACTCCAAGGACAACATGGTTACCGATGATGGAAAAGATGAGCATTGTGAACACCAAACAATGCCAGCAGAAGAATCGACAAGCAAGGTGAATCAAAGTGAGTCGGCAGTGTTGCAAACTAGAGGATTTGGTTCATCTCCACCACCACAAGTCGAGTCTCCGGGACATTTGGCTCGTTTTCCTAATGATGGAAAAGTTGAGCATTTGGAACACCAAACAGGGTCAGCAGAAGAGTCGGCAAGCAAGGTGAATCAGAGTGAGTCAGTTGAGCATTTTGAACACCAAACAGAGTCAGCACAAGAATCGGCAAGCAAGGTGAATCGAAGTGAGTCGGAACTGTTACAAAGTAGAGGATTTTGTTCATCTCCACCTCCACAAGGCGAGTCTCCGGGATGTTTGACTCGATCGTCATCTAGTACTTCACTGGTACCATTGCTTGCCCTAATGGATTATTATACACAGTGCACTAAACTAGTAATGCTTTTCGATATTAGAATATGTGATGATAACATTCTATCTTGTCGAAAGATGCTTTTCATCACTCCATAATGGCATTATATTCGATGATAAGAACGGTGGATACTTACCAACTGCACTTTTGTTACTGATTTTTACATTCCCCGATCCTACTTGACAATTGATTATTCCAGGACTCGGAATTCCAAGCAAAAGAGATGTCGTATCAGATAAAATTGAAAGAGTCGTTAAGGCTGTGGAGAGCCGAAGAAAATGCCTTGGAGGCTACTCAGAAGGTATGAAACTATAAGAATGAAATTTACCAGTCTCTTACATAAATCCTCTTGTTGGAAATCACATATAGAGTTTTGTTTTTTCAGGTTTTTTTACCCATGTATGTGCTGCATGTTGCTTCTTGCAGGCCGAGGCTGCAGAAAGTCGTTGGAAGGAAGAGCTTAACCGGAGAAAAGAAATCGAGGGGCAGTTGGTTAATCAAAATCATGAAATAGAAACAATGAAAAATCAACATGATCTGGCTTTGAAAGAACTTCGTCTGATCGATGAGCGGAAGCCAGTTCTCGAAAGCCGGCTGAGAGAGGCTCACTGCTCGGAGCAAGAGCTGGAGGAAAAAATCATTCAGGCAGTGAATCTCTTGATAAGTTTTAAGGCGAAACGGGACGAATTCCAGCGAGAGCGTGATTCTGCTATCAGGAAAATCAACAAACACCAAGCAATGAATGCTGCCGCTGACCCTTTCGGAACTTTCGAAATCCCATTCTCCGATATCATCGAGGCTACCGAAAACTTCAGCTCATCTCAGAAAATCGGTGGAGGAGTTTACGGTAGTGTGTTCAAGGGCACGATTAACCATCTCAAGGTTGCTATAAAAATGCTGCCGTCTTCGGGTACTCAGACCGACTGGGAGTTCAAGAATGAGGTAAAATTTCTGAACTTTTTGTTTTCTTGGTTGTTTTCTTAGTCCCCTCAATAGGTCTAGGGGTGGTTAGATATAGTATATCGAATTTTATACTGTATGACAGATATATATTGTAACGTACTGATAATTCGGTATATCGAATTGTTCGTACGGTATTAGCATATATCGTTCATACCGAAATACTGAAAGTAGAAATAATAATTCTAGTATCAGTATACTGAATTATCGGTATATACTTAAATATATCGCATATTCGGAATATACTGAAATACCATACTTAATAAGTTCGATATAATATCATACTGTATGGAGATTTCGGTATTTGCGGTATTTCGTCAATTCGATATTTTTTCTCACCCTTGGATAGGTCGTTTCACACCATAAGTTTTCGTGCAGGCGGAGATTTTGTGCAGAGTGAGGCATCCGAATCTTGTAACCATCGTCGGCGTCTGTCCGGAATCGAGATCGCTCGTATACGAGTACATCGAAAATGGCAGCCTTGAAGATCACCTTTCGAGCACAACCAAAACCCATTCGCTGTCGTGGCAAGCCCGGATACGTATAGCAGCCGATATCTGTTCCGCTCTCATCTTTCTGCACGCCAACGACAGCTGCAGCGTGCACGGGAATTTAAAGCCGTCCAACGTTCTTCTAGACGGGAACTTCGTTACCAAAGTAAGCGACTTTGGGATCCACAATTTGAGCTTGGTCGAGAACTACGGGACGTCGATATTTACCCCGGAATCCGATATATACTCTTTCGGCGTCGTACTCCTCCGCCTGCTAACCGCAAGGCCAGCTTCCACCACTGCTCGGGATGTCCGGTGCGCCATTAAAGGAGGATACCTCGACACCGTGCTGGACATGTCGGCGGGAGACTGGCCGTTCCCGCAGGCGAAACAATTGGCTAGTTTAGCGCTGAGGTGCTGCCGGAAGGACCCGTCGCAACGACCCGATCTTCGATCGGAAGTCTCGACGGTGCTCGAGAGTGTGCAGGAGCTCTGCAACTCGGCGGAGCTGACCCCGACTTTGCTGCGCTCAGATTCCCGACGTCAACGGAAAATACCTTCGCACTTCGTCTGCCCGATTTATCAGGTAATCGATCGATCATAATGTAACGATAGCTTGTGCTTATGGGTACCGTATTTATATTTCAGTATGAAACAGTAAAGGTACCGTATGAGCAATTTATATACCAAACTATCAATGTTGTACCGGTATACCGAATTTTTGATATATCGTATCGAATTACTCGTATTTGTGCTCGGCTGATGATCGGAATGTGTTGCAGGAAGTGATGAAGGATCCGCACATCGCGCCGGACGGGTTTACGTATGAAGGCGAGGCGATAAAAGGATGGTTCAACAGCGGACACAAAACTTCTCCGATGACGAACTTGAAGCTGGAGAATTGTGATCTTCTTCCTAACTATGCTCTCTATTATGCTATTCAGGAATGGCAACTAAATACTACGTAATACTACTGCATAGTATTAATAATAATAATAATAATAATAATAATAATAATAATAATAATGGAGATTTTTAAATATTAATTTATTTCTTGTTATTTTCTTATAGAAAAGATCCAACTTTGTCTCCCTCCCACGTTCTTGTAATTCTCTTTATTATTTTCTGCTAAGGTTTGTCGAAAGATGGTTGTCGGTTCAATAGAGGAATTTAATACTCCTTCAGTAAGGGATGAGTATTTTTTTTAAGAAACAATATTTTAATATTATATCTCAATAATATATATTTAATATGAATATTATTTTGTAGATAATTAAATTTTATATAATATAAATAAATAAATAAATGATAATATTTATTAATCCATTCTGTTTTTCTAGTGCAGTCCTCCGTGCTCCGGAATGCATCTGAAAAAATTTCAAATAAATATAAGTATATAGACATTTGAGAGTAGAAAATTAAATTTAAAGAACATACCGCCGTTTGTTCTTAATATGGATCAAATGCATCGGCCCCCGCGATCGCTTACCTACACAGAATACGGAAGCAGGATTGTTAATATGCAATTAATAATTTGTATAAATTTTTTTAGGAAAATCTAAACATACATATCCGGGACGTAAAATTAATGTTAATGCTAAATGCATCAAAGCTTTAAAATGAATACAATGCAAATTTACAAAAATACCAAAAGTAAAAGTTTCGGAATTTTCCATTTTTTGGTGCGGTCGAGAAAATCCATTATATTTCCCTCGCGCAATTCTCCGCGATTCTCGAATGCATCTGAAATAATTTCAAATTAATATAAGCATATAGACATTTGAAAATCGAAAATTTAATAAAAAGAACTTACCGCCGTTTGTTCGTAATATGGGTCGAATGCAACCTCGTCCGCCCCGAAATATCCACAATTGCTTACCTACACAAAATAAAAAAAAAAACAAGATAGTCAGTATACGATTAATAATCCGTACGAAATTTTTTATGAAAATCTAAGCATGCATGTCCCGGGACGTAAAAGTAATGCTAATGCTAAATGCGAGAAAGCTTAAAAATAAATGCAATGCCAATATACAAAAACAGTAAGAGTAAAAGTTTCGAATTTCCCCCTTTTTTTGGTCCCGTCGAGAAAATCCATTCCGCTTCCCTCGCGCAATCCTCCGTGATCCCTCACCCGAGTGCATCTGAAATGATTTCATGCATCATCGTCGGTCCCGGAATGTCCACTTACCTAAACATAATACAAAAATGAGATTGTTAATATTCGATTGAAAGTAAATATTAAATTTTGTATGAAAATCTAAGCATACATATCCGTAAAATTAATGCTAATGCTAAATGCGGACAAGTAGGGAAAGGAGAAGGTGTTGCATCCCCAGCCTGCGTACTGTCGGTTTGCTTGGATGGGGTGACAAGACAGGGCAGAGCAGAGCAGGGCAGGGCATATACGGACGTACTGATAGACAGACTGGCTCTAGAACGAGACGAGTTTACAACTGCGTAGGCGATGATTGGTTGAGGAGGGAACGAAGAACACATAAAAACAAATGGATAGATGGTAGTAAATACCAACAGCAGCATATTGACATTCACTGGATTGCTTGCTGCTGCTGCATGTCACACTCACACTCGACTTCAATAACCCATTAGCCATCCATCCCACTTCAATTACATACATACATACATATTGCTGATTGGTGATCTATCTATCTCGGTTGACTGCAGCATTAGCATTTTCATTTTTATTTTTATTTTCATCTCAACGAATAACACCCACTTATCCTATCCATCTTGTACATACATACCATGCATAAGCATACAGCACTAAGATTCAAGCCGAAGAACACATCACTATAAGCATACACGCACGCATCAACGAAAGAAAGACGACAGTTAAAAACTCATTATCCACAATTGAAACAACTAGGAATTGAATCTCGTCTTCACATGAGACAAATAACACAAGGCGAATGGTAAGCTAATTTCCAAAGAAAGAAAGAAACAAAGAAACCCTAATGAAAATTCATCAAGAAAATTGAAAATTCATCCAAGAAATTAGGTCAAGATAACATTAAAATTAAAATTCATGTAATAATCTAATCTAATCTAATCTCTCAAGACGCAACTACCATCGGCAGGAAGCATAGAGCATACCATCAGCAGGGCCATCTCCACATCCTCCATCGTAATTAAGCCCTTCTCCACGGCCTCTTTTTGTTCCTGTTTTTGAGAGAGAAAGAGAGGGAGAGTTTAAGAGTAGTAAATCGCCACATATGATGCGCTGCGCGTAGACAATACAAACCCGGCGCCATTTCTTGAGCAGCTTCCGTCGACGCTTGCCGGAGACGGAGTGCGGTTGGGGCTTCTGGTGCAGCTTGCCGGTGATGGAGTCGCCGTGTACCATCCTCTTGCGATCAGCGCCGCTTCTGTACGACGTTGAATTTCGCCATGCCTGGCTCAAAACCCTGATACAATCTGCCTCCTCTCAACACGAAAAGCAATTTTGGCTGGGACATACGCGATAGATATATATATATATATATAAATGGAAATAAAAATCGTTTCTTACCAAATTATTAATTATGCTTCACTTTCTTTTCTTTTTCTTTTGAAAATATTTTAAATTTTTTATTTAACAAAAAATTATACAATTATTTTCTAATTATAAAAAATATATATATACTATAAAAATGTCTGCTTGTTTTTCTTAAGTACATTATTAATAGAGAGATGCGGATGGATACCTGAGAGAAGACCAGACGAGACCACCTCATGTTTGAATTTATTCCAAAGCAATGCCCTCCAGGCTCCATCCATCCATCCAGCCATCCATTTTGCTCTGCTCGGCTCCTAACCATACTCCCAAACTTATTCCTTCATTCAATTATACAGTGCTTAAAGCCTAACGCCTAGAGGAGTTTGGCCTCAATTTCCTCCAAACTAAGCCCCTTGGTCTCTGGGACAACGCAGAAGATGAAGACGAGGGAGGGACGCCACTGCGATGCCCCCAAACACCAACAACACCGCACCAGCCCCCACCCACAACCCCATCACAGTTGCAATTATAATTCATCTAATCTCTCACCACACAGCCACCTCTCCCAGTTTTTGTTTAGTAAGACCCCAAGAGAAACAGTGATAATACCTGCCCATATGATCCAAGTGCAACTATAGCATATTACAAACTTTACTTCATACACACACACAATATATGAACTGCCACATTAACAAACTGGGACTTACAATTCCAGAGACACCGCCAAGCAGGAGAGGCCTCCCCCCTAGTCTATCCACCACCAGAACAGCAACCCCTGTCATGACCAGCTACATCAACAAAGACAGGGAGTATGTTAGAGCTGCATTAACTGCAACTGTAAAAGATAACAGGCACAGATCTATATGGGTCAACTGTGAGAATTGAATGCAATGCTTGCCCACATTGGATGCAACAGAAGAACATGGGGAGGCCAAGAGGAAAGAAAGGAACATCAAACTATAAGAATGTTATCCACTGGAGAAAGAAAAAAAAAATAAAATGAGAATGACTCCACCACCTCACCTTCAAGAAACCAAGTAGAATTGAGACCTTACTTGCATCCGATGCTGCAGAAAATCCTGCACTCTATATTTGTTGAATACTTAGAATAGAATAGAGTAAGGAAAACCCATGGCATTTTAAATACAGGGATAACTTGACCTTCTCAATGATTTAGAAATATACCTGAAAAATAGTTGCAGCATAGTACAATACACTTGGTTGCCCAGTAATCTACAAAACAAAGTATGTCGGGTTGGAGGTTATAATCATTATATTCACAATTCCTTTTTCACACTATGGAACTTTAGGGCGAGACAACAAAGAAAAATACCTGTTGAAATAGGACAAGGCCACCACCAATTGTAAGTGCTTTCAAGCATTTACCCTCGAACAACTCTGTTATTGATGCTTCTTCCTCCTCTTGCAAATAAGAGAGCTCAGACATAATCTCATCCACTTTCTGATAAGCTGAATCACCGATAGCTTCACCTCTTAGTCTACATAAGCTAGATATGGCAGTCTCCCTCAAAACCAGCATCTCACCCTTCCCCTCCCCTGTATGGCTCTAAGAAGAATCCATCTAGGGGATGGAGGAAGCCACCACATCCCAATTCCCATTATGAGGGATAGAGGAGAACTAACTCCATACATATACCGCCAACCCGCTACTACCTCCACCAAAAGGCTACCCGCTATATATCCAAGCTACAAGGGAACATCTCATGCTTTAGCATTTGAGTTGTATTTATGAGTGCGTGTGTCAATTAATCAATGGTAAATGCAATACTTATGTCATTAATACCATCTTAAAATGGATAGATGGGCTTGTGTCATTAATACCATCTTAAAATGGATAGATGGGCTTGCAGAGAAATGAGTGGGCTTTTTTATTTTTTCCTTATATGTAAAGGCATACTTACTAGCATTCCAATAACTATAAAAATTCTTTAAGTGAAATTAGCTGCCCTCGTATACGACTTGGAGCTGTTTCTGCGATGTACATAGGAGCAGCATGCATGGCCTGTGAAAGTAAACACAATTGTTCTCAAACACAACTAGTGCTCGCACAAATCCATAAGCAGATAATGTCCAAATAATAATAATAATAAACTGACAGCAAACATGTGGTTACAATGAAGCAAATATGAATTCTTACCAATCCAATTCCTATACCAAAGACAAAACGTCCTATCACCAAGATCACAAAATTTGGCGCCACAGCTGTTACTAGAGCTCCAATGAGATACATTGAAGATGAAAATATCAGTTCCCTCCTCCTTCCTGCAGTGTCAAGCAAAAAAGAACAAAGAAAAAAGAAAGCACAAGAGTATAAGATGACCAAACTGTAAGTTGTAACCAAGTCTGCATTTAGATATTAAACTTATCCAAAAAGTCTGCAACATTAAATGCCAAAAGTGAACCGATCAATGCACCATATAATGCACCAAGTAGTCAGAATTCATATATGATGGCTGGTTGTTGAACAGTTGAGAAACAATATATCAGTACTAAAACACGTCACAAATGACAAGAGAAGAATGCATCTTTATTCCCGGTCTAAGGCAGTTAGTGAGACCCAATATCCAGCAAAGCTTATCCTAAACAACTACCCGAAGCCCACTTCTTCATTATTACCTTCAACAAGCCGGTAGCACTTATGGAAAACAACATGATGACAAATAATATTGGGGGATATCCCATACAGCTCCATCAAAGATAATTAAACAAAAAACAGAAACCCCACGCACTCGTTGAATCACGGGGTTTAGAAACAGACAGGGTCCATTAGATTTATTCATATAACAACGGGAAAAGGGGAAAGAGAGCTATTTTCCAGCTCTCATCAGTGCAGTGCAGTGCAGTCAGGCCTTCTTGGGCTGCCAGGATTCATATCTTGTCCAGTCTCTTTGCCCGGGATTAAGGGTATGTCCTTTTGAGTGATATACATATTCATCTCCCTCTCCAGAAAAGTTCTCTCTGTGTTCAACCCCATACCTCTTTGGCTTCAACAACAGCAGCTGCACCATATCAAATGCACAGTTAGACCATTACTAATAGTACAATTGCCGACATAAACCCAGCCCACAAGGTTTTAGCCTACCTCATCCCCCGTATGGTCAGTTATAAAATGCAGCCAACCGTGCCACTCTGGTGGAACCTGAGAAGCATTGTAGCGGTTCTTTGAAGCATATTCCACCCACCTGTGTCGCCCTACAATTGAGTAACAAAATGAGCGGCATTATGCACCACTAAGTTCATTGCATCAAAATGCTCGGGCATGGACTTTGATGGGAAATTCTCAAGATCGAAATACATAGGGGGCAGGAAGCCCACTCAAAGATTGCCCGGCAGCCGAGCTTTGAAGGACCAAAGGTGTATACAGTATGTGCTCAGTAGTTCAGCACTGAAGAAGAATTATGAACAAGGTTTTAAACATTGAATGGTGATATCATCCAAGCAATTTAACGGATCTCAAACATATAAGAAAGGAGGCACGACAGAAATGATTCATGAAGCCTATTCAGAAATATGAAAAGCACCACTGACCATATTGAGTGTCCCCTAATTTCTCGTAGTACTTGTTGCCGAATTTGTCAACACCCACAAGTCTCGCACCTATGTTGTGTATCTTTGTTTGCCTTGATTAATTATAATATGGGGTGGGTTTCATTCAGTAGCAGTTGGAACATCAATAAAAGAGAAAAACCTAAAACAAATATACATAATTGGTACACAATCAAAAAAATATATACACATAAGATGAAGAGGGGCAGGTAAAAGATTTCAATTACCCAGGATCGATTTAACTATTTGAACACTGTAATTGGAGCAAACTGCTTATACATTTTGCTATCTAATAAAGGTCCATCAAGATAGCTTGGCAGAGTTCTACTTACATGAGATTTCCATCCAGTAGAGCGGACCTGCTTGTGGAAGAAGAAGAAACGGAAAAAAATAAATAAATAGAAAACCTCATTAACGAACAAAATGGCAAAAAAGTTAAATAGCGTTTCATCACAATAAAAATAATTGGATAAAACTGAAAACCACGTTTCGTAAATTACTGTCGCTTACTACGAACCCTAAAACCTAAATACAGTTAAACGAAAATCCTTTCTAACTCAAATAAACAGAATACGGAGAAACGAATATCATTGGCAACAATCCATCGATATCCCTTTTCATATAATAAACACTTCAAACCGTTATATTTCGAGATTTTAAGATCCGGGAAAGATTTGAAAACGTGACGAAGAAGATAAGAAGGTGAAGACTAACAAATATCCTTCCTCTCTGAGATCGCGGAAGAACCCTCCGATACCCTTTTCTCGGACGGATTTCATCGCGCTTCGTACCACGGACGCCATTGCTCCTCCCCGCGCCACCGAGCTGCCACAACGAGATTATCAGACAACGTCCTGAGCCGATTAGCTTATAGAATATTGGCTCGGTTTAGTATTTATAATAAGGCAAAGATCGATGTTGTACAATCAGTGTGTAGGGTCTATGTCTGCGGATTTGTTTTTTGAATTTGTATTAGAATTATAAAAATTTTAATATGAGTAATTACACGATGTGATATTAATATTTATTAATATGAAATTTAGAATTTAAAATTAATATTTAATATATTAAAAAATAAAAAATATATATTTCATTGAATTTCTTTTAGAAAATAATATTTGGTAAACAATAAAAATACTTGAAAATCTATAAAGGGTGTGTTTGTTTGAAGGATTTTGGAGGATTTCCACTATTCATCCAATTCTTTCCCCCCTCCAAACATCAAATCAAACACCTATTTTTCATTTTTTATATTATACTAAAAATCAATTTTACATTCAAAACATCACATCAAACCCTATTTATATCACATCATACAACTATTCAAATTCAAAATTTTTACTATTCAAATCCCAATCCAAAATCCAAACCCCCAAACAAACACACCTATAAACAAAAAAAACATGTAGAGAAAAATAATTTAATAATTTATTTTTTGTTTAGATAATTCATTGAGAAATATATATTATATTTTATATTATATCTTATAAACACGAGTTTGTACGGATCTGCCACTTGAAAAGTCTATCCTGCCCCTCATTTCGAAAATGACAATTTAGTCCTTAACCTATCTTTGTACTGGCTTGAAAAGACGAGATTGTACGGATCTGCCACTTGAAAAGTCTATCCAACCCCTCATTTCGAAAATGACAATTTAGCCCTTAATCTACCTTTGTACTGGCTTGAAAAGACGTTTTGGAACCGTCGCCAGCAACCACCGTCAACCGCCCAAGACGAAACGTTTTGAAACATCGTCTGGTCGGTTACATCAACCGCCTCGCCAAATGCCTCAACCAGTTCCAGAACTCAAATAGCCCAACCGACCAATCCAGAGACCAATCGCTACACCAAAAGACTTCTTGGCCGCACCAACCAAGCGACCTGTCTATCCGCCTGCGGACCAGCTGACTTGCCTATCCGACCGCAGACCAGCCGACCTACTTTATCCGACCGCAGACCATCAGACCTGTCTGTCCGACCTGCTGACCATCAGACCTGTCTGTCCGACCGCTAACTATCTGACCGAGGACCGACCGACCATACCAACTGACCGAGGACCTTCCGACCTGCCAATCCGACAGCTAACCAACCGACCTGATCATCAGACCGAGGACCAACCGACCAGACCAACCGACCGAGGATCTTCCGACCTGCCTATCTGACTGCTAACCAACGCACCTGACCATCCGACCGAGGACCAACCGACCTGACCAACCGACCTGAACGCAATTTTTTTTTCCTTTTCCACCCGACTTCGTGTCTATCTTCCTTTAAGATCCTGCTATCCTTATTATTATTATTATTATTATTATTATTATTATTATTTGTGCGTAACAATTATCAAAGTTAAAATATCCTTGCTATTTTTTATATTTCAAAACTCATAAAGAGATGCAGGGTCACCCTTCTTATCTCAAACATTTCATCTATATTCTCCTCTATTTTATTTTTTATTGTTGTTGATGCAATTTTTCAACAATAAAAAATAAAATATGAAAATAAAGTGTTGATGTATTTTTTCAACAGACAAAAAGTAAAATTCAAATATATGGAAAATATCCTTAAAAAATTTGATTAATTAGCGTCTGAGATTAGGAATCTCTAATTCCTCCTTTATTGACACGTGTCTTGCACCGTCTCGCCAAACGCTTCCACCAGTTCCCAAACTCAACTTGCCCGACCGACCATTCCAGAGACCAATTGCTAGACCAGCCGACCTACTTTATCCGACCTGCTGACCATCAGACCTGTCTGTCCGACCTGCTGACCATCCGTCTGTCCGACCTGCTGACCATTAGACCTGCAGACTTTCCGACCTGACCACTTTTCGTCTTGACGACCTCCCGACCTGAGGACTTACCGACCTAAGGACTTCCCGACCTGACCACTTTCCGTCTTGAGGACCTCCCGACCTGAGGACTTCCCGACCTAAGGACTTCCCGACCTGACCACTTTTCGCCTTGACGACCTCCCGACCTGAGGACTTCCCGACCTGACCACTTTCCGTCTTGAGGAACTCCCGACCTGAGGACGTCCCGACCCGAGGACTTCCCGACCTGACCACTTTCCGTCTTGAGGACCTCCCGACCTGAGGACTTTCCAACCTGACCAACCGACCTGAGCGCAAATTTTTCTACTTTTCTGCCCGACTTCGGGTCCTACCTTCGTTCAAGACCCTGCTACCATTATTTTTATTATTATTATTATTTTTGTACGTAACACCTTAAATTTGATTTTTTAGCGTCTGAGGTTAGGAATCTCTAAACACTGTACGGTACATAAAAGGAAATTGATTGGAAAATTAAAATGCTGAAAATTTAAAGTGGTGATCCCCAAATCTGACTTTGCTTTGTTGAAGTTGATTGAAGATGCTTGAAAATAAAAAATCTAAATCCTTAAATATTACTTGAATAGACGTTTTGGAACCGTCGCCAGCAACCGCCGTCAACCACCCAAGACGAAACGCTTTGAAACATCGTCTGGTCGGTTACATCAACTGCCCACTAATTCCTCCTTTATTGACACGTGTCTTGCACCGTCTCGCCAAACGTTTCCACCAGTTCCAGAACTCAACTGGCCCGACCGACCATTCAAGAGACCAATTGCTAGACCAGCCGACCTACTTTATCCGACCGCAGACCATCAGACTTGTTTGTCCGACCTGCTGACCATCGCACCTGTCTGTCCGACCTGCTGACCATCAAACCTGTCTGTCCGACCTGCTGACCATCAGACCTGCAGACTTTCCGACCTATGGACCATCCGACCCGCTAACCAACCGACCTGACTATCCGACCGCAGACCTTCCGACTTGTCTGTCCGACCTGCTGACCATCAGACCTGTCTGTCCGACCTACTGACCATCAGACCTACAAATTTTCCGACCCGCTAACCAACCGACCTGACTAACCGACTTGAGGACTTTCCTTCCTGATGACTTTCCATCTTGAGGACCTCCCGACCTGACCAACCGACCTGAGCGCAAATTTTTCTACTTTTCTACCCGACTTCGGGTCCTACCTTCCTTCAAGACACTGCTACCATTATTATTATTATTATTATTATTTTTGTACGTAACAAGACCTTATGTATTAGTTGATTTGGGTATTAAAACTTGTATGTTGTTATACACGAGATTGTATGGATTTGTCACTTGAAAAGTCTATCATGCCCCTCATTTCGAAAATGACAATTTAGCTCTTACCCTACCTTTGTACTGGCTTGAAAAGACGTTTTGGAACCGTCGCCAGCAACCGCCGTCAACCGCCCAAGACGAAACATTTTGAAACGTCGTCTGGTCGGTTACATCAACCGCCTCGCCAAACGCCTCCACCAGTTCCAGAACTCAAATAGCCCAACCGACCAATCCAGAGACCAATCGCTAGACCAAAAGACTCCTTGGCCGCACCCACCAAGCAACCTGTCTATCCACCTGCGGACCAGATGACTTGCCTATTCGACCGCAGACCAGCCAACCTACTTTATCCGACCGCAGACCATCAGACCTGTCTGTCCGATCTGGTGACCATCAGACCTGTCTGTCCGACCGCTAACCATCCGACCGAGGACCAACCGACCAGACCAACCGACCGAGGACCTTCCGACCTGCCCATCCATTCGCTAACCAACCGACCTGATCATCCGGCCGAGAACCAACCGACCAGACCAACCGACTGAGGACCTTCCGACCTGCCTATCCGACCGCTAACCAACCGACCAGACCAACCGACCAAACCAAACGACCTGACCCACCGACCTGAGCGCAAATAATTCGATTACATTTTTGTTTTACAGTTTATATTTCAAATAAATAATGTTTCACTACATTACATTATAGAATAGTCGCACGGTATACCGCGCAAGAGCGTGTTCTAGTATATATATATATATAAAAATTACAATTAGGGGCGTTTGATACATGAATTGCAGAGAGATAAATAAGAGTAAATAATGGAATCGGAGAAAAATGAATTTGAATAGAGAATAATAATTCATTCTCTTGTTTGCTAAAAAGAGAATTAAAAATAAAAAAAATAAAAAATATAAGAGTTTTAACAAAACAAGAATTTATGAAAAATAAATGATTAACCGGATAAAAAAAAAAGAGTTTTAACTAATGAGAATTTGTAAAAAATATTTTTGGTGAGTTTTTTTTTTAAAAAAAATTATAAATTATTATAATACGATAATTTTTAACATTATATTTTAGTACAATTTTTTAAAACATCGTAAAAATTAAATACTTTAACAATAAATAAAATTTGTTTTTTTGTAAAATTGAAATAATTAATTTTTAAAAAATTATAAAAATTAAATAGTACAAAAAATTTTAAAATATAAAAAATATATATAATACAACATCATTTCTCTCCATTTCTCTGCACATGAGAGAGAAATAGAAATGATTTATTTCTTAAGTTCAAATTTTTTTACTCAAACATACAACATAAATAATACAATTTCAATTTCTCTTGCCTCATTTATCTTTACCAAACACAACCTTAGTAGAAAAAATAGAAAAATAAAATAAAAAAATTACTAAACAATGATAAATTAGATTTAAAAAAAATGTACTTTTTTTGTTATATTTTTTATTTTATAATTTATTTTAATAATAGTTTATATATATGTAATATTTTATAAGATTTGAATCATATATAAATTAAATAATAGAAAAAATAATAATAATTTATTTTGAATTTTATGTCTTAATCACACAAAATAAATTGAAATATTTTCATTTCTTTATCTATGTTCCCATGTACCAAAAAGGAAACAATCAAAACTAAAAGTATTTAAAATCTATAAATATTCATTTAAATTGTGTAGATTTTTAATTTAAATTTTTAAAACTCTTTTAAAATTTTACAGTATTCTATCATCCATATACTTTAAAACTTAATATAATATTCAATTATCCATACATTTTCAAAGTGAATGAAAAGTTATGAAAAAATTATAAAATATAAAATTTGTTGTGATAAACATAAATTTTGATGAATTTTTAAAAATATTATTATCATTTTTGTTATTATTACTCCCTTCGTCCTATAACAAATTATCAATTTTTCATTTTAGTCTGTCATATAATATATTAATTTATTTATTTTTTTATAATTGTACTATCCACCTAACATTACAAATACTCTTACAACTTACAATATATTACACAAATGTCACTACTTTTATATCACACAATATTAATAAAGTTATTTTAGTCATTTATACTTTATTCCTACTACATCCTAATATAATATTAATATTTCTAAAACTCTGCGCACAAAACAAATTGATACATAGTTATGGGACGGAGAGAGTATTATTATTATTAGAAGTGATAAATATTTGTTTGTAATTAATTTAAAACTAATTTTATAAAAAAAATTAGAAGTTTTAAATATAGATAAATAAAAAAATTTGTTTATTGACGAGAGATATATAAACAAAAAGGTTTTGAGTATATTGAAATATTTTAAATATTAGGTTTTATATTTAATAGATTTGTACTTAAATTTGATCTTATCCTTATCGAGTCTTTGTATTTGTATCGCCTATATTTTAACATAGTAGATTCTAAATTTAATTAAATTTATTTACAGTTAAATATGTTTAAGATGAATACATTTATTAAAAATAGAAAATGAATCGTGAATGAATGAAATATTTTAATTCAAAATTTTAAAATCATCAAATCACTTGCGTGTTTAATTTATTTTGGGTAAATTATATAATATTTTATTATGTTTCAGTAAAATTGTACAAAATACCATGTGTTTTATTAATTACTTGAAATCTCTTGTGGGTATTAATCAATTATTTATTTATTCATTTTATTAAAAAAATATTTGATATATTTTATATTTTTTACTTGTATAAAAATTGCATAATTTAGGTTTTCATTTAAAACAAAATATCAATTTTAAACAAAGTGGGTATTTCATACAAACTTTACGCTAACAAGGGATTTAATGCAGTAACACAATGAGCATTGTGTTATATAATTTATCTATTTATTTTTGTTAATAATAAGATTTATTTTTTTATTTTTAACAAAAAAAAAAAAGAATGTATTTTTAGTGAAAATTATAAAAATAATAATAAATATTGGGTATGTTTATTTGTAAAATTTTAGTTTTGAGTTTTGATTTTAAATAGTAAAATTTTGAATTAAAATACTTGTTTGTTATGCTATAAATATATGTATTAACTTGATGTTTTGAATGTAAAATTTAATTTTAGTGTAATATAATAAAAAAAAATAGATGTTTAATTTAATATTTTTAAAAGAAAAAAAAATTAAAATAGTAAAATCGAAAATAAAAAACAAGTAAGCAACCCATTGTTTTTAATTATTAATATTATGATGACAAACTTTTCTCCATAATATATAAAATTTCATTTACATATAATATTACGTTATTCTACAAAAATATTACATCGAATATGCATTTTAACAATAATGCACAATATATAATTTTTTATTTTGCATTTTATATAACATTATTAATAGCAAACTATAAAGGGTTTGTTTGGCTTGCATTACTCTCTAAAAATTTTAACATTATTTTACAATTTTTTATATAATAATTAATATTTAAAAATCAATAAATTTGACTTTCGGGGGAGGGGGGGAACAGGAGGCAGTAAATAATTAATAGTAAAAATTAATCAATTCTTTTTAAATGAAAAAACACATTCTATTTTGTGAAATAATTTTTATATATGATATATAAAAAATATGTAAATAATATAAAAATAATGAATATATATATATAATATATTAGTAATTTATTATTTTCCTGTAATTGTGTGTTTATTTTGCAAAAAGAACACACTTGTCGTTTTTATTATTTATATTAAATTAAAATTCATTTTATACTATTAAAAATATCATATTAATGTTTATTTTATATAAATAAATAATTATTTTGATTCAAAATTTAAATTCAAACTTACAATCAAACTGAACCTAAATAAATTGATTAGATAAATAAAAGTTAAAATTTATTGCTTAAAATATCATCTTCATAATATAAAATGGTTATCGTTTTAAAAAAAATGGTTATTTAGATAGTGAAAATTAAAAATTAATAAATTTAAAATAATAATTTATTATTTTATTTTATTACTTGTATATAAATGATACCATTAATATGTAGTTAAAAAAATATATATATATATTTAAATATTTTTAATATTATATTTCAATAAAATATAATAATATAGAATATGAATATCATTTTATTTTTATATAATATAAATATTTATTTATTTATAATTAATATAAATTAGTTTTATAAATAATATATAATTTTAATTATAAATAAAAATATTTGTAAATAATAGAGATAAAAGTAAATAGTTTTTGAGTTAGTCTTATAAATATTAAATTTTAATTAAATTGATTTATATTTTTTATAAATATTTAATATTAATAAATTTATAAAAATTAAAACGATTTATCAATCTTAAAATATACTAAAATGAAAAATAAGTCATCTGTTTTAAAACTAAAAAATTATAACTTTATCAATCTTATAAATCTATCAAGAAAATATGATTATTATCCTATTTTTTTAAATAAGATTTATGAAATAGGAGTATAGACTTGTTTGATTTGTGTTTTATGTGGAACATTTTCTATAAATATTATTAAAAAAATATAATATATTTTTTTATCATATAAATATATACTATATTTTTATAAATATACAATATATATTATTTCATCTATCCCATTTATCTACCTTTATTTTTGTTTGTTCCACTTTATCATCCCATTTATCTACCTTTATTTTTGTTTGTTCCACTTTATCATGTTACCTTTTTTTTTTTAAATGAAGTTATATACTTTAATTTTATTTTAAAAATTTAAATTTATAATTTTTTAATTTTAATTAGATTAATTAATTTTTAAAATTTTAATCTAAAAAATAGAAGTTATCATTTTTATTATAAATACAGAACGGAGGGATATATTTTTATAACACAATATTTCAAATCTAAATCAATATATATATATATTTACAATTTCAAATCTAAATCAATACTATTTATCCAACAATACAATATTTAATAAATATATATTATTTTTCTATCATAAAATACCACATTAAAATAATATTTAAAAAAATTAAAAAAATCAATAATTTATTTCAAATTAATTTAAAATTACAATCAAACAAACATTTTATTTTTTTTTCTTAAAATGATATAATTAAAATTATAAAAGGTAACAAAACCAAGCATTAATTAAATAAAATGTTTTCCCAATTCTAGAAGCTTCTATCATATTACTTGTATATTATTATAATTATATTCATCAACAAAGACCTGTCGTTGAATTTATTTATGAATTTTCTTTTAAAAAAAAAAAAAAAATTGAAAACAATTTCTCTATACTTTCAAGATTCAACAGTGCTTTACTTGCTCGTGCTCGAAAATAATTTTAATTTCCATTTATTTTTATTCGTTAATTTTCATATATAAATACGGTGTTTTCTTCGGATAGTTTTTATTTGCTTTATAAATAATTTTCTTCTTTTCCGAATTTGTTCCGTCGCTTTCTCTCCGGAAAAGGTTTCGCAGATTTCTCATTCCAAATCCACTCTCCATTCCGTTTCAGTTTTGTCGCTGTGTTTGATCGACAATTTTCATGTTCTTTTGCAGCGGGCGTAATCGTTTTTGTATCGGCGGCGATCTCTCCGGTCAGTGGTACGTGTGGCCTTTTCACAGTATTTATGACCTGTAGGTCACATGGCGATGGTGGATCATACGAACTGATGAAGACTGTGGCCTAGTGTGTTTTTCTTTCTTATGTTTTTTCCATTTGGTTATAGTTTCGTTAATTCGGTGTCTATTGCGCCGCGGCGATTTAAATTGACCCAAGAAGAATTTTGTCACTGTGTGTGTGAGCTTTCGATTTTATTTTTTCCCTCGTTGATTTGGATGTGCGTGCTTTCTTTAATTGAAGTCTGTGTTATTCTGCCATTGTCTTTATTGATTCGCGCTTTGATTGTGTGTTTCTTTTAGGTTTTTGAGATTTAATGCCGACGTGAATCGGATCTAAACTAGTATCTAGGTTTAGTGTCAACTCTAGTCAGTCTTTGTTTCTATTATTTCAAAATAAATTTGTAGTTTAGTTCTATTGCGTTCCTGTTGTGTGAATGTAGGGTGCATTAAAGAATGAATTGGCAGTTTGGCACAGTTTGGTGTTTATGGTTTATCCATGGCTGAAGCATATGGGAATTGCTACAATGAAAAAGTGGGCAACAGGTTTTTACTTTTTTGAGGAAATTAATTTGCCTACACTTCAACATGTTAAATTACATAAGCTATTACTTGAGATTGTGGAAAATTAGGCATCCTACGCAAACCGGTAGTAGCCTCGAAGAGGTTATATATCAATTCTCGTTTTTAAGTCTAAAAGCAAAAAGAAAAGGGCTTAGCTTTCGTATATTTATATTTCCGTTGGAATTTACTTTTATAGCTTATATCCACGTGTTCGATTTCATAATACTCGTGACAGGTGGCTTGAAATGCGACTCAAATGTTAATTTTGGTTGGTGTCAAGTGGAACTTAAATGCTCGAGCTAGTTTATTTTATTTTATTTCTGTTGAAAGTCAGAAGAGGTTTAATTGGCATTTTCTTCGTATCCCTTTGAGCAAGTTCCTATTTTAAGATCTGAGATTTGATTTTGTAGTATCAGTGTGCTTGGAAGCTAGATGCCTGTTGCCAAGATTGGTGATCTCGAAGCGTCAAATGCAACAAAACCAGAAGGAGGGAGTGATCTGTTAGATAATTTCATCAGACAAGCTATTACAACGGAGCCTCTTCTCCCTTTTATGAGGGCAGGAGATAGTACAGCACAGTGGATGCAGCTTCTTCAAGCTTTAGATCAACCAGGTGCGTAATTATCTTTATTTTCAAATGAATATAATCCACCGCTAGTCTTGACAAGATCCATTGATATGCATTGTGGCCTGTGGCAAGAAAATGGCTTTTATAATGCATTGGAGCATTGTGTTTGTATGTGTTTTGAATTTAAATTTAAATTTCTTTTCATTGGAAAGTATGTTTTGAATGTGATATTTTGTTTGGAGTTCAAGGTTTCACAGTCGATTACATAGTGAAAATATGAAAACACAAACCATCACAACCCAAAGTATTCTATAAACTTGTCACATAATATAGTCGAGTATCTAACTACATTGTTACACCTAATACAACAATGAATACGTGTAGATGTGGCTGGATATTTCGTTCTGTTTTGTTTTGTTTTATCCATTTTTTCCCCCGAAATATTTACATTTCATTGGTAATTGGGCCGTTGAATAATGCTCCTACTTTTGCGGCCCATATGAATGGAGTACGGTACTCTTAACTAACATTTATTGCTTACCATGTATTTTTTTTTTAATTTTCTCACCTCAATTTTCACGCCGTCAACACCTCCGCACATTGTAGAAATCGAACACCAAACATAATTGGTGACCTAAAAACCATCAATTGAAAAACATGGAGAACAAAATGGATCTCATCCGTGAGGTCGCAAGCATCGGAATAGAAGTCGATATCTTGTTTGCAGCCTCTCACTGATATCTGGCATCGACACAGGTTGCCAGATATTTAAATTAGATAGAGGAGAATTTTTTACTAAACTGGCCTTTCGAAGAGGTTCTGTTAACCTTTTTCTTTAGATTTAACATGTTTCTTCTATTTTTATGCTATTTGGATATTGCATAGATTGTGTCGGTGTTGTGTACATGTCCTTTTAAACCTGTAGATTTTGATGTTTTTTGCGATTACTGATTTTAGGACATAATTAATGCTGTTTTCACTATGTACCACAGACATACAAGCATGATCAATATATGCCTATTGCCTGTGGTTGTGTATTATAGACATATTCATCCGGTTTTCTTATTTTCTATTTTGCTACTTGCTTTCCTGAAATGTCTAAATCTGTAATAAATCTTGGAAGTTCACTTAGTATGTGCTGATCTATTCATTTTTTTTTCCTGCAGATTTACCTGGCTGGCCTTTGTTGACTCCTCTGAAAGTTCAAATGCAAAAGTGTGAGAAGTGTTCTCGGGAATTTTGTTCCCCAATTAACTACCGGAGACACAGTAGAGTGCATCGAAGATCATTAAATGTCAAAAAGGTCATCATAGCATCTTAGCTCCATTTCCTGAATCAAACTATCAGTAGCTTCAACATATCCAATATGTTACTTCTTGTTTTTGCTGTTATGTGAGGATATTTGGCAACAATATGTTATATTCTCAAATATTGCTTTTTTTTGCTTGCACTGTGTAGGAATCTCGAAAGGATTGGGACTTGCTGGCTGCATATTGGGATAAGGTAGTTAGTTGTCCTGCTATATAGTTGTATTTTCATTTGTTCTTTCTCCATTATACTTCATACTGATAGTGCTGTTGTGAATGTTCAGTTGTCGCTGGAGGAGGCAAAAGAAGTCGTGTCATTTGACAATGTGATGTTAAAGGTATTGCTTGTGTGTGTATATATATATATATAAACATGTAATTATTCTTGAACTTGCACACAGAGACCCTGGAAGAATCAATATCCAATGTTTGAGAAACTAAATTATTCTTATTGGGTGTGTTTAATAAAAAACATGTAATTATTCTTCTTATTCTCGACATTCTCCTTAAGAGGATGTTCAGGGTAGGATTTCTTCTTTGTTTTTTTTTTTTTTCCCAATTCATGTGAATCAAAAACTATCTTTGCCTTATAAGGAGAAATGTTTCTGTAGCAAATTTTAAAATCATTTCCAAAGTATGCTATGCATCTAAATGATATTTATTTTACTCAATTGTTTGTGCCCTGCATTGGTGGTGTTTATTAAATGAAGTTTTGGAAAAGTTTGTGCATGATTAAGGATCGGACCTTCCAAGAGTTTCCAGATTATATAGTGTTCTGTTTGTTATCTTACATCTTTTAGCCGAATGATGTACTATTTGATTTTGCATTTGAATTAAGCAAACTCCACTGTATTCGTCATAAAATGCTGAATCAAGTTTGTTGTTCCCCCCTTTTTATAATCACTTATTTTCTTTAATTCCTTTTCTTTCATAATAAGTGCTTAGTCAAATATTATATATATATATATATATATTGCTCACAGGAAATTCCTGGATCGTCTGTAATAAGGGCATTGGCATCTACTCTTCGTAAGCCCGCAGTTTGGACTCTTCCTCAAGTTTACGTGAGGGCTGGCGCTACACTACTGGTAACGAGGGATCATTGCTCATTCCTGTGAAGTATACGATTGCCTCATCAAATCTATTTACCAGAATCTTCATTTGTTGACAGGATATAATTCAAGCTAAACCGGCCAGATTGCCAATATCCTCGCATGAATTGTTTAGTATCCTTGATGATGCTAGTGAGAAAACATTTTTATGTGCTGGAACAGCCGACTCGGTGCAAAAGTATGTCTTCGATGGAGAAACTGCTAAAAATAGCCTGGAGTTGAAGAATCTAATTGCTACCTGCAGCTTCCTCTTTGAACAACAATTGGTATTCACTTAATTTTTCATTTTTCCTTTTTCAATATCTAAACTAATTACGAGCATCCATGTTCATCTATTGTGGTAAGAAGCAATAGGTAAATGTGTATTGTGAACCTGCGATTTTCTTTTAAAGACCCGAGGTTCGTTTGGAATCTATTATCACTGGAATCAATATTTTCAGTGACACCCTATCTTGTACATGAATCAAGGGGTGGTAATTTGATTGAGAAGTATCTTTTTTAATTGCTTCTGTTCTTTTATTTCGATGCCCTGTTTGGAATAGGTTACGCCTCATTTTAAGCTTCTTCTGTTAAAACCAGGTGAAGGCATGGATAGCTGACAAAGATGCCGAGGCTCTGAGATGTCACAAGCTGCTTGTCGAGGAGGAAGAAGCTGCACAGAAAAGGTTGGTTGCTTTTAGTCTTATAATGTTTTCGAAATTGGTGTCGGTTATCAAGTGGAATGTGGTTATTGTTAAGCTGTACATGGTGTTGTTTTTCTTGTGTAGTGCAATTATGCCCTTTACGTCTTTCACCTTGATTTGTTTCACTATGATACAAATTTCTCATTCGATTTCTTTGTTATTTTGTGTTCCTTACTATTTTATCCTGTTTGGACTTTATTATTTTATGCAATTAGTTTGGCTTTCGATAAAGGCTTCAATCTAACTGTTTATAAACGTTTACTCGTTCGACTTGCTGTCATCATGGCGTGAAACCTGAGATTGTCGAACATAATCCTAGACTCTGCAAATATATATGAATGTATTTGTAGACATTCGTTAGCTTAAAATTCGGTTCAGAGTTTGTTAACATTTTTCGCTATTCAGGACTTTCATGGAAGAGGCTATGTTGATGTGATTTGATCTTTAACAAATTTTCCGGGATGAGTCTATATTCATCGTGTTTATGCTTATTCTGTAATCTTTCCAGGCAAGCCGCAATTTTGGCGAAGAAGAGACAGAAAAAGCTTCTTCAGAAAGAACAGAGAGTGAGGGAGCAATTCGATGCACCGGATCGAGATTCAGACTCAGACGTCGCTGCCGACGCCGCAGCCGATAGGCCAGCTCCACTGGAAGCCTCTATCCCTTCATCTTCCTCCGATTCCAGTTTGCCTTCACCAGATGTCCAAACAAACCCGGATGCCGTCCCCGAATTCGAGCCGCCGCAAACCCAAGAACCGGAAAAAGATATCGAGCCGCAGGTCAGCTCCGCCGTCGAACATTTCAACAATGATGATGCCCGAACCAACGAATACCAGACGGCGGATGCTAAAGGTCCTCGACATCATCCGGCAACGGGTCGCTGGCATGGTCCCAAGAATCAAAAGAGCGGCTGGCATGCAGTTCGTTCGAAACAGAATCATCAATCTTCGAAACCCGACGGTGCGCAAAAATTCAATCCGACGAGCACCCAGAGCACGTCGAACGGGACCAAAGTTTGGACTAAAAAGATCGAACCCGACAGCGATGCCAACGGCTTGAAGCCGCCGCCAGCGCCGGCCGAGAACAGCCGCGGGAAGGATGAAAGCAACTGCGAGGTGCTGATCGGATCTATTCCCGTCACAATCAAAACTTCTCCCGAGCCGCGCAATCGTTCCCCCGATGCAACCGGAGATAATACAAGCGGCGGCGCGGAACTTGCTGTCCCCGGAAAGAAAAAAGCTCCGGAAAAGCTATCCAAGCCGCAGTCCGGCACTCGACAAATGCTTTGGAGGCCCGTCAGTCGCGGCGGCGAAACTAAAAGTCTGCCTGCGCCGGGAAAAGCCGACGACCGAATTGTGTCTACTGAAGCATCCGTGCAGTTGCAATCCACCAAGGACGATGTCGTCGTCGATGCTAATAATCGACCCTCAATCCCCTGCGACGGCAATGGCTCTGGAGCTATCGTCGTCCCGTACTCAAGCAGCGCTGCGCTCGAGTTTCTCGAACAGAGTATGCGTTGTTGCATTTATATTCCATTTGTTCGGTTATTCGTAATTTTTATGACTCGATGGTTTTTGCGCTTTCCAGGGTATAAGGAAGCTCTCGCGTCGGACCACTTGGTGTTGGTCCTCGACCCGTCCGGATCTGATCTGAACCCGACGGGGTATCCTGAGAAAGAAGATGCTGCGGTTCTCGACAATGGGGAGAATCAAGGGGCGGCCAAGTCGAGAAAAAAGCCGGAGAAGAAGTCGAAGATCAAATACGTTCCGAAACAGCAGCGGCGATCGGCGGCGATGGAATGAATGAAGAAACAAGGAGGAGGAGGTAAGAAGTAGTAGTGATAATATGATGATGATTAATGATTCTTTTTGGCTATGGCCATTGTTGATCTTGATCTTGCTTCAGAGGTTCCAGTTTTACCCGGTGGTCTTCTCTCCCTATAATACCTATATCTATATCTATATATATTCAAAAGAAAAAAAATGGAGTCTTGGTTTTAGGACACCCTCGTTTTGGAACGACAAAGCTTCAATATATATATTGTGGTAGCGATGTCGAGGATTTGGATTTCGTATTGAAATATTTGGGATGACTTTGGTTTTCTAAGATTTCTTTCTTGCTTGAGTTTTGCTTGGTTTGGCTTGCCTTTTGTTATTTATGGTATACATCGTTTAGCGTAAGAAGGTTTTAAATTTATTACTTTTACGATTACAAGTTCACTCATCGCATTATTTCCGATTTTTTCTTTTTTATTATTGACAAATTGTGTTTTGACATTTGTTTTTACACTTTATTGTAATCTACAATATAATAATTGTGTGAAAAAATTTTAGGATATTATTTTTAAAATTCTACAATTAATAATATTTTATAAATATATATATATATATTCATAATGATATATCTAACCCAACATTAAGGTTCTGTTTAGATAAGAGTGTTTTGACCTGAGATATCGGAGTTTGAACTCATAATCTCATGTTATGCACTTGAAAGGAGGGACACCCAAAGTAAATAATGAAAACAATAATAATAGCATGAATTTTTGAGTGGCAAGTCTACCATTTAACCCTTGAACAAATTCTAGCATAGATTTATTATTCTTTTATTTATTGATCATTATGTTCAATGATTTGTTACTAGTTAGTTACTTGATTTAATTATAATAAGATATAATTTTATATAGTATTTTGATTCGATAACACTCTTATATTTTGATAAATTTGTCAAAGAATAAAAGCAAACTAGAGTGTACCCAAAATATCAACCAAACGAAGAAGATATTAAGCAAACAAAACTCCCTCTCATTTTTTAACACAGCTGAAGGGAACCCAAAAACAGATTATTCAATTTGTTTCGTGTGATTGAACTCACTTTGATCGATTTTCGGACAGAATCAACCACCAACGCAGCCAAGGAGAAGAGTAAAACTAAATGGGCGGGTCAAGGGTTTACGGGTCGCAAATCCGGGTTAAAAGGGTTGGGTTTCGGGTCGGGGCAAAATATCAACACCACCTGAAGGCATTGGCTCAAAGTCGAAGGGAGGATTTCGTCCACGCCGGAATTTCTCCGACGGCACCGGAAGTGGCGTTCTGGCGTCTCGGCTGCGCAGAATCTTCGGATCCCAATACGAAGGGCTACCGCCGCCGCCTGCTGGGTTCTTACGAAAAGTTTCCGGTGGTAAGATTGATTCATTGATTCGATGAAGAAAGCCGAGCCGAATCCCAGTGGCCGGAGAATTCGACGGTGGTGACGTTGTGCGTGCATGCATTCCGGAAACGATTTCCAGCAATAACGGAAAATTCAGGTGTCGAGGCGAAGACGGTCGCGGAAGAGGGCTCCCAACGGGAGAGACAGGGGCCGATATATTCTCCCGGCCGAGAGTCCGGTGAAGTTCGGCGGACGAAGACGACTTTGGCGGCGACTGATGATACGGTTTCGACGCTTCGAAAGCGCCGCCATGTCTCGTCAAATCGCGGTGGCGAATATCCGCAGCCGAGCCGAAAATCTGCATAGTCGACAACACATTACACGTAACAAGATGATCCGATTCGATATTTCATTCGATAGATTTGAGGGATAAAAAACGCACCTTTGTCGTTTTCGCGTTGTCTGCAGTGCGATGGCGCGCGGGTTTTACTAACGGTAACGATCTTTTCACGAACGGGTGCTCCAAAAGCTGAGATGCCGTCGCCCGATTCAGCGGATCCCATTGTAAGCATCGCTGTAAGAAGTCCTTAGCGTCGTCCGAGAGGTGACTCGGGATCGTCGGGAGTTCTTTATTTTTCGCGACTTTGAACATAGCCAGACCCTAAACCCGGCGAAACGAATTCGTAAATGAAAGCTTCGAGTAGGAAATTTTACGACGGAAATGAAAATGTGATTTACGCACCCCGTCGTACTTGCTCATAGGCGGTCTCGACGTAGCCATTTCGATTACGGTGCAGCCGAGGCTCCATATATCCATATGCAGGTTACAAACGTCGGAATTCATAATCGCCTGTCGAGAAAACAAAAACCATTATACGAACATTCTCCAAAGAATATCGAGCAAAAGAATTAACCGACCTCGGGTGCCATCCAGTACGGACTATCCGTAAGCAACGATATGCGCGGCTGTCGTCTCGTGATCTGTAGAATCTGTCAAAAACATCGGTACTAAAAGCTTATTACAATATAGTAAAAACAAAGAGGCGAACGGATTCGATATATACGACAAAAATTTCACACATACATGTGTTTCGATGCCAAGATTCGTTAGCTTAACTATGCCATTTGGGTCGACGAGTATATTGGCCCCTTTAATATCCCTGCCATTTTTATCGGCACATTGCTTGATCGAAAAAATTTATAAAGAAAAGAATTAAGCATAATGAGAATCCGAAGAAAAATAATCCAACGTACCGGTGTGCAATAGTTTTGGAATGTAAATAAGCAAGTCCGGCTAAAATTTGCCGAGTGTAGCTACGGATGGCTGATTCGCCTAAGTTTCCATATAGCTCCAAAATCTTATGAATGGAACCGCCAGACATGTACTCAGAATAAATATACAAATTATCGCCCAACTGATGAAGAAAAGTGAATTCAACGTCAACGAGAGCTCAACGAAAAACACAAGAAACTAACACACAGTATTATCTTTGCCATTCGACATAGCACGGAAAAATTGTTTCGAGTAATGAAAATTAAAACTCACCGTTTCGGATCCATAATATCGAACAAGATTAGGATGATTGAAGCTACTCAACAGTGCAATCTCCTATTAATATGCAAATGATTAGTGTAATGGCTGCAAAAGAATTATCCACACGACGAATTTGATGCGCGAAAAACTCACTTTTTCTATCGGCTCTGCACGCTGCTTTGTCTTTGCAAACGATAAGTTAACCTCCTTCATGGCACACATTGCGCCTTTTTCACTGAAAACCAACACGACACCGTCTATACCGTCAAGAAAACCTTAAACAAATGGACCGCACCAACATAGCAATCCTCATTGTATTAGAAATTCATTAGAAATCGATGCCTCGTGCAACATAATTGTCAAGCTCGAATAGTGTTACGTAGTGGTCAACTTCTATAATGCTATAGCAGGATAGAGATGACTGCTATTTAATAATTTAAGATATACATATAAAAATTGTAATATACACAAATGATGTAAAAATACATAATCTTAATCTTATAATTATTATCATTCAAATAAAAAAAATTTGCAAAAAATATATAATTGTAGTTCACAGATAGTTATTTAAGGAAAAAGAATCAGATCACAACAACTTCCATAGATAGATAATCAAAGTTAATCGAATTCAAAATTTGATCAATAATTCTTTTTAATTTTCAGCATCCTCGCTGTTAGTCTTGTATGAATGTTCTCTTCTTCATTTTCATTCATTTTTGTTATTATATGTTCATCATATTGCACAATGTTCTTTTTCTTCCCAGGGCTAAAAATAGTTATAAAATACTTCATTTGTCCGCCAAATTTAATCATTTTTTCTTTTTAGTCTGTACTCTCAATTTACTATTCTACTAATTTTGACAAAACAACATTTACTTATTATCCTCTGTTCAACATTTCTTTACACAAAATGTCTCACTACTTTATTACCTTTTCTCTCATTATTTTATTTAATTTCTAGCTAAATTTTCGCAAATACTCCCAACAACCTTTTTATTTTTTTAATAAAATATTCATAATTTTAATATCCATGCCGAAACCAAATGTTCTAAATTTATCTGACGGAGGAAATACTATATAATATAATACTATAAAGTCTACATTTACTAAATATTTGTATTTTCAAATCTAAACATACTTATAATAAAGATTATAATATCCTCCGTCCACTCTAAAGGTCCCAATTAATTTCTCCTTGTTGATATTTGAATATTAATTATTATATAAAAACGTAGTACAAATTAAGGAAAATGACCAAAATACTTAATTAGTGTCTTATAATACTATTATAATGACATTTGTGGAAAAAAAAAATTACACAAATGTAAGAATATTTTTAATGTTAAGTAGATACAAAAGATAAATGAGACCCTTAGAGCCGGACGGAGGGAATAATATATTATTCAATTTAAAAGGCACTCCGCTATGCTGAAAGCCGCTACACTGCTATTGCGTAAAAACGGCGTTGCAGAATAGCAGTAGCTGCGTAGGCTATTAGCACCCTATTGACAACTATGTTGTGCAACAACCATCGGCTCATGCAAATTCACATAATCAAATAGGAAACAAATAGATATATGCTAACAAAGACGCGCACCTATTAAAACCGAGGTACATGTCTCCGAAACTGCAAGTACCAATCAACTTTCCTTTCTTCCAACGAGTACTCCGTTTTATAGAACTTTCTGCTTTCTCGGGAGTACTCGGCACAGAAGGCGATGTTTCAGCTGAATTTCTTCGCGAGGCAGGCGAAGATTTGGAGTTTAATGGAGGAAGTGGCAATGGATGAAGTTCATGGAGTCCATCACCAGGCCAATTTTTTGGTGTAGCAGTAGGACTTTTCAATCTAGGACTAGATTTAGGGCAATCAGAGCAGTCCTTAATGGCGCCATGAAGATGAACTGTAACCTTTGGAACTTCAATCTTCAATGCTCGTTTCCAAAACGGTTTAGAAGACACATTTTTATCAGGCAAGACGTTTTCAACAAGCGACTGACGGTTATCATCATCATCAACAACAACGTTTCTAAACGCAGGTGCAAAAATCAAAATTAGGGTTTATAGTTTATACTACCAGTGCAAATACGAAATCAACCAAAATTGGGAACCAAAACGAGTAACTAGAACATCAAATTGAACGATTGTAAGCCGAATTAACCTAACTCACCTCGCGATTTCATCGTCGTTTCGTTTGCGATTCGCGGTTGACCACTCTGGACTGGAATACGGCGCATCTTCGATCGAGGAATTCAAACCGAAGCTAAAACTGTAGCCAGAGGATTCGGAACTTAGGCTAGGGCTTAGAGATTTGGAATGGAAGAGCTGCCATAGCTGCTCTCTCTTCAACACAGCCGCCACCAGACGCTCCCAATTATCGTAGTTCCTCGACATAACTTGGATTCGCGTCCTCAAGTACTCTCCTCACGCCATGGCCTTCTTCCCCTGCGCAGCAACAACTGAGATCCGAAACAGTCACGCGGAACTCCTTCATTAAACAATGAATTGTTGACGGTGACATCGCTGTGAGCTTCGTTCCTCTTTCCAAATGGAAATGAAACAGAACAACCGTGTATGAAAACTCCGGACCGATAACAATTGAAAGACAACACAATATATTGACTTAGTATTTTAGGGTGTGTTCGTTTAAAGGATTCAGTGGTATTTTTTATATTATATTAAAAATTAATTTTTCATTCAAAACATCACATAAATTCTTATTTTATCGTAATATATAATTATTTAAATTCAAAATTTTTACTATTCAAGTCCCAATCCAAAATCCAATCCCTCAAACAAACACACCTTTTGTAGCATATAAACTCGCAGTCGTTACCCAAAATTATTCGAAATTGCGTAGTTGATAAATCTTGGCTGAACCTAATACCCTGCAGACCCGATAGAGAAATACATATTTTGATTTGAAACTGCGAAAATATATATATATAAAAAAGATTAATATATTTTTAATAATATTTGTGCACTAAATAATATTCACAACTATGATATAACATTTGTATAAAAATTTATGACTCCATTAAATATGATAATTTAGAAATTAAGTATTATAATTAAAAAGAAAAGTCTATATTATTTGAATTATATAATGAGATAAAATGTAAAATATGAATTAAGTATCTTTAATTATTTTTTATTTTAAAATATTATAAAATATTTGAGATCAGTTAAAAATATATATATATATTGTACAGTATTTTAAACTAACGGAATACTCATTTGGTTCCCAAAACAGTTTTAGTGTTTTTATTTTTAATAAAATTTAAAATATTTACTAATAAATATAAATTAAATTAATTATGTTTAACATAATATATATGACCGATTATTTTTTATTTCTATTTTTCAAATAAATAAATATATTTACATGTATCGAAATTTTTTATTTTTTTTATAAAATTAATTTATATAAGTAATTATATACTCCTTATTCATATTATATTAAAATTTTGTTTTCTAATACATATTTTAAAAATAATATATAAAATATTTTTAATTATCACTTTTCATACAAATAATTAAAATATCAAATTACTATTTTACCGTACTTTAACACATATATCAGCTAATCAAATAATTGAGTAAGTAATAGGGTAATTGAATAAGGTAATTGATTAAGGGAACAACATACGTGGGTTTGACTTGGACGCTCCACAAACAGTTGACCTTTGTTGCCTGTAATGATATTTGATGGTATTTTTTATTTATAATTTTTTATATTTTAATTTAATATAATAATATTAAACAATAAAAATTAAATTTAAATATATTTTCAATATATAATGTGGTTTATATTTACATAATAAATAAATATTTGTGTTTAAATAACAAAGAAATGACTAGATGAAATATATTTTTGTTTAGTTATTTTTAAGATTTAAAATACATTTATTGATATTTATGGCAAATTTCCGAAAAATTACCTATACCCCCCAACTGTTTTTATTATTCAATTTGCGGTACAACCCTACATTTACATACACACCCTCTAAAAACTTGCACATATCATTACAAGTTCGTAATTTCCAGAAAAAACAGCAAATGAAACACTGCATATTTCTACCCTCTTACCAGGGCAAGCCCGACGGCGGTGACGACGATCGTCGACGGAACTCCAAACTTGAGGTGGCTCCAGAACGACAGGTTGTAGCTGTAGTGTTTAGCTCGGCGCGCCTGCTCGCACACAATCAGATTAGCCGCTGATCCGAGCAGCGATAAGTTCCCCGCCACCGTGCTCACCCATGCTAGTATCAGCCACGCCTTCTTCTCGCTCGCTGGAGATATTGCCGCCGCCGATGCAGCCACACGAGCACCTAGAAGCAATACTGGAAACAAAAGGGTTCGTTTAGATAGAAGTTTTGAAAGCTTATAGAATTTTGAAAACATTTGGAACTAGTAAAAACTTGACTGCTTTGATGTAAAATTTTACGAGAAAAATATATTTGATATGATATTTTTTAAAAAAATTACTTTCTTCAGTAACATTAAAGCATTTGTGTCCAGTAAGAAAATTTAAAAAAATAAATATTTTATTAAAAAATAATAAAAATAACAAGGTAATTAGGGGTGTTTTTGAAAATTTAGTTAAAAATAAAGAAAATGAAAAAAGAAAATGTAACAAAGTAATGATATTTGTTGTAAATAAGTGTTGAATAGGGAATAATAGTTAAAGATTGATTTGTTGACGTTACAGGAGTAAAGTTGACAAAGAATATTATTGATGAATAATACTAAAATTCTAAAAATATTTATGTAATACATGCGTTATTTCGTCGTCGCCATACCTAATAATGGTACGTTACATAGAAGTTTTGAAAACAAGGAAGGTCATTGTTTTAATAGAGATTTTCAAAGATGTAGAATTTTGAAAACTTTTATAAATAGTAAAAAGGTGGATAGTAATATATAATGTGTTGTGAGAAAAAAAAAACAAAAAAACATATTTAATATGATTTATGTTCTTAAAAAAATATTACTGTTGATAAATAATGTCAGATATTTCGCCATACCTGTTGGTACGTTAGAAGCCAAGTTCGAGAGGACAATTATAACGACGGCTAAAAGTATAGTTCCGGTGACGCGATCTATCTTCGCATAGGGCTCCATCAAATCCCACAACGTGCTCGGGATGCCGGTTTCATTGAAGCCGTCCACCGTGATGAACATGCCGCAAAAGAATATGAGGAGCGAATACGATACCTACACAACGAACGAAACGAGCGTAAGTAAATCATCGAACAACAATTACACTGTCATAACCAAATTAAGTCGACCTTTTCTAAACAAGGCCTCGCGTCTTTAAAATCGAGAACCATAAGCGCGAGCGCAGCTGTGAGAGCCGTCCACGACATGTTAAGGCCCATCAACAACCCGACGAGCATTCCTCCAGTAACAAGATACACGCACGTCTTCCACGCGACGTTGCTCCATTTCTTCGAAAATCGAAGGTTTTCTTTGTCAAGTTCGACCTTATCGAGATGCGCGATCCCGTTCGTAGGCGAAGCCATTTTCGATCCCAAACTTTCTTTCGAAGCTATCGAATTTCGGGCTGATTCGAACCCTACGCTAACATCCTTCTCAATCTCGTCGCCGCCCATCGCTCGTTCGAAACCAAAACTATCCGTCGAATTACCACGGTTTCGTAGCGTCGGCTCCGCATGATTTTCGCAGCCATTGATGCTAGGCGAGCTGTGGATGCTCGTCAATTCCAATGCCCCGTTAATTTCTTGCGAATTCACGTGCGACATCGTCGCAGGCGAAAACTGGTGCGACACAACGTCCTCGTCGCCTACGACCTCGGCGGCGGCGTCCTCTTCATCCTTCCGATCCGACAACAGCTTCCAAAACATGCACAAAAGGATCAAAGCATTGACGAGCACGCCGACGAGCATCGCGGGGAGAATACCGATCAAGAATCCCCCGAAACTAATCTTGCTCTGAACCGCGATCACCAAGTTCTGCGGGTTCCCGATCGGCGTCGCCGACGATCCAATGTTGGCGCTCGACGCCAGCGCCAGCAGAAACGGGTGCGGCGGAAGGTTCTGCTGCCGAGCAATCTTCAAAACGAACTCGGTCAGAACGACACACGATGTGTCGTTGGTGAAAAGCGCGCTGGAGACAGCGGAAATCAGGCATATCCGGCAGAGCAAATCCCGTGGCCCTCGGCTTCTCCATGACAACAATGTACCTAAATATTTGAACATATCGGCGCGTTCTAGATAGACGCTAACAACCATTGTGGCGAAGAGTAGTCCTAGGATGGGAAGATCAATGGCATCGTATGCTTGATCAGGTGTAATAACTTGGAAGACCACCATAAGCATGGCACCGAGCAGCGAACCTGCAGTTCGCCCAATCGGCATAAATGGCACGGCCGGGAACACTGCGAGCACCCAAAAGATCGCAAAAGCTACCGAGCCGAGGACCAGTTTCTCAGTGGAAGCCATAGCCATGTTTAGCAGCTTAGAACAGAGGCCTAAAGGTTGTTCTAAACTACAGTCTTCTCCAAACTACTGAAATTTTGCGAAACTTTCGAAAACTTCAGATCAAATCCATAGCAGCTTAGAACAGAGGCCTAGAGGTTGTTCTAAACTACAGTCTCCAAACTACTGAAAATTTTCGAAAACTTCAGATCATATCCACAACAATGTCGCCCAAATTTGAAATCAAATCCATAGCAGCTTAGAACAGAGGCCTGAAGGTTGTTCAAAACTACAGTCTCCAAACTACAGAAATTTTTAGAAATTTTCAAAAACCTCAGATCAAATCGTACAATGTCGCCCTAATTTGAACTCAAATCAGTTACAAACACAATTCTAATCTGACAAAAATCCCCAAAACATCGAATCAGTACGTATGCGAATTAAGAGCCTAACGAGCAACAAAACAGATACTCCGTACGAAGTTAAACACCAGCATACAAAAATTCTTCGTGAATTTAAGCAAGGAATCGAAGCAATAACACGAAATTGTTTCTCAAATCGGTTTGAATCATGAAATGAGGTAATAAATCGGAGTTTAAAGTAAAATTCATGAACAAAAACAAAGCAACCCTAGAAAAGCTGCATCGATCGAACATAGCATCAGTACAGAAACTGAAATTGATAATCCTGTTTCCGACTGGTAGAATTATAATAAGAGTTACCGAGAAGCAGCCGAGGTGCAGTTTTTGGCGTAAGAATCCTCCCAAAGTCGTTGGAAGTGAAAAGGAGATTTGGCCATGCGTGGATAATTTGGAACCCACAATTAACAACACGGATGGATGGATGAATGAATGTATAAATAATGGAAGAAATGGCGGTTCTGGATGCGATCTGGCGACGGGGTTTCGAAGAGAAGACACGTCATGGATGATGCGATGATGGAACATGTGATTGACTGTGGAACTTGAATGCGATCATCTTTGTCTTCAAATGGGTGTGAATCGGAGGTTGGTGTTGACTTCAGTTTTTTATTTAATTTTTAATATAAATAATGATTGTTGAATATATATATATATACTAATATACACACATTTATCAATATTATATATAAAAAACATAAGTATAATTTATTTTTTTCGCTTTAATTTAATGTATTTTTAAAAATTCTATTCTCTCAATACAACAGCGTGGTTTATCATTTTTCTCCGTTCCAAAATAATAGTCTCATTTTCATAAATAATCATATCATTGTAAAATTATTTTTACTTTTTTATTATTATTATACAATTGTTACTATTTTTTACACTAATATACTCACAATGGCAAAAAAATCTTTTACCCGTACTTTTTACCATTACCGATATAATATCAATATTTCTTAATCTTGTGTCAAACACAACCTAAACTATAGTTTTGGGATAGAAGGAATATAATTTTTACTCATTTCCCACTTATAGTGTTCATATTCTCGTTTTTCTACATATCTTATGTTACTTTTTTTTTATTATTTTATTTTAAATTTTTTAATTTATAAATATTTTTATTTTAATTTGACTAATTAGATATTTTAATCTTAATATATAATTATTTATATTATATGATAATTATTTTTACTAATATATTTTTAATTATTTATTAATTATACTTATCTTAATTTCACATGTCCACGATAACCCGAACATACTAGGTGGGACGAAGGGAATAATATATTTTTTTAAGATATGAGAATAATGCACTATTATTTTTCAAATGTATTCTGAGTAAATTCGTGTAAATTAGATCCACAAAACAATTAAGGGAACTATGTGCGATACTTATGACATCACGGTCACGAGTCTACACTACACCATCAGACCATCTTTTACTGAACCAAAAAAAAGTACTCCAGTGAAACATTTGGTTTTCGACACAAAAATTTAGGTGGATAGTATTAATTGAAATAATTCAAAATTAAATAATGTGATGATAAATAAATAAATATTTATTTATTTTTATTTGAGTAACGTGATAAGTAAAAGATATAGTTAATTATTTTTTATTTTGTAAATATTGCATCATATGCTAGACAGACTAATAAAAATTATTGCAGGATATGTGGGACTGAGGAGCAATTTTTTATTAGTTTTTTTTTTTTATGACGTAAACCTGCGGCCGCTACCCGAAAATGAGTGCGCACTAGATGAACTTTCAGCCGAATTTAATACAAATTAGGTCCGACAATGCAAGTAATGATATATAAATTGAAAGTATGTAAAATTGTTTGATATTTTTACTGTGTATTTTATATATAAATCAATTATATGTATAATGATATATTTAAAATTTATATATTATATTTGTCCCAATTGAAAATTATATTTTTATCATTTTTTGTTTATTTTATTAAAAAAATTACTTCTTATTATAGTAAAAATAATCACACTAATATTAAAATATATATAATTTTTACTCAAATTATAAATATATAATAATATATAATTATTTTTATTTCAATAAAAATAAATATTTTTCAATGGAATAAATAAAAATAGTAACAAAAAAATATTTTTAATAATATATTTTTAATTATCTATTAATCACACTTTTTTTTATTATTCGTTGTGATACTATATTTCATAACGGGGAATAATAACAAAGAAAGCATTCTTAGTTTTTTATTTATTATTATTATTATTATTTTTCATTCAAGAAAACCCAAATTTAATATATTAAGAAATATCCAAAATACACATGTAAGACATATGTGTTTGCTTAGGGCATTTTAGTTGAATTTTATAATTTATTAATATTTTTCAAAAATTATCAAATTAAATATTTATTTTTTATTTATTTATGTTATATTCTCTTTGTCCGACTTAATTTGTTAATTATTTCTATTTTCATCAGTTCCACATAATGTCATTTTTTTTAAAGATAATTATACAATTTACTCACATTTTTAAAATTAATAATTTATAATTTTTAAACTATTTAGTCATTTTAGTATTAATGTATACTACTTATTTATATTAAATTATAATTATTTTTACTAATATATTTTAAAATTACTTACTAATTATCTCAAATCTAAAACTTTGTAACCTAAAGGGGACAATTTTAAATGGGTCGGAAGGAGCATTGGATATCAATTTTACATTCAAATCATTATAGTTGATATAACAATTATTTAAAATCAATTTTTTTATTATTTAAAATAAAAATCCAAAATTCAAACAGCCGACCAAACATACTCTTGTTTAGTTGTAAATAAGTTCCCTATGATTGTAGCTCATTTATTAAATAATTAAGTTGAAAAAACTTGTCCAGCCTCAAATTCAACTTTTAAATCAAATCAGTTTAATCAATACGAATATAGTAATACAATTAAAATAATTATTTACTTGTATTAACAAACATCATTGAGTTAAGTTTTATACAATCATTGATGAAGGTTCTATCTTAAACTTTTATTTAATCTATTGCAATGTATTTATATATGGGAAAAAAATCAATTTTTGTCACAATATAATTAAAATCCATCAATTTTGGTCTCAATATAAAAATCTTATCAATTTTGGTCTAAATATAACAAAAACTCATCATTTTTGTTTCAATATAACCAAAACTCATCATTTTTGTCTCAATATAAAATTTTTATCGATTTTAGTCCCAATATAACCAAAATTCATTATTTTTTGTTACAATATAATCAAACCTTATCTTTTTGGGTCTCACCGTCAACAAACCGACGGAAAATGCTGACGTGAAAAGAAATCAAACCTTATATTTATATTTGAAGAAATTGCACTATCTTGCAAGTCCACGTTAGTATTTTACGTCGGTTTATTGATGGTTGGACAAAAAAAGATAAGGTTTGATTATATTGAAACAAAAAATGATAAGTTTTGGTTATATTAGGACTAAAATTGAAAAAAAAATATATATTTGAACAAAAAATGATGAATTTTGATTATATTGGAACAAAAAATGATGAGTTTTAGTTATATTGAGACCAAAATTGATAAGATTTTTATATTGGGACCAAAATTGATAAATTTTGTTTATATTTGGACAAAAAATGATTGTTTTCCATATATATATATAAACAAAATTTCAATTCTTAATACTTCACTTCAATCAATTATTAATAATTACGTAATCTTAAGTTGACTAAGATAATAATCTAATAAGTCGATTTAACATCTAATAAATAATTATAATAATACATTAATACTAAAAAAAAATCTTTTAAATAAATGAAAAATAAATAATTAATAAAAGTCAGAGCGGATGCAAAAGTCCTACCAGAAATTAAAGACTAAACGCATGTTTGGCTGCTTTTTTATTATTATTATTATTATCATTATTTATTTTCAATTTTTTTTGGAACGTAATTATAAACTATATATATATGAAAAATATATTATTTTATTTATCAGAACATGATATCTAAAATTTTATTAAAAGAAAATTTTTAAGTGAAAATTACTAAACAATTTGTTTAGAATCTGTATGATATTTTCATAATAGGTTGATGTAATATTTGTAGGAGATAATAATATATTTTTATTCGAACAATATGTACCGTGAAACATGAAAACTAAAAACAAACATAACATATGCACAAAGGCAGATGTATGTGGGGGCAAAGGGGCTCCAGCTCACGTCCCTCCACCTCACCCCTTTTAATTTTTAATTTTTATTTTATAATATATAATATAAAAAACAATAAATAAATTTAAAAAAATTGTTAAAAATTGATAGAGTATTTATGTGAAAATTTAAATTTTGAATAACAAAAAAATTTATATCATAATACTCGTTTGATGGTATAAAAATAGATATGAACAAAACAGTAATAAACAATAATTAAAAAAAAAAAATCTTCAAAAAATTTTCAAACAAATACATAGGAGATGATATTTTTAAGAGCTATTTTTTTTAATAAATGTTTTTACTATTTATCAATTTCATATAATACAAAATTCATCTGGTAATATGCAGTTGTCACTGCAGATTGATATTTTGCAAGATTTTCGAAATATGATAATTTTTGATAAAATTATTGGATAACAAATAGATGATTGTTTTGAAATTTGAAAAATTAGTCCCCCTTCTCATCTCGGTTTGGTTCCGCCTCTGCATATGCACTCGGGTTGTTGAGTTTTGGATAAAAAACTAATACCCAAAATAAATAAATTTGTAGTGAAATGATGCAAAGTATTTGCATGTACATCGAATTGTATCAATCGCAAATTTTATACATGGCATGTACATTATTGTTATTTATAGTTGACAATGTATAGTTTGAGTATAATGTAAATATGCAGAATATTAAATTCGGTCGAGAGTATATCCAGTATGCACTTTCGATTAGCGGATGCGGTTCCTACATCATAAGAAAAAAAAAAAAAAAACTAGAAACAGACTTGTAAGAGATAACCCAGTTGTATAATTGTAAACTCACAGGTTCATTAGAATATGTGATAAATGTTTTTCTAATTATGTGTATTTGATTTGATATAATTGAAAGAAAAAACAATTATGTGAAATTAAAAGGATAAATAATCAATATATTTTTTATATATATATACAATTATTGATGAAATAACCAACAAGAAATAATCAAATACTTCCTCCGTCCGCAATAAGGGTGGCGTTTGCTTTTAAATATTAGTATTATATTGTATTATAGTAAAAAAGATAAAAAATACTCCTATTAGTATGGTGTAATATAAAAGTAATGTCATTTGTTTAATATATTGTAAATTGAAAAAATATTTATTATATGAAGTATGTAATACAATTACTAAATTAGTAAAATAGTAATTTTATTTTGGGACGAACGAAAATGAAAAATAGTACCATTTGAATGAGAGGAAGGGAGTATAATTTTCATTACTTCAAATGAAGCTTTTAAAAAACATGACACAGTAACATATAGATAAAGTACAACAAGCTTAATTAAAATAATTAAATGCACTCATTAAAACAATATTAAACTCCACATGCAATAATTAAAACCAAACACATAAAATAGTACTATTTAATAATTTCAACGAGGAAATTAACGATGTAAGGTAAAATAAATTTACTGCAATAATTCAAGCATCCATGAACAGGAACTCCTTGTCCTTCTCCAGGAGCTCCATGGCCTTCGGGTCCAGGCTAATCTCCACGTCTATGCTCCGCCCGCCGGTCTTCCCCGGATAAAGATAAACCATCCCATCGAACCGGTTGTTCGAACCGCTCCGGACCGTTTCCGGCGGGCCGAACCCGAAATCGACGTCGTACACCTTGAACCGGGGCGAGCTGCCGACAGCGACGCAGTTGACGCCGGCGTCCTTGTACTGGAAAATGATCGGGTTTTTCTCCCACTCCTCGTTCCGTTTAGTGATCGCCGCCGAGTCGTGTGACTCGATGGCGGACCGGATCAGACCGGCGGCGAACTCGGCCGGGTTGGAGAGGACCAGACCGGCGGCGGTGACGGTGAAGATCGCCTGAATCAGGTTTCCGAAGTAGGTTTCCGGCATCGGCGGGTCGACTCTTTTCCGGCAGTCGGCGAAGACGGTGAACACCGTGTACTCCTCGGCGGCGAGGCGGCGGGCGCGGCTGACGGCCTGCCAGATGTGCGCCGACAGCGACTGGAACGTCGAGAACGGCTTCGAATCGCCGGCGGCGGCCGCGGCGGAGTTGAGCTTTGACTTGATCTGGTCGACGGCGGACTCCGGGAACTTGAAGACCTTCTCCCGCAGCGCCGGCGGCGCAGCGTCGCCGTTGGATTCGGTTGATGCTGAGTTGGCGTGCTCTGGAGCGTCCGATGGCTTTGAGAGATTGAGCTTGACTCGGGTGTTGCGCGCCTTGGTGCGCTCGAGAAATGGAGGGACGGAAATGGAGTGGGCCCCACGGCACAGCTCAGCCCATGAGGTCATGAAGTGCCACGTGGCGGTTCCATCGAGTACAGCGTGGTTGAAGGCACACCCGATCGCTACCCCATCCTTTAATTTAGTGAGCTGGCAGGGATAATAAAAATAATATTATTATTAATTAATAATGTGGGGCTCAGTATTAAATAACCACCAAACATACAATAAAATCCATTTATGTATAATTTTGGTTGGGTTGTTGGGTTCAATTAATTGCACCAATTTCTCAAATGAATATTGAACTAAGTATTTTGCTTATATTTACAAATTGACAGTAAAATTTTATCTCTAATAAAAATTATATTTAAAATAATCATACACTCCCTTGTTCTAACATAAGTAATACATTTGTTTGTCCGACCCAATTATATCCTGACACGTGTCCGTATATATATAGCAGCCCTAGCACAACTCAAATTTTGCATACCATACCTATCCTACGGGCTACAATGTTAGAACTTAGAACATCGTATTATGCAATTTAAATCTATAGTACATAAGTATATAATTAGATTCAATGTATTTAGATTTTATTCAAAATAGTCTTCTCGTTCAGCAAATTATGTATGTTATGTTGGATAAGGAAATTAAAAAATAATAATATCTTAATATTAAAATAAGATAAAAAAATAAAATACAATGAGAGTATTATAAATTTTTTTATTAAAAATTAATAAAAAAAATAATAGGATAAGTAAACAAAATAGCAAATTGATTGTATTTATTATAATAAAAGTAATAAAATTGTGAGTGAATCAAATTAATTATTATAAATAAATAATTATATAATTTCAATAGATGGTCTAAAATTCAATAAGTCTTGCTTTATTTAATTTGGTATTTTTATAATAAAATACAAATATTTTATATGATATTTTATTTTAAAAAACTACTAGTAACAAATATTATCAATTTTCTTTTTTTAAAAAATATCCATATGAATATAACATTTGTTTTAAATTTAAAACAAGTCTTGCATTTTCTTGACTCTAAACATTGAGGTTTTCAAAATGGATTCTATTATTACTTCCGTCCTTCAAATATATTTTTATTATTATTTTTTTATATGTTAAATTTAATTCATTACTAGTTTTAATAAAGTCAAATTTTTAACATTTAATCATTATTTTTTACTATTTAATATTTATTTGTTACGGTTGGCACTGTCTTTGTTACATTATTCTATCATCGTTATTAAATATTAACTAAATTTTTAAAAATACTCTTATTTTTAATAATTACAATGTCGGATCCAAACATTTCAATTTTATCGAATGGAAAAAGTATTGATTACATTTTTATTAAAAAAGAATATTTTAAATCTATTTTACCTTTTTTATTGTGTTTCTAAATACTTTCTCTGTCATATAATAATGTATTCATTTGTTTTTAAGTCATTCCAGTTAACATTGAATATAATTTTATATTTATATTATATATAATATTAAAAAAGATATTTTTATTTTTTTTCCTCAAGACTTATACTACATATGAATATTAATATTAATATTTAAAATTTTACTAACAAAAAATAAATGGATATTTAAGTAAGGGACATAACTAATAGTTTATTCTGCATTATTTATTAATTATTTTTATAAATAATATAATTAAGTACTCATTTTAAAATTTAAAATATTAGATTATTTTTTAAAAAAAATAAAAAATCTAAAACATTACACATTTGTAAATATTAAACAATGCAATTGTTTATACAAATATTATTATTCACTCAATCCTAGCAAAGTAATTTCACTTTTCATAAAGTTATGCCAAAAGTCTATTTACATTTATATTATATGCTGTCACCGTCTAATTACTCTTTCATATTTTACCCTTTACACCATTTACCTTAAAAAGAGCATTTGAGATTTTTTTTCATTTTATCAAATTTTATTTAAATAATATAATACTATTTCCGACCGGCTCTAAGAGCCACGTTTATTTTTTTGCGTATTAATTAATATTAATTATTATATCCAAATATAGTATAAATGAATAAAAATTTTAAAAAATATTTCTATTAATATCTTATAATACAAATAAAAAGATGTTATATAAATATAAAAATAATTAATATTAAATATAATAACGCAAAAAAATAATTAAAAACAGACTAAAATAAATATTATTTTTTTAAATTTATCATAAATTTCTTTTAAGTCAATTCAAGTGAATAAAAATATTATTATTTTTTTAAATTTATCATAAATTTCTTTTAAGTCAATTCAAGTGAATAAAAATATTATTATTTTTTTAATAAAATACTACTAATTACATTAAAAATATTATTTAAAATATTAAGTATGTTTTGGGTCGTCAACCAACAGGACTAACGTTGACGAGAATGTAATAAGAATGTCCGTGTAGATACAAATATATATATTTATATATTATGTGTGTCATTGAAATATATGCTCACACTTTTTTTTTTATTGTGATAAAAAAAAATACTTTTGTTTTATTTAAAAAAAAAAAATTATATTTTGTATTTTGTTTTTCAAAAAAATAATTATTATTTATTTTTATTAAAATTGATATCCTATCAAATGAATGCTTATTTGCATGAAAGAGGAAGTATATATATAGATACATAAATATGTATCTATATGCGTATGTGTGTACCTGGACAGCTAGCAAAGGGCGGTGGAGGCCTTCCAAATTAAGAACGCCGTTGTACGGCAGGAGCTCCTTCAGCTTCAAAGTCCCTTCCTCCGCCGCGACCTCGCCGACGGCGACCTCCTCCGCCGCCGCCGTGACGATCTCCGCCCCCTCCATATCGTCATCATACGCCACCCTGAAAACCCCCTCCTCGTCCTTCTCCAGCCTCCCTGCCAGCTGGTAAAACTCCTCCAGCGCCGCCGCCAGCCCCTCCTTCAGCCGCCCCACGACGCCGTCGAAGCCGCCGCCGGCGACATCCTCTGCCGCGTACACCAGAAGCTTCTGGTTGTAGAAGAACGCCAAATAAGGCAGATCGAAGGTCACCAGCTGGCACTCCCGTCGCCCCGCCGCCGCCGCCGCCTTCCCCGGCTTCACATAAGCCGTATCGAGTGTCTTAACGCCGCCGCCGCCCATCGCCGCCGCCGCTTGTAAGGTCGTCGGAATGTTGAAAGTAATGTGAGTGAGGGTTGGTTCAGGCAGGGGATGATAGCGTATTTATAAGACAATTGGATTATGGGTTAGTGGTAGTTGGATGGGCATTTAAAGTTCTTTTATTTATTTAATTTTATTATTTATTTAGAAGGTAAGATTTAAAAATTTTTTATTAAAATTTATAATATAATACTTCATCTATTTCATATATTGTATAATATTTTCTATTGTGGCATATTTTACATATATTTTGTACTATTTCTAAAATTTAAAATAATTAATTATATTTTATCTGCCAAATAAATAAATATATATATTTTTTTCATATTACATTATTTAATTTTTAATTTATTCTATTTAATATTCATTTCATTTTAAAGTAATAATCTCATTTTGCTATATTCGTCCGTTCTAAAACAATACTTTCATTTGCTAACTAATAATTTACATTTTTCACAAAGCTATCTCTCATTTTTTCATAATAATTACATAAAGCAGAGACATTTTGGTCTTTTAAAAATATTTTTACCACTGCTATTAATAAAATAACTTTTATTTCTTAATTTTCGTGTTCATCCAAATAGATCAATTATTTTGGAACAGAGTAAGTAGTATTTAGTTAAATTATCATTCTTTATTTTACTAATGATCTTACTAAACACAACCGTGTAATTAATTTTCCATTTTTACACAATTTTACTTTTTTAATATATTCTCCTATCCGTCAATTTTATACTCAATTAAGTAAAATAATGACAGACAGGTAAAGTAATAAAGTATAATTTTCTTCAATATATTGCAATTTTTTTTTTTAATATTACTCAGATAGAATGTAGATAATATTAAATACTTAATTTTTTTATTATTACTTTTTCAAATTTCTCCAATATTAAAAAAATATATATTAATTTCTTATTTAAACAAAACGTTATTTACTATTAATTAAATAATTAATTAATTTTTATGGATGGGCATTTAATTTAGGGTTGGGAAAAGTGGTGTGTAGTTGAAGGAAGGGAAGGGAGCATTAAATTGGTAATTTGGGAGTGCGTGATTTTGTTGGGGGTTGAGAAAAGAAAAAATAGCTTCTATTTTTCAAACATAATTATAAATTTAATAAAGTCGGATTACGTTCAGACCTAATTTGGGTGTTATTTTAACGTAGGTCGTTTCATTCATTACCTGCAGTCGAACCTAATATCTTGCAAATTAAGTTGGACAAAAAAGTCACACTAAGCGAACTATGTGAGGCATGTGACCTGAGGCGTCGGAGGGTTTGAACTCTTGGCCATACGGTCACAAGTACAACTCCTACACCATCGGGTTATTCCTTACGGGATGACTTGTTTTATTATACTTAATTTGCATTCTATTAAGTTCAATTGAAGATTCAGACCTCCAAAAATTAACAACTGTAAATTTCCATATTATAAAAAAAATTGAGTTATGAACCTTAAATTTGAACTAGACTTAATTTGTTTGTCACTTTGCTAAACTGTATAAGATTTCATTACCCAATTAGTGAACGGGGTCCAGGGCAACACCCTAGCTTGGGGATCCCGGGGCGTCGTGGCCCCCTAAACCAGACGGCATGAGCTAGGTCATAATTTATATTTTACTGTTTGACCTATTTTGGATCTGGTGCTAGAGTTTGATTTACTCTTTTATATATATATATATATATATTTGATGTTCAAAGACGTAGATCATTCCGATTGAACAAAATCATCAAATTTTTATGTTATCGTGTGTGTGTGTTTTTTTTTTTTTCCGCAACAAAAATTATGTCAATATATATATTTATTATTGTCCACTAAACTTATGCACAATCTATTTATATTAAACAATTTTATTCATCAATAATTTTTATTATTTCTCTTGCTTTAACAAATAGTCAATTTGTTACTAATTTTTGTACGTAGTTAATTATTTTTTCAATTTTTTTTTTTTTTTTTTTTTTTTGGTTGTGGTTAACAAAGATTTAAGACTCCATCCTAAACATAATATCAAGCCATGAATACTCTATTGAGAAAAATATTGGGAACTCTCTTGAATATAATGTTGCCTATTGATTTTAGGATGAAGCCCTAAGTCATTTTCTTAACATTTACTTATTTTATTTTATAATTAAAATATATTATATTTTAATTTTCATATCCAATCAAATCAAATCTACATAATTTTACTCAGAAGGAGAAAATAATATATAAATTAGAACAAAATGCATTGCTATATTTGTTTGTGGGTTTAATTATAATTCAAAATTTAGTATTCATTATTGATTAGAATATCAAATTACATATTTATTTTTTATATTAAACTAACAATTAATTTTAAATTAAAAAAATTAATTCGATGCTTATTTATATCATATTAAATTACTATTTTAATTTGAATTTTTATAAAAATTATATAGCATCATTTTCTTTGAAAACCATCACATTCATACTAATTAAAAAGAGAACTCCAAAAAAATTACTTATTTTTATCTTTCATATCTTTTAATTAAAATAATAATTAAATATAATATTTTAAATGAAACATATGTTTACTAATAATAACAAATTTGTTTGTAATATTTTGCATAAAAAAATTAATATATATATTTTTTTATGATGTGGGAATTTGTACCTGTACTTTTCTAATGTGATACAAGTAAACTTCAATCCAAAAAATTAATATATTTCTATAAAAAAAAGAATAATGTACATAAGAAATGAAACAAAAAATAGTCATTTATGGTTTGTTATTTTGTATTTTTGAATAAATATATATATTTTTTTATGTTTAATATGATTAAAAAAATTGAATATGATCCCAATACGTAGGGAGTAATTTTTTTCAAAAATATCAAAATTGAAAATACTAAAAGAAATAAATAAATCACATTTAAGGGTGTGTTTGTTACAGTAAAACCCTACTCATGAAACCCAACTATCATTATTGATTAATATATCCTCTCTATATATGTGGATGAAATATAATATTTTAAATAAAAATAATTATCAAATATTATATTATAAAGTATACTAAAACAATCAGTAATACTCCCATGTCTATAATATGGATGTATTAGTGTAGATACGAGAATTTAGGTAAAGTATAATTAGTAAGTAATTAAGAAATATATTAGTAAAAATAATTATTATTTAGTAAAAATAATTATAGATTAAGATTAAGATAAGTAAATAGTTTAATTAAAATTTAAAAAATTATATAATTTAAAATTTCAAATGCGATTAAAGTGCATAATTATATTTCCAAAAATAAAAAAGATAAATTACTTGAGACGAACGAAAATAAAAAATTATGAACAAATTATGTGGGACGGAGGTTGTAATAAAAACACAATTTTCAACAACGCACAGACACAACATTTATTGAGGTTGTAAAATGTTATGGGATCGGAATGAGACCTAAATTTGCGGTGGAAATAAAAAATGCTGTCCTAATATAAGATTGTTGTTGTTGGACAATTATTATTATTTATTTATTATTTATTATTATTATTACATTATTATTATTATTATTATTGTTGTAGCTCTGACCATACATACAGACGCCTCCTTTTATTTATGAGCTTGCAATTTCAGATCTGATTTTACCGACGGATGAGGATGAGGTCAGTGTGGATTTTTCACCCATTCTGTATTATTTTTAATTTTCTATAAAAGTATTAAATTTAAATATATTTTTAGTTTTTATAATATTATATTAAAATTTAATTTAATTTTTAAGATATCGTACTTATTTAAATTATATCGAAAATATTTATTTTAATTTAAAATATTATATTCAAAATATCATGCAATACATTCCTTTATCAGACTTTTGCGTTACAATTTAATAAATTTTTATTACAATATAAAAGAGAAACTATAATTATTTTTTGTGCATTTTTATAGGTTGAAAATATTTAATTATATTATCGTTTGTAATGCTTCTAATAAAATTAAATAAAAATAAAAAGAAATTAGATTTTGGATAAAAAAATTAATATATTATATAATTATTTAAATTCTTGGTTTTTAATTTTTTTTCTAAATAATTATAAAAAAAAAAAACATATAAATATAATTTGCTATTTGAGTATTTGAATTAATATATATTATATATATTGTGTTAAAATATTATTATATTTTTTAATAATATTTATAGAATTCTTGCTGTATGACAATACCGTGTGTTCTATTGTAACTCTTTATTATTTATAAATTTTGTTTTAAATATATCTTTTATACATTAAAAAGTATAAATGGAACTATTATTTAGCTCAAAATTCTACGATACAACACACCACTGTTCAAACGAACATACCAAAATATAACTAAATACAACCACAGAAAATCTGTAAGTACATATTGGGCTACCCGGACCGGCCCAATATAGTTTAAACCGTTATTTCAGAGTTCTTTTTATTTTCCATAAAATTTAAATTTATAACTAAAGTTTTTCTTTTTTTTTATTTTGATCTTGGTTTATAATAGATTTTAAATATAAATATAAATAAAAATAAAAATGATATATTTATCCTAATTTTTAACATTTGGAAAGAAAAAAACAAATAAATAGAAGTAAGCATAGAGAAAAGAGGAGGTCAGTTCCTCTAGAAATCATCGCCATCATAGCCTAAATCGTCCTCCACACGATCTGCCACGTCATCAGCAATCTTGTCCTCGAGTGCATCTACACCCTCCGCTATTGCGAGTCCACCCAAAGCCCCTGCGACCGCACCCACAGCCAATCCCGCCCCCATCCCACCAAATTTACTCTTTTTCTTATCCTCCACGTAACCGGTCTGCCCGTAGTAACCGGTCTGCCCGTAGCTCGGCTGCCCGTAGGGCGGTGGAGCGGCCGATCCGTACGCCGGATAGGCCGAGGGAGGCGGCGCGGAACCGTAGGCAGAGTACGCCGACGGAGGCGGCGCCGATCCGTAAGGAGGATATCCGGACGGCGGAGGCGCGGCGCCGTAGGGGTAACCCGACGGCGGCGCGGCGTAAGGAGCGTAGGGGTTTCCGTACGGCGGCGGAGGGGGGTAATCTCTGGTTCCCGGCGGCGGAACGCCGTAAGGCGGCGCGTAAGGATCCGGCGCAGGGTAGCGCGGCTCGCGCACGGTAACTTCGATTTCTAATTTGCCGTGGGGGCGGCCGGAGGGGCGCTTAAGGTCGAGTTTCTTCTCCGATCGGTTTCCGATTCCAACGTCGCGGAGGGGGAGCCTGGCGGATCCGATGAGCGGTTTGGTGTCGTCGGCGGCGTCGGCGTGGACGATGTCGATGTGGAGCGTGGCGTCGTCGACGGAGGAGGTGAGAGGAATTGTGAGTTTATCGTTCCAGCGGGGGGAAGTGTCGCCGTCGTCGTCGACGCGTGTGGAGCACTTGTTCTTCGGATCGATCCAGACGACGGCGTAGGGCTTGAGCTTGCCGTGGCGCCAATTGACGTTTTTGAGATCGGTGGCGCCGGCGATGGTGACCTCGACCTCATGGCGGAACGCCATTTTTGTTGTTTGTTTTGAGAGAAAAGCAGTATCTAGAAATGGGCTGCGCTACTGCGTGGAGTGTGGTTTTTCTGGGGCTTTTATAGGTCGGAGAAGGAGAGTGAGGTCGAGAAGGTAGAGGAGGGTTCTCGCGTTGTATGGATTTACGATTCTACCCTTCTTATTTATGTGAAAAATTTGATAATATTATTGATTTTTCGTTTTCTAATGGTTCTTTGTAAATTATTAAAATCAATATTTTAAATATATATTAAATTATTATTTCGTTAAGATACAAGGCATATAACATACAAAATGATATATATCACAACATCTATGATGTTTTTATATATCATACTGTATTGTATATATATATTTATTATAATAAAAATTAATAATATATTACATTGACTATTGTATTATCACGTGCTGTTAAAATTTAAACGATATAATTATCGTATATTATTGCATTTGTGCGGATTATTATATATATATATATATATGCTGACTTGATCAAAATCTAAAATAATCAAAGAGTGGGTGTTCATACTAATAACTTTTTTGCTTACATGCTTTTAAATATACATAAAATTTGTACTTTCACTATTCACAAAATCAAAATTTTATAGTGTGACTGGGTGGTCATGGATTCAAATCCCTAATGCCTTAGGTCACTTGCCACACATAATTCGTCTAGTGTGACTTGTCTATCATGTCTAATTTGCAGGATATTAGGTTTAACCGTGAGTGTACTTTCGTGTAGCGACTGCGGGTCTATGTCATCAAAAAATAAAAAAATTCTACTCCCTCCGTCCCATAACAAAGTATCAATTTTTCCATTTTAGTCCGTCCCATAACAAAGTATTCATTTTCCTTTTTAGTAACTGTACTACCTACCTAACATTACAAATACCCTTACAACTTACAATATACTATTACACAAATTACCTTTATATCACACCTACTAACAAAATTATTTTAGTCATTTCTATTTTATTTCTATATCACAATATAATACTAATATTTTTAAAACTCCTTGCAAAAAACAAATGGATACTTCTTTTTGGGACGGAGGGAGTATATTAATAATATCGCTCTTTATTCCTAGAGTAAAATAACATATCCAAAATTACAATTTTAAACAAACACTACTTGATAGTGTAATTTTTATTGATTTAGGAGCATTACATTTCATATTAGTTCTATTTTAAAATTAAAAGAAAAATACTATTTACAATTAGAATTAGAAAAACACATTATCCACAAAAATTTCAAGAAAGGGCATATTGGTAAATTGACGTGCACGTGGAGGCGCGTGATTGGATGTGCCGCGTGGGTATTGTCCCAATACACTGTAAATTCGTTCCTTAACAAAGAAGTCACTGTCGATATAACCGAATATGCTATGGGTAAGGTTTTCAATACGCGGGCGGCACGCGTGTTGGGCCGGGCCTCACTATAATTGGGCCACAAAAGCCCGTACTAAATATTTACATAGGACCATTAAGGCCCAATCAGGCCCATAAATAAAAATGCGAGAAATTTCATCCAATGTCTAAACCTCTGCAAACCCTCGGCACGTTCGTCTCTTCGCAGTCTGCGCTCTACAATGCTTTCTCGCTTAATCTCCAAATCGTCTCAATTTCATCGCCTGTTAGCTGTAATTCCTTCTAAATCTTGTTTGCTGGCTTCGAAACCGATCAATTTGAGCCCCATTTTGTCGAATCCGGTGGATTATTTCGCCCCTAAGGTTTCGCATTTCGCGTATTTTTCGACAAAAAGGGGGAGGGGAGGGTCTGGCGATGATTCAGCTAATTCGACTACCGATTTGTGGAAACTTTCATCAGAGGCTGACGACCAGGATGAGGAATCTGTGTTTCCGTCGGACTCTGCAAGCCTCGAAGGACTTGAGGATGTAGACGGCGAGTTATTTCAGAATGGCGATGGTAAGGAGGGTGAAATTGCACCCGAGGTTGAAGGTAAGGACATGAATTTAGTGAGTAGCGATGTTTCCACTCCGGCGGAAGCAAATAGCGGCGGCGGGTTTGAGGACTGGGGGACGCATGAGGATTTTAAAGCTTGGGATTTCGCGGCGGAGGGGAAAGAAGCTGCGGAGGATGTGTTTGGCGTTGAAGGAGAGATTGGGGAAACCGATTTCGGTGGTTTGGCGGATGAATCTGGGGACAGCGTTGGAAACGAAAAGAGTGAGCAGCAGAAGGAGCTTGAATCGGAGGCTAAAGCCTTGACAGAAGTTATCAAAGGTTTGTTGTTGAAGAATGATTTTGAATACAGTTCTTTTTCACATTTGGAAATTCATTCTGTTTTTTGTTGAAATTGTGTGTTCATTTGTTCGTTTTAGCGTTATTTTGTTGCTGGTTGATGGTAGATGATGTTGGATTTGAGGTGGAAATGGTAAGAGATATCACTTGATTTGAATATGCTGTTTTGAGTGGAAAATATGCATTGAATGTTATTATTTTAGGTGGAAGAACATTTTATTGTAGATTGCAAAATGCTAATAAGCAAATACATTTGACCTCAATATGTCCACTTTTCGATTCTTGGGTATTGATGTATTGCTCGATAGGTTTGGATGCTAAGGTAATCTTGGGTATTGATGTATTGCTCGATAGGTTTGGATGTTAAGTGGTTTTATGTCCGCCTTTCTGTTTGTACTCTAACGAGTATATTGATATGCAGAGCTTCTTATCATTTTTTGTAACCTTTGATTTTCACTCGGGAAGGGAGTGTAATTTCCTTGCAGTGGTTTCAGTTGATACTCTTACAGCTTTCTAACCCAAACTCGATTTTAAAAAGTTGTTTATCTGATTTTGCAGGGCCGGATCGTGCGTTTGGTGATCTAATAGCTGCATCGGGGATAACGGACGAGATGCTGGACAGTTTAATTGCTTTAAAGGACTTTGAAGGCATTCAAGGACTTCCTCCTCTATCCGAAATTGAAGACAGCCGATACATGAAGAATACCCGAAAATCCAGCCGAGCTGAAATAGAGCGCCAAAAACAAGAGGAGGTGGCGAAGGCACGAATCAGACAGGTGGATGCTAAGGGAAGGGCTTATGGAACCGGTAGAAGGAAATGCAGTATCGCCCGTGTCTGGATTCAGCCGGGGGACGGCAAATTTATGGTAAATGACAAAGAATTTGACGTATATTTCCCAATGCTCGATCAACGAGCTGCTCTTCTCCGCCCTTTCTCTGAAACAAAAACATTGGGCATGTGGGATGTTAATTGCACCGTTAAAGGAGGGGGCACCTCAGGTAAGAACCGACTTTCTATTGTCGGAGACCGTTTTTTCTTTTTAAGACAAATCCCGAGTTGTCTTAATATAATAACATACTTGTGTGAGCTCACTAGTTTTAAGTGATGAACTTTTACAGGTCAAGTTGGAGCCATTCGATTGGGCGTCAGCCGAGCATTACAAAATTGGGAACCCGGATTCCGCCCTCCTTTGAAAGAAGGTTAGACTATGACTATGTTTACATACATATTTTTGGAAATTTTAGCATTATTCATCGTAATACTTTATTTATTTTTTTCAGAAAATATCATATCCAATACTATTTTTCTTCCACTAAACATCACATTAAATTATTATCCCCAAAATTTTCCAAAACTTCAAAAACTCCAAAATGCTCTATCTAAACGGATTAGTCACTTAGGGTGTGTTTGTTTGGTGGCTTATGTAGGATTTTTACTATTCATTAAATTTTTTTCTCCCAAAAATATCAAATCAAATACCTATTTTTCATTTTTTATATTATACTAAAAATCAATTTTACAATTAAAACATCACGTCTATACCTATTTATATCACATCATACAACTATTCCAATTCAAAATTTTTTACTATTCAAATTTCAACTCAAAATCCAAACCCCCAAACAAACACACCGTAAAGATTTCTATTTCTATGTTGTGTGTATCGTAGCCATTTGATAGAATTAACCATTCCCTCGCTAGAATTCCCCGGGCGTAGATTTCTTTAACATCCCCCCGTCAAATCCACACTATGCGATTTGTTCCAATAAAAACATGTGTTGTCAGTTCATAACTGTAGATGTTGTCTATCCCCCTATACCATAGACAGGAAAAGCTAACACCAATATAAATTATGCAATAAAATCTCGATGTCTTTTGCAGCCGGTTTTCTAACAAGGGATTCAAGAGTAGTCGAAAGGAAGAAGCCCGGAAAAGCTAAAGCGAGGAAAAGCTTCCAATGGGTCAAGCGTTAGCCCAATTCTTACACAAATCCAAATTCTTCCCTCGGTATGTCTTTTACAATAAGAAGAAGCTCTTGTTTTAGTCGAAAATTATATCGCTTGACCTTAATTTTGAGTATGGGAATTAGCAAGTCGCCTCTCCTTCCCCTACCTCTATGAGTTTGTGTGTTAATGATGCAGCAGCAACAAGTGCTTTGTATAATGGGGATTCAAAATTCTTTTTATGGTATATTTTTGACCTTGGGGCATCTTGTATTGGAAACATGAGATTTCTAAATGAAGAAACTTTAATGAACTTGACATGACACTCGTTTGTTTCTTTTTTATTTTTATTTATTTTCGATTTTCTATTAATATTTTTTGATCCCATCTATAAGAACTGTCAAGGGGTTATGAAAGTTGTGATTTTTTAGAGTGCGATTTCAGTATTTTTACTGCCCAACAGTTGCAATTCTCTATAATATAAAAGTTAAACTCCAAAAAATAATGGCAAGGATGTATAATTTGATGATATCGTCGTGTCACATTTTAGTAGATTGTTTGACATTTTTTCTGTAAGTAACATATTTACAATTCAATATACATTTAATGCACTCAAAGCTCCTTTTTATAAAATTAAAAGCGCTAAATCCATTTCAACACAAGATATTCAATTTTACTTGAGAGTATTTTTTTGTTTAAAAAAATATAATAATAAAGAGAAAATATATATTTTCTTTGGAAGATTGCTTGTGTGCTAAACAAAATTATGGTTCTGACAATACTTCAAGTGTGTGTTTGTTTGGGTGTTTGGATTGGGATTTGAGTGAGAAAAATATAAATGGGTGTTGATTTAATATTTTGAATGTAAAATTAATTTTTAGTATAATATAAAAAATAAAAAAACGTGTTTAATTTGATGTTTTTTGGGAGAAAAAATTGAATGAATACTAAAATTTGGGGAAAATCTCCCAAACAAACTGTATCGTGTAATGATAGATTTTTAATTTAAGTAACTTCGTCGCTAGCATAATTTATAGATTATTATGCTCGGCAAAAACTTACCCAATAAGCATTTGCAAAATAGCTAAATCAGATTTCCACGTCATGTAGCAATAATAAATGATAACTCAAACTTATAAGGCAAGTAGAGGCGAGTCGAGTCTCCTCTTCCTGCGGAAGCTTTCGACAAAATTGTGAAAGCTAATTTTATTCTTCCAAAAAATTGAAGGAAGCTAAAGCTTAAAAGATCGATGCGACTTTCAATAACTCACTACTCTATCCATATTCATTGGACAATGACTCAAGATACGGCTGTAATAAAGAAAGATTAAAAATGAAATTCGTAGCAAAACTTACCCAGGGAAGGGCAGAAGCCGATGGTTGTTCTGCACTCTGCTTCACCACTCTGGGAAGAAGTTCACCCATTTCAATGGTCTCCAGTGCCTCATTTTGTAGTCGAACTTGGAACTTTCTCGAACAAAAGATATATATATTTGCCAATTTTTGTACAGAAATGAAAAACAATAATGTCATCCTCACAAAAAACCGCATTTTTTTTGTTTGTCTAGGGAGAAAACCGGACATTGAAAATCTCAACGGAACATAAGCCAGATAAGGCAAATTAGGATGAGAATAGCTCCTCCGACCATCAGCTTCATGTGAAGACTCTGCAGCCACATCTTGCGACGTAGCTGCCTCCCTTGCCGTTGGAAGCTGTCGGCCTGAGTGAGTGAGTGAGTGTGAGAACCATTATTATCGAGGTGCATAAAAGAGTAGAAAGAGTTTGCTCACATGGAACTGAAGGTTTTCAGTTTTATCTACCAGCAATTCGATTTTCTCCCCCCGATCTAGAACCTGAAGGATAGAGAATCTTTGAATTGGTATGTCACAATCATAGTATGATTTAAAAACATGACATAATATTTTACATGAGAAGATGAACGCCAGGAAATTCTAGACAATGGGATTGATTAGGACGGCATGAAAATTAGGACGGCGTATTACGATAGAATCATGCGAAATTTGAATTATCCAAGAAGATATGAATAGCATCTACAGTTGACAAGGATAGCATAACATAACTGTGTTTGGTATTCAAAATGGAATTGTAGAGAAATGATACTTGAGAATAAAATTGCTGAGAAAATGAATTCAACTATGAGAATTGATTCTTGTGTCCGGTAAAACATAAAATTCAACTGAGAAGTAGAGAATTTGGCAGAGAAATATAACATAGAAATGCATTAATATGTATGAATCGATTAGAAAGAAATGATGAATCGGGGTATGAGGGGCTTTTAGTATAGTGGAAATCTGGGGAAAAGCATTGCTTGTTTATTTACTGATTTTTTAAATTTTTTTTAAAAAATTAAATAGTAATTTAAATGTGATGTTTTATAAAATAAAATAATATTATATTTTTATAAAAAATTGTGAAAGTTGAATAGTAAAAAAATAAGCAAATTATCAAATGAACACACTTCATTTCTCTTTGTTTCTCTATGCATAGAAGATCAATGAAAACAAAGAAAGAAAATTCATTTATTTCTCAATTTTGATTTCTCTACTCAAATAAATAAGAGAAATGGAGATGTTTCCATTTCTATCTCCGTTTCTCTATACCAAACACACCATAGCATATCAACAAGTGTAGCATCTATCATACACATATCTCCCAAAATAATGTTTAAAAACCCTAGTCAAATAAAGGAATATGAATTCCATACTTGTTATACTGATTATGAAGGCATGTCGACGCTTACAATAAAAAGTTTCCAGATGAGCATTAATAAAACAAAGAAGATAACTACACGGACATTATAAATCAAATTCAAGTCTCTCAATAATAATCACCAAGACAACCTTGATAGGCGCCCCCGACAGTTGATTCTATTTGGTTACTCTAAACTAATGGATTACCATCTCCTTTAGTCAAAGGCTCACACCAAATTGTAGGCATTAGAAAACTGTCCTCTCATCGGAACCAAATTTCATGCACCGATTCAGTATTTCACATCCAATCCTTATGTTTCATTCTTTAGTCCTATAAGAGAGCTTTTCTGCTTTTAATACATATTCGGATATGCTAAGTGAAGCAACGCTTTATGCAATTCTTGTGCAGAATAGGAACAAATAAAAAATCCATCATATGGATCATATTGAGATCAAAGAGGGATGTTCATCAAATTTATATCGACAACTGAACTACATGTAATGAACCCCAAGATGCAGCCATGTAAGATGTAATTGAATCTGTTCTATAGATAAGTTTGCAGACCCAAATTTGATAGCTACATTTTACAGAGAAGTCATCCTTTTTATTATCCTAATAAAACTGTATTTTCGATGAGATACCATTCTAAAACTAGGATCAAGGTTTCAATTGCTTATTCTACTCTTCTTTGTTTCTTTTTTTTTTAGTTTCTTTTTTCAATTTTTGTCTCATTCTTTCAGTAAATCATTTCTTTCTTTCTTCTTCTTTTTTTTTTTTTTTTTAATCTTCTTGTTCTGTACTAGGATTCAAATATTAGAAGAACATGCAATAACACATCATCAATGGAAGAATAAACAACAAGGAGTCATAACAAAATCGTAGTAGTAACCATCAAAGAATTAATTTGCTAGAAGAATTCTATTAAAGCATAGTAGTTCGTTGATTATCGAAAAGAAGAATAGGCTGCAAGTGTACCTTCTCGATATTATCCATCATGATTCCTTTGACCTCAGTTATCTGAGCCTTCAATTTGGACAGCTTGTTCATTTCTTCAGGATGATTCATACAATACTCCATGTGCTCTTTAAGCCTCGGCCTAGGCAAGCCAAACAATACACAAAGAAACAATCAAAACAAGAAACGAAAGTAAACTTTGCATATATGCTCCTCCCCAAAAAAGTTCCAACTACACACCCAAATTCTCGATCTAGATTGTATGCAATGCTAAATCGATCTTCAAATAAATCATCCTCCTCGTCAAATTCATCGGCTAGAGAGTGTTGGCCATCATTCTTGATGCTATCACCATACCGTTGCTTGAAGTCATCCTTCACCTTTTCGAGAAACACAAAAGGTACACTTCTTCCCATTGATTCATCAGCAACAACAAGGAAGACTGCACGCTCAAAATTCAAATCAAATTGAAAGATTTAGCAGCTAAAAAAACAAAAACCTATAGAGTGTAGTTACCAAATCCAGTGTCGATGAGGAAATTGAAGGTGTGGCCATCACAAGAGTACGTGTACTTGCTGCTATTCGAAGGAAGCTTCTGCAAGCACTGGACAGCAATGGTGCTGAAATTTCCAGAATACGGAGTGTGTTCTGCTAAAACAACAGTTCCTTTCGCTACAAAGCTATAAATCAACCCTTTCGGACTCATCTTTCGCAAAACCTAACCGAAACATAAACATTAACATTAACAATCAAAAGCGACAGACAGCGCATGAAGAATCCACAAATCCGAGCACAAAAATCATAATTGGGTGATGCAAAACAGATCATTTGTTACTAACGCGAAAGATCACAACTGCATTTTCATAAAAATAGCAAATTAAAACCAGGAAGTCAAATAACAAACACTTGTACATAAAAACACGACAAAATTCGCCAGATCGATGAAGATAGAGCGAGCGAGAGACAGAAAAAAAAAAAAAAAAAAAAAAAAAAAAAAAAAAAAAACGCATATGGATATAAACTTACAGAGGATTGAAAATCGTACAGTACCTTAAGACTGAGGAGAGATCGCAGCAGCACGTTGATTATTTTTGGGCAGAAATCGCTCTGACGACGATCGATCGAGTCGGTGGGTTTGGCGTGGAGAAAAATGTGGGAACTGAGAAGTTGAGTTAGAGAGAGAAAGAGTGAGAGATGAGTGGTGGTGGATGCGGTGGTGCGGTTGAAATTTCACTCCTTATTTCTTTTACAGTTTAACTGCGCCTTTATATTTACCGAATTTTAATTAATTAATTAATTATACCGTTCGTTTGGAAATTTTTTCCTAATTTTTAATAATCCGATTTTGTATAATGGTATATTTATAATTTAGGTAAAAATCAAGATATTTTGATATTAATGGATAATTTTTTTTTTAAATAACAAATTGATACTTTGAAATTGAACAAACAAAAATAATAAAAATATTATTTTAAATTTTTCATTTTTAAAAAATTCACATCAAATAATTATATTTTTATAAATTTATTTTATATTCAAAACATCGCCTCAACCAACTATTCGATTTGGTTCAAACTTTTTGCAAACAAAAATATTTTTGATTAATCAGAAATTACAGTTCAAATACAATTCATGATTTTGATTATTTGTTGAATTTGATTCGAATACCAAATATATTGCAAATATACAAACGGCATCCACCCCTAATACATAGTTAGCATTTCATTCAACAAATGCACGTGATTTGGCGACTTGGCATTCTCGCTCGTGCGTGTTGATACAGCAAACAGTGGCGAAGATGCGCAGGCGCTCCATCCATATGGTCTCTTTCATTATACTACCTCCGGCCAAAAGAATGGTATCATTACTTTTTTTGTATATAAATTTTTAAATATTAATAATTATATTAATACGTAATACAAATTAATAAAAAAATAACAAAAATATCTCTATTAAACTTTTACTGGACCACCAAAATCAGAACGAGCTTGCGACCACAGGAGTGTTTTTTTTTTTTTTAATGAAACGTAAGTAGTATATTTATTGTGCCATCTAAAGATATATATATATACATATATCTTTGTCATCAACAATATAACTCATTAACAACTTCACTCAACTCATTTACCGACATAAACAAGTCGAGTTCGAGCTCGACTCGCAATTAGCTCAATTAAGCTTGCTAATGATAATATATTTATAAATTAATATAATAGAGTATATAATTTTTTTTATATCAAAATTTATATTTATTAATAAAAAATAAATATTTTACTATAATAAATTATAAATAAAATTAAATATATTTAATTTATATAGTAATAAACGTATATAATACATAAAATTCAAGTCAATCGAGCTCAAGCCATTGTTTTAAATCAAACTCTTAACGAGTCAAGCCGAACATATATCGTTCACAAATTCGAACATATATCGTTCACAAATTCGAGTTGAGTTCAAACAACTGATACTCAAACTAGCTCGACTTGTATAACAAGACTGGTTAATACATTTCCTTAGTCAATAGAGACACATGTGAGCCTTCATAAGCAAATGGTATGTGTTTTTTTAGTTTAGTACAATTTATTTATTTACTATAAAAATCATTGCGATAATTTTCTATAAAAATATATTTGTTTTTCACAAATTACCATATCGAAATCAATAATCAAGCCAAAAACCAAAACTAAACGGCAAAACAACACACCAAAACATTTAAAGGTTAGCTTCTTTAGCACAAACAATGGCTTTAGAAATTACAAGCAACGATTTAAATCGAACGTCCATTTTTGGACTATTCCTAACAACAATATCTATCTCTTTCGACGTAAAATTCCTTAGAAAAAGGCCTAAACAACATTAAGGAACACATTCTATCGCCACATATCCGAATAAATAAATAGTCATAACTATCGTTATAAGAACGAAAGGGGCATACGGCAACAAATATATTTAAAAGATTCGAAATAAATACGGGAGCAATTAGTACATTAGTAGTAAGTACCTTGTTATGCAAAAGGTTTCATATCAGATCTAAGGCAATCCATTCTTCACAATTTGATTAGGGTCTTGGCCTCCCCATTTGCGCATTCGCTCGGTCGTCTGCTCCACCTGAGGTGTAATGATAGAATCGATCTTAGATCAATCTACGGCATTCGAAGAATAATAATGTAATGTTGTAATGTTTTGAATTAAAATAGATAGAGCGAATTGTGGACCTCTTTATTCCAGTTGGTTCGGTAGAGTACAATGAATAGCAGCAATGTCTGCAATGCAACTCCGGCGATCATGCCGCTCCATATTCCCTGAAGAAATTGAAATACGGTCAATTTAAATACTCACTCTTTATTAAGTCAAAGTACTTTTTTTACTATTTTTGTCCGTCTCATTTCAAATTTTTTTTTTTATTTTAGTAAAAATAATCATACACTAGTACCAAAATATCTTTTAACTTACAAACATCTACAATTACTTTATACATCCAGACAAAAATGTCAAAACTTTTTACATACTTCCATTAACCAATAAAATATTATTGTTTTTTACTCTACTGTAAAACTCCAAAGACCCATTTGGAATGGAACTGAGAGAATATATTATTACTTTCGTTTTTGGATTGTTTCAAAAAAAAAATTCTAGTCAAAATAATATATATCCCTTTTTGTAATTTTTTTTTTAAAACTCTAAAATGGCCAAAAAAAAAACAATTATTATCCACTTTTATTGCAAAAACGAGTATGTACCTTGACTCCAAAATTGGCGACATAGCCAAGAATGTAGCCTAACGGCAGACCGAAGATATAATAGCTGCCCAAGTTTATGTACGCCACAATTCCTTGCCAACCGCCTCCAATGGCAACACCTGCATGGGGGGCGAATTTAAATGAATAGGTTGAAGATGATGAGTAAGAACAGGGGATGTAGTGAGTCGAATGCAGACCTGATATTACTGGCTGGATGCTGTTGAGAAGCATTGTGATTCCGAGAAGTGCTGAAAGGTTATATACGGCGCGTTGCATGGTTTCACTATCCGTAAATATGATGGCAAAGTAATTCCTAGTGGCGAGGATGACGATCATGCAGAGGATCCCGATTAATAAGGATTGGAAAATGGTGACGTAAACAGAGTATTTAGCAGCTCTCGGACGTCCCAGGCCTAGTTCATTCGATACCCGAACACTGAAGAAGAAAGAAATGCAGCACGATCAGAAGGCTTGGTAAAAGCCAAAAAAATTTCGACATGTTTCGCAATTAATATTCTAAAAGATACAAAGATATATATATTCACACAAAATATATGATACATATACTCTATCTACTAAAAAAATCAATTCAACATAAAACATTATATGATAGCTAACATAAAGAAAAAAAAAAAAACACTTCAAACTACACATACAAAACACACTTTAACGGGAAAGTGTGTAAGATAACTTTGACAATTTTTTTTTTTACTTTATATATAAATTAATTGTATGTATAGTGATGCGTTTGTAATTTACGTAAAAATTAGAGTATTTTGGTATTCCACTAAAGTAAAAAGCAAATAATTTCGAGTGAACAACAAAAATAGTAAAAAGAAGTATTTCAATTGGGACGGCGGCTTTGTTCTTTCAACAAAACTTTTCAACACATTTTCTCAAAGAAATTAATATATTATACACTCTCTTTATTTTTATATTACTTACACAATTTCTTGTACCTCAGGTAAAAAATATCAAAATACAAAACAAACACTTACCTTATAGCAGCATTGACTCCTATGAATAACATTGTTTCGATTCCGTCGATGTTCATACTGAAAATCAGGAAATGAAAAAAAGAAAAAGGATCATCTTCTGTAAAAGCATGTGAATTCGAAACAACAGGTGAATAAAACATTAGAGAAGCTCACCAAATGGCTAAGGCACCAACGGCAGTCACTGCATCCTTAAGATTGCCGGCGAGAACAATAATACTCATCAAGTACCAAATTTCCAGACACAACATAACAGCAGATTCAAGAGACAGCCTCACAAAGGCCCATATATCGTGAAACGCCGACCAAGAGAGCCCTTTCCAACCATCCTTACACCAATAAATCACATAAATCAATTGCGCGAGCGCATTAATCCAGTTTGTCACATCATAGGCGAAACATGCGCCAACCGCGCCCCACTTAAAGACATCAATGAAAAGCCAACACCAAAAAACTTGTGCAAGCAGATTAAAGATTGCTATCCAAGCAAGAACAGTGACTTTGCTCTGGGCTTGGAGGAATTTTTGTGTCGGAAAAGTGACAGAAAGGGCGAACAGCTGAGGAATAGTTAGAAGCGTAAAATATCCAGAAAGATTTGCAATGTCATCGGGTTGTCCAAGCAGCTTAAGTAGCGGGGTAGCAAATATGTATATCGGCAAAAGGAGAACGCAAGTGCAGAACAGAACAATGAACGATCGCTGCATGTAAACGCCTAACATGTGAACTTGTCCGGCGCCAAATGCTTGGCCGCAGAGTGTTTCGAGGGCGCTTCCCATTCCAAGCTACAAAACAATGCAGAACTCATATCAGATTGTCACATTTGTGTGTTCAGTTGTCAAACTTTCTACAATTTCCACTATTCATTAAATTTTTTTTCCCAAAAACAGCAAATCAAATACTTATTTTTTATTTTTTATATTATACTAAAAAATCATTTTACATTTAAAACTTCATATCAATACTATTTATATCACGTCATAACACTATTCCAATTCAAAATTTTTACTATTTAAATCCTAAATCAAAATCCACTCTCAAACAAACACACCCTAAAAGAATCATCTTGGAACAAGATATAGGCTTAAATTGCCCCTATATGACAATAACAGGAGTCTGAATTACTGATAGCATTCAATTAAGGAACAACTAGGGGTGAGCATTCGGTTGATACCGAACTTTGAGTTTTGATCGATTTTCGCTTTGTAAAAATCAAAACAAAAACCGAACCAAAATCTGCAAAACCAAATCAAATCGAACCAAACTAATTCGGTTCAGTTTAAAACCAAACAAACCGATTTTTTTGGAATATTTATGATGATGCTCGAACTCATTCGTTCAATTCATTTTTCATCACCAACGAAGATTCATCCATCCCCAACTACATGTTTCAAGCAACTTACAAATGAATTATAAATATATAAAGATCAAAATTATAATAGACATAAAATGTAAAATTTATTTTATTTAAATTCAATTTTTTTTTATTTAAAAATTGAAAACTATAACCGATCCGAAACTCAAATTTATAAATTTGATTTTAGACCGAAGCCAACCATTTAATGGAACATACCAAACCGATCTGTCTGAACCAACAAAAAAAATCTGATTTTTCTCGATTTGGACCGACCAATGCTCACACTAGGAACAACCACATTAATGGCTATGGCATTAATTAATTAGCTTGAATTAACTTGATTGAATGCTTAATAGTATAAGATTACCAGCCCTTCGTGCTATCAATTATTTTGGCTGAAAGCTTAAAAATCGGGAAAAGTTCAAATGAGGAATTTTAGGAATTACTGCTTCAAGGAATCAAACTCATATGCAATATTGTGATTAGTAATAAGATCAAACAAATTCTACTTATAGATCATATCTCCTAATTTTAAGCTGTAATAGTAGAGAGGATGGGCAGAGAGTGGGGCAGAGTGGGCAGAGAGGATGATGCTGAGGATTCTCTGTAGAGATCCTAAGAAAGAGAAAAAAAGTAAACACACTCCATGTGAAGCCAAAAATGCCATTTCAGTTTCTACAGAAAAGTGCCTCGAATTTTGTGGCGGTCAGTCAACAATCACCCAAATCTTCATTGTTCTAGCCGCCGGGCGTTGCAAATCGATCGAAACAGCCACCGCCACGGCGGCGCCGCCCGACGCGTTTATGCAATTTCACGACGGAAAATTGTGTGGACAACCAAAACAAAAACTCAAATTACTCGAAAACTACGGATTCAAAGCATATTTCACAAGCTAAAACTAGCGGACAACACCAGAGCAAATTCAACTCATAAAGGTTTACAAAGAGCTCGGAATTTAAGATCTAAGCCAAATCAATATTAAACAAACCAAATTAGCTAAAATAGGGAGGTTATTAAGTCGAAACTAACCATGAATCCGAAAGCAAAAGTTCCAACAACGGAGATAGCGATTGAGAACGCCGAAAGCTCGACATCACCGAGATGTCCAACAAATATCGTAGCCACAGAGTTCGTAGCGTACTGACAAATGATCTGAATCGCTATTGGACCTCCAATCCTCCATAGTTTCACCGTTTCCACGCAGAAAATCCTCCACCACGCACTCAATCCTCTCGCCGGAAGGTAGTCTCCGTCCTCTCCCAGCAGCTGAAGTTCGCTGGATCTCCGTTCCAGCAGCGGCGACTCCATCTCCGAAAATCTCGGATAAAAATTAGAGCAATTTCACCGGACCTGCAACGCCTACCCTTCAGTGAAGGAGGACTATATAGCTGGCAGAAGCATCCAAAAAAGGCGGAAAAATGTAAAACGACTTTACGCTGACTTTCGTAATCATAAAAACACGTTTTCAGAATTATAACTAAAAACGTTTTCATCCAAATCAATGCCTGAGGGTCATTTTGTATTTACCGGATCGCCGTAGAAAACCGTTAGAATATAACTATTATACTACTTACCTTTCGCAAAAAAGGTAATATTTATTTTTTACATGCATATTTTTAAATATTAGTATTATATTAGTTTATAATAAAAAAAATAAAAAGTAATAGCATTTGTTGTGTAATATATTAAAAGTTATAAAAATATTAATTATGTTAGATAGATAGTAAATTACTAAATTAAAAAATAATTTTTTTTTACTAAAAAAAATAAAAAATAATATCCTTCTCATAAAACGGAGAAAGTATGTTAAAAGTTAAGTATAATTCATCCGTAATTAATAAGTAATAATAATAATAAGCAAATGCACTATAAAACAAAAACAAAAACAAAAAAAAAACTCGAAAAAGACTCGGTGATAAAGCATTAATCACTACTTTGTGTTATTTGATAAGTTTTATTACAAATTTTTACTATTCATATTTGTTCTTTCTTTAAAAATATCAAATCAATTAATTACCTCTTTTATATTATATTACAAATTTATTTTACATTCAAAATATTAGATCAATATATTTTTATATCACATTAAATAACTATAAAATTTCAACTTTCTATTATTTAAAAATTAAAAGTTAAAAACTCAACCCCACCGACAAGTACACCTAGGGTGTGTTTGTTTGGAGATTCTCCTCAAAATACACTATTCATCCTATTTTTTCTTCTAAAAATATCAAATTAAACATCTAATTTTTATTTTTTATATTATACTAAAAATTAATTTTACATTCAAAACATTACATCAACACCTATTTATATCATATCGTACTACTATTCAAATTTAAAATTTTTACTATTTAAATCCAATTCAAAATCCAAAAACCCAAACAAACACATCATAGTCGTAATGCAACGTTAATTATTGAATACTTATTATTTAAAAATTATTGATTTTAAGTTAACGAGATAATAATCTTGTGGATAGATAGCGGTGCATGCAAATCTGACACGTCATCATTATGCATGGCTGGAATAAAACCACGTGTCTTTTAGGAAAAAAGATTAAGATAATACAAAGGCTTTACTTTGACTTATTGCATTTAATCGATTGGATTTTATTTGAATTTCAAATTTAATTCCGATGATATTTTAATTTAATTTTTATTAAGAATCGTACTAGTTAACAATATAATTCTTATTTGAAAATAAAAAAATAATAATAAGAAATTGAAATTTGTTTGAATTGGACTAAATTGATTGAAATGTAATTTTAGATTCAAATTTTTGTTTAAATATTATTTTTATTTAATATTTTACGAAAAAAATAATATACTTAATCGGTGAATAGTGATAAATTCGATTTGAAATAACAACTAAACACTTGTAAAGGATTCTTTTGGAGGATTTTGCAAAATTTAATATATTCTATTCTTTAAACAAAAAATAACATTCAATATATTTTTTATATTAAGGGCATCATTTTTCACACTTTCATATAAAAAAAAAAATTATCTCAAACTAATACATTAAACAAACACACCTTTAGTATATCTTTAATTATTATTTTAAAAAATATATCAAAATAAATACATATTTTTTATATTATATTAGTAAAATATAATTTTAGATTCAAAATATAACATTAATACTTATTTATATCACATCAAATAATTATTTTATTCATTCAGTCCCAGTGAAAAGCTAAGTATAGCTTTGCTCTCTCACCACCATTTTTCATTGCTATTCTTAAAAATAATAATAAAAAAATACAACATTTTATTAAAAAAAAAAAAATCAAAAAGTCAAAACACTCATTATAAAAATTCAAAAAATAAAATATTTAACCTAATATAATATTTTTTATATTTTTAACACAATTACGCATACCAAAAAAAAATTAAGGCTATATGAATGTAGCCATAAATATGCTTGTTTTTTTATACTAAATTAAATATATATTATTAGTTCATAAAAATATGTAAAATAATTTTGATATTTTTGCTTTTAAAATTACAAAGAAAATGAATAATTTTTCAAAAAGTTAATAAATAAAATATTTAGAGTGTGTGTGTTTTGTGAAACAGTTTTAAAAAATATACTCCCCTCGTTCCCATATTTTTGCTTTTTGCACGGAGTTATAAAAATATTAGTAGTATATTAGGATAAAGTATAAATAAAGGTAAAAAGACTAAATTAACCTTATTAATATTGTATGATATAAAAGTAACGACATTTATGTAATATATTGTAAATTGGAAGGGTATTTATAATGTTAGGTATATAGTACAATTACTAAAAAAAAAATAGATACTTTATTATAGAACGAACCAAAATAAAAAAATGAATAGATTGTTAATGCACGGAGGGAGAGAATAGTATTTTTGATATGAACTATAAAATATTTAGCAAATAATATAAAAAATAATAAGTTACACCCTAGTTGCAAAAACCCATCCAAACGACCCTCAACCAATAACATAGGCGACGGAGAAGGGTGGGTGTACAGTAGTGGCACGTGCCCGGTGGGTGTAAAAATCCTGGTAGAAGGGTGGGTGCACGTGCCCGGTGGTTTTCGTTAGATAAGCCGCCACGCGGACACCACGTGATTATGATGTAATAATTAAAATTATTTTGTATAGTAAAAGATGGTCTGGTCTTGGATTCATGACATTATGGGTTTAAACCTCCAACACTTTCAATTTTTATCTAACACACATAGTTTGATGTGATTTATTTTATCGAATTTAATTTGCAGAGATTTTTCGATATTTAGTTGATAGATATTTTTACTAAAAAAATAAAAAATATTTGACTTTAACAAACTAAAATAACAAATAAAAAATTTACTCTCCAAAAGAAAAAGTATAATTTTCACTAAAATACACTATTATTATTATTTTTTAATAAAATATAATACTCTTTATATCCACTACAAAGGGCCATTTGGAATTTGCAGTAAATTATAAGAAATAATAGTATTTTATTGGTTAGTGAAAGTATGTAATGGTATATTTGTAATTTAATTAAAACTTAAGAGTATTTTAATAGTTGTATATGATTATTTTTACTAAAATAGAAAAAAGAGTTGAGAGAGGAAGGGAGTATAAAATCACTATTTAACTACAAAATATAAAATCTAAAGAGTATGTTTAGTTCTAATTGAAATAAAAATCACTATTATTCAATTGGTACAATTTATAATAAAAAATATTTCATCTGTCCAAAAATAAATTTTTTATTTTTGTCATTTTAGTATATTCAAATGAATTTTTTTTTAAATTTTTTTTTCAATAAAAATAATTATCAATTAAATACAATACTTATTTTTTTTACTTTTTACATCACTTTCCAAGGATAAAATAGATATTATACTATTTTATTACACTACACATCTATTAAAATACTAATTTTATGCAAAAGTCAAATAAAAAATTTATTTGTGATATTTATTCTTATAAAATATTAAATAATAATAATAAAAAGTTTAAATCAAAAGGTAAATGAAAACTTTAATTTCAAACTAAAATCCGACAAACAATATTGTTATCACTATTTTGATTTTATTTCTAGCACAGTATTTAAAAAAAAATAAAAAATATTCTAACATATAAATTTATACGAAAAAAAAAATGCATATATTAAAACGGGACAAAAGAATTATAATATCATATATTCTCTTTTCTTATAAAAAAGTTATTTATATATAATATTATTTTTTATATTAACATACCATTTTTCAGCTTTTTAAATCACTGAATAAACATATATTAATTGTCTATTTTCAATAAATGAAAGGCCACTAAAAGATTCGAAATTTAAGTGAGTTTATTAAGACAGATTTTAAGTCAATAATACCGAAGTTGAAGTAGCTTTCCAATATATATACATTTTGTACGAAATTTATTATTTTGCTTAAGGTTGTTTTCGATGTTATAGTTACGTTTTATACTCCTATAATTTATAAAAGCTGTCACATAAAAATTTTTCGTCATTCAAATTTATTCTCAATGTTTTTTCATATTTGTTATCCAAATTTATTCATATTTTTTTTAGTAAAAAAATATTCTCTCCGTTCACTCATAAAATATACAATTACTTTTGGCGCGGTGTTTAAGAAATAATAGTATTTTAATTATAGTGAGTAGTTAAAAGTAGTGTAATGACATTTTTGCCCTTGTTTTTTGGTGTACAAGTAATAATGTGATGTAAAATAAGGCTATTTGCGAAAAAAATATGTATATTTTCTAGTTGGACGGAGAGAATACCACTTTTTTTTTACCAAAAAGAATAAAAAATTTTATTTTTATATATATTTTTAAAACCCGTGTGCTCGAGAGTGGGAGTACTGTTATTTTATATTAAACTTATTTGAAAATAATAATAGACACGACTCACGTGTACTTGCACAACTCAGTCACTATATGCAATGGACATGTTGTAACGTTGAATGCGATGGAACTATTTATTAATGCGTACAATAATCTAATTTCAAAATTTTAATAATAATAATAATAATAAATTAAGTCATTCAAATATATTGAAATACTTAGGACCATTCAGATAGAGTTTGTGCTATTGCTTAAAGATTTTAGATTCAATTTTACTATTCGTATAAAGTTTTGTTTTTAGAAAATATTATATAATTTATTTTTTAATATTTTATTAAAAATTAATTTTATATTTAAAATATCACTTTATATTTATATCAAATAAATATTTATTTATATTTAAAATATTATAATTTCAAAATTCAAAGTTTGATGTCATAAAAATTAATAGCATGGTTTTAAATTCAACATATACTATTGTTTTTTTTAATAAAATATTAAGTTAAAATATTATTTAAATCAAAATTCAAATATTAAATACAAACTTAAATTAAAACCAAACAAATTCTAGGTTTTTTAAATTTGAAATTTTTAAAAATAATAAAAAAAATTAGTATGTGATATGATATTTTACATAATATATATATTTAATGTAATTTATTTTGAAAAAAAAAATAAATATTAATAAATAATACTAAAACTTAAAAAAAAATATGTATGTAATCAAAATCTTATTTATTAAACTATGATATATCTACTTTTTAATTTAACGATCTAAAAAAAAATAATAAATCGTATAAAAAACAAATCATAGCTTAAAAGTAAAAGGAAAAATTTTGATTTTGTTCTTTTAGTATTTTTAAATTCAAATTAATATGATACATCAAATACAATTTTTATTAAAAATATATTATTTTTTTTTTATAAAATATTAAATTAAAATATTATTTAAATAAAAAGATCAATTAACTTATCCATTTCAAATCAATAATTCAGCAGTAATGGGCCAATCAGGAGTCTGATTATATCATAGGAAGCTGTTTAGGTTAATTAAAATTGTCAGTGTTACCTGCAAATGCAATGCCTTTAATGCCTCCTCCCCACTTTCTCATTCTTTCCGTCGTCTGCTGCACCTGAAAACAAATTTTCCATTCTCATATATATGTATATATATATATATATACACATCATTTTTTAAAAATATTATTAAACAATACAATATATATTTATATATAATATATTTTTTATTTAATTATAAATATTTAATAATTCAACACAAAATATAATTTATTGTATTAACAACATGCTTCATGTAATATCTTTTGAGTGTTAATAGAGCTCCGTTTACATACTATTTATGCTATTTTTTATTTTTTTTAAAATATCACATTAAATATTTATTTTATTTTACACAATATCAAAGAAAAAATACGATGGATATATAGTGTCATACAAAAGAAAATTAATTATTACATCAAATACTTATTTTTTATTATATAATATCACATTAAATTATCAATTTTTATTTTTATTTTTATTTTATCAATTTCCAAATTCTCAAAAACTTCAAAAACTGTGTCTAAATACATATCCGGGACATTTTGAATAGTTTATATAGAGAAGATCATATAGATAATTAAAATAATAATGAAGTTCATCTAGGGAACTAAAGAACACACATTTTCCTAGCTTTTGTTCCAAACTTCTTTTTAAACTATCAAATCTAACCATTACTTTCAACTTAAAACAAATTAAAATTAAATCTAAAACAACAGAAAATACCAAAAAAAAACATTTAAAAAAAAGATAATAATAATAATAATAATAATAATAATAAAATACAATAATAATAATAATAATAATAATAATAATAATAATAATAATAATAATAATAATAATAATAAAATACAATTGAGATCTTACTTACCTCTTTCTCCCAATTGGTTCTATAAAGCACAACCAAGAGCAGCAAGGTCTGCATGGCTGTTCCAAATATCATTCCTCCCCAAAGTCCCTACAATCAATCAATCAAAACAACCATTGCTAATTACTATATATATATATATATATATATATATTATGGTCTGTAAATGATGATCCAAGTAGACTTGCTGACCTAATTTTCAGGTTACTAGATTTGGCCAGAAGTTAGTTTATTCAGAGGATACTCAAAGAGTATACTTGAGTTTGATTGACTTTGTAATAATTAATGATATTTATTAATTTTTTTTAAAAAAAATAATTTTTTAAATAAGATGATCATTTAACATAATTTAATATAATATCAATTCTTAAGCCCTAAAGAGAGTTCTCATATTAAAAATTATCATAGAGTAAACACGCAAAAAAAAAAAAAAAAAACTTATTTCAATTTGGGGTATCACAATCAGAGCCCGGACATCTAGTGTTCGAGTCTTACTTGCTCCATTCATCATCGTCCACGTATAAGATTCTTATGTTGCATAAATCCATCTTGCATGTAAAGAGGACGAAATGATTGACTATATAATAATTAATAATATATATTCCTTACTCTTAGCTTTTTAATGAAATGATCGTTTAACATAATTTGTGCAAGATCTTACATACCGCCACGCCGAGATTAGCGATGTAACCGAGAACGTAGCCAAGAGGGAGGCCAAGTATGTAGTAGCAAGCCAGGTTGATGTAAGCCACAAGGGACTGCCATCCACCTCCCACTGCAACACCTGCAAGGAAAGATAGACATATTTGCATTGCATTTAATTAACCTGGATGGATAAGATATATTCCCTTCAGCCATCTAAAAGTATGCTTATTTGATCAGACACGAATTTTTAAAATAATATGTAAAAATATAAATTTTTTCTTTTCGAGGTAAAGAAAAAGAAAGAAAAAAGTGATATTTTTACTAAAAAATAAATAAAAATTAATTTAGATAACAACAAAAAGGAAAAGTAGGAATAAATTTGAATAGCAAAAAGAATAATTAATTAATAGGTAGGTAGGTACCGGATACGACGGGCTGGACGCTGTTGAGAAGCATGGTGAGTCCGAGGAGGGGGGAGAGGCGAGCCACTGCTTGTTGCATGACTTTGCTGTTGGTGAAGATTATGCTGAAGTGGTTCCTAGCGAGGAGGATGATGATCATACAGATGAGCCCGATGAGGAGCGACTGGAACACCGTGGCGTAGATGGAATACTTGGTCGCTCTTGGATGTCCTGATCCCAGCTCGTTCGAGACTCGGACACTGACTTTTTTTGTAAAATTAGGTAATAAAAACATCAAAATACATTAAAACACCCCTTCATTTTTCATTCAGAAAACTTAAATTTAAAATAACCAAAATTGTTTATAACTACCATGTAATTTTAAAACTCAGCCTAAATCCTCCTTATACTTTAAAAATTGCATGAAACCTCTTTTGACATTTTTTGTGTAATGAAAAGATGATTTTCTATCTATATTTTTGCATGGCGGGGGGTTTCATGCACCATTTTTTAAAGTACAAAGGGGCGACGCCATGCAATCTTTAAAGTATACGAAGGATTTAGCGCTGAACTTCGAAACTGAATGATAGTTATAGGCAATTTCACCTTTAAAATAGCAGAATCAAATATTTACCTTATGGCAGCATTGATTCCAATGAAAATCATGGATTCCCAGCCATTGACATTCATGCTGCAAAATGAAGGTATCATCATATATATGAGCTATACATACATACATATATATATATATATGTAAACTGGACTCACCAAATAGAAAGTGAACCAACTGCAGTGACAGCATTATTAAGATGGCCAGTGAGAACAATAATGCTCATCATATACCAAACTTCCAAACACAGCATAACAGCAGATGCAAGAGACAGCTTCACAAAAGACCACATTTCCTTAAATGCAAACCAAGACAACCCTTTCCATCCATCCTTGCACCATCCCACAACATAGCAAAGTTGTGCAACTGCCGTGCCCCAACTTGTCAGATCGAAAGCCACGGCTGCCCCGGATGCACCCCAACCGAGCACATCAACAAAGAGCCAGCAGAGAACTACGTGGAAAACTAGCGCAAGCAGCGATATCCACGCAAGGGCAGAGACTTTGCTCTGAGCTTGTAAGAATTTTTGGGTGGGGAATGTAATAGAAAGTGAGAATAGTTGGGGTACTACTAGCAGAGTGTATGCTCCTGCAGGTTTGGCAATGGCAGCATCTTGGCCGAGGAGCTTCAGAACTGGTTCGGCGAATATGTAGAGAGGTAAAAGAAGGATGCAAGTGGAGAATAGGATTATGATGGAGCGCTGCATGTAGATGCCGAGCAGGTGAACTTGTCCCGCGCCAAATGCCTGCCCACATAATGTCTCCAGGGCACTCCCCATGCCGAGCTGCGAAAAAGTGTATCAGATATATATATGTATATACGCGCCAAAAACATCTTGTTTAAGGAATTTAAGGCATCCTCTGTTATTTGTTAAGCTAAAATCAGTGCATTTTTGGTTCCTTATATTTTCTGACTACCCTCTGGCATGTTTAGTGATCCTTCTGCATAAACTGTTGCATTGCCTCCAAATTAAAACTGCCTAATCTCTTTAACTAAATTCACAATATTACTACATACAGTATATCATATTGTTACTATAATACAATACATGAATTAACAGCACATGATATAGTCTCATACAACATATGCAACGGTTGATTTTAACGCATGATATACTCCTATATAACACACGTTATAAGTATAAACAACAACACATATTTTTTATTTCATACAGCACACACAACATGTGTTGCTTGAATATATATATATATATATATATGTTGTTTGTATATTTGATTTGTGTTGATCAACACCGTAACCCCTCCATACCAATATTTATTTGCGGAAATATTTCTTATTCAATTCACTATGTTATTTTTATCAATCATTTTGCCATACATCGTCTCTTCCAAATTGATTCATCTGACATTCATCTATTATATTTACTATACATCGTCTCTTCCAAACGCACTATATTAGGTAGGAATGCCTCATGTTTAAACTTGCTCTAGAACTCTGATAATAGCTGTAGAATATCTATATATAATTGGAGTCCTACACACACATTTATATTTATATATATATATATTTAAAATGTTGACAAGTATTCCATAACAAGCTACAAAATCATAATGCAGTATCTTTCATCATCTGCAGTTCTTAACTAATTCATTAGAAGGGATGGTAGCTTAAGTGGTTGAGCTTCCCCTTCACACATCCTAGAATTTTTTATTTTTTATTTTTTTCAAAAAAAAAAAAAAAAAAAACTCATTGGCATGGATACATGGACCACTCATCATGAGGAAAATACATACTCGACCTATTTTATATTGCTAAACCCTTTGTTAGTATTGAATGGGTAGCAGTTACACTAGTGTCTTTATGTTGTCATGTACTATTACTTTAAGATTGGAGTTTTTATCTCTATTATATATATATATTGAAAGTTTTAACTTAATTATATGATCCATTAGTTCAGGAAAGTCAGCAAACAGTAGTATCTCCAAATAATATTTAGCTCTGGAGATGATGACACTATGATCTCTCAAATGGTTAAATGCATAATGATTGTTTCTACAACAAGTATTAGTTCAACACCCATAATTGTTAGCTGTATGTATTAGTATCAAATTTACAGATTGTGATCTTGATTTCTGAAAAATGCCATATTAGAACTTACTTTCCTTTTTTTTCTAATTGGAAAGTTCCACATATTAAGCAAACAGGGGAACCCTAAGTAAAGGAATTTTCAGTTTTCTCAAAATTTCCACAATGAAACAGAGAATAACAAGTTCTAATCATTTTCAGCAATAACAATTACCTGTATGATCGCAAGGACGAAACCTAATCAATGAAATTGATTCGATGAAACAATTCATCACAACTGATGTTACTTTACCATTTCAAAACTTTAAAAATATGCACACAAAGCCAAATTAACGATAATACTGACCATGAATCCGAACGAGAATGTTCCGATGACCGAAAGTGCAATAGATAAGGCCGAGAGCTCGACGTCGCCGAGATGTCCGACGAACATTGTGGTGACAGAGTTAGTACCGAACTGACACAGAATCTGGAACGCAATTGGACCTCCAATTCGCCACAGCCGCACCGTTTCTATGCAGAAAACTCTCCACCACGCTTTCATCCCCCTCACCGGTAAATAGTCTCCGTCGTCGTCGTCGATCAAGTCGCCGAAGCCCCGCCGCTCAAGTAGCGGCGTCGCCTCCATGGTGAAATGGCCGGAAACCGAACCAAACCACGACGAAGTGAGTAGCGTATTGACTAACTGAATCTTCAAATATTACTCTTCTCAACTCTCGTCAAATACGCACATTTTTGCACGTAAGAGTAGGGGATGCCATGCTTTTCTGTTAGTTACTGGTTACCATATAATATATGTATATATACATATATGGGTGTGTTTGTTTTCCGATGAATTTTGAATTGGAATTTGAATAATAAAAATTTTAAATTAGAATAGGCTGATACGATATTTTGAATATAAAATTAATTTTTAGTATAATATAAAAAAAAAAATGAATGAATAGTAATTTTAGGTTAAAATTCCCCAACAAATACAGTATTTGATTTGATAGTTAAAAAAAAAAAAAAAAAAAAAAGAGAGAGACTAAATTGCATAAATGGTTCAAAATTCACTCATAATTTTATACACACAAAATTTTTGAATTTTTAAAATTGTGTCAAATTTTATCCTTGTTTCATAAAGTCAAAGTCTAATTTCTTGTGTTTTTTTTTTTTCTAACAAATTATTCATTTTTTTCATTTTAGTCAGTCCTACAAAGTATCTATTTTTTTTTAAGTAATTGTACTATCCGTCTAACATTAGAAATACCATTATACTTACAATATATTACACAAATATCATTACCTTTATATCATACATATTAATAATAAGGTTATGGGACAGACGGAATATTTATTTTTAAATTCTTTGAAATTACAAATATACTCATTATTTTTCAAATTTAATTTTAAAAAGTAGCAAATATAATCAGACTTTTGTTTTAATTTTTTTTAAAATATAAATAGCAAATATAATTAGACTCTTGTTTTAAAAGTTTTTTTAATGTTATTTAAGATACATACAAGAGAAATAAATATATATATAATTTTAAAAATTGAGAAGAAATTAATTAGCAATTTTGAGCCTGAATAAGTCTAATAGAACAATTGAGGAGTTTTACTCAAAGTTTATGAAATCGGTTGTGATACAGTTTAAAAAGTATGAAAAGTTTCGCACAATTTTGTAAAATTATAAATAAATTTTAGGCAATTTAATTTTTTTTAAAAAAAAATTAATAATAAAATCATATAGAAAAATTCAAAATAATAAAACACAGTTCATTCGTTTAATAAAACTAGGCCCAATAAGCTTTTCCTATTGCTCAGAAGTGAAGGCCCGTTTGTACATTGAGAGGCGGTGGTAGTTTTGTAAATATCTATAAACAATGAGGGTATTTTCATATTAGAATTTGCCCGTTACTCATCCAGCGGCCTATAAATAGTTTCATTTCTGAAAAATGATAAACTCAAAGAAATTGTACTCTCAAGCCTTTAAGTTCAAAGGGCTGAAGCAATTTCCAAATTAATCTATACGTTCCTGTGAGTTTTTTTCTTTTAACCTACGCGTTTTCTGTGTGTATTCATGGTGAAATTAGGTATATGGTTATAATATTCCGTTGCTGCTTACGAATGTGAAGTTTGCGTTAGGTTTTGGCTACTAGTGTTTATTGCTAGTGTTCTACGATTTATTAGCTTGCTGTGTTTGCTTTAAGATCTTGAGATTTTGAGGCTGCTTTGGCGGTGAAGGGGATGCTGATGGAAATACGACGTTGAAGATAGAACTTTTTACTGTTGAACATGGAAATATTAGAATGTGGTTAATTTTGAAGTCTCAGAGTAAATTAGTTGAAGAATTCAATATTTGGTTTTTGAACTTCTGCTTTTCTTTCTGAGGAAATTAGGTATTTGTTGACATTCATCCATCCATTGAGGGGATGATAGTTAATTGATTTGTTTGGTAATTTTCTATAAATTAGCCTTATTTGTCTTATCTAATAAATAGAGTGATTAGGAAAACAATGGATGCATTTCTTTTCAGTTTACAGTATGCTTTTATTTATGATTATATATATATATTTTTTATATCATCCTATGCTGATATTGGAGGCAATGAAATTCAAGATTTAGAAAGGAACTTGATGTTGTGGGAGTTTGGATGTAATCTATGTTTGATACATTGGATTTGTTTGAGATGAGATGTAATCTGTTACTGAAGGTGCGGTAGAAGTTAGAGAAGTAAAGAATCTGGATAGAAAAGAAAAAAGAGGAAATGCTGTAACCAAAATGCGTTGACATAATATCCCATTTGAACCTTTTTCTAATACTATATTTGAGTGGAATTGGATAGTGTCAAAGAGTATTTGATTGTAAATTTAAGCATAGTTACCATGATTAAAGAGACATTTTAGCAAGTAGATAGAGATTTGGTTGGAATTTGGGTTTAGATTAAGAATATTTGGGTTTAGTTTTATATTCAAATAATGTTTGATGTGGTATTTATGAAAGGTAAAAAAAATGTTATTTTTTTCGTTGAGAAACGCATAGTCAAAATGGTAAAGAGTTGAGAAATTTTTCCAAAAAAAACACACAATGGCAAACCCAATTATATCCTACAAATCCTTACATTGGCGCCCATTTTATCTTCCCATAATTGCACGTAACAAAACTGATCATTAATCGACTGTTTCGAAGCTTTTATTTACTAGTTTCATTCATAACTGTGGAAGACATTGTTGTTTTTATAGATATGAAGTTAAAATTAGAGAATAGACCATAGAGTGTTCCTTCCATGGTAATAAAGTATACCTACAACAAGAAGCCATGTATGCCCTACACCATGTTTGAAAGTAGTCTCGACCACTGGGCACTGGACCTTGTATGCCACATTGTAGAAGCCTAGATGAATTTGGCAAGTGCTCTGAAGCATTATACTCTTTTATTACCTCTCTCGAACTTACTACCTATATTAGATGCTTATCGATTGCACTTGCAGCCTTTATAATTTTGTACACTATCTTTACACTTACTAGATTCACATTCTTTTCATAACTAGATTTTTTGGATATTACTAGATCAGTTTTCCTTTCATATCTTACAAATTTCAACTAATGGTCTTTTATATCTTAGATTTGAGGTTATATCATTATTTTTTACTGTGTTTAGTTTATAATTGGTGTCCATGTCGACCCTATTCCATCGCCACATTGGAGGCCAGAACTCAAATTTACTCTATGCAGAGGTAACCTTCATCTCTATTGCTAACAATCTCCCCTGCAGACATTTTCTTTACACATTGATCTCTAAAGCAATACGGCGAGCTCCCACTGTATATATATCAAGCTCAAGAAGGACTTCTGCAACTCAGAACAAAGAAAGAGAAGTTCCAAAAATGGCAGGTATCCGAAAACTCCCAGTTGATCTAAAAATTATTGCTTAGCCATTTCCAGCCAATGATCTGTGGACATCGACTATTACATGTGTAACTATAACTACTCTGCCCTTATCTGTTGCTTCCAGACACGCCAACAATGGCGCTCAAGGCTTCATCAGACCAGGTAAGTCCTAAGATCCATTTATTCGAGACTGAGTACTAAGATCGATCTTTGTGATGTCAAAACTGATACTCCAACTCTTACAGCCTAAGAGCAGCACAGAACATACAAAATCGACAAGACTCTGGGTGAAGACCTCTTCCAAGTTTAACCAGTCGTCTCGGTGCAAGAATTTCAATCTCCCGAATCACCCAAACCCCACCATGGACAAGGATCTCAGCTCAGCTCTGGTAATCTAACCAAGTAACCTTTTACTATGCATTGGATTATGTTTTCTGGCTAGTATGATCCTCTTCTTGATTAATGACAATGAATTTTAAAACTCTAGCCACTCTATAGCGAGCCGGATGTATTATGTGATCGTAAAGTCTCTCAACTGATCAACACATATGATCTTTCTTAATTATCGAAGATCATTGTTTTGCAAGATCAGTATGCGATCATATAATATAATTGACACACCATAGAGTGGTCGTAAATTCTTCCGATTTAAAATTGATTTGAAATAAAATGTTAAATTAAAGTTTGTGTTTAAAATTATAATCAAAACAAAGTCAAAGTAAATAGAAAATTACGAACATCATGAATCAATAAGATAAGTAAATAAAATTACAATTGAGATATTTCATATATATGTATCAAAAAATGGTCCACATAAAAGTAGTTGGCCTTTTGCAACATTACTTAAGCAAAATTGTTCTAATAAATCAATAAATAAATAAATAAGTAATAATAATGGAGTTGGTCTACAAAAGACATGTAGAGATTTTAATGTGAAGACGTTGATGTTTAGGGCAACGCCGGGGGCATTTCCGTCACGCCGGCCTCATCACGAGGGCATTTCTGTCATTTCAGTTATATATGGTGAAATGAAGAAATCACTCCAAAAAGCTTTTTCATCTCTTTTCTCTTCTTACAAAACACATACGTAGTGCCTAAAATTCCCTGACAGGAAATTTTTACACGGAACACGCGCACAATCGAACAAAATTTTGAATCCCTAGCTTTGTGAGATCGCTCGCCGCGGATGTTCGCGGCTCGATTGGTGGTGGTGGTGATCCGACGAGCATAATTAGCCGCTCCTTGATCTGATCACGGCTGCATTTCTGTTAGGTATGTATGCGGGGGTGGTTCGTTCCGGCTGGATTGATTGATGAGCGTGTGAATTGCGGGGGAGGGAATTGGGATTGATCTGAGGTTTTGAATAGTTTGGTTTTTGGGGGGGAGTTAATCGTTGTTGTTGTTGTTTTGTTGCAGCTGGATTTTGTGTGGATGGATGATCTGGAGTTCTGCTGTTGATTTTATGCTGTTTGTAGGTATGTGGATTGGAATCGTTTGGTTTTTTCTTAATCGTGTGTTTTTTTAGGTTTTTCTTATAGGTGTGTTTTTAGGTTTTTCATCGTCGTCGTTGGATTAAATTAGCAAATCTGTCTTTTGGCGCTAATTTTGTGTTATGGTGGATCTGTGGCTTCCGAGGAAGCCGTAGGGTTTTCTACGCATGTGGTTTGCCAACTGTTTTCTTCAATAAATGGGTTGTTCTTTGTGTTTGAAACCCTAATTTTAATCTGCCCTAGCATGTGAGGAATTAGGAATTGAAGAAATCTGATACTTTTGACTGCATCTAATGGTTTGCTTAATTTTTTTTAGATTCGCATACAAAGAATCCTGGAAGGATATCATATGTCAATTAGCGTGCTTCTGCTTGATTGTAATGAAATAACGGCTGCTAAACTTGATAAGTTTCTACATTTGAAATAGACTGATTCTCTTTCGATTTCACTTCCACCGTTCTTTTAATTCAATACAGATTTACATTGGGTTATGCTTGCAGTTTGTAATTATGTCAGTATTAACGAAAGATTCGGTTAAATCTGCTCTGGGTTTTACAAATCAGCCTGATTTGTTGCCCTGTATATCAATTTTGTTTTGGTGATTGATAGCCATTGTTGTGAAGCTTTTTTGCAGAAAGTTTGGTGGCCAGTAGCTTAAAGAAAATGGAGACAAATACCTGCAATGTTAACCACTTGAATGCAGATGCTCTTTTACCGCCTAGAAAGCGACTACTGGCTGGATTGAAGAGGCAGAGCTCCGATGTTCATTCTTTAATGCCAACTACTACTTCCCATAGTTCAGAAAGTGAATACAACGCTCGCCTTAATAATCTGATGAGGCTTCACTTGAGCAGCGACCGTAATCTTTCAAACGAGGAGATCGTTGAAGCCTCTAGATGTGCGGCTATAAGAGCTGCAGAGGTTGCAGAGGCTGCAAGGGCTAATGCTGAACAGAAGGCTGCAAAAGCCGCAAAAGCCATGGCTGCAGCCAAGAGTGCTCTGGATCTCGTGGCTTCTCTTTCAGAAGAGGCGTCCGGAAAGGAAAAGCATCAAAAGAAGAACAAGATGAAGAAACACGTACCTGTACAGGCTTTTTACAATAGGAATAAGAGAAATACTAATTGTAAGACAGATGAAGAATTGGCTCGCAAGCTGCATCAGGCCATTAATAGTTCCCCACGAATTTTGAAGTCTGATTCGAAGAATCAAAAGCATAAAAAGCTCAAGACTAGTATGCACAATGGTGTGCCTCTCAATCAGGAAGGCCCGAGCAAGAGTAGTAATGGTGTAGGAGGTCAGGTAGACATGGAAGGTCCCATAAAGGATATAGACATGATTATGGTAGATTTGAACACATCGAAACATGATGACAGAGACAGAGACAGAGATGGATCACCACCAAAGCTAGAAAACGGAGTTAGCATTCCCCCAAAGGATAATAAGTCTTCTGAGTCACCGGACAGCACTGGTAAGAAACGGGGACGAACTAAGCAGAAGAAATTGCCCTTGAGCATTTGTAGTTTCCGGGATCAGACCAGCAGCCCGAAGGGCGGGGAGATGAAACCCCGAGGCGAAGATTGCATGGACAGCCATACTGCAACCACGACTTCTGGAGACAGTTTAATGCCGTCGTGGAAATGCCAAGCGTTCAGGGCGCCACAAACGTGCATTACACAGAGTAAAGTTATGCAGTCTTGACAGATAGACAGACTATACATACAGACAGACAGGCGACAATCATGACGACCACGACGAATATGACTCCTCCACCGAGGCTGTCTAGGTACGTAAGAATTTTTACTTAGTAATAATCTGGAGGCCTTGTTTTTTGTTCATTTCTCTTACGGTTTGTGAGCGAGCACATGATTTTTACTCTCATGATTTTGAACTTAAATGTATATTATCTATATCTATATACATATATATATATGTTTGATGGCTTGCATGTGGTTTTGTTGAATGGCCTGCCTATATAGATTATATACATACATATATATATATATATATAGCAGCACATATTCATGTTGCCTGTATTTGTCATTCTTTCTTAGTTATTGAATTTTGTTGGAAGAATTTTTTTATGTTTTTTTCTTATGTCAAATCTATTTTCTCACTGTAGATTTGAATTGAATTGAATTTATTTTGTTGTTGTGTTACACATTGGATTGCAGATTAATGTTGCATTCTTTCTTGCTTTTTTTGTCATTGAATTTTGTTTCTTTGTTTGTTTCTCTAGAGGTATGTTGGCATTTTTTTTTATGTCAATCAATTATATGTCTGTGTTACATATTGAATTGCAGATTGATAATGTAGCCTATATTTGTCATTCTGCTTTGTTTTTGGTTAGTTTTAGTTTTGTTTCTTTCTTTAGAGGTATTGTTGGGATTTTTTGAGGAATTTCTTTGCTTGTGGTAAAGTGATGCATTTTAAGTTTTAGATATTCACCTAAATACTTTTAACACTTTTGGTATTTTTTTTATTTTTTTTTTATAGTAAATTACTCCCTCGGTCTCAGAAAATATGGGACTATTACTGTAGATACAATTAAAAAGTAAGTGTATTAGTAAAAATAATTATTATTTAGTAAAAATAATTATAGATTTAGATTAAGATTAAGATAAGTAAATAGTTTAATTAAAATTAAAAAAATTATAAATTTTAAAATTTAAAATGCGATTAACGTACATAATTATATTTTCCAAAATAGAAAGGACAAGTGGGACGGACACAAATTATGTGGGACAGAGGAAGTAAAGGATAATGCTCCTTCGTCATTCAATTGTGTCCTTGTTTAACTAGGCATTAGTTTTAAGAAAAATATTTAAAGATAGAATTTTTTTTATATTTTTTTAGTAAAGAAAAAGTAGAATAAAAAAGTATTCTTTTACTAAAAATAAAAAGGGAAATAAGTTTAGATGACAATAAAAAAAAATAAAATAAAAATGAGAATAAATTTGAACCATAGGGAGTAAAGTATTTTATTAGCCCATAGAAATGTATAAAGTGATTTTGATATTTTAACATTATTTATTATCCTAACAAATTTAAGTGGCGGGCCATCCCATTTCTGCTTTCGGCTGTGCTCGTGAGCTAACTGTTTGGGCCACACATCGGGCCGTGCGTCGAACCATTTGTTGGGCTGTTCACTTGGGCTATGGCAATTGTGCTTTTCAGATAATAATAGTAGTAGTATATTTTAAAATTTAAAAGAACACTCATTTTATTGTTTTTATATACTATACTTAGTTTATACTCCCTCCGTCCCAGAAAATATGGGACTATTACCGTACATACGAGAATTTAGGTAAAGTATAATTAGTAAGTAATTAAGAAGTATATTAGTAAAAATAATTATTATTTAGTAAAAATAATTATATATTAAGATTAAGATAAGTAAATAGTTTAATTAAAATTAAAAAAATTATAAAATTTAAAATGTGATTAAAGTGCATAATTATATATTCAAAAATAGAAATGACAAGTTATGTAAGACGAACGAAAATAGAAAATAGGGACAAATTATGTGGGACGGAGGGAGTAATAATATTCTAAATATGACATCAAACTTATTTATATCAAATTATAAAACTATCTCAATTAAAAATATTTATTTATTCAAATTCTAACTAGACAAGATAGATGAGTAAGTTATTAATAATAAGTTTTTATATAAATAGTATTGTTAGTATTTTAAATATTTTTAATATTATATCTCAATAAAATATATACAATATGAATATTATTTTGTAGATAATATAATTTTATATAATACAAATAAATAAAAAATTATTTACTTATTTTGTAGATAATATAATTTTATATAATACAAATAAATAAAAAATTATTTACTTATTTATAATTAACTAAAAACTAATTTTATAAAAAAATAAGATATTTTTAATATAAAAAAAAAATTATTAAGAAAATAGATAAAAATAAAAAGGATTTGAGTGAATTTACGTATAAAAAGTTATAAATTTAATTAAATTGATTTATATTTATTAAATATATTTAAAATTAATAAATTTATTAAAAATATAAATAAGTCATTTTTTAAGAACGAAAAAAAAAAAGAAAAAAAAAAAGTTATTTGTCGCATAACTGAAGAGTACTCTTCATCCTAATTTTTTACTATTATTTAAAAATTTGAACATTATAAAATTTATGAAAACTATATTTATTTGCATACATTTTTTCTTCTTTAACAGATGTAGTCATTTTTTACAAAATCCACTTAAATAAAATCCCATTAATTTTTTAAAAATAATAAATAATTTATTATTTATTAGTAATAATACTGTGTATATATATATATATATATATAACAATCTAAGATGGGAAAATTTAGAGGGGAAGCAAATGGAGATGCTGTCTTTTGTATATTCTCTTCTTTATCTCTGGTTAACGGATAAATGCTTCATTTGCTTCATTTTATATTATTATAATAATAATTATTATTATTATTATTATTTTCCTACATAATTAATAATATTAATAAATGTTTGATTATGTATTACTATATTTTAATTGAGTATTTTATTATGAGAAATGCAAATATCAAATTAAATTGCTAAGAAAGCAATAATTAATTTGGTCTTTTTTTTTTCTTATAAAAAATTTAAAATAAATTTAAAGCAAATATGGAATATGAGATCCTAGCCACACAAATTTTGATCATGTATTATTGTTATCTTTTTTTTTTTCTTTATATAATTCTTTTTTTGCCCATCACATCGCCACTCATCCATTCTTACCTTATCTTTTCCCTTTCGTTCCATTTTTCCTTTTCTTTATATTTATATTTATAATTTAACCTTTATTTATATTTATTATTGATATATTTTACTAATTTAATATATATTTAATAAATATAAATTAATTTAATTAATTTTATAATATACAACATCGCACGCAGGACTCAACTTTTCATGATACTCCTTCCATTTAGTTGTAATGGTTTGTTTGCACATAAATTTTAAAATAATACTCTATTCTTACCTATAATGTTATATATTTTTATCATTTCACATTTTATATACTCCATTCGTCCCATAACAAATTATTCATTTTTTCATTTTAGTCCGTCTCATAACAAAATAATTATTTTTTTTAGTAACTGTACTATCTACCTAACATTACAAATATCTTACAATTTACAATATATTACACAAATGTCATTGTTTATATCATACATACTAATAAGGTTATTTTAGTTATTTCTACTTTATCCCTACTATATCCCAATATAATACTAATATTTTTAAAACTACCTGCAAAAAGCTTACTTTTGGAACGGAGAGAGTAATTCTTTTAAAAAATAATTATACATTTTAGTTATATTTTAAATTTTATAATATATATATTTAATTTTAATAAGACTGATTAGTTATTTTAATAGTATTTTTATTTATATTAAACTATTTATTTTTTATAAAATTAATTTATATAAATTATAAATAAATTATTTTTTATTTTTTATTTGTACTATTATATAAATTTTTATTACTTACAACACAATTTCCATATTACATATATTTTTATTGATATATAATTTTAAAAATATTTAAATAAATATTCTATACTTCTTGAATATATTTATGAATGAATAAGTTATAAGAGTATAAATAAATTAAAAAAAATATTAATAATAACAATAATAAAGAGTAAAATAATACCCAACCCATTGTTTTTTGTTCCCAAAAAAACACAAGACAAACTCAACTAATCAAGTGATAGAAAATCAACGGCTGGATGCGATTAGTCAGATGAGATAGAGTGATCAGCGCCGTTGATTGAGGGCGTACGTGGCGAGCGAGCGTCATTACCCGACAAAGCGTTTACGAACAGAGCTAGGGTATCTGAGGGTATTTACGTCTGTTACATAAAGTACAGGGGCAATTTGGTCATAATTCCATCTATAAATATGTGGTGAAAGAAGACGACATGGCCTCCGCAGCTCCGCTAAAGCTCGTTATTCTTCGCATCTCCATTGTTCTCAGATGCTGGACAGAGCATTCTAGAAGCCGGTGGAATCACACGGCTGGCGTCGATCGGCGGGGAGTTTTAGGGTGACGGACGCCGTCAACAGGACTGTGGTGATCTGATTGAGGATATATACGGAAGCGGTGGTGCATTCGTTGTGTTCTTCGCCGGAGATAAATTTTGCGGCGGAGGGAATTTGTGTGTGGAGCGTGACCATAGCGGTGGAGTTTATATCGTGAGATATTGTGAGACGTGGGCCAGCGGAGGAGTTTCGATTGACATCCGAGGAGTTTTTGGATTTTAATTTATTGAAACGTTGAAACAGGTATTTGATAGCCTAAGTTTTTGATAATCTGCGTGATTTGTGTGTTGGTTGTGTTTGTCGCATCGTCTCCGGCTCTCCGCCGTCGTTCGATCTAGGCAATCTGCTTTTTGGGGATCAGGATATGTGGTTTTGGACGATTTCTAGGGTTTCCCCACTGGGGATGTCGAGATCAAAATCTGAGTATTTTTTAGGTCAAGGTTACGACGGGTGAAGCAAATAACGAGCTGGTTCGAGCTGATGATCTGTATTTGGGGATCTTTGGTGAAATACTGATTTCGAAGATTTGATTTGGTTTTTCATGGCTTCTGCTGCGTCTCTACCGTATAAAAATGGTTGTTTATTGTTAAAAAACATGTTACAAGGCATGGAAATCTTCTTCCGATAGAGATCTCGTTGCAGAGGATTGTTTTTCTTTTGCCTGTTCAGAAGTGAGCCTTTTTTTTCAATCGTTGTCTCCGATTTACCCGCCGAAGCCTGCGTATTTATAAAGTCATCGATTTCGTTTTCTTTACGAGAGTTGTTGTCGATCTATCTACTGAAAATTTGCTGCCGGATTTTCTCCTCCCTTTATTATGTGTGCAAGTTCTTTGGTAGATCAAAGGCTTCGGGATACTGCTAGATCCTTCCATTAAAATATACTTTGCAGATGGGTTTAGCTTCTGGACGTTGTTTATATAAAGCAGAAGCCGACAATAATCAAATCTTTTTTTATCCCCACATCTTGACAGCTGAAGGGTATGATCTGTTTGTATGAGAGCCCATCTGGAAACTTCAATTGTCATTCCTTAAACTATGCCTGAACGGCTCTGTTTTGATCTCAAACTTCCTGCCCGTTTGGATTCTTCCACTTAAATTATTGTTCTTAAACTATATACCCAGAAACATGGGTTGTCTTTGAACGGAAAATGCTGAAAATCAGCCCTTAGTTCTGATCAGTTTTGCTTTAGAACGTATAACAGATAAAGTTTTTGGAATCTGGAGGTTTTGGTTGTTAGTTCATAGCCTTCCGCTCTGAATCTTCGAATTACTTCATATTTTTCGCAGTAGTGGTTGCTTGGAGAATTTTGTATTGTGCCATGGTCCCGTGGTCTATCTGTGGATGTGCAGATATTTCTGTTATTCTACTGATCTAATTTGCTTTTAGATTCATGTGAAATGTGGGGTTATTGCTGGAAGAATATACATTTATGTGCATTCTATTCATATATATGAAGCTTCTGTTCTTCTGAATCATTTTATACTGAAATTGACAGTTTGAGTGTTCAAATTATTTTCACTCGACACTTTTGTATTCGACAAGCCTGCTTATATCGTTGTCTAGAGGAAATTTGTGAAGTTGTCTGCTTGTGGAGGAGTCAAAAGAAGAATTTTTGTCAGTAGAAGGTTTGGAGTTGATGGGATAGAACCGTATCTGCAAAATGCAAGGAAGCGTGAGTCTTGAAGTTATGAACTCCACAAATCCCGAACTTAATTGGAAGACTGTGACAAAAGGAAGGCGATCCAGGAAGTCAACAGCTAGAAGTTATTATGGTATTTCTAAAACAGGGAATTCCATTAGCCCCAAAAGAGTAGGAGATTTCTCCGGATCTGATTCAGACAAGGTATTTTGTCTTGTATGGTCTTAGTTTAATGTTTGTATATCCAAAATGAATCCTTCAGTTACTAACAATCATTATCTGTTGACACGTGGCAGTTTACTGAAGTTGTTTGTGGCAAATCAAGTCCCGGTAACTCAGAGAATGTGCCGATCAAGAAAAGACGGCATTTACTTCAGACTCCATTGTCTCATCAAGAATCTGCAACTCCACGAACTCATCTCTATTCAGAAGGCCATGAGGAACTTATGTATTCTGGCTATTCTTCCAGTCCGAGGATATCTAGCAAAAAAGGAGGAGGAATTGATTCTGCAAAAGTTGGATTTGGCGAAGGGTTTGACCATATACTTCTCCGTGAGTGTAAATATAATGATGCAGGGTGCGACTTCTTTGGTATTGAACTTCTGGCTGCTGCGGCAAGCATGGATGTTGATAACGATGATAATGATAATGACAAGAAAGGCGTTCTTGTTGCTGAAGATGATTCTACCATACCCGATAACTCAAATGCATCCAGTTCTGCAGCACAATCAGAAACATCTTTGAATGTTAATAAGTCGGAGAATTTCCCAAGTCCAGCTGTTGCGAATGAGGGTAGTGATTGCTCTTTAGTTACAAAATACTCAGCTTCAGTCGCTGAAGGCTCGAGTAGAAGTGCAGTCGGTGAGTGTGCACCAAAAGTAAACAGACAGCATTGGGATCTAAATGCAGTGATGGACGCTTGGGTTGAGCCGTATGATGATAATGGCAGCCATATTGGAGACGAGCAGATTGTTTCTATTGATCCCGTATTCTCTGATCCTACTGGCACGGGAGATGAATTAATTGGTACAACTTGTTCTGAAAAGAATACGATGATACCTAATCGAGCTATTGAAAACGATCTTGAAGAAGGCGCTGATGAGAAGAATCAAGATCAAAATTTAAGCTCTGATATCCACAAAGATAATTTGAATCAACTCTTTAGAATGGATAATGCTACTTTGTCCTATGTTATGGTCTCTGAGGAAATAAACAGCACCCGATCGGAAACTGCAGCTGTAATACAGAAAGATTGCTCCAGTATTATGAACAAAGTTGAGAGCACTGCAATCTCTAATGGGATTCAGACAGTTACTCAAGATATCAATGTACATTATTCGGCAGCCGCTGAAATTTCCGAACCTGCACTTGGTATGTACTTTTTATTGATCTTCTTTGGTGATATGTTAATTCTAGATCTTGTTTTTGGTTTATTATTGTTACACTTTTCGTAATATCGAATTTTCTTGCTGCAGACACTTGTATTCAACTTGCACAGACGATCGACTGCAAGATTGAAAATGACGAAACTGTCATTCCTGGTTGCTTAAAATCGGATCGATCCATTGCCACCAATGTAGATAACAACTTCCCTAATGAGGGGTGGAAGGGGATTGCCATAGAAGACTCGTGCAAAAGCTCTAGCGTTGGACTACAATCTGATGGTCCATCTTCTATCGAAAAACTTGGATCGAAAGAGATTACTGTAGAAGACTCATGCAAAAGCTCTAGTGCTGGTCTGCAGTGCGACGTTCCGTCTTCTTCGGTCGGGATAATTGTAAGCACTTTTGATAACCAACACGATTCAGACGTTTCTCAAGACGATGGAGATGAATTGACTAGGTTCGAGGAAGGTTATGATTCTCCATACGAGGATGGAGAGTTAAGGGCTTCGTTTTCATATTCTTGGAAGGACAACGAGTTGGAAAATGAGTGTGTCGACTACGAATCTGATGGAAGGAATAGAGATGAACCTAATGCTGTTGATTACCCTGTGTCGGAGATTGTGGAGGATGGTTCGGAGGGTTCTCATAGGACTCAAAGGGGAAATTCATCGGTGAAAAGATTACCCAATGATTCCGACCATAATGATAGAGGCGGGAAGGGATCGAATGCTGGATCCGGTACCGCCGTTGAGCTGTCGATGGAAATAAATGTCGGGGAAAATGACGAGATAGCGAGAAGAAGACAGGTGCGTGATGGAAGGGAGACAGTCGACGTTAAAATGTCGCAAATGGATGAATATGCATCGAAGATGCCAAGAGGCAAACTTCAATCTCGTATCGAAGCACGATCTTCTTTGGATCCGAACAACGGGAAGGACGGCTTCTTTGATCCACAATGCAGGTATACGTTTATATTTCGTTCAAAGTTGACGAGTTTTTATTCGTGTTGTATGAGGTTCTCATTTTCTTGTTTTATTCCCCAGATCACGTCGACCTGGTTTTCGACCTGCTGTTAATCACGGTGACAGAGAAGGCGATCGTCACATGGCATCCTGGGGATCGAGAATGCGGTATCCCTCGAATTATCCGGGATCCGATTGGCGTAATTACACCCGGCCGAGAAGCAGGTTAGATGTCCAAGATCCGAGACAAATGGGTAACTATATGTTGAAAGGCCCGCATAGACCTCTGATGAGATCGTCTTCCGAGAGGGAAGATTATCTCTCCGTGCAGAAAAGAATCCCGATATCACGGGGGGTCGGAAGCTACGGAAGTAGGGGACATTATTCGCGACGCTCGAACCATCATTCTTTCCGGGAAGATTTCGATCCTCTTGCCGACGAATCCGGTGTATTTCCGCGTTATATTTCGTCGAGACGGGACCAAAGCTTCTCCCCGAGTTCGAGTAGAAATGCACACATGCCTTTACCCCGACGAAAATCCCGATCGAGATCTCGACCTCGATCTCCCGGGCTGTGGTGCCCCCAGAGCGACCGAATCTTGCCAATCCGACGGCAGATAATGAGGGCTGTGCCGTTCTCGATACCGGAATTTGCTCCCGATTACGGAGACGGCTACATTTCCCCGCCGCGAAACCACCCCCGATGGGCTGAAGATCATCATACTTTTACGGAGAATCATTTACGGCGGAGGCGATTAGATACCGGGCGGTTGAAATCCAATGACTACTACAGACCCATGAGTCGCCCCGCCGGAAGATTCCCGTTTAAGCCCGGCAATACCGGTCGGGATTACAACTATGACGACAGGAGATGCGGTGGCGGTGAAACGACGCACCGCCACCGCCGCCTGCACTCTGACAATCCTCCGAGTATCCGTCGATTTCGCCACAACCAAGTAGCGAGCGGCAATTTTGAGCCAGGCGGAAACCCGAACACCGGCTATCGTTCCTGACCGTTCAAACTCTGAGTGACGAAAGCGGCGCGCTTTCCGTCCCGTCGTCGTCGTATTTTTTCCGGTAGCCTTAGATTCGGACGAGCGTCAATGCCTCTTGTTATATAGGTAGCAAGCCTTTCCACCCTTCTTTCCTTTTGCCCCTTCAAAATTAGGAGTTTTATTATCCTGCCCCTTATTGTTATTAGTTTTATAATTATAAGTATTATTGTTCTATTATATATATATGTATTGGTTTAGTATTTTTCGAAAGGAAGGGTAGCTGGCCGGGCCGGTTGGGTTGGGTTGGTTGGCTCTGCTTTGTTTTGTTTTAACATGATATCCTCTTATATCCTTGATTCCTCTTTATTACCTTTTTTTTGGAATTTGGGATTGGGATTTTTATTGTATAGTTGTCTTGTGTTTTTTGAAGTAAAAATCCTAGCTGCCCTTTTGAACCATCTCTGATGAGAGGATTATTAGAAATTAAGGTGATGATGCCCTTTTATCTTTACTATGTCATTTCTTGATGGGCCACTCCAAATTTGACTTTGATGTCACATTCACATTTCCATTCTTACATATTGGGATTTGTGATTGTGATATTCTTTTGGTCCACACAATTTGGGAGATTTCATTAACTCTTTAATTAATAGTGGTAATAGTAAAGCTTGAAAATGGAGCAGCAAATTAGTGGGTGTGGGTGGGTGGGGCATCAAAAGTAAAGGAGATATTGAATCCATTAATGAATATAAGAGAGAACATCTTGTGGGATCCCTTGATGTTACATTTGATGTAATAATGCATGTAACAATATAACAATATTATTATTATTATTATTATTATTATTAGTATTAGGCTCAGTTGGAGACACCCCGGATGACAAGATCAAGAATTAAAAATGATTTGAAAAAATTCTACTTATGTTTTAATGCTGATTAGATTTTGCAATGGGATGGGATATTTTTGGGCAATCTTGATTACATTTTTTAATACTTCACTTTGACTTTGTGTACATACTAATTTTTTATTTTTATTGTACACATGGGGTTTAACATATGTTATCCCTCCCCTCCCACCACCCCCCAGCTGGAATATAATGACATCGATAATAATAATTTAATGATACGTCCTCTCTTCTAAACAAATCTTTCCTTACAAAAAACAAAAAATAATGCACATCAAATCTAATCAAATTGTGGTATTTAATAAATTATTGAGTGCTATTTTGAAGCAATACAGCATGAGAGACAAGAACCAAACATGAAACAAGAACATTCCCCCAACTTCCACATCTTAATTACAATCCCATTAACAAACCCTATCCAAGAAACCCTACAAATTTCCCAAAAAAACATATGATCAATTTATCAAGATACAATTTAACTTAATTGAATAATGCCCATCAGAATGTGCACATGCTTGGCTGCTCCTATTTCTCACAAGGATTCACACAAAAATTACTAATAAACATTGTGTAAGTATAAATCAACAATACATAAGATAACGACGAAGTGAGAGTTATTTCATCGACGGAGTTAGAGATTCTTATTGAGGTCGAAAAATAAGATATCATTTGTCATGTCGAACAAAATCAATAGTAAAATATATATATATATATATTTGACATATTCAATTAGCATAAAAATATCGACTTGAGAAGTATTATTCGAATATAGTCAAACTGATGATCCATATAGTCAATAATATAATCGACATGTATCAAATCCTATCAGAACAATATAATCGATGCATATGGAAATGATGACGGCTCGAGGGGCCTCGAGCCCTATCTGGCTTCGCCACTAACAAAAAATATATGTTAATAAGGCATAGATAATACTTTGATCCCGTCACATCACCACAATGTTTATTTGGTCAGATTAACATGTATTATGTAAATAAATAATATTTCTTATACATAATATAATGTATAATGTTATAAAATATTATATGTTGAATTATAATATTATAAATATGTTGAAGTATATATTAAAAATGTTACTTATCTTCGTAACACGCTGATCAGGTCAACTCAATGTTAATAAATACAACAAATGATAAAAAATTTAAGCATATGTTACCATTAATTTCAGTACAAAAATTCGATTTTTATACAATAATAATCACCCACAAATCATACTAACAATCTATTTTCCATACACTTATTAACCTTAATCAACCTAAAAACTACTTTATCTTCACCATCATCATCATCCCCAAATTTCACTACCAATCAAGAACCAACCACTTTCTTGCAGTGGGGTTTCCCCACTTCCCCTTCCCCAAACCCAATCCTCATTTTCACCCAAGTTCCCTAACCCTAATCGGATCTCCAATTCCCCCAAATTATTCCAACCTTAAATTCTGCTGAACTACCTTCCCAACAAGTTCCTCCCCAAATTCATTCATGGCAGCTCCTCAATTCCTCACCCTCCTCATACTCCTCTCCTCCTCCGCCGCCGCCTACACCCCTCAGGACAACTTCCTCCTCACCTGCGGCTCCCCCGCCGCCGCCGCCGTCGCCGTCGACAACCGCCGCTTCGTCGGCGACCCGCCGCATCTATCCTCCGACGCTAAAAAATCAATTTCCATCACAAACCCTAACAGATCTTCCCCTCTTTATTCAACGGCCAGGATCTTCCCATCTTCTTCGACCTATTTGTTCTTCCTCAAAAACTTGGGTACGCATCTTCTTCGCCTGCATTTTTCGCCCTTTAGCTCCGGTGATTACATCCTCAGAAACGGCCACGTCAGCGCCGCCGCTAACGGCGCCGCCCTTCTCACCGATTTCCGTACGGACACCACCGTCGTCAAAGAGTTCTTCCTAAACGTCGCCGTTTCGAAGCTCGAGATCGTTTTCACTCCCGCTAGAGCTTCGTCTTTTGCTTATGTTAGTGCAATTGAGATCTTCTCCATCCCCGACGACTTCTTCATCGACGCCGCCGGAATTGCGTTAATTACCGGCGCCGGAATTCAGGAATTCCGGCGGAATTTGTCGTCGCAGGTCCTGGAAACCGTACATCGGATTAACGTCGGCGGTCCGAAGATAACGCCGTTTAACGACACTCTGTGGCGGACGTGGATTCCGGACGACGAATTTCTCCGCCTCAAATCCGCCGCCGACGCCGCCGTCGCCACCGATCCGCCGAATTACATCCCCGGCGGCGCCACCAGGGAGAATGCGCCGGATAATGTTTACATGACGGCGCGTCAAATGAACGCCGCCAACCGGAGAAGTTTGAGCAATTTGTTTAACATAACTTGGGATTTTCCGGTGGTCCGCCGCGGCGGCGACGCGGCGGCGCCGGCAACGCATTTGGTCCGCCTCCATTTCTGCGACATTGTGAGCATCGCCGCCAATACTCTGTATTTCAACATATACATTAACGATGTCACGGCGTACAAAGACATCGACTTGTCCGTACTTACATTCCACCAATTGGCGGCGCCGTATTACGTCGATTTCGTCGTCGAAAACCCGCCAGAATCGAAGTTTATCCAGATCAGCGTCGGCCCGTCGGAGCTCAGCAATCCGACAAGACGAAATGCGATCCTCAATGGCGTCGAGATCATGCGAATGATAAGTTCCACGTCGACTCCGCGAAAATCCTCCGACAAAATAACTGTGTCGATAATTGCCGGTTCCGTCGCCGGAGGATTCGCCATCTTAGCTTTCCTCATTTTAGGAACTTTCGCCATCGCGCGATGTAAGAAGACGAAATCAAAATCGAAATCGAAGCCTCGCACCGAGAGTGTGGCCGGTTGGACTTCGTTGCGCGTTTTCGGCGGTGGAAGCTCGGAGGCGACCGCGTCGTCTCCCGGCCCGTTCGGATACTACGGATTGAAAATCCCGTTTGCCGACATACAATCGGCGACAAACAACTTCGACGCGGAATTAATAATCGGGTCGGGCGGATTCGGGACGGTTTACAAAGGAGTACTCAACAACAACGTAAACGTTGCCGTTAAACGCGGCGTCCCCGGATCGAGACAAGGTCTCCCGGAGTTCCAAACCGAGATAACGGTCTTGTCGAAAATCCGGCATCGACATCTCGTCTCGCTCGTCGGGTATTGCGAGGAGCGATCGGAGATGGTGCTCGTATACGAGTACATGGAAAAAGGCCCGTTACGAAGCCACTTGTACGGCTCGGATTATCCGCCATTATCGTGGAAGCAACGGCTCGAGATTTGCATCGGCGCGGCGAGGGGGCTTCATTACCTACACACCGGGTCGGCGCAAGGGATAATCCATCGGGACATAAAATCGACGAACATTTTGCTCGACGAGAACTATGTTGCGAAGGTTGCCGATTTCGGGCTGTCCAAATCGGGTCCATGTCTCGATGAGACGCACGTGAGCACCGGCGTGAAGGGAAGTTTCGGGTATTTGGATCCCGAGTATTTCCGACGGCAGCAGCTGACGGATAAGTCGGACGTTTACTCGTTCGGGGTCGTTCTTTTCGAGGTTCTTTGCGCGAGGCCCGCCGTCGATCCGTTGCTCGCGCGGGAGCAAGTGAATCTCGCCGAATGGGCGATGGAATGGCAAAAAAAAGGGATTATCGAGCAGATCGTCGATACTTGCGTCGTCGACGAGATTAAACCGACCGCCTTGAAGAAATTCTGCGAGACGGCAGAGAAGTGTCTCGCCGAGTACGGTGTCGACCGTCCGACGATGGGGGATGTGCTGTGGAATTTGGAGTACGCGTATCAGCTGCAGACGAACGAGACGGCGAACGGGACAGATGGTGCCGCCGCCTCTGGCGGCAGCAATGAATCTCCGGCGGTTGTTGTAGTCCCAGGACCGAGTGTAAGCAACAGCGGCGATGGTACTGACGATGGAACTTCGGACATTTCGACGACCCGGGTTTTCTCTCAGTTGTTGAGTAGCGATGGTCGATAGAATGAGTCGGGATCGACGCCGGTAAATGATCCTGAAAATTTTCCGGTCATATATATATATATATATATGCATATGTAGATAGATAGATACACGAGTGAGTGTTTGATGGGTGTATTGCTGTGAGTTTTATTACATTGCAGCTTTTGGGAATGGTTTTTTGAACGACCATTTTACATATACAAGAAGAAGAATTGATTTGTATGTCATATGTTGCCATTAATTGGGAGATGAATGTATTTTTAGTCTCTCTGTGTTATTATTTTGATATTTCTAAGTAAAATTTGCATCAAAATAGTATAGGTAAGTATTGGAATTTAATTTTGTGTATTTTATTAGAAGGTTGATCTTAGTATAAGATTGTCCGCGGCAACTACAGTGCTAAATATAAAATTTAGTACTATGCTAATATATGATATTATTGTAGACAATAAAATACGATGACTGACAGCACATGCTATAGTCTCATACAGGACATACAATAAATGATTTTAGCACACAATATATTTTTATACAAGACTAACAATTAGTAAACCACCATCCTAACGGGCATGTAACCTTTCGATCGAACCAAAGCCCGATTATCTTCAAACCCTATTCATCCTCGACCGACACTTTCTCGCTCTAACCACGCCCTGCGCTGCTGCCAACATGATCCATCGAGGTTGCCCCTTCACCCCTGCAATTTATTACATCCTCCGAGTCTTCATCGAGCAGCACACGCAGCGCAACTGCCTCAGCTATGGCTGCTCCTTCCCTGTCGAGCCTCTCTAGTGCTTCTCTCACTTGCCGTTTCTTTTTTGCCAGTTTCCAACAAATGGCTCCCGATTTAGCAGACTCTCTCTTCAATATCCATTTTTCCTTCTTCGCCTCGTTCCTTCGTCTGTTCTGCTCCTTTGTGTTCTTCCTCTTTCTCTTTTTCTTCTTCTTAGTATCACTTTGCTTGTCAAGCCTTCCTTGTTCTTCTTTCTGTTTCTGCTTCTTTTTCATCAGTTCTGAACAGATTTTTTCCGACTTAGCCACTAATTCCTTCACTCTCCGTTTTTTCCTCTCCACCGGATCTAACATTTCCATCTTCTTCTTCCTCTTAGATTTTCTTTTTGCAGCCATAGCTTTCATACCATCCATAGTATCACCTTGCACCGAATTCTAATCCTAAAACTTCCCTGTCTACTTACTATACCAAAAATGTCGAAACTTTTTATAGTTTTCAATTGAAAACTCTCCTAAAACCTATGCATTTTCATATATTCGAGTGCATATATCGAATTTAGAGAATGAATTCAGTATTTTCACTTGAAGACTTCCCTAAAGTCTATCAATTTTCATATATTGGATTACAAATATCGAATTTAGAGAATGAATTCATTACTTTCACTTGAAGACTCCCCTAAAACCTATGCATTTTCCTATATTTAATTACAAGTTCCGAATTTTAAGACTGAATTTAGTATTTTCACTTGAAAACTCCCCTAAAATCTATGAATTTTCCCTGATTCGAATACTAATATTGAATTAAGAGAATGAATTCGATATCCAATCAAATATACTAATCCAGAAGTCACAAATTGAATTCTTTGCAATTGAAACATGCTATCATAATACTGGAACAGCATCGAAGACACTAAAGCAAGAACTGCTCCATAGATTTCAGATTTCATTTCAATTAAATCATAATTCATAAAAATTTGCAGCTAATGATGTATAATCTCAGATTTCAGATTAGACAGATCATTTTTGCAAGATATGGAAACTCAAACCCTACATTTAGTCGAAGAGGAACCGACATACGACAGTTAATCCAATTGCTCGATATACTCAAAACTCCCGCAATTTGACAACTTGACAAGCGATCCAGAGACGAAAAATCATTTCGAACAAACCTCAGTTTCTTTCTATACTATCAATTCATCGGATAAAGAGATACAAAAAGGCGAAAAATTCATACGAATCAAATATATAATATAAAATAGAGCTAACCCGGTATAATCAAGGATGAAGAATAACGTCCCGCCGACGACGCGATCAAAACCAGACAAACAAAACACACCGGAAAAACTAGAGAAATCGAATCGGAGAATTTTGTGGAGTGGATCTGCAAAATAACTGTAGCTACGTGTAAAGAGGAAAACTGAAGACGAAAGCAAGCGGCGAAGAAGGGTATTTTCGGGATTTCATATTATCTACCACGTGTCAGTCATAGAGGTCTTCAGATTATGAACTCTCGACCGTAGATCATAATGCAGGACTAGATTGCAAAATAACCATTGTAAGTGACCGGTTATAGAATTTCTGTAAGTATAGCGATTGAAATGAGAATATTGGCAAAATAAGGTTACCCTGGATAATAGATACTCAGCTGCTCAGTTGCTTATATACAGTGGTCGCCGATCTGCCGATTTCCGCCGTTCCTATCTCCGATTTCGGCGGTACGGGCGCTCGTTCAGCCGGTTTCCGGCGAGAAGCAATGATCTCTCTCCAATGTATCGTTAAACCCTCACCGGTGTACTGCCGCCCCAGAAAACCCCCCAAAACCCCGCCCCCAATCCAGTCCGTCCTCCAGTACAACCGCAAGCCGGAGCTCGCCGGAGAGACGCCGCGAGTGGTGGTAATCACCTCCGGTAAAGGCGGCGTGGGGAAAACCACGACCACCGCCAACATCGGCCTCTCCCTCGCCCGATTCGGCTTTTCCGCCGTCGCAATCGACGCCGACGTCGGTCTCCGCAACCTCGACCTCCTCCTCGGCCTCGAAAACCGCGTCAACTACACCGTCGTCGAAGTCCTCAACGGCGATTGCCGCCTCGACCAGGCGCTGGTTCGCGACAAACGGTGGACAAATTTCGAGCTCCTCTGCATCTCCAAGCCTCGTTCGAAGCTTCCCCTAGGGTTTGGCGGAAAAGCCCTAATTTGGCTCGTCGAAGCCCTAAAAAGTCGAGAAGAAGGCGCGCCTGATTTCATCCTAATCGATTGTCCGGCGGGGATCGACGCCGGGTTTATCACGGCCATAACGCCGGCGAACGAGGCGGTTCTGGTGACGACGCCGGACATCACGAGCCTCCGCGACGCCGACAGAGTGACGGGGCTGTTGGAATGCGACGGAATTAGGGATATTAAGATGATAGTGAACAGAGTTCGAACAGACATGATCAAAGGCGAGGACATGATGTCTGTGTTGGATGTGCAGGAAATGCTAGGGCTGCCATTGTTGGGAGTGATTCCGGAGGACTCAGAGGTGATCAGAAGCACAAACAGAGGGTATCCATTGGTTCTAAACAAGCCTCCGGCATTGGCGGGATTGGCGTTCGAGCAGGCCGCGTGGAGGCTTGCCGAGCAGGATAGTATGAAGGCAGTGATGATGGAGGAGGAGCCGAAGAAACGGGGCTTCTTTTCGTTCTTTGGAGGGTAGAATTTTCGGTGGAAGAGCTCCTTTTTTGTATAGCTGGAATGTGGAAGAGGTAATGCCACGCCATTGTTTTCCTTGCTTTGATTCTTGGATGCTTTTTTATCTTGAGATGGTGGTAGAGTTATTTATCGATTTTGTTTACGTTTTAGGTGCTCTTTTAGTTGTGAAGAATATACATTTTGATTGCGATATCTTCGTATAGATTACTCTTTTAGTTAACGTTGTGATGGTTGATTTTTTGTGAGAAGGGGTTGAATTTTCGTATGATTAAGACTAGTATTGATCAATCCACGATTGTTGCTTATGTTTGCTATGATCCTTTAATTATTTGGGGAGCCGTCAGTGTGTTGATTATTTTAATTAGCAAATAAGCAATAACTTCTCGATGCATGTCCGTAATTAGATAGTGTTGCGTGGATTATTATTATGTGCTATTTGTTTATATCATGAATTTGTGCTCTATGTTAACATGCATTTCGTGTTAAGATCAATCGTAGCATGTGTTGTGTGGACTAATTACCTATCAATTTAGATAAGATGTGTTGGCTAGGATTAAGTGGAAGGTGCTTATTAGTCATAATTAACACCCCGACCGTAACCAACTAGTCGACATATCTTAAGAAACACTACATTATCCTAGCTAGTATTGGATATTTGACAATTGTAATTTGTGGGATAATCTTCTTCGGATATAATTGTCGCTTCAAGTATGCTTTGAATTCGTTTGTCCCACGTATCTATTTGAGTCATCTCCTAGATAATGTCATTATGGCACCTCCTACACCATAACACCGCATTGTCCGAAAATTACAAGACCGTCGTCTTGATCTTGTCCCCTTCGTCTCTCACGCTTACTACATCCAAATAGGTTTCGAGAGACCAAAAGAAACTATCATTTTCCTTAGCAACGCGCTTACCTAAATACTACAAAGTTTATGGCTGATTGATATTGCTCATCATCGTTGAGCTATTATGTACCCTGGTACCACCTGCCACGGCCGTCTTGCATAATACACAATCCTCCTCGACGCGGCCCAAGCTTAAAATCAACTCTTCAACTCATTGAGTGCCGTCCGTCCCGAGACTTCCCCCTCGAGTCTTACTTCCCGCTACAAGATTCTAGGATGTACAACTAGCTATGCATTATGTACAACAATGTAGGGAGTTTCATGATGTTTCTACAGGTTCCATGTTTTGGAAGAATTTCAAAAATATTCCTAGATCCAGAACCTTCCACCTAGTTTGATTGAATTTTCCCGATATGCATATCTCGTGATTGTCATTACATCGTAAGGTTGCTCGATTGAGTATCTCTTTGTATAGATGGGTTCACTCCTAACATGTCGAGCAACCCGGCATTTAGAAAGAAGGGTCAAGGCTTTTCAACTGTTCGTCAATTTATTTTCTAGAAAAAAATTATAAAATTAAACACCTATTTTTTATTTTATATATTATATTATAAATCAATTTTACATTTAAAACACCGCATCAACGTTTATTTATATCTTATTATATTTTGTTATTCAAATTTCTCGAAACAAACACGCTCAAATTGGAATTGGATTGCAATTATTTTCAAATTCACAGTCAAAGTCACCTCATCAAAATCTGGGTACAAAATTCTACTAATATTTGGACATTTTAAGTCTCCTACGAACTTCGTTTTCGAGCTCTTCTAACCCACCTTCTTCCTCTTCCACCTCCTGCATGTAATACTAAATAAATTAATTAACTAACTATATTAAAAAATAATACCCTATTTAGACAGGAGTGTTTGAAATGTTACCTTTTTTTAATAATAATAATAATATAAATTAAAAAGAATTATTATCGTGAACATTATCAAAATCTTCCAAAACTATATATTTAAATAAATGTAGCCTAAATATCTATAAAAAAAATGTGAAGAAAATAGACTCTCTCTGTAATTGAAAAATAAACTCTTCATCAAAAAAGTAAAAAAATCATTTTTATTTTTTTTTGTTATAAGTTTTAATATAGTGTGTTTTTTTTTCCATTTTAAAGTTAAAAAAAATGATAAAAAAAGTACTAGCATAATTTTTTGTTATAAAAATAAGCTTATTTTTTTAATGAAATTAATAATAATAATAATAATTAATCTTTTTTTATATATAAAAATGACAGGTATATTTATTTTGTGAGATAATTTGAATGAATATTTTTTTTATATGAAGTATGAGAAAATTGCATAGGGAATATAAAAATAATAAATATGTGTAATTTTGTTTAATTTTTTTTTTTATTTATCAAAGAACACACCCGAAATAGTAATAGTTAGAGGTAGTGAACAACCAAGCAACTAACCTTGTGTCCTAAGAACAGGCCATAAGGCACACCCTTGAACTTGTCCGAATGGTGCAGCTGAAACAAAAGTCAAAACTTCAGATCTTAATAGTACTCTATAAAATAGCATATCCAATTATTATATAAAAATGTTGAAATTCTAATATTTTTGAAGAATAAAATAAATAAAAATTCAATTTTATATATTTTTCTACAATAATATTATAGATGAATGAATATTTTTTTGAATAGAATAATAAAAATTCAATTTTATATATTTTTCTACAATAATATTATAGATGAATGAATATTTTTTTGAATAGAATCTCCATTAATAACTTAAATGGCTACTTCTCAATTATTGGAATTACATTAATATAAATATAGACTAGTTTTGTTTTTCTAGGATTTATTACTCCATCTGTCCAGCTATCGTGTCTAGTTTACCGTAGACACGAGAATTTAGAATATACATAGTCAGTAAATAATTAAAAATATATTAGTTAAATAATTATCGTATAATAAAAATTATTTTAGATTAAAATTAAGATAATTAATTAGTTTAATTAAAAAGTTTTAAAAATTATAAATTAAAAAAAATTAATATGTGATTAAATTGTATAACTTTTTTGTTTTTGTTTTTTAAAAAAAAGGTACAAAATAAATGAGACAAATAAAAACAATGTGGACACGGGGACAAAGGGAGTATTTGTTTAGCTATTATATTTGAAATTTAATTATTTATTTATTTTTAAATTTTAGATATAAAGAAAAATATATATATATACATTATCTACTACTACATCACGTCATATCTGATTCTATTTGATATTTTCATTTTTCTTTTTTAGTCTCGTCAACTAAATTTATCTCATTATTAATTTTGGCAAAGTCAACGAATCAATATTTAATTATTACATTCAATTCAATAATTATTTACAACAAATACCACTAACTTTATTATATTATTTTTTTATTTATTTTACTTTTTAACTAAAACTTTTAAAAATATCCTAACTACCTATACTTTTTTAATAAAAAAAATATATATTTTTTAATGGACGGAAGGGGGAGTACTTATTTTAAAAAGAAACGTGAATTGCGCATTAATAATAAAAAGATACTCCATAGAGGTAGGAAGGGTAGGAAAGTCAAAGTCAAGGGTTTGACCTGATGAGCGGCGGCGATTGTCCTAAAATAAGGTACGTCTGCAATGGGCCCCACGGGGAATCTCCTGTGGACGAGTCCATCGTGGACGAACATGTACGCCATTCCGTAAACCGTTATTCCCAATCCCTATATACATTTTAAAATAATGGTATTAGATGGAAAGACCAAAAAAAATTAAAAATAAAATAAAATAATAATAATAACAATGATAAAAATGGTATTATAGATGGAAAGACAAAAAAAAAAAAAAATCTTATTTTTTGTACTTTTTGAAAATTTTATTGAATTTATTGTCATAAATTTATAAATTGCAATGATAATGTTTAGAGAAAATAGATTTATAAAAAAGAAAAATATATTTGTGACGGCCAATCAAATTAATAAGACAAGACAAAAATAATTTTATTTTATTTTTGGACAGAAGAATTAATAACTAAAATAATATTACAAATTTTATTTGATTTAGTAAAATGATGATGATGAAAAACAGACAATGATCAATCTAAACATATAAAATGAGAGCATATAATATAAGAACAAACATGATGTAAATATAAACAATGCATTAATTATGTTCACATAATATAAATCCAGTTCAAAAAATTTTGACTAACACATGATCTAGACAAAATACATACTACAGTTGATTTCATTACAAGAGATATATTAATACATCACACATATATAATTTTTTTTTTTTTTTCTTTTTAGTACAGATGTTGTGTTAAATAAAAATATAAGACTAATTTTGTCCTTCAGTACCATAACTATTCCATCTATCTAACTATCATATTCTATGTGAAAGATTTAAGGATATCAAAAAATTTTAAAATAGTAAACAAAATTTGGGGTTTCTTTCTTTTGACACCAAACACAAATTTTTATTATTTGAATTATATATATTTTTTAAAAAATATATATGTATATTTATCTTATAAAACATCTCATCATACTTTATTTTAATACTTTATTAAAACAATTTTTTTTCAAACTCATCAAAAGAAGCATACCCTTAAATATTTAATATGATATAAACGACATAAGATAATAATTTTATCTAAAAATAAGTTTATAATGTAAAAATGTAATGCAAAGAAAAATAAGTACTTACAGCCCCGAAACAGAGGCCGGGAAAGATGCCCTTGTGAAAAAATCCGTAAGAGAGGAGTGCGATGGCGGGAACAGCATTAATAATCGCAAAAACATCGTTGAGCTCGAAAGGGCCTTCTCGTGGCCTATGGTGCGACTGTCATTATTCAAATTCAAAATTTTAGCGATTGTTTACTTCTATTTTATTAATGTAACTTTTTACTTTAAAAATACAAAATAAAAAATACACACACAAAATAAATGACCATTGCTAAATTTGCTTATATTGATAAAAATAAATGACGACCTGATGCATTTGCCATAACGAAGCATGCCATAGTTCCTTGTGAGCCCACCTCGCCCACATTTCCATTCCCACCTGTCATTTTAATAATAGTCGATGATATTTAAAAATAAAAATAAATTATTTGATTTATTAATTTGATATAATAATATTGATATAATTAAGAATGTATTAGTGAAAATAATTATGGATAATATAAATAATTATAAATTAAAATTAAAATAACTAATTAATTTAATTAAAATTAAGAAAAAAAATTAAAAATTTAAAATAAAATTAAAATGTGTAATTATTTTTAAAAGAGGAAAATGAAATTGTATATGGGATGAACAGTGGACATAGTATGTAGGACCGGAGGGAGTATTTAAATTCAAATTCCCACCGCATTTAAAAAATAAAAATAAATGAAATGTATGAACTGACTTGCTAAAAATAGAACTTACAGCAGAACCAATGGAGAGAGCAAAGGTACCAACAATTTCAGCGTAGGGTACTTCTCCGCCCTGCAGGGTATTTTAGGGAATTCACCAATTTATAATTTTATGAATTAATTATTTTAAAAAATAAATAATAATAATAATAATAAAAATAATAAATAAATAAATAACCTCCATCTGCCAAGCGAATCTAGAGTAAACCGCCATGGCCGCCATGGAAGTTATACCGAAGCTCGACATAACCGCCGCCACCAGATACGTCAGCCTCTCCGATCTCCTCCTCGCCGCCGCCGCGGAGTGTCGCTTCTCCGCCGCGTCTCCTCCTCTCCGTTCGTCGCTGCTGCTATTGCTCAGATTCTCTTCCTTAAGAAGGCAAGCGACCGTCGCCGGAGTTAGCATATTCCTCTCGCGCCGCCGCGAAATTCCGGCGAAATTGGAGCGGAGAAGCTGATTCGGCGGAGGAGAGGGCGGCGCCGGAGATAATGGACGGAAGCGCGTGAATCGGAAGACGGCGGCGCCGGCGACTGTGGCCGCCATGGTCGGAGGTGTATGCAAATGCAGTTGAATTGATAAAAGTTGAAGGAAAGCTGAAATGAGCTGCGCTTTAAATACTGACACCCAAATGTTCATTGAGGGAATCTATGCAACAACCTTTCGCTATTTTTAATTAATTTTTATTTTTTCAATGTTAATTTCGCTCAAATTTTATTTTTTATTTTTTTCTAAATATTTCTCCTGTCCTTTAACTGTCTATCAATTTCACTAATTGTAATATATATTTAATATTACAAATATTTTTTTTAATTTATAATATATTACACAAATTTCATTATCTTTATATTATATTATACAAATAAAATTAATTTAATCTTTTTACTTTTATTTTTTACTATGTTTCAATATAATATTAATATTTTTAAAAATATGAGTCGAATGAAATATAATTTTTAATTTTTATCAATGTTATAAAAAATATATATACTCCCCTCCTTCGTTCACTAATAAACTTTTTCTTTGATTTTTGTATTTGAATTAAATTAAATTAATATTTCATAAATATATGAATACTTATTTAATTAATAATTATTTTTAAAAAATAAAAATTTTGAATTCAACAAACTAGAAAATTTACTTTATTGGACGGAAAAAATATTAGAAAAAATTAATAATTCAGTATAAATTATTACTCTTTTATTTTACTTTATTTGTCTATTATTTTTATTTCATCCCTCAGTTTTGTTTATTTTTTTTTTGAAAAATAATTTCAACTTAAATTATATTTAACATTTTACAATCAATAATTTTTTTAATTTTAATAATATATATAGCTATATATATTAGTGTATAATAATTATTTAACTAATATTTTTTTAATTATCAACTAATTGTATTTTATATAAAAGGCTCTTCCTCTTATTTTAATTGACCCATTTTATTTTATTTGTCCTATAACAAATATCTTATTATTTTGAGTAAAATTTATTAAATCAAAATATATTTAGCAATGTAGGTCACTCAATACTCTTTTATTTTTATATCTTTTAACAAATACTACTATTTTATATTGAATATTAACTTTTGTGAGACAATAAAATATAAATTGAAAATTGTGTTGAAAAAAATTATTGGGCAAACAAATCCTTAATTTATATTAATTATAAATATAAAAATATATTTATTTATTTACTTGTATTATATAAAATTTTATTATTTACAATATGATATTCATATTGTATATATTTTTTATTATAATATTATTTTTAAAATATTTAAATACATATTCTAAATTTTTTTAATCAAATAAATTAAATACACTTTAAACTATCAATATTATTAATTATGTACTTAAAAAAAGTACAGTAGAAGGAGTACTATTTTTTTACATTATTGACATGATATTTCGTCACTATCATAACAAATATTTTTAAGTTAAAAAAAATAATAAAAAAAATTAAAATAATAATAATAATAATAATAATAATAAAACACGTTCCATTTAATTTAATTTAATTTGTTACACTAAATTTTACTTCTCTAATGTAGTTCAATAAAATAAAATTACTATCATTGTCGTATATATAGGGTGTGTTTGTTTGGGGGTTTGGATTTTGAGTTGGGATTTGAATAGTAAAAATTTTGAATTTGAATAGTTGTATGATGTGATATAAATAGGGTTTGATGTGATGTTTTGAATGTAAAATTGATTTTTAGTATAATATAAAAAATGAAAAATAGGTGTTTGATTTGATGTTTTTGGGGGGAAAAATTTGGATGAATAGTGGAAATCCACCAAAATCCTTCAAACAAACACACCCTGTGTTTTTGTCTGATATGAATTTTCTAAAGGGTATTTTATTGGTAGGAAAATAAGGGATACTCAGTCCAACTAATGCATCTCATCCCTCTATCTTTACCTATTAAATTATTGCATGTGTCTTTCAATATCAATAAATATCAAATTAAAACTGAATCAACCTTTTATAAATTTATACTTCAAATTTTAATTCATTATTTAAAGTAGACAATAAATTAACTCAACAATACATAGAAATAAAAATAACAAGGGATGACCCGGTGGTGTAGGGATTGGACTTGTGACGGCAGAGGTTCGCGAGCGGACTTACGGGGCTGTTCAGTTCAGCCCAATGACCTAAGGAAATTTAGAGATAAGGTTTTATCAAGCAAGATTCAAAATTAACTATTAAAGAAGATCCAAGAGAAAAAAAAAAAAAAAAAAAAAAAAAAAAAAAAAAAAAAAAAACAGCGTCATTTATCATGATTTTTTGTTTTTTCATAATTTTTCTCTACATTATTTTCTCTGTATTTTTTTACAGTTTTATTCCATAAATTCCAATTTAAATTTCAACTTTTGTTCTTGTTTTATCATTCTCTTTCTTCGTCATTTTTTTTTGTTACCGCAAGATAGTCCGGATCCTTTCTTGAAGAGACTGCAAACCTTTAGAAACAAATCGATTCTGGCAGGCTTTCGATTAAGCCGCTGGAGGTGATTTTTTTACGACAACAAATGTATTTTTACAAATTTAGTTAGTAATTAATACTGATTAAAAGATAATATAATAAAAATAGTAAAATTTTAATAAATACTAAGTATTGAATGAAAGTAATAATTAAATATTGAAAATTTAATTTTATTAAATAATAGACTAAATTTAACAAATTAATAAAAATAATAATTTGATGAACGAAAAAAAAAATATATTTATATAATATAGATATGTATGGTTAAAAGGGAATATTTATAAATATAGTATTATATATATAATATATATAAGATTATATGTATATATGTATATGTATAACGTGATAGTTTGTTATCCTCTATTAAGAAGGTATTCAAAATGAATTCTATAATTTATTTTTAAATTTTATAAATTTTATTTAATGATTTTAATTTGTTTAGTATAATTAAAAAAATTAAAAGTTTTTAAATTTAGTATCTTTATTATAATTTTTATTTTATTTTATTTTATTTTTTGAAATTATTCCAATGTGTTTTTTACTTCAAAAGTTACTTATGAATAAAAAAGTGAATACAAACAGTATAAAATAAAGTTTTGAATGTTAAATTTTATATCATAAAAATAAAGTTAATATTACTTTCGTCCAGGAAAAAAAGTGTCATTAGATATTTGTACAATTTTTTTAATATTAGTATTATATTAATTTATAGTAAAAAAAAGTATACCATTATTTATTATTTGTATAATATAAAAGTAATTAAACTGGTTTAATATACTCCCTTCGTCGCGGGTAGTTAAAAATAGTGTAATGATATTTTTGCCCTTATTTTTTTTTTATGTAAAAGTAATAATATAATATAAATTAGGAGTATTTGTGGAAAAAAGTGAGATATTTAATAAAATATTTACTTTGTAATTACGTCCCAAAATAAAAATATGTATACTTCTAGCTGGACGAAATAGAGTATTTTATATTGTAAGATTATGTATTATGTTAGATAGATAGTAAAATTAGTTACTGAACAATACCTTTTGTTTTGTGATGGATCGAAATGAAAAATAACACTCTTCTAATAGAAGAAAGAAAGCATTTAATTTGTTTAAAACTTATTATGACTTGCACAATTTAAAAATAACATTCATTTGGTAAAATAAGAATAATTACACATATTTAGTCAATAATTTATTGTGGTCAATAATTAAAAAATAAAAATAAATATCGAATAGTTATGACTCAGTTTTCTTTTTTTACTATATATTATCTCGGTCTCACGTACCATGTCTGTTACACTGTAGACATAGTATTTTAAGAGGGGTGTAATTAGCAGATAATTAAGAATGTATTAGTAAAAATAATTATCTGATAATATAAATAATTATAAATTAAGATTAAGATAACCAATTAGTTTAATTAAATTTTTTTTTAAAAAAAATAAAATTAAAAAGTTTAAAATGAGATTAAAGTGTGTAATAATTTTCCAGAAAAGAAAAGTGATATGGTATGTGAGACGGACAGAAACGGCAACGTGGATATGGTATGTGGGACGGAGGGAGTAATATTTTTATTTTTTATTTAAAAAAAATTCTTTATACAACTATTACAGTAACAATAATTTTATTAATTGTATTTTTAAAAAATAAAAAAATATATAAAAAATCACAAAACCTAGGGTGTGTTTTTTTTTTTTTTTTTTATAGATAATATAAAAATAATAAATATTTGTAAGAATATTTCATTAAAAATTCAAAAATTATTTTTTAATAATAATTAAATAATGAAACAAACACAAGGGGTTGATTAAGGATAAGTTTGTTTGCATTTCTACCACTAATCACATTATTATTGTTAAAAATATCATATTCAAAAATTATTAATTTCAATTAAAAATCTACTTTCCATTAAAAATATTTATAATTGAAAACGCATCGGATGTGTTTGTTTAAAATTTTAATAACAAAAATAATATTTAATAAATAAATAAATAAATAAATCTTACAAAAAATCTATATCATAAACGAAAATAAATATGTTAATAATAATACTCCCTCTCTCTCAAAACTATAGTTTGAATTGTGTTTGACACAATGGATAAAAAGTACGAGTAAAAAACTTCTTTGTCCTTGTGAATGTATTAGCGTAAAAAGTAGTGACAATTGTTTAATAATAATAAAAAAATAAGGATAGTTTTATAGTGATATGATTATTTATGAAAATGAGACCATTGCTTTGTAATGGATAAAGACGGTAAATATTACTATTATATTGTGACGGAGGGAGTATTATTTTCAATACCTACCATAAACAATCCTAACCACTGCCAAAACACTACCATCCTAATTACTCACTTTCCTTTAAATTTACTAAAAATATTATTATTATTATTATTATTATTATTATTTACTCATTTAATTACGACCGACATACAATCCTACCTATATAAACCCTAACATATATCCTCAAAAGTCTCCAAACAATTTTCAGATTCTTATTTTACCTGTCGTAAGTATTTATAATTTATCCCTAAAATACATTTCAATTATTTTTCTCTGATTTCTGATATCAATCGTTTTCTGCAAATTTTCATTTACAGCCAATGGAGACGAAGCTGCAGATACTCTTCCTTGTCGGAATACTGCTGCCGTTGCAGTTTCTGAAGATCACCGGATATCTACACGACGGCGCCGCCGCCGGAATCCCGCAGAAAATCAATTATCCGGCGATCAACTGCCGCAAGCACACCGCAAGCCTGACGGACTTCGGCGGTAAAGGCGACAGCAAGACCTCGAACACGGCTGCTTTTAAAGCCGCCATTGCTAATCTGAGCAAGGTCGCCGGCGACGGCGGCGCTCAGCTCGTCGTTCCGCCGGGGAAATGGCTGACCGGAGCGTTTTCTCTCACCAGCCATTTCACGCTTTACATCCATAAGGACGCGGTTATTCTTGGATCTGAGGTAAAATTAAATTAAATTTAAATTAACCGTCGATAAATTTATCTTCCCCTTTTTTGAAAACCCTAATTTCGCGAATTTGGGGGTTTTTCGTCAAGATGTTTAAATTGAATGGGGATTTGATTTGCATCCGATTGGTTGATTAATTTCTTATCAGCTTCGTTTAATTTTATTGATCGACGTGAATGAAAGAGGGATTGAATGTTGTTGAAGAAAACCCTAATTTCAAAAATTAGGGTTTGGGTGAATTGCCTGTCTGAAATTGAGGTTTATTAATGTAGGAAGAGTCGGATTATCCGTTGATCGATCCATTGCCGTCGTACGGTCGAGGAAGAGATGCTCCGGGGAAGAGATTCTCCAGTTTAATTTCTGGGACAAACCTTACCGATGTCGTCATTACAGGTATATATATACATACATATTATATATATATGGCTGATTATGGTATATACGCTTGTTTTTGAAAAAAAAAAAAAAAAGATATTGTGTATATCATTGTCACATACATATATATATATATTGTCACTGGTAATATTAATTTCATTTTAAATTTTTTAATCTATAATTATTTATATTATAAAATAATTATTTTTACTTATATATTATTTATCTATTCATTATACTTATTCTAAATTTTTGTGACTATTGTAATTGAGGCACCTTGGTGAAAAGAATGAAGTATTACAATTCTCTAGTATGTGACGGAAATGATTACATAATCAAAATTTAAATTTTCAATCTATAATTATTTATATTATAGAATAATTATTTTTACAAATAAATTTTTAATTATCTATTAATTATATTTATCCTAAATTTTTGTGTCTACTATAATTCGAACATTCTAAGTGGGACAGAGAGAGTATCGTAAATCCATAGTATGTGATGTCTATTTGTGTTGTGCTAATATATGATGTGATAAATTGTGTCACATGTTGTATGAACATATCATATTTGTTAATTTATATTTTATTTATATTAAGACAAATATCTGTCTATATATATTAAGCATTCTAATTGTCGCTATATATGTATGCAAGTTCTTTGATTAAACAATCTAGACCGTCCATCTAATCTGAATCGACGATTGCAGGAGGGAACGGGACTATCGACGGGCAAGGGGCAATATGGTGGAAGAAATTTAAGGGTAAGCAGTTGCAGAACACAAGGGGTTATCTCGTCGAAATTTTGTTCACAAATCAGCTTCAGATTTCGAATCTTACATTCAAGAATTCTCCTTCATGGAATCTCCATCCTACTTATTGCAAGTATGTCCCTTTTCCGACCCGATTTTATCATACATATTGTTGGGTGCAAACCCAGTCTCATATTGGAAGTGGTGAAGAAAATTACACAATTATAAGTTCCAAGTGAACTCTAAATCCAAAGCAGATAATATCATACTAGTTTTGAGTTGACCCAGTCCCAACACATTTAGACACAAATCTTCGGGTTTAGTTTTAAATATAAATAATTATTACATCATGTGTTGTGTAGATTATTATTATTATTATTATTATTATGTATTGACAGTTTATATGCGCAAATTAATTTGCAGTGATGTCATAATCGAACATGTTACGGTCCTTGCTCCCATTGATTCTCCAAACACCGATGGCATTGACCCAGGTACGTTTGTGTTAGTTAAAATTAATCGATACTAGACTATTTGGGTTTGTTTGTTTGAGTTTTTAGATTTGGATTTTTTTTTTTTATAGTAAAAAATTAAATTTAAATAGTTGTTTGATTTCATATAAATAGATATTATTGTCTCTTGAATATAAAATACATTTGTACTAATATAATATAAAAATGAAAAATAATTCTTTTGATTTGATATTTTTTTTTATAAAAGAAAAATTAAATAGTAAAATTCACAAAAAAAATACAACTTTTGTCTTACGTCTGAATCCTTTCTTATCAAAGTCTAGTATTTGATCCATAGATACTTTCGAAAGTTTTTATACATATTAATAATAATTTTTTCAAAACAAAAGTCAAATGTTTATTCCCTTTCATAAAACATCGAACCAAATATTTTAATCGAATACAAGGGTTCTTTCAAGTAAATTTCATAGAAATGATAATCGAGATACGATGTTTTGTAAGAAAAGATCAGCTGATTCTCTTACATTTATTCATGTAGATTCTTGTTCGAACATCCGGATCCGGGACAGCTACGTTGTCTCCGGTGACGACTGCATCGCCGTGAAGAGCGGTTGGGACCAATACGGCATAAAAGTCGGGCTCCCGACGCAACACCTAAGCATCAAAAGGTTCACGTGCATTTCTCCCGACAGCGCCGTGATCGCTCTCGGGAGCGAAATGTCCGGTGGGATCCGCGATGTCCGCGCCGAGGACATCACGGCAATCAATTCCCAGTCGGGCATCCGCATCAAGACAGCCCCTGGCCGCGGCGCCTACGTCAAGGACATATACGTAAGAAACTTCTACGCCGACACCATGAAGTACGTCTTGTGGTCGACCGGCGCCTACGGTCAACACCCCGGCGAAGGGTTTGACCCGACGGCGATCCCCCAAGTCAAGAACATTAACTATCGCGACTTTGTCGCCAAGAACGTGACTTACGTTGGATCGTTATCGGGGATTGAAGGGCACCCGTTTACCGGATTTTGTATATCAAATTTGACGGCAACGTTGGCGGGGCCGGCAACCGCGGCGGCGGAGGTGGAGGATTATGGTGGTTTTGAGGTGGCGGCAGCACAGGAGGAGGGGGGTTATGGGGGTTTTGAAGTGGCGGCGGTTAAGAAGAAGCTTCCGTGGAATTGTACGGATGTCGCCGGAGTTACGAGTAGGGTGGTGCCGAAGGCGTGCGTGCAGCTGCCGGAGAAGTCGCCGGTGGTTTGTCCGTTTCCGACGGACGTGCTGCCGATTGATAGGGTTGAGTTGAAGAGTTGCTCCGTTGGTGTGTGATCGATGTTAATTGTTTTTTAATTAAGATTGTGTGAAATTTTACTTAATACTGAATAAATATATAAAGGATTTCTTTGATCGAGTTAAATATATATATATATATGGGTTTTATATAGACCTTTTTGTGGAATTTTAATATGATTTATTTATTTTAATCTTTTTAAAAGATTATTATATCAAATCACATATTTTAAGAAAAAAAACCAAATCAAAGATTTTTTTTTAACCTCAGAAATATATTATCAAATATATATTTTTTCAATTTTCTACTTTTTAATCTAAAGATTTCGAAACTTTTATGTATATTACTTGGATTTGTTTATTCAATCATTTTTCCATGACACGGACAGACGGTTCATTATATATATTATTTTTCCATAAGATCTCAGGTCAGCTGCTACACATAATTCGCATAATGTAACTTGTCTATAGAGTGCACACTTTCACATAGCGATGACGGATTCTCACGTCATAAAAATATATATATATATAATATTGAATGAGCCTTACTATTTAATCCAAATATTTTTACTTTATTATATATTTAGATTATATAATTATTTTTACAATAAAAAGTAAAGACACAATTGTGTTTATATTATTATTAATTATCTATTACAATTAAAATACTTTTACATTGTAAATTTCGAACAAAAAGTAAATATATATCTAAGAAGTATAAAACATCTATCTGATTTATTATAAAAAATCAAAAATCAAAAATCAAATAAGAAACACAAAATAAAATAAAAACAGACAAATAGAGAAGAAACTTGAGCAGAGATTATTTTTATTTATATAGTACTCCATATTACAGTCTCGCAGCACAGAACAGCAGGAGATTATTGCAAGAGAGACGAACAATAGAGGAGTATTATTTTAAAATTAAAATATTAGTTATAATTATTTAATTAATTAATTAGTTGTTGAGTGGGGGGAGTATGCAGAGCTTCTTAATATCCTTGACTGACCTCTTAATTGGGTGCACTTTTATCTCATATAGCTTTGGCCACAACTTACCTGTCACTGTCACCATTCTCCAAATATCAGTACACTTAATTTTAAAATAAACATTACTTACGTCTCTCAATCTTTTTTACTAAAAATATATTATTTATTTTTATAAAATATCATATCAAAATATTATTTAAATTAAATTTTAAATTAAAAATTCAAACTTAAATCAAAACCAAACATAATAAGGTCGGGCCACAAGCCCAGTTTTTTAATCTCTATTTACATAAATATTTTTAAAAATTTTAACATTATTCAATAATTATACTTTAAAATAATAATAATAAGTAAAATATATTATTTTTCTACAAAATATCATCTAAAATTTAACTTTTTATTATTATTATAAAAAATTCAAAATAACATATTAGCAACAATGTGTTGTGGAAGATACCGAAAATGCGGTTATGTTTTGCATCCCATGCTATGCCATTCAACACATCGATTCCCTGATATTTATTAAGCTCAATCTTAATAATAATAATAATAATAATAATAATAATAATAATAATAATAATAATAGTAGTGTGAAGCAATTATATGTATATGTAAGTATGTATAATTGTATTTATATATATATATATATACCGTGTTTCCAGCGGCCAGCAATTCTTTCCTGTAAAACAATAAATGGTGACTTTTATCCTTAACACCATTTCCAAAAAGAAAGATAAATATATTTTATTATAAAAACATATTATTTTATCTCATAAAATAATAAAAATTATTTCAATCAAACAAAATTATAATTTTTACGATTAAAATCACAAAGTAACAAAAAAATATACTCCTTCAACATCCAATCCAAGGGTATTTTTTTAAAATACTATTATTTTTTAATAAAAATTGAAACAATAAATGAATTATACGATAAAAGGGAGTAGAAAGGAACCTCAAACTTGGAAGGTAGATCCATCCCAACATGCTACCATCTTTGCTCGATATTCTTGCAATACAATCCGTCTATCGAGCATAGTAAACGGTAAGATTCGGAGTTGTTAAGGTAGGATTCATCGATATGTAAGGTAAGAAATGATGATAAAAGGATTTCGGTGATATACGAACCTGCCAAACATTTGCCCATACTTCACCATTTATGTACTCCAGCTCATTTAGGTTGGGTACTTCGACCCCTTTGTATTTGACGACATGCTTCGCAATAACTAAAACGATAACAACATAAGAAAGCTAAAAGGAGAACTCTATAAATTATACAGTATAATGTGTTAACATGTAATATGTGCTGAAATCAGGTGTAAAATGTGTCTTGTGTACTATCGTCGTGTCCTGACAGTTGTACTCTCTCTATCTAGTTCTAATGTTTACATATTTCTATTTTCGTCCGGTCCAATTTAAAGATTTACATTTTTGTTTTAGTAACTGGAGACCCTACCACTAGCTACTAATACATTTTTTACACTAATTTATCATTATACCCTCACTTTAATATACACTTATATCTAATAGTGGTTTATCTTTGATGCGTTATCAATAGGATGCTGAATAATAACGACTATATAAAAATATAGAATCTATAATTATGCAAACCTTTAAATGTATGAGGATCGATGTGATACAACGTTGAAGACCCATCGCTTCCAAATATAATTTTTCCATCCGTCGCCAAGCCCCAACCATCCAACATTTGATGAGTAAATCTGCCGATCTACAAAAGATCGACAGTTCCAACTAAAATAAAACCTTTGAAGGACCAAATATGGACACAAGATATTTTATGGAAAGGAAACACATACTTTGTTTAGTGTCTTTTTCTTGTATATGAAACCGGTAGTCGTTTTCCAAGTAACTTGAAGCAACCTACAAAATATTTTGTTGAATTAAACAAAAGTCTCGACAGAATTGAGAGTGGTAGCTTTGCCAAGTTATCGTTGTGTTGATCAATCAAGAAAGTAAGCATTAACATCAATGTCTACGTTCTACGATTCAATCTGAAATAAAAAAATTTTTAAGGCTAACCTGTCGTCAAAAAGAGTCATCCCCTCGCCAAAGTAAGCATCCGGCATTCGGTGAATAAGCTCAACCTGCAAGCAATCGATATAGTTGGATTATCTTACATGTTTCCTGCCTGTAAGAAATCTCTGGCCAACAATATCGACACACTTTTAAGGAATAATTGGAATTCAGTAAGAGAAAGTTTCAGAAAAAATAAAGTTTGGACACATTCTTAAGTAAAATTCAAAGACTGTTAGAGTCCCTTAAACCGGAATGTCTCTCTTCTTTACCTTCCCCGTCTCTAAAGCAACTCTTCGAACAGATGACTGCAATTTAAGATAAGAAATCAGGATACGAAATCGGGAATAAATACATTCAGCAGATTTAATTCACAGCATTCAGTAACATACAAAAGCCGAAGAGAAAAATATTTTGGAATTATCGAATGCAATAACAGAGTGAAAATCACTCTTGTGGGATTTATTTTGACAGTTTCAAATCGAAAACTATCAATCACTATGTAAAAAGAAAACACAACAGAATACTTCCCCACATTATTGCGTGTTTTGTAAGATGGAAAATTTTGTGTTTAATTGAGACAAATGCCAAAAATACAAATACAAAGAACACAAGTATATGCTTTTAGATACTTTCAGAACAGATATTGCCTATGTATAGCAAATTTGGATGTTTCCAAAAGTGTTTCTACCCGCGGAACTAAAATCATAGCAAGAAACAAAATGCTAGCGAGCAAGGGAAACTTACTAAATAAAGGAATTACGATCAAAAAGAGAAATGAAGAGAAAACTCACATTCCCATACAGTCCTGTTGATTCATAAAGGGTGGAATTTGCTGTATACAGAAGCCCCTGAGATGGAAAAAAAGGCTGATCTTAGTCTCGAAGAAGGAATAGACGACACATTCAACCAATAAATTCACAGCTTCCATAGAAGACTGAAAAGGAAGGGAGAGTGTTTCATGTGTTTAAATTTATTTTAGATGATGAAGATGGAAAAGAATTCGCCGAAACCATGCTAAAAACTCTGTTGGACGACGAAGAAAATAGGATGAATATATGAAATATTAGCACGGTGCTGAACTATTGGAATGCTTTGTCAATTCTCACATATTGTATGGCGAAAAACGGTCGAATCCATTTCAGAAATATGTTGAATTGCATTAGTATTAAATCTGTAAACAGTTCTATAATTTAGAGCTTAGCACCAAATCCAGACAAGGCTAAAAATAGGAAAGCCTGAATAACTTAGACTTAACTTATGTTTTCGAACTTGTCTTGGCGCTATTCATAGACAATTCCATTTTTAAGATTACAGAACACCCGGTAACTAATTTTCATTTAAAGGAATCAAAGATATATCCTACGTCCAAAATCGCATCAAATAAGTATTTTTTATTCAAAACATCACAAATCCAACATCTATTTATGTCATGTCAAACATCCGTTACATTAAAAACATATTCTCGATTCAAAATCGCATCAAATACTTATTTTTCAATTAAAATCTTACATCAGAAACATATTCTTCATAAAAACATCACATCAAACATGTGTTTAAATCAAATCAAACAGGTATTTTCTATTAAGTTTTTACAATTGTCAAACCAAATCAAAACTCCAAAAAATATCTAAACTGAACCTTAGTAACCAGCAAAGAAAAGTACACACACAAGTTATGAAATACCTAAGAATGGCAGGAAACAAAGAAGAGATAATTCAAATAAAGTTCATATGTCATTTTTCAAGAAATGAACATAACGGGAATACATACAACATTTATTCATATACCTAGAAAGCATACACATATGGCTGACGCAAACTCGACAAAAACAGACAACAACCAATACCAATAAGGCAAACCATTTTACCAACCCCCGTTATAGAAATCTGTTTTCCAAATTCATATATTATAGTAGTAATTTATAATCATTCAGTGTCTAGATTCGCAGTGATCTGTTCTTGAAACAAACATTAATTCGCAGCACAAAAATGAAATACTAACAATCGAATGAAATATAGATAAAGACAAAGTGAAGCATAAAAAAACAAAATCACAGAAACCAAAAAAAAACAGTCAATCACACGCAAATCGAAACCTAAAAAACCAAAGAAACATTCTAAAGAAGAACATTATTCGCCAGTAAAACCACAAATAAAATAAAATTAGAAAACAATAGCAATAATCGATTCAAATCGGAACCTAACCTGAGTGAACGCCTCCGGATCATGAGGATACTCTTTCACAACTTCAATGCCGTAAATCGGATCGGATTTCGGTTTCGCGGCGAGGAAAGCGCCGGCGTGTAACAAAATGCTCAATAGAAGCGCGAATAGAGCGGGTGAGGTCATGAATCGGAAAACTGCCATGGAAGCGATGCTAGTTGGAGCTGCAGCAGGCAAATGTTGTTATATATAGGCACAGGGTAGGTAGGTAGAAGAAAAGCATTGATTGATTGAGGGGCGAGGGTAGCCACAGCGACAGGCAGTGGCAGAGCTAGAGAAGAATTTTCAATGATGGAAACGACGGGGGAGAGGAGAGAGAGCAACTGCAACCGCCATAGCCGCCGCGTGAGAATCAAACTCCGATTTCATATGAAGGATACAATTCCCATCAAAAAGTAACACTCCCTCCGCTCATAATACCATTTTTTATTTATGTTCCTCCGAAAAAAATATAAAATTTTCGTCCTTGTATGTTTATATGTATCCGTTGCTTAGGAATAAAATAGATATTAATATTATTAAAAGTATATATATATATTTTATTATGAGATGAACTAAAATTTTAATATATTAGATAAATATTATTTTTATATTGTACAATTTAATATAATTATTTTTGATTTTTTTAATATAAATAAATATAATACTCGTCCGTCTCAGAAATAAGTATTTATTTGCTTTTTGTACGTAGTTTTAAAAATATTAGTATTATATTGAGATATAGTAGGAATAAAATAGAGATGATTAAAATAACCTTGTTAGTATGTGTGATATAAAGGTAATGACATTTGTGTAATATGTTGAAAGTTGTAAAGGTGAAATGAATACTTTGTTACGAGATGAACTAAAATTAAAAAATTAATACTTTGTTATGGGACGGAAAGAGTATACCGTACATTCATCATTTTTGGATAAAAGTTGCAAAAATGTATACATTGGAAAGTAATATTTATTATTTTTTATAAATATATAATATATATGTTATTTTTTTAATCTTAATTAAAAATTATTAATATTTTATTGTTGGATGAATGCATTTCGTGAAAACATATTGAAAAATAAATCAATTTTTTTCATTTCTACGTAACTTTTTAAAATTACATTTTTAAATTACTTTTTCCTTAAAAACTATTAAAAAAAAAAACAAAAAAACAAAAAATATACCCAATACAATCCAAACAAGAAAGAAACACACGCGCATGTATGACCGCATGTGATTTTCGTGTGGTTTTATAAATTTATTTTTAATACTCTCGTCTTTCGTCGAGCTAATGTCCTATTTTTTTATTTGGAATGTTTAATAATTATTATCTTATTTTTATTTTTATACACAAAATTTATTCTTTTTTTTTATACACAAAATTGAAGACAAATATGTTATTTTATAACAAAAATTCTAATTACCTAAAAATACGTGTAGATATCAAATAGGACATTAGTAAACGAACAAAAAGAGTATATTTTTAATATTCATTTCAAAATAAAATTTAATATTACATACACGTGATAGTTTTGAAAGAAATGGTTGTATTTCTTTTGTCGGCTTCGGGAGATTTTTATTGTTATGTCACTGTTTGGTTTATTTGAGCAACACATTCTACACGATAAACTTTGTAGTGTAAGCGAGTAGGTCTGAAAAAGTATTGATGGGTCTCAAATCTTTTTTTTTTTTTTTTTTTTTTCTATTTATTATTTTTTTAATATTCTTTCCCTCCTCCCATAAGTTTCATTTATTTTTCAATTTTATTATATTTAATATTAAAAATATTTTTATATTTATAATATTTTGATGTATTTTTGTATTTTTTTTTGTTAATTTGCACTATATTTTTATAATAAATTAATATTTAAAGATCAAAGGAATCTCTTATATTATGTTTGGTACAAAGAAATGAAGTCAGAGAAATGAAAATTGCCTCATTTCTCTATTTTTATTTCTCTCTCAAATGCAGATAAATAGAGAGAAATGATGTTGCAGTATATTTTTTATAATTTTTTTAAAATTATATTATTTCAACTTTACAAAAATCAAATTTGATCTATTGTTAAAGTATTTAATTTTTACGATCTTTTAAAAAATTATATTAAATATAATATTAAAAAACGTCGTTTATAATTTATAATTTAAAAAAAATTCACCAAAAATATTATTTATGAATTCTCATTTGTTAATTTGTTTTTTTATTCGGTTAATCATTTATTCTTATTTGATACATTCGTATAACTGTTTTTTTTTATATTTTTCAACTGAAACCAAACAAGATAATTGATTCTCATTTTCTATTCAATTTTTTTTCTCTCCAATTTCATTTATCTGCAATTCTATTCTATGTACCAATAAGAGCTGTACGGAGATAGTATTGTTTTATAAATAATAAAATTTTTGTGATGTTTTGTGCATAGTACACTTCGACCCGACCCAGTCTATCGAAACTCGGATCATGTGCCTGCGGTTCGACCCGATTGAGTGATGAATTGGATGATGGGTTCGTTTGGCCTGAACCGCCCTGGACCGCCCTCAAACCAGTCCAATGGGTTTTAATATATATTGGGTTTCCCCGGTTCGCTGAACAGATGGATTCATCACTCCTTCATATCGCAATTTCACTCTCTGGAGCCCTAACTTCCCCGACGAACGCGATTGACCTGTTCTTGGCATTCCGGCGAGTTTGGCCATCGGAACTTGAAGTTCATCCATCGTGGTTGTATTACAACTTGTCCTAAAGCTGTTCTTTGGTTTGATTTCTCAATTCTGCCTTTATGTACTGTTCGTGGTGTGAATTGATTTTCCGCGATGATAGGCTTAGAATCTTAAGATTTCTTTCGATTAGGTTGTTAATCGCGCTGATTGTGCGTTTCTGTGGATATCGGTAGTGTTTGGGTTGAGGTTGTGTGTATATGTTGCTATTCGGTTGGAACCTTGTGTAAATTGAGTCCGAACTCCGTCGATTTTAAATATATAAAAGATTTGATGTTCTTTGGTTCATATGTGTTCGATTGTTGTTAAACTACAAGCGCTAGGTCCTATTTTCGATTATAATTTTATATAATGTAAATAAATAATATATAAATATGTATTTATGATCAATATAAATTAATATTTAAATCACATTATTATTTTTATAAATTTAATTTAATATTCCATTTGTCCCAGAATAATGGTCTAATTTTGTCATTTTAAAACAATAGTTTTATTTTTATTTTTTTGTAACAACTTACATGTCTTTTTACAAATTTATCCTCACTTTTTTTCACAATAATTATATAAAGCATGAGCATTTTGGTATTTTTAAAATATTTTTATATCCACTGTGAATGTAATACTATTATTTTTTAATTTTTAATCCAATCACAAATATCTCTGTTGTTTTGGGACGAAAAGAGTACCTATTTATATCATTACATTAATTATAGTGTAATAAAATAACAATTTGTCTCAAAAAATTATAAAATAAATAATTATTTATTTATTTATTTTATTAAAAAAATAATTAATATATTTATCACTTTTATTTTTATAAAACTTATATAATTAAATTTCTATATATACACTCATACATCAGTTTCGAAGAAAATGATGTTTTGTGCAAACATTAATTAATCACAAAGAGGCTTCATACAATAAATAAAATCGAGATATTTTATATACTTCACTAAAATACAAGAATATATTATATAATTTACCATAATTAAATTTGTCACCGTTGTTTACTTATTACAACACTTTATTATTAATTTTTTTAATAAATATCCAATAATATTCCCCTTTTTTATCTTTTTATATTAAAATATTATTACTTTTTGGACATTATTGCATAGTCTGAAACCATCAAAATATTTTTTAAATATACTTCTTCCATCTCATTTTAATTGTCTCATTTTTTTTTATGGGTCTCGCTTCAATTGATACGTTTCTATTTTAGTAAAATTTACTAAATATATGTCGGGTATTTAATTAAATAGGTGAAAATGAATAAATTTTTGTTCCATATTTTATTTGATTAATTTATTTTTATCTGAAAAAAATAAATAAATAGTTTGTTGTGTTTTTTCTCTATTAAATACAAAATAAGTTAAAATATATAAAATATATATTATATTTTCCTCCCCTTTTTCGATGGAAGGCAGAATATCAATTCTAAAAATTCATTCTAAAAATTTCTTTTTCATTCTAATTCGGTTTGTGGAATCTGTTATTCCGTTCACAATTCGTTCTATCCTGGGAGACGATCGGTGAAATGTCGAATTCGCTTCAAGGAAATTGCGTGCTACGCGAGGCTCGGATATGATTTTACATTCTATCTGATTTTGTACTTTCAGATTTAGCCGTGTCTCATATTTAACCAAATTATTTTCCAACAATCTTGAAGCGAATTTGGGTGGAATATGAGATGGCTCGAAATTCCCAAATCCTCCGCTAATCCGGACAACCGTTGTGGAAGCGACATAAATCTGAATAAATAATGGGAAGAGGTTAACTCCAGTGTTTCACAAGTTTTGTATATTTCATGACCTCAACTATCCCATCCAAACGGTGAGGCAGCCTAGAGGGCTGCTGCCGAAAATGCTGCACTGGCAGCGTATGAACAAGGTCTTCAAGGCCGCGACGGAGGGAGCGCAGCCTGTTGTTGTGACCTCCAACTAGTCTGTTGTTCAATAATAATAATAATAATAATAATAACAACAACAACAACGAGATCCTGAGATCCTGTTGATACCCATGTAAGACAGTCTGTTGTTGTTCTGCCTTGTTCGCACCATATGGCTCCAAGATCTACGCAGGGTCTCGTTGCGTCTGCCAAATAGCAACCAGATGACTTGGTATACAGCCTGTTGCTGTTGCAGACCATGTAACACAACCTGCAATTTTCAGACAGCCTGTTGTTGCAGCAACTAAGAAGCAAAAAAATTCAATAGGCAAAATTTTAAAATATGGCAGTAGGTTGCACTTGTTGTGCCGGAACAACCTCAGAAGAACAAAAAAAAAACACAAATTCTGAAAGTCATGAAACACTCAGATTTGATGTGCAAAAAATTATATATTTAATGGCTTAAGCGACTCCCTAAACCGATGTCTGCCAGTATGCATTAATGGATTCGTCACTCATTGAGAACATTCCAGAATGAGACAAACTTGTCTATGCCATAACCCTTTACTACGATAGTAAATTTGTTATCGGCATAGCATAAAATACAATGTACAATGGAAAGAGTCGACACATTATCCGTCGATGCAATTCCATAAAATTACTAAACACAACTAAGGTTATTACGATAGAGACTATGTTCCGTCAAAAGATAACCTAGTGGATCTGCCAACCAAATGGTTAAACCGTGATGCAGTTTACAAACTGACTAGAGGAATGAGGCTCAAGCCTGCTGAGGAAAAAGTTTTATAAAAAAAAACCCAACCTAAAAAGATTGAAAATCCCAAGAACTAGGTTCAATGGGATAACCTACCTATAAGACTTATGTGCGTCACTGTAGGGGATAAAAGCCTCAACCCATTAACTAATAGTGACATAGTAGAGAGAATAACAAATAATTGCTTTAATGATTATTAAGTGAGTATTGTATTACTCGAAAACTTAGAAAGATCACATATGTGAGAGAGAAGTAAGGCCGCTTCAAAGGAGAACTGTCAAAGCTCAATTCTTTAGAAACCCTCGCAAAACCAGGACGGGTTCCATGGCCAAAACAAACCAAACAATGAGAACTGAACTAGGCACATGAATTCTGTGTCGGTATGTAGCCCACTTACTAGAAAATTGAATAGTACAAAGACAACGTGTCAACTGGACAATTGGTAAAAACTACGTATTATTCAAGAGAAAGTTCAAAGGAAATCCTACTTATCCTATGCAGAATTCATCTTTCTTTCTTTCATCGAGTCATCGTTTTCCACTTTCATGTGGGAGATTGTTGGGTATTTAATTAAATAGGTGAAAGAGGAATAAATTTTTGTCCCACGTTTTATTTGATTAATTTATTTTCATTTGAAATAAATAAATAATCTAATAAATAGTTTGTTGCAACTTAATGCAACATGCAGTAGACGTGGGCAGTATTTTTTTTACACGTGATTAAATACAAAATAAGTCTCATTTTTCGATAGAAGACGGAATATCTAATTCTAAAAATTCATTCTGAAAATTTCTTTTTCATTTTAATTCGGTTTGCGAAATCTGTTATTTCATTCACAATTAGTTTGATCCTGGGAGGCGATCGGTTAAGGGTCGAATTTGTCTTAAGGAAATCACGTGCTACGCGAGGCTCGGGTATGATTTCACATTCTATCTGATTTTGAATTTTCGAATTTAGTCGTATCTCATATTTCACAAATTATTTTCCAATAATATACTCATATTACAAATATAAATCAATTTAATTAACTTAATAACATATAACATAATACATCAAGTAAATCCACTCAAAACTCTTTTATTTATATCTCACTCATTAACAAACAAATATTTTTATCTCATTTAAAAGTTCTATTTTTTTATAAAATTAGTTTTATCTTAATTATAAATAAATATATATATTTTTTATTTATTTGTATTATTTAAAATTTTATTCTTTACAAAATAATATTTATATTATATATATTTTATTGAAATATAATATTAAAATATTCAAACACATTGTAAATTTATTTATAATATAGTAAAAAAAGACAAATGACTTGTCACCAGTCATAGTGGTCACGGAGGATAGCGAATTTCCAGTTATGCCCTTAGGAAATCTCAAGTGCGATTTTATTTTGCAGTAGGCCCAAAATGTTTGGTATACAGTTAATGCGATGGGGAACGGTAATATCACTATTATTGTCTACTTTTTAGCTAGATTTTTGTATTACTAGAATAATACGGGAAGAGAAGATTATTATTATTATTATTATTAGGCATTAATCAGTTATTGATACAACCAAAAAATTACCATACTATTGATAATCACCACACTCAGCCAATAATAATGATAAATTGATCATGATCATTATAGACGCCAGAAAACGGGTCTGCCCCATGATGGAAGCTGGGTCTCACTAACTGTTTATGGGCTATAATTAATTGGAACGGATCGTGATGTGGGCTGAGACCAAATGGGCAATTTGAGTTGAGTTAACAATTACTACAAATATTGTTCAATTTAAGGCTTGTGAATATTTTCTCTGAGAAGCTTTATTTACATACATTATTCATCAAAATTATGTCTTGTCAAAAGCGAAACAAAAACATCGCCAATCCTATCCATCCATAATTTTAACATAACAACTATACACCCCTGCATCCCATGAAAATTGTCCATACTACTCTAAATACGAAAATTTTAAAGAATAATTTAGTAAAAATAAATATTATATAATACAAATAATTAACTCACAATTTTATTATCCTAAACAACAACAACAACCACAACTCAAAACATTTATTTCTTCTAAAAAATCCACATCAACTAACTAGGGTTTGTTAAGATAATTTTAAAAAAATTACCAAATTAAATAATTTTTTCTTCTTATTATCAAACAAACTACTATTCTTTTTTATACTCATAATTCATCAATATTTTTAATAAATTTTCTATAATAAACCACTTTTACTTTTTACATATCATACTTCTGAACATTTAAGTTCTACCACTAAAAAATTGTATCACAATATCTACCACTGTAAAGTACAATATGATCTTCATTTTCTAGTTCAAGAAATGTAGGTATCTTAAAATATAAATAGCTAAAAGAGATGATAATGGGTAGTAAGTTAGATGTAGTAGTGAAAAATAGCAAAACATCATCCAAAAATGTGAAGAGAATATTAAGGATTGAATAAAATACCATAGTAAGAGGTGAACACACAGTTCCAAATTTCCCAATGGAGGAGTCTCTTAAAAAGCTATTAATGAAGGCAATAGAGTAAACTTAACTTGGCGGCGCACCACCGAAGCCGCCACCACCGCGGCCAAAACCCGGGCGCCCGCCACCCTGCAAAGTTAACAAGTTTCAAAATTTGCTGAAAATGAGGAAACGACAAGAAATACAACAGATAAAAAAATAACTGAGGCAAGAACATGCAAGGAAGAACTGTAACATCTCATGGTTTCAATCTTGACAAACTCTAATGAGACCGGATGATGAATTGGGCAGAAGTCGGGACATATGAAGAAAGTCTGAATAAATAGGTAGCTCGTAGAAAAGTTATTATAGGTAATTTGGTCAGAAATCTACACAAAAGCAAAATCCCCTAATGGACGAATGCATATAAATCTCAAAACTATAAATGCAAAACAAGAAACCATTAATCAATCAATAATTGCCGAAAAGATAACAATTCAATGAGTTATATAGCTCAAGAAAAATGGAAATTACCCTGAAGGCAGGCTGGTAGTCAGCTGGTGCACCACCTTTATCACCACCAAACTCACCCGGCGGCCCTCTTGGCCCACCACGGTAACCATCCCGATCACCAAATCGTGGCCTGTCACCATCGAATCTTGGAGGTCCACTATGAAGACAAAACATATGCAGCTATTAGAATTGATGAATACGTGCAAACGGGCAAGATAAGAAAGCTCCGTAAAATAACCAATTTCACACCAACAACACAATCATTCAATCATATTGAATCATCTTATCCAAAATTATACATTTCATTTGGAACCAAACCAAAAATCCAAAATTTTGTAAAATGTTGAGCCAACACAAAGTGAATTTTCAAAAATCAGAAATCAGAATAATAAATTCCAAACCAAACCGAAAAATCAAAAACTGTATAATATGATTAAAAAAAAAAAAAATCCAAACTTTTTTAATGTCCAACATATCATAAACAAGCCCGCTACAGGGTTATCTAACATCTAACTGCTTATAAACAAATATTAAATACAAAAAAAAAAAAAAAAAATCCGCAAAATGTGCAATATATGCACATTCTCATTATAATATATGAATATTTCTAATATATTTCATATTTTCAATAAATAGATCTACAAATCCAAATTTTAGAAGAATTTCAATCCAATTCAATAAAAAAAAATCCTTGGTTGGAATAGATTATTCGGATTTCGATAGCAATTCCACAAAATTCACACGATATGAATGGTGATAAACACTGAGCGTAAACTATAATTACGCATTCCATGACAAAATTGAAGGAAATAGCAATCGATGAATTTACAATGTAAATTTAACAGAGAATTTACCGAGGGCGATCGCCAGGGGGTCCACCCATAGGACGGCCAAGGGGCTTCGCAGATTTCTTCAACGTGGCGGGGACGATTTCCGAAGGTAGGTTGAGATAAGTCCGGAGAAACTCAATCCCATCGTTGGTAAGGTACCAGTAATAATGCATCCACGCGAATGTCTCGCGCACATATTCCTTCGATTTGAAGCTCTGCATAAGCTTAATCACCTGGAGATTTGGAACATCAATCTCCGGGTGCTTCGCCAAGTTGTAATCCTTCTTCGCGAAGCACACGCCCTCTGGCACACAAACACATCTTCAAAATTCGAAATCTACAAACAAAAGCACCTCAAAAAGAAACCAAATTTCCAATCTCACCTTGAAAGAGGTACTTCGAGATCTCTCTCCGGTTCTTCTCGGGAATAATCTGGCCCAAAAAACCAATAACATGAAACAGTAAAACTCGATCCACGAAACATCACAAAAATTAACGAAATAGAATAATTGGAAGCGAATGCGTAGGCAAGGAATTTCAACACTGTACCATGGCTGCGACGGCGGCGCGAGGGGCGGCGGAAGAGTGGTCGACGTTATGAGAAGATACCGCAGCGCTGAGAGAGAAACGATGTCGTCGGAATTAGGGTTTCTTCAGTTTATATAGTGCGAAATAAAGCCCATGAAGCAGAATCCCTTTTAGGCCCATTTAAAAGAGAACCCTAATAAAAATATGCAATTCACAATTGGGCCTCGGGCCATTAAATGGGTTCTTTAATTGGGCCAAAGTAAAGCCCGAAATGAAGTGGCTGTTTTCGGACAATTGAAGAAATCTGGAATTAGTAAATATTGAAAAAATTGGGCCATTTGTAACTTGAATTGGGCCTCGGGCCATTAAAAGAGATTTCTTAGGTTTGTGAATTTCTCACATAATTTTTTTTTTTTTGTTTAAATCAGTTTTCTTTTAAATATATCAAATCAAATAATTACTATTTTTTTATATATTATTAAAAAATTAATTTTATATTCAAATTTTTATTTAAAATTTTATTTACATCATATTAAATAATTATTTGAATTCAAATTTGAAAATCCAAATCCACATTAAAAATCTTTTGGAGTTTCCAAAACTATAAAAAAATATATTTTATGAAAAATATATATTAAATTTAATATTATTAATGACTAATAGTATCAAAACCTTATATGTGTTATATAAAGAGAACTCATTTTAATTTTTATTTTTTTTATTTAAATAAACTAATTAAAAATAATATATTTCAGAATATCTTGCAAAAATTATATACTAAAGATACTAAAATAAAACTTCAAAAAACAATAATCTAACCATATGATTATTTTATAATATATATATTTTTTAAAAATTTAATAATTTCAATTAAATTTATTTTATTAAAACAAAAACAATTTCAAACACAACTGAACAAACCTAACCCTTACGCTTTTTGGTGTTGTGACTTTCCTTTCCTGTCTAATTTGTAGACCATACTACACAAAAAATATCAACATCAAATTCATCAAAATATATTTACATGTATATATATTAGAAAATTCATCAAAATACATATACAAGAGATACTTTTTTTTTTTTTTTTTTAACAAATAAAAAGAAAACATATACTAAAATTCTCAAATCCAAACTTCCTCTCGAAAAATATATATATTCCCTCAGTCTATTTTATAAATCTAAATTTAATTTTGACGAAATTTCTTTTTAAAAAAATTAATATCTTAATTATAAGTAATAATATAACAATTAAATAAGAATATTTGAAAATAAAAATAAAATCTATTTACTAAAAAAATAATTATTTTATAATTAAACAATCCAAAAATAAAAATATATATATTTATGAGTTAACGAATAAAATATACTACCTCCGTCCAACTCTAAGAGTAAAAATATTAAATATAAATATAGCCTTTAGAACCGAATCGAGGGATTATTATTTTCAAATAGTAAAATTGAAACACCCTGTCCAACAACAAAACCAAACACATCCAAACGAAGCGAATCAACCACCAAAACAAATTAGCCAAAACAATATATAGATTTGCATTTTATTAACAAAAATAAAAAAAAATAATAATAAGAATACATCAAAATTTTGTATATACACACAACATACCTTTTATCCCTACAAGAACACCATTTTCCAGCAACATCATCATCATCATCTTTATTTCATTTTATTCAACAATCATCTCCACCTCCACCGGAGAGATCAACTGCACAGCCGAACACCGCCGCCCGATCATCATCGGACACCATTCCACAGCCGCCCCATCAAACCTAGTCAGCTGGCTGTCCGGTTCGTTCGACCATACCATGATGTCATAATAACAATATATAGATATATAGCCCAGTTATGTACCAAATTATTCAAAATCATTCATCCGTTAGGCTGAGAAGTACCGCATCGGTTACATCAAAGTCGGGATCCTTCTCGGCGTCGATCTCACAGGTCGAAAGCAGCTTTTTCTGTATTTGAAGATAGTGTAAGATGTTGAAGCAGAGTATAACTAGAGAATTTAGATCTTACGTGATCTTCGAAATCTGGGCTGGACAAATTGACGGCAAGGTTTCTCATCAGCAATAGTATCTGGTAAGAATCCGATGAAAATCAACATTGTATTAAAAGACAAAACCGGAGAACAAGTAGAGATTGCGTGCCTAACAGACAAATCAAGAATTGGGAACGGAAGTGAACAGAATTTCCATCCCAATGAATTTCGATATCCCATTCATTATTTACAGTAGAATTATGTAAAAATGTAAGTAATTGAAGAAGTAAATATAATGAGTAATGTTCATCTATACATACTTTGTTTTTGTAATTCGTGATTTGATAAAAATATTATATTATCATTTCTTCGATAAATTTGTTCACTGACATTTCTCAATGGAACAATTACTCATAAATATTATTTAAAAAATATAAATATACATACACATTAATATAATATATACATTATCCACTCATAAAAAGTCAACCATTCAACACAAAATATTATTTTTTATATTACCAACACAGTTCCCGATACCATTAAAAAAAAAAAAAAAAAACTTAATTCATCTTAAAACGCTAGTGTGTTTACTTGTGAGGTTTTGGTTTTGAATTTTAATTTTTAAATAGTAAAATTTTGAATTGAAATAGTTGTTTGGTGTGATATAAATATGTATTGACGTGATGTTTTGAATGTAAAATTAGATTTTAGTGTAATAAAATAAATAAAAATTGGGAGTTTGATTTAATATTTTTGGAGAAAAGAAAAAAAGTTAAGAATAATAAAATAAGGGTAAAATCTTACAAGTAACCAGAGCCTAGACCGAATATTTTCCTCTAATGGCAAATAAAATTAGTGAATTTTGTATTGCTCCCTTCATCTACTAAATATATGTATGTTATTTTTCTTTATTATTATTATTTATTCACAATAAATACACTTACCATTTATAACAAAAAAAAAAAAAAAAACTTTTATGAACTTTTTAATTTATATCCTTCAATATTAGACTTATTCTATTCAATTATAATTTTTCAAATCATAACAAAACAAACCCTAAAATATTTGTAATTTTCCTTCTTTACACATAATTTCTCTCTTTCACCATTCTAAATATTTATTAATAAAATCAACTCAAAGAGAAACTAAGAACAAAATAGCAAAAAAAAAAAAAAAAATCAAAATTATACCACCTAAACTACTACATACCGTTTCAATATCGATTGGGTCCATCTTCTTCAATTGCTGCAAATGTCCGGATACAGTCGGATCGAAGACGCTTCCAATGAAGTTGTATACTCGGGCAAAATCTGGAAGAACTGTATTTGCAAAAAGGCGAATTTTGGATAACAAAAGAGCAAAAAGAGGATGATTCACAGTGTTCCCGTAATATAAATCAATTTTAGCAAGGTCATATTGAATAAATCACCTGCAAGTCTCGTTCTTGGAGCGATTTCATTGCTCCCAACATTCGGCTGTAATTTGCCCGATCCAGTATTGCCTGCAAGAACATGGGAAGGAGAAGTTTACATTTAAAATTCTTACCCCCAAAGAACTATAGAGTAAACAAAAAAAGTGCTGAAGAAGCGGACTTGTTGTCGCAGCGGATATGTCCGGACATCTTGGTACAGACACAGAAGGATCAGGATGTCTGATCGACGAGGTGGATGGATTGGGTCTTCTAACATGTCCGGCATCGTTTGTTGCAGGAGGGGTTTGAAAGGATATCTCATGTGGAGTTGCCGGAGCTTCGGGAGATGTAAGAAAACACATCAGCCATTTTATAAGATTGACCGCTACTTGGACTAAAAAAAAAACACATTATCTACCGATTTTCGAGGCTTTTTGTGGATAAGGATGGGCAGCTTTCCTTTTGGGGCGGGGTGGAGGTAGCCGTTCGTTGGCTCCGCTTTTCTGAACTTTCTGGAAATACTTCTGAGCATGGCTTCGTATCTACAAAATTTAAACGGTCGCTCTGTAGATTAAACGACAAGGTTGTAATGTCATCATACGACGGGTAAGAATTTTACATCATCGAAATGAAAAAGTATTTGCCCTAGACGGCATTGCAAGTGTGAAGTGGAAGAACATGACTTGCCTGGATGACTGTCTTCGATCCAACAAATGCTTCGATTTTCTTCCAATCACGGTCGAAGCTGCAGACAAGAACAGATGTAATGTATCACATGTAATAGAGCAAAATTTACGGAAGATAACAGCAACAAAGATTTTTTTTATTTAAAAAAAAAAGAACAAAAAAAGAAAAAGAAAAGGCCAACAGATGTAGTTGATAATCATAGCCACGCCAATCGATTGTAATACACAGAAAATTACTTATCTATCCCCTAAGGTCCCGTTTGGTTGGAAGGATTTGAGGTAAAAGTATTTCAAATGATTTCATCAAATTCATTAGTTTCGTCTCCAAAGTTAACTATGGATTTGAAATTATCTCCTTCAATTTTGTGGCATTTCAAATAGTTGTTGCAACCAAACAATGGCTTTTAATTAATAAGTATCAAAGATTTCATTTTTGAGGTAATTCAAATCCATTTATTTAATATCCACCCTAAAATTCAAATGCATCCAATAAAACAGGCCCTAAAAAGTTTTTAGCACTCAGTGATACTTCGAGAAATAAAACAAACAAGTCATTCACAAGCATGGCTCATACAAGCTCGATTAAAGTTCGAAGGCTAATTTCAACTAGTTTTTACTCACAAAAGAGGTCAAACTTTATTTGTGAACAGGGTAATTAATCCTCTCAGATTTACAATGTTATTTATTTCATAATATTAGACTCAAATTCGAATTATGGCAAAGTTCACTGATTAATATTATCCAGTTGCATTTGAGCAAAAATTGGAAAACCAAATTCGAACTATAACGAGGCTAAATTGAACATCATCTTCAGCTCGATTCTCTTTAGTCGAGTAATCAAGTTGGGCTGGTACACAGCTCTAGTGTAGGTGTGTTCATTCGAGTTTTCGATTTATTTTCAATGCAAACTGTCAAAATTATATTTTCCATTCGAAAAATTACTCCATTAACATCAATTTTTGCATCGAAAAAGCATATTTCACATTCAAGAAAATCTAAATCAAAAAACCACCAAGAACATCCGAAACACAAACAAACAAACAAATAAGAACACACAGTATTGATTGTCAAAACTCAACAATTACACCTTGTAAACACAGATTTTTTCCTCACGGATAAAATCAAACAACAAAAATGAAAACCAAGAGAGGATGAAATCAAACTAAAAGTGCTGCACAAGATAAGAAGAGGATCCAAGCTATCAATTCATCCCAATCCCCAAAACAAAACAATCGAACAGCGCCGAAAAATTTTAAAACCCTAACCCTAACCCTAAAATTGGGAACAGAACAATAAAGTAGAAAACTCACAGGTGCAGGGCTTCGAGGAACTTGTCGTGCTCCGGCTCGGTCCAGCTCTCGCGCGATTTGGTGATGGTGTAGGGCTTCCGGACTTTCTTGGAGGGGTCGTCCGCCGGAAAGGAGCCGAGATTGGGCAACGCCATGGCGGTGAGATCGAATTGAAGATTGGGGTCGGATGAGACTGATTGGAAGCGAGGCTGGGTCATGGAGAGGATCCGAGGGGCGTGGCGTTGGTTGGTTTAGCTTTACGGGTGCTGGCGTTTCCTTTCTTCACTCGCTTCCTCCCTCCCCACAACTGCACTGCTTTCTTCCTGTCCTGTCCTCTGTGTATTGTGCTGCTGGTCGACCTTTTTTCTTTTTTCTTTTTTTTATTCCTCCTCATTTTCTCATCTTTGCGTTTTCAGCCTGTCTACGTGGTTTTTAATTTTTAGTTTTTAATATATGTTTAAATTTATATTTAATAGTAGTATTTATTATATAAATATTATTTTTTATACATGTTACTTTTTTTTTTTTCGTTCGTCCCAAAATAAAATTATCATTTCAAAATTTGATCGAAAAGGAAAAGTCATCATTCCAACTTGACAGGCTAAAAGTCATCAATTTAGTAATTATACTGCCTATTTAACCTAATAAATACCCTTTCAACTGAACTGATGCAGTATTATAAAAAATATATTCACTTAAAAAACACAAAATGTACCCACTTTCCAATCAAGATTTTGACATGTCTACATATTTTTTTTAAAAAAAAAAACAATTTGAGCTTTTTTATTTTAGTTTAAATTTATATAAATTTTTCATATAATATTTTATAGCAAAAATAGTATTACCTTCCCCTATGTCAAGGTCTCGTTTACTTTCCATTTACTTTTGGTGTTAATATTTAAATATTAATAATTATATTAAAATATAATATAAATTAAAAAAAAAAAATCCAAAAATACTTTTTCAATTAGGGTGTGTTTGTTTGAAGGATTTTGGTAGATTTCCACTATTCATCCAAATTTTTTCCCCCAAAAACATCAAATCAAACACCTATTTTTCATTTTTTATATTATACTAAAAATCAATTTTACATTCAAAACATCACATCAAACCCTATTTATATCACATCATACAACTATTCAAATTCAAAATTTTTACTATTCAAATCCCAACTCAAAATCCAAACCCCCAAACAAACACACCCTAATGTCTTATAACAATTTGATATGACTTACCATTTACTCTATTTGTCATTAGAATTAGCTCATTTGTATTAGGTACGAAGATTAAGAAAAATAAATATCTTATTAAAAAAATGATAAAGTAGTTAATAATATTTTTAAAAATTTAATTAGAAATGAAAATAAATGAAGAAATAATATAATATAGTCGTGATATTTATTATAAATAAGTATTGAATAAAAGAATATTAATTAAATATTGGTTTTGAGTTTGTCAAAATTAGTAATCCAATAAATTTAAGCTGATGGAGTAAAAAGAAAAATGCAAACAATTTTAGCGGATGAAACATAGTATTATTTTTCCTCGAAACCCTGGAAAAATCTGAAACAATCATTAGAGTATTTCTATTAGAAAGCAACGAACACATCCAATTAGAGACGGAATTACGTTGTTCTCAGGGGCAGTTGCCCCCTTTTATTATTTTGCCCCCTTAGTTTTAAATTTTTTATATTATAATGTAAAAAATAATAAGTTTTTTTGTAGTTTTTTTATTTATATTTTTAAATTTTATTTTTTTAATAAAAATTATTGAATTTTATTAAATATTTTTAAATATTTCTCTAAAAGTTTAATTTTTAGTTTTTTTTATTATTATTTTATTTTATTGTATTGGGAGAAATCGAAAAAATAAATAAATAAATTGACATTTTGCCCCGTTGCATCCAACCAACCCAATTTTTCAATCTTCTCTAACAATGTTGAAGATCCAAATTCAGAGATTGATCCAATCTTTCATCCATTCTATATCCCCTGTGTTATGCAACAAGACAGCATGACACCTTAAGAACAAATCAACTCGACGACGATGATGGCCGATCGTTTCCTTCTTCTCCGGTTTCGTCTTCTTCCATCCACATCTCGTTCCAGTTCTTCTCCAGCTGCTCGAGCCCCAGAAGCGATCCTTTCTTGTCCGCGTCGAGGCTCGTCGACAGGCTGCCATAGGCAATCCCGATCGCCGACGTTCCGAATGTGACGAAAGTGGTCGCGTACGGCACCGCCTTCGGGACGTTCCAAATTCCGTGTTCCTGCAACAAATTCATCCCCTGCAGCAATGCGAATCCGAGCCCTATCGGCACCCCGACCAGCAACAGGATTCTTCGGATCATCCTGTCCCAAACGACATCGGGTATTCTGTCGTCGTCAATTTCCGGTTTTCGGGGGACGGACGGTTTCTTGCCTTTTCCGGGCCTTGTGGAGGCAAAGCCCTTTGATCCCGCCGCCAGCCGCTGTCTCCGCAGGCGGAGCGGCGCGGCGGCGGGTGGGCGGAATGGGGGTGGGTTGGGTAGGGGAGGGGGTGGGTGTAGAAGGGACAGAGCTTTCATGGTTTGTTGAAGTTAAGGAAACTCTGTATGTATGTATGTGTGTGTAAGAAAAGTAGAATATCTTATCTACAGGGTGTATGGCTGTGGTGAATGAACTCTCACTAGCAACAAGATTTGTAATATTGAGATAAAGATGATAGGAAGAAGAGATATTTTTCTATTTTTAAGTGGCTAAAATGGTACGCTTTTTATCAGGGGTGGGCAAAATATCTTGAATTTTGGATTGAACATTTTATAAATTTTGTATTCTCGAATCGATACACTAAAAATGCAAACAAATCTAAAATCCAATCCAAACTTTTATGTAGTATAAATCAAAAAAATAATACAAAAATATCTCTATAAGTCTCTTATAATACAATGACGAGAAAAAAAATAAAAAATAATGTTCTTTATAAGTTAGTATTAGATTTGAATATACTTTATTTATATTATATATATCTAAGTATAAAATAAAATTAAAGATTATTTCGGATTTTTCGACATTAATTCAGATTTCAGATCTATTCAATTGATTTTTTCAAAAATTTTGAATTTTCGCATTGGTTCCACTTTTGTCAATCGAAACTGAAAATCCGAATGCTCGCTCATCCTACTTTCTATGAGTGTGTATTTCTATATTCTCGACCTTATTTTCAAGCTATTAAATTTTTACTAGTGTAGTCAATAAAACATCACATCTCGTATCAACTTTTTACTATAAATGGGATCTCATGCATATAATATTTTCTAGAGATTCAGCCAACTTAACTTCATACTAATCAAACTTGCCTTTTGAATCAAGTCTGAGAACTACAATTCGATTGTAAGATGTATTTTAAGATGCAAAAAATAAGTGTAAAATCACAGGTTTTCTCTTCATTTCAAAAATCTTTTCTTAACATGAAATTCAACATTTTACTACTCACTCGAGTTCGAAGAGATTCTAAGTTTCTAGCATAAGATCGATGTGATTCTCTATCTATCGGTCGAAAAGAAAATAAAAGAATGCTGAGAAAACCGAAATTTCTCTTTACGAAACAGCACAAATGAAATTTTAGGCAGGCGACGAAAGATGGTTATACACATAGTACATAGCAAATTTAGGACTACATCGAAAAAGCATAAATTTATGAATTCATGCAAACCTAGGACTCAGCCTGTTGAGCTTCTCTCTTGTGCTGATATTTGAGTGCTCTCGGAAAGAGGAGATCGTTTAGTTGCCTTTCAGCGCTATATTCTGACGAGGCCTGCGTAAATTTATGTTTAAGAACACACAATAATCGCAAAGTAATTCACGTTGTAATTAAGAAAGATGGTTCTTATCTATATAATTTTCTTGTTCGAGCAAATCACATTTTGCTTCTCCTAGGTTCATGTGATTCATCGATAAGCTGATTATCAATCTTGAAGAGCAAGAGAAATGCACCTATTATATATGGGAAATGATAAAATAAAACAACTACATTCGTACCCGTTTCTTAAATGCAAATCGCAACGTCTGAACTTGTGTTCCAGAGCAAACTCTTAAATCGACACCAAGGCCGTCTATGCCTATAAGAGCACATTCCTGAAATAACTCGAGCTTAAATAATTAGCATAGTAGGCGATGATATCATCCCATAAACTTTTAAGAATGTTGCGATTAAATACTTGAGAATTGTAGTGTGTTACCTCGACTTGAATTCCCTTGCATCTCCAGCACAGAGATTTCAGAGCTTGTGTTGTCTTCTCCCCGCCAGCTTTGAGACGAGATATGATTTTTGCAGCTGAATGCGCAATCACATCAGGCTGAGCCCTTCTAAAATCTTCTATCTCGACATTATTCTGCAGCATCGACACACAAAAAAGGAAAAATGGAATAAAAATAAAATCATTTGCCGATATAGTAGCAAGAAATTACTCATTCACAGTTTCATTTTCCTCGATATGGACAATATAGTCTCTAAAACAGACCATTCCTTTCTTGTAAAAAGATCGAAATGATGATCAACGTCAACATCAGAGGGGCGCGCAAATATTGAGGATATTAAAATTTTACTGTGTACCGATATATATATATATACTGTGACCTTTAAACAAAAGGAAACATGAAAAAGGAAGCCTTTTGTTGATGAAAGAATAATAACAAAGTTATACCTGATTCCCATGCGCCGAAATTAACTGTATTTTAATCGTCTCCAGCTTGTAGAATGCAAATCCACTTCCCAAGTTCTCACCCTTCTCCAATTCCTCTTCCCAATTTGGGAAATCTTGCGGTAATTCTGTTTCATGTCTATGGCCATTGATCAGAGTAACACTTTCTTGAGATTGTTCTCTGGTGATTCGATTTGTATCCACATCACTCGACTCGGGGTCAGGTATATGTCTCCGGATGACAGAGTGTTCTTCAAGGAATGCAGGTCTTAAAATGCCATGAATAGCAATTCCAGCAGAGGGCTGCTCCATGAAATCTACGGGATCATCTGATGCAACCTACAAAAATTATAGAGAGAAAATATTCATAAGATGTTAATAAAAAAGCCAACGGAAACAATAAAGTACAGCTAACAGTTCCGTAAATAAAATACTTGAATCATTGCTAAGATGATCGATATAAGAAGCGAGAGAGAGGCTTACTTCCGCCAGCTTTTTGGCAAAATACATCGGATGTGAAGATCTCATCGTTTCCAACTTAGCCCAGTCTCCCAATGATCCATCACTTTCCTCGTCCTGATCCTCCTCGTCGAGAATGGAAACCCAATCCTTCACAAGTACATGATAAAATGTTAAATAAAAGTTATATACTTGAGAAGAAGCTTAAGAAAAACATCCTCACATCATTGTAATTATCATCATCATCTTCATCATCATCATCTTCATCGTCATCTTCATCTTCCTCATCAAACTCATTGCCTACATCTTCCAGCTCATCTAAGCCAAAATCGATTTCACCGTGACCCAATGCCTCCATCTCACTGATCATTTCTGCAGTGTCCAGCCCAATAATGACTTGCTGCATTGCATTACAATCGAGTAAGTCTCCACAAAAAACTCAATCCGATTATCCTCAATTCTATTGCAGGAATTACATTAGCATTAACCTCACCACAACAGTTTCCTCCGTAGTTAGGGCTTGAAGGATGTCCTCATCGTTCTTCACTTGAAAATAGATATCTGTCCAAAAGTAAACAAAACTCGATATCGGCAATAATTCCTTGTGGGAAAAAATGAAAATGACAATATGTAAAAATGTCTTACTTCCATGTTCATCAGTCACATAAGGTAAATCAGGCCAGAAAATGTTCTCATGAACATCCTCATTCACCGTGCCCGAAAACATCAGCGTCGCCTTGCTGTTCACCTAAAACCAAAAGCCTTCACACAAATTTAACATTTTCGACAAATTTAAAAAAACTAGAATTCAATCCATGCTTATGTTGGATAAATTCAGATTCTGTAGCTATTTAGTTACAGTAATCACCATTCACAATATCTTATCTTCCATTCCTCCCCACACAAAAACGCTTTCCTTACAGTGTGTTTGTTACATAAAAATGGTGATACAAAACTGAAATATCATCATTTTTCTTGTTTGTTTGAATCAGAAATTCCAAATTTGAAATATAAATCATTTTTCATTTTAATACATCGTCCACTCAAGATCCATCAGATCATTGTATTGTTTTACATTTATCAAATGAATTCTATAATTTACCAAACTCTGTTCAATTTTTTTTTTCTCTGCACAATTCTATGGATTCCATTCACTGTACCAAATAAATGCAATCTTAATCTCATATCACAATAATTTTTTCCAAATTATACCTCAATAATCGTTCGAGACGTCTCAGCAGGCGTAAGCGTAGCAGCTTCCCCATTCTCCAACAAATTGGAATCAGCAATCTCCTCAAACGGATGATACCTCTGAGGCTTTGCATTCTGCTTCACCGGACCTGAATCCGAGCTCGATTTCCCACTAATTCCATTTCCACACTTCGCCCTGCCGCCGCACCTCCTACTCCCATCCCTGCAAATCAATCAAACGCACAAATCAACCAACTCTCCACAACAATCGACCAATCTCCACAATGCAAACTCACCAAACCTAAAAAATTCAAACTCAAATTCAACCAAAGAGAAACACTATCTAAACCAGCACCTCCGCACAAGCAATGAGGCCGACTTCGAGAAGACGCGACTGGACGAGTAGAAGTAAGCGGGGCAAAGCCGCGAGGCGGAGGCGGAGGCGGAGGCGGCGGCTTGAGGCTCGATCATCAGCATTTTTCTCGAGCCACCAAGATCAATAGCGAATGGAATCCAACGAGCTACGTTCCTCGAGTCATAAGGTGGAGAGCAGAATCAATGGAACCGCATCTGGCATCTTTTCTCGGTGGGATTGGAACGTGTGGTTCTTCTTTATCCGTCGGAGAGAGAGAGAGAGAAGGCTTTCCTATTCGCTATTCGCAGCTGGGATGGGTTTGGGCGACGCCATATCTTCGGATGCTTCGTACATTCAGCCCAGAAAGTCGCATTTTATGAACCACGCTTTCTAGTTTGCAGTGTTCGACGAATTTAACCCGAGCACAGCCGTTAAAAAAAAAAAAAAAAGGTGGCAACTTAGGTAAAAATGTGGAAGGGTATGTTTGTTTAAAGGTTTTGTTTGAATTTATACTATTCATATAAATTTTCAATCAAACACTTATTTTTATTTTTTATATTACACTTCTTCTGTTCCGTTGTAAGAGTGACGTTTGCTTTTTCAGGTAGATTTTTTAAGGTAAATTTTTTAATATTAGTATTATATTGAACTGTAGTAAAAAAAGATAAAAATATCTCTATTACTATAGTGTAATATAAAAGTAATGACATTTGTGTAATATATTGTAAGTTAAAATGATATTTATTATGTTAAGTATTAAATTAGGAAATGATAACATTTCAATGAGACGGAGGGAGTATTAAAAATTAATTTTAACTATATAAGCTAGCAATGAAAATTAAAAATAAATAAATAAATATTTTATTAAGCAAAAATAAAAAATTTAAAAGATAATTAAAGGTAATTTTAGAAATTTGGTTAGTAATTAAAGAAAAAAAATATATAATAAAATTAATGGTATTTGTTGTAATAAGAATTAGTGAAGAATAATAATTAAATTTTAATTTTTTAAATTTTTTCAAATATAGCAATAGATAACTTTAGTAACGGGACGAAAAAGTAATGTGAAAATAAATTTGGAGCAATATATTTTAATAAATTATTATTTAAAAGAATAAATAAGAAAACTATATTTAAATAAATAAAGGGTGTGTTTGTTTGAGGATTTGAATTTTGAATTTGAATAGTTGTAAGATGTGATATAAACAGCTGTTGATGTGATGTTTTGAATGTAAAATTAATTTTTAGTATAATATAAAAAATAAAAATAGGTATTTAATTTGATTTTTTTGAGAGAAAAAAATAGAATGAAAAGTGAAATCCAAACAAATCTCTCAAACAAACACACCCAAAGTGTAACAAATTAAAAAAGTTCTAAAATAGAAATAATAAGAAATACATTGGATGTGTAACTAGATAAAAAAACGATAGATAATTGGGCTAGCGCAAATGAACTTATAACAGTTTAGAGCCCATTTTCTAAAACGACGACGTTTCAACAATATATAGATCAGAACTCGTCTGCGATCTGAGAATTTTTCAGACGAAGAAGAGGAAATGCAATTCTTCGGTGGCTTAGAAACCAGTCCGTCGCCGGCGGCGCCGACGTCAGCCGGAAACAATGGCAACATGCTCTACATATTCAACAGGAATGGAATTTGCTTGCTTTATAGGGAATGGAACCGCCCGCTCAAAACCCTCAGTTCGCGCGAGGATCACAAGCTCATGTTTGGTCTACTTTTCTCTCTCAAATCCCTAACCGCGAAGATGGATCCAACCAGGTTTTTTCACAATTGACGCCTTCTCAGAATCTCATCCTTCAATTTGACAGTTTTAATGTGGTTCCGTGTTTGTTTGGCAGTCTCGAGAAAGGAAATCTAGGCGTGCCGCAGCTGCCTGGGCAAGGCTGTTCGTTTCACAGCTTCCGTACAAATACGTATAAATTGAGTTTCATGGAGAGTCCGTCTGGGATCAAGGTTTGCTGAAACTATTGATTCGACGGAATTTTAATCTGGAATTTCGATAATCATCTCTCTGTTCGATGGAAATTCGCGGTTTAGGGTTTAAATTTGGAATTATGTTTTTCTGATATGTTGAGTTTTTAAACTGTTGCAATTTACAGTTTGAGTTTTATATGTTCTTGTCATGAAATCGAGCTTGAATGGGGTATTGTCTTGTTGATGATTCGTCAAATATACCCGAATTTTGCTGTAGATTTGGTGTGTTAGGTTGGTAGTTTGGATTTTGGGTTTGTGGTTTGCGGTTTGGAGTATAAAAATTTTGAATTTGAATATATATATATATTATATATTTATATAAATTTGTATTGACCCTGATGTTTTGAATCCAAAATTAAATTTTTAGTATAATATAGAAAATAAAAAATAAAACATTGATTTGATGTTTGGGGGAAATTGGTGAATAGTCAAAATATTTGGGGAAAACCCCAACCAAACACAATATTTTCGATACTTAAGAGTGTGTTTGTTCGGTGTTTAGAGTTTTAGGTTGCAAAAAATATTATAGGGAAAAATATTTTGTGAGTGTGTGTTTACTTTTATTGTTGTATATCATATATTGTATTTTTTTGGTAATAATTTTGGAGAATCGTTGGAATAAAACAATAAGTGAACATGCCTTTAGCATTCATAATGATATATGACTAAGGGTTTTCAACATCAATCCTGATGTTGCAAATGTTTATCTTTTGAATTGGTGGCTTAACAGAATCAAACACTAGGGAATTTTTAGAGATCTCCATAGTTTCATGAATGCCTTATGAAACTTAGCGATTATTGGTCTCTAAATTGTGGGGTTTGGACAGTGATAGTGGTTGTACTCTAAGATATGTATGTATATATATATATATATAATGCTAGCTTCTAATTATATCGGTTCACGAGAAAAACACTAATACTTCTTTGTGATAGTGAATCTTCAATTCAAAGAGTGAGAGCGGAGTTCATCTTTTTTGTACGTTTATACTCATCATTTGTAATGGATCTACATCCACTTGTGGGATTTTTTTCGACCTTCATCTACTTAACCGTTGTGTTAGTTTTGTGTTATAGATTTTCATACAGCTCTCATTTGGTTGGGGGTAGGATTCTTGAAATTTTGTGATCTTTGCATCCCATAGTCGCAATAGCTTTAATAGTTCAAACTTAAGTATGTCTTTTGTTTATCAAAATGAAACAATTACCAATTTTTTTGTTGTTTGCTAAACCTTGGATCTACATTATGTTACTTTTTCATGTGTTTTTGTGCTACCATATCTTCCGAATATGCAAATTCTGAAACCAAAGTGCGAAATTTCTTTGAAGTTTAGTATCCATGATGGAGTATATGCTTCTGGTGATGTTCTTTGATGAATTTAAAGATCGTGTTAACCTTCCAATTAACTAATTATCTTATGTAGTTGATGAATTAGATACATAAATTTAAGTTTGTGTGTTCATAATAACTCCAACCAAAAAAGCTTGTTAGTTAGTCCTCGCAAATTTGCCCGAATTTATGGTTTTTTTTTTTTTTGTTTATTGTACTTGCATTTTTATTGCTGCTTTTTTTTTTGGTAATTCTTTTACCAAAAAAGAAGCCCTTTTGATTGTATTTGATCAATTCCCTCGATGGATTCAGAAATACACAATGCTAAAGACACTATCTTGCTTGTTCAGCATCGTATTCCTTTGCTTTGCAGTTTACAGATGACGGAAGTTTAAGATGAAATGACGTGGCTGTTTTGCAGATAATCCTCGTGACCCATCCTCGGACTGGCGATCTGCGAGATTCCCTTAGGTATATCTATAACTTGTTTGTGGAGTACGTTGTCAAGAATCCGGTATATTCCCCGGGCAGTCCTATTCAGTGAGTATTCTTCTTCTGCTTGATACACGACGAAGTTATTAAATTAATCATTGCCCCATAGGTTATCGTATAGTGTGTTGATTATCTTAATTGATTATTAACATGTCTAATAAAAGATTAACAAAAAAAAATGAAGATAAAGAAACAAATTACCGGCACTAATTGTGCATGTTTGTGTTTTGGAGTATTTTGTATGTTTTGGATTTAAAATATTTGATCGGTTTAAATAAAACATAGATATCCGATATGATATTCAGAATAGAAAATTGATTTTGACTATCACTGGGTATGATGCTTTTTAGGAATAGAGAAAATATTTTACTGTAGATTGCATACTGGAAAAACAATGTCGAAAACACACTCACTCTTTTTTCTCGTGCAAGCTCAACGAATTAAATATCTCCGTTACGATTCTCTTGTGAAATATATAGTGTGTTTGTTTAGTATTTATAATTTTAGGTGTTTTTGTTATGAGGTATGAGGAAATGTGAAGCTATTATTAGAACTGAGTTCGTATGTTATTTGTTTGACTTCTATTGTTATGTATATATATATGTTGTGTATTTTAGGTAATACTCCCTTAGTCTGTATAGACACGAGAATTTAAGATAAAAATATAATTAGTAAATAACTAATAATGTATTAACAAAAAATAATTATCCAATAATATAAATAATTTTAAATTAAGATTAAGATAACTAATTAGTTTAATTAAAAAGTAAAAAATTATAAATTAAAAAAATTAAAATAAAATTAAAATATGCAATTATTTTCCAAAAAAAAAATAACATGAAATGTAGCACGGACACAAACGACAATGTGAACATAACAGGTATCTTAATACTAAGTGAACATGTTGATAATGTTTGAGTTATCCTTTGCCCTAAAACTTAGTTTTTTTCTCAGGGCCCTAAAATTGTTTCTTGTTACGCTTTAAAGATGTTCTATGCATAATAGTCCATTATATATCGATCATTGTCAGTCTAATAAAGCATGATCTCCCTCTTTTGTAGATGCGAGCCCTTTAATGCATCAGTTGATCAGTATGTCCGGGGCCTCGGCTGATTAATGTTGTTCGATATTTGTTCAAATCGGTTCGTATCATATTTGCCATTTTTTGTTGTTTGCATTTATGGATGATCGTCTATATTTGGTGAATACTGTGTATATTTTTGACAACATAATATCTTTCGGAGACGGCTTTTATTGCTTCGATTGTTGCCTGAATATGGCGCTAATTGAAATGCATACATTTGTCTTATTACGTTATTGCTCGGTGATGAGAGATATAGAATATGTTTGTTTAGTATTTTAGTTTTAGGTATTTTTTATACGAGCGGTTAGAATCTTCTCAGTAATATAAAAAAAAAAAATTTCATCCCGAACGAAAATATATATTTGGATTTTTTTAGTAAATTAAAAAATAATAGTATTTTATTAGTTAGTGAAAATGTGCAAGATGATTTTGTCTTTTATACCTAACATATTTGTAATTTATATAAAAATTAATGGTATTTTGATATTAGTGTGATTATTTTTATTATAATAGGAAATGAATATTTTTTTAGTATGACCGACAAAAATGTTAAAAATGGTGTTTTCGAGTAACATTTTTTGTTGAATTTTGTGAAAAAATAGAATATACATATATATATATAATATATTGAAAAAAAAATAATTGAAAGTTAATGCAAGTATTATTGGAAATAAGTACTCCCTCTGTCCCGTTAGTAAATTAATGAATTTTAAACATAATTAATAAATATAAATTAATTTAATTAAACTTTTCACATAATTTTCAAAAACTCTTTTATTTTTATTTTTTTTTAATTAAGAAATATTTTTATTTACCTTTAAAAGGGTTATTTTTGGCGGGCCGGAAGTATAAATGTGAGGGTACTTTAACTGGGTTTATATATACTAAAACAAAATTGAATATTTTGTGTTTGGACAATAAAAAATAGCATAAATATATTTCTATATAGAACGAACATGTGCTGTATAATTTATATATTGTAAATTAATACTCCCTCCGTCCACAAACTAATGTCTTACTTTTTTATTTGGGACGTCCAACAATTATTGTCCTATTTTCTTTTTTAAACACAAAATTTACATTTTTACCCTTAATTCATTTATTACTTTTAATCTCTACCATACACTTAAGAGCATATTTGTCCATTCATAAAAAAAAAAAAAAAATGACAATCACCTAAAAAATCGTACAAATATACTTTAGGACAATAGAAATTGGACGGAGAAAGTAATATATTGTACTCCCTCCGTCCCATAATAAAGTATCTATTTTTCCATTTTAGTTTGTTCCATGACAAAGTATTCATTTCCTTTTTTTAGTAACTGTACTATCTACCTAACATTACAAATACCCTTACAACTTACAATATATTATACAAATATCATTATCTTTATTATTTTAGTCATTTCTACTATATTTCTATTATATCTCAATATAATACTAATATTTTTAAAACTACGTGCAAAAAGCAAACGAATATATACTTGTGGGATGGAGGGAGCAGTATATATATTGTACGTATTATTTTGTATTTACAAACATGTGTGTTTGTTTTGGTTAAATCAACATAGAAATCCGTTAATTGAAATGATTTGGCGACATTTATTTCAACTAATACAATAATAAATGAAGTTATAAGGTGACAAGTAATAATGATGTGATTTTTGTACTAAAATATTTATTACATTGAAATTAATAATATATATTGTATGAATAAATACCATGCATTTATATTATAATTACTACGAAACTTGTCTTGTCTTTAGCTACAGTGCATGTTGTTTGTCATTAATTCGAGAAAATCTCGTTATATATATTAAGGTTTTTGTTATTTATGTTTTCAAATATATTTTTTATTCTTTTACTCTACTAAATTTATATTTTTTTATTTTTTTTGTTATCTATACATTCAATATATCAAGAATTTTCTCTTCTTTTATTATTTTATTTATATATTTTCCAAAATATTCCTACAATCCTACTTTAAGTTTTGTGTTCAACTCAAATGAACATATATTTGATAGACGAGAGAATATTATATATCAACTGTTATTTTTAAATAAAAAAATACTATCATTCAATTTATACTTTTTTTTATTTAAAATATTGTAATCGATGTATATTTATGTTGTATTAAATTTTTATTTATTATTCAAATTTTTATTATTTTAAAAATAATTCAAAATATATTTAAATAAATAAAGTAATCTAATAATAATTTTAAAAATATATATTATTACCCTGAAGTTCTCTAGATAATTCGAAAAAAGAAACTATTAATTGTCAAAAAGTTTGGTCGTGAAATGGCTCTACCTCTCTCGAGAAAAAACCCAAAAAAAAATAAAATTATTGGCTGATTAGACATTATAAAATAAATGATAATGATACACATTTTTAACACTCCATAAAGAATACGCAATCAATTCAAGACCACTATACTATTTTTTTTAAATGATAAAATATTTTTATAATTTATAATATATTATATAAATATTACTTCCTCTGTCCTTTAATAATTTATTTAATTTTTTTATTTTGATCAGTCTCGTAATAAAGTATTCATTTTAGTATTTTTTTTTGTAATTGTACTATCTACCTAACATTACAAATACCATTACAATTTACAATATATTACACAAATATCATTATTTTTATATCATACAATACTAATAGGGTTAATTTAGTCTTTTTATCTTTATTTATACTTTATCCAAATATAATATTAATATTTTTAAAACTCCGTACAAAAAGTAAATAGATATATAAATATGAGACGGATGAAGTATTATTTTTATATTGTAGAATACTAACAAAAATATGTTAGAAATGTTGAATGAGACGGATTAGCTCCAGATTAGCTTTTAATGAGACAAGTTGAGAATTTTAAGTATTCAGTAATTTTATTTTAATTGGTACCATATAATTGTCATGTTTTTTAGAAAATAATTATACATTTTAATTATATTTTAAATATCATAATTTATATGTTTTTTAATTTATTTAATTATTTTAATATTAATTTATAATTATTTATATTATACAATAATTATTTTTCTATTATACTTTTAAATTATTTAGTTATTATAGTTTTTTTAAATTTTCGTATGTACGATAATCTTCACGTTTTAACGAGAGCAGAGGAAGTACACCGTTTGGCCATAAAAATTTATATTTTGCCACTTTTATTTATTTAAATAAGAATATTTTATTTTATAATTAATACTCCATAATTCTATGATACTTTATAAAAATATTTGTAAAATCATACTTATTTATATCAATATTATCATATGAAATTTAAATATAAAAATAAAATAAAAATTATACACAAAAAAATTAACAATGGAATATTATTTAAATATTTTTTCGTCTCAATTCAAATATATTTTTTTACTATTTTTGTATGTTCTATTTTAAAGTATTTCTTTTTCATTTTAGAAAAAAATAATTGTACATAATACTAAAATATTTCTGACTTTTACTTAAATTACAAATACAATTATTTTATATATAAAATTAAATAACAAAAATATCAAAAAAATTTACATATTTTTTCTAACTAATAAAATATTATTATTTTTTAATTTAGGGTAAACTTTTTTTTAGTCCCGCTGGACCCCTTTATCATTTTAGTCATGTAAGTGAAGTCCGTCGCAAACTAGTGTCATAAGTGAAAATTTTTCGTTGTTTTAGTTCTCCGGCGCCGGAGACGCCCGCGTGGCTCACCGGAGGTGACGTGTCCGCCAGGTGTCCCGCCAGGCCAGCGACACCTGGTGGACACATGGATTTATTTATTTTTTAATTTTTTTTAATTGGATCAAATAAAAAAATAAAAAATACAAATAAAATTTAAAATAAATTCAAAATAAGTTTTAGAAAAATTTTAAAAAATGAAAAAAAAAAAATAAAAAAATCCACGTGCCCGCCAGGTGTCGCTGACCTGGCGGACACGTCACCTCCGGTGAGCCACGCGGGCATCTCCGGCGCCGGAGGACTAAAACAGCAAAAAATTTTCACTTATGGAACTAATTTGCGACATGCTCCACTTACAGGACTAAAATAATAACGGATTCAGTTACGGAACTTAAAAAAACAGTTTACCCTTTTATTTATTACACAATTTCAAAAAACTCTTTTGATTTAACATTTTTCTCTTTAAATATATCAAATCAAATACTACTTTTTTATTTATTATATTACACTAAAATTAATTTTTATATTCAAAATATCATATCAATACATATTTACATCACATTAAACAACTATTTTAACTCAAAATTTTACTAATCAAAACCAAAACTCAAAATCAAAATTAAAATCTTACAAACAAACACACCCTTATAATGTTTTGATTTGAATATTTAATTTTTTTTTAATATAAAAAATATTTCGAAAATAAAATATTGGGCTACCTAACCCAGTATCTTTATCGAGAAAGTTAGTAGTATTTCTTTTATCATACAATAAACAAATGTAGGAAATGCCCTGCCCTGTCTGGTCCGCATCTGAGTAATCAGTCTTCATTGGGTGACCTAACCATCAAATCTAATACACATGACAATATTGGTTTTCTTTTTTTTTTTTTTTATTAAAAATATAAATAATTGAAAGTACTTTAAAAAAAATTAATCAAAAATTATTTGAATTCAACACGAAAGTTAAAAAAATAAATAAATACTTTTATTAAAAAAATTAATAAATAATTGAAGATATTTTTAAATTTTCAGTTGAAAATTAAAATAAATAAAAAAAGATTTTAGTTAAAAATACTTTCTCGCAAAGAATTCAACTTTTTTTTACCTCAAAGTTATCATCATTTTTATCGTCTAAATTCAATCTAATAGACGAAATTAATTCAACAATTGATCCAAGTCGAAATACAAATATAATACATAAACAAACAATATATACTCCCACAGTCTCATAACAAAGTATTTATTTTTTCATTTTAGTCCGTCCCATAACAAAGTATCCATTTCTTTTTTTTTACTAACTGTACTATTTACATAACATTAAAAATACCCTTACAACTTACAATATATTACACAAATGTTATTACCTTTATATCACACGTACTAATAAGGTTATTTTAGTTATTTCTACTTTATTCCTACTATATTATAATATAATACTAATATTTCTAAAACTACGTGTAAAAAAGAAAATGAATATTTACTTATGGGACGGATGGAGTATTATAGTCTCATATAATACACGTAATAGTTGATTTTAACAATTACATACTCTTATACAGCACACATATAATTATGAAATTTTTAGTATTCTTTTATTTTATTACATGTGTCTAGCCCAAGTATAAAAAAAAAAAAAAAAAAAAAAAAAAAAAAAAAAAAGCAAAATCTTTTATGAAAGAACAAACAACGCATGCCCTTACACACAATATGTGTTTTGTGTAATAAGAACATGTGTTGTTTGTATATATTATGGATGCTGACACGGTGTTGAATTTTTTTAAATCTAACACCGTAACCATTTCTTTATTTTAATATTAGTAGTAAAATTTATATTACACTATTTTATTACACTATATATCTAAAATAATAATAATAATAATAATTTATTTTAACCTACATGCAAAAATCAAATAAAAAAAAGTTAAATGAAAAACTTACTATTAGACGAAAATAAGTATTGAAAAAAATAATACTCTCTCCGTTTCAACTAAAAATATCTTTTTACTATTTTTGTTTGTCTCAATCAAAAGTACATATTTCTTAATATAATAAAAGTATTATTTATATATATATCAAAATACTTCTATTTTTATACAAATTACATAGACTTTGTTTACCCGTGGAATTTTATGTTAATTTTATTATTCTTTTTTTTTTTGTAAATATAGAAAATTAAATACTTATTAATTATTTATTTTATTACATTAAAATCTATTTTTTACATTAAAAATATTATATCAATATATATTTATATCACATCAAACAATCATTTCAATTCAAAATTTTACTATTCAAAACAAAAAAATCATAATCATATAAGTAAACACTTCCAAAAATATTACTTCCTCCATCCAAGCTAAATTGTCTCATTTAATTTAAACACGAAGTTTTAAGTATTGAGTAATTAATAAATAATTTAAAAAGTGAATTAGTAAAAATAGTTATAATTTAATAAAAATAATTATATATTAAAATTAAAATAACAAATAGTTTAATTAAAATAAAAAAAAAAACTTAGATTATGAATTTTAAAATGTAATTAAAATATATGATTATATTTTTTAAAAAATGTGTTGATATTTCTTGAATCTAGTTTGCCACTTCGCTGCAGTACTAGGCTTTGGAGTTGGTATTAGGTTGAGGCGTCTGATGTATTCTCTTAGTTTATTTAAATAGACTTAGGATACGGAATCGATAATTTGTAACATTGTCTTAATGAATAAATTTGTTCTACATTTATATCTGTGGATGTAGTCAATGATGTAAATCTATGTCTTCTTTATGCTTTTTTTTTGTTTATTATTCGATCATTAACCATAATCCATCTAAAAAAAATGACAAATTTTGTGGGACGAATATAAATAGAAGGGATTGATAAATTAAGTGAGACGATGAGAGTACTATTATTTTGTCCACTAATTTTATATCCGTCTATCTCACATAATTTGTCATTTTTAAAAAAAAAAAATTATATACTTTAATCACATTTTAAATTTTATAATTTTTATATATATTTTATTTTAATTGAACTATTTAGTAAACTTAATATATAATTATTTACTAATATACTTTTTAATTATTTATTAATTACACAATACCTAAAACTCCGTACCCCAACTATAATAAACAAATTAGCTAAGACGAAGTGAATATTATTTTATTTCACTAATGTTATAGTGGACAAATGTTAAATCATCTTATATATTTTTATTAATAAGAGTATATATTTTTAGCCGAGTTTTTCCTTTATTATTTGAACTCTGCGTTTTTTTATTTTCTCACACAAAATATCTCACCAAACGTTATTTTTATACCAAATTCAAACTAATTTTTTTCCAAACCCATCAAAAGAAACTATCAGGCTATTGTATCTGGTTTAATATAGACATGAAAATATAATTAATAAATAATTAAAAATATATTAGAAAAAATAATTATTATATAATAAAAATAATTTTAGATTAAAATTATAATTAATTAATTTAATTAAAATTAAAAAAAATTATAAATTTAAAATTTTAATATGAAATTAAGATGTATAGTTTATTTTTTTAGAAAAAAAAAACAAATAACAGATTAAGCGAGACAAATTAAAATGAAAAGACTGGTGGTTGAGACGAACGGATTGATAAAAAGCAAATAACCCATTACTATTTTTAAAGAGAAGAGCGACCGAGGGAGTATAAAACTTTCTAAATATATATATACGTAGAGAAAGAGAGATAGAGAGAGAGAGAGAGAGAGAGGCGTACGCACATAATTGAAGAGTGCGGGGCATCACAGTGCTAACTGCTAACTGCAAATGGAGACCATAGTCCTCTACCCTTCTCCCGGCATGGGTCACGTTATCGCCATGGTTGAGCTCGCAAAGTTCATCCTCCGCCGCCGTCCTTCCACCGCCATCGCCGTCCTCATCGCTCCTCCCTCCTTCAACACCGGATCCACCGCAGCCTACATCCGCCGCATCTCCGCCACTGTACCTTCCATCACCTTCCACCACCTGCCCCAAGTTACCGTCCACGACTTCTCCTCCTTCCCCTCCATGGAATCCGTCATTTTCCACGTCCTCCGCCGCAGCAACGACGCCGTCCGCCGTACGCTCGAACAGATTTCTGCATCCGCCGCCGTCTCCGCCTTCATCATCGATTTCTTCTGCCCCTCCCTCGCCATCGCTAAGGAGCTCAGAATCCCTACCTACTATTTCATCACCTCCGGTGCATGTATTCTCGCTTTTTTCCTCTGTTTGCCTGAAATTGATGAAACTACGACTGAGAGCTTTAGAGATATGAACACGAGCTTGAATGTTCCGGGGATTCCGGCGATTGTTCCGGCGAAGGACATGATTCTGCCTCTTCTCGACCGCGATTCTTCTGATTATGATGATTTTGTGAAATTTAGCTTCGATTTGGTGAAATCGGATGGAATAATTGTGAATACCTTCGAAAACCTAGAAACGAAAGCTCTCAGATCCATACGAGAGGGGAAATGCAATCCTGGCGGCCGTACGCCGCCGGTGTACTGCGTCGGACCGTTATTGGATTCCGACGGTCACCACGGCGGCGATAATGAGTGTCTCCGGTGGCTGGACGGTCAGCCGGAGAGAAGCGTCGTTTTCTTATGCTTTGGAAGTTTAGGTTTGCACTCGGCGGAGCAGTTGCGAGAAATCGCCGGCGGTTTGGAGAGGAGCGGCGAGAGGTTCCTATGGGTGGTGCGGTCGCCTCCGACGGCGGATCCGAGGAAGCGGTTCGAACCGCCGCCGCCGCCGGAGTTGGAGAGGCTTCTGCCGGCCGGTTTTCTCGAGCGGACGAAGGACAGGGGGTTCGTGGTGGAGTCGTGGGCGCCGCAGGTGGCGGTGCTCAACCACGGCGCCGTCGGCGGATTCGTGACTCACTGTGGGTGGAATTCTGTGCTGGAGGCGGTCTGCGCCGGAGTTCCGATGGTCGCCTGGCCGATTTATGCGGAGCAGAAGATGAACAGAGTGGTGATGGTGGAGGACATGAAATTGGCGGTGAGTATGGAAGCGGCGGCGGACGGATTTGTGGCGGCGGCGGAGGTGGAGAGGCGAGTGAAGGAGGTGATGGAGGCGGAGTCGGAGGTCAGGAAAGTGGTGGAAGTTATGTGTCAGGAGGCTAAGGCCGCCGTTTCCGACGGCGGTTCTTCCATTGCTGCGCTTGAGAAGCTCCTGGACCTCTGGACTTCCAGAGGTAAGTGATTATTTCATTAGGAACTCCACTGCACGCGCCTTCACGGGCCCTCACAATCTCACGCGTATCACACTATTTTATCCCTATTTTGTTTTGTGTAGATGATTTTTCAGATAATTTAAACTGAATTTTTTTGTGAGTTATTTAAGAAGTATAAAAATAATAAATATATGTAATAAATATTTTGAAAAAATATTTTATTTGAAATAAGACAGTAAGTATAGAATATTTAGGTATTTGAACGGTATGTTTGTTAATTTGTTTGTAAGTTTGGACTGGTTTATTATTATAATATCTATTATTATTTATTTTAAATAATTTTAAATTTTGGGTTTGCTCACTTGACAAAGTAGGATAATTTATATAAATAATTTAAAAGATGCAATATATAAAATTATTGTTTTGAGACAGACAAAAATTGCAAAATAAAACTATTATTTTGGAACGAAGAGTGTAGTTCTTTTGTATATATATTTTTATTTTAAATTATTTAATTATAAAAATAGATTAATTTTTTTATAAATATTCTTATTTTACCGGCATATTATTATTTTTATACCAAAAAATATATATGAATTATATTATTTTTAACTATTAATTAGAATTAAAATATGGAGTATTATGTTTACACAACACTTTTTATTGTACACGATTATTAATATATAGTCCCTTCGTCAAACATATATTTATTTTTGACGCGGAGTTTAAAAAATAATAGTAGTATTTTAATTATAGTGGGTGGTTAAAAGTAATGTAAAAATAATCTTGTTTTGTCTTTTGATATAAAATTAACGATGTGATTGTAAAATATATATATTTGTAGAAAGAATATGATTTATAGTTACTAAAAAATAATTATATTATAATTGAATAATGCAAAATAAAAATATGTATATTTTGTGACGGACGAATGTAATAATATTTATTTTATTATCTGACACATAGTCAACAATAAATAAATACTATTACTTTTTATATATCTCACATAATAAAGAATACATCAAATTTAAACACTAAACAAACAAATTTATTATTCTTTTATATTATCAAATATAATTGTTCATATTAAATATATATATAAAACCACATCAATATTTTAATACAAAGTGAATTCTCCCTTTATTTTTATAGTGGTTATAAATTTTTGAGTTTAAAGTCCATCCGAAAGTATTGGTTTTATCATTTTATTATTATAGTAAAAATATTAGTATCAAAATAGTATAAATTTTTACATAAATTATAACTATTATTATACATATAATTAATTTATACAAATATATATATAACGATAAAAATATTAAAATTATTTTACATTTTATTAATTAATAAAATATTATATCTTAATTTGCTATAAAGATAAATCCATTTGAATGAAATAAAAAGAGTAATATTTATTGATTTTTGTGAAAAAAATTGTTAAATAATTTATTTTTATTATTTGTAAGTATTTTATATAGACAGGACAGGCAGAACAAACCATGAGTTGACATAACACAAACATATAGGACGTATGAGTTTTAAATGATAAAAAATTTAAAATAAATATTTTTAATTTATTAATTATTATAATACAAATAATAATAGAATTTGATGCGTTTCTTTGCCAAAAAAATTTTAAAGATTTGATTTGAAATTAATATTAAAATAATATTTTATAAAAATATACTTTATCCGTCTATTTTCTAATATTCTATTTGATATTTACATGCATTTTTAGGCAATTAGAGTTTTTATTATAAAATGACAAATTTGTCTGTATAGAAAATGAAAGAGTAAATAAAGTAAGGATAAAAGAGTAAATTTTGTATATAAAAATAGAAAGAGGACAATAATTATTGGACATTCCAAAGAAAGTAAGAGGTTAGTTTGTAGGAGGAGGGAGTATATTTTTTAAAAATATAAAATACAAATAGTAAATTTTAAAAATATTTATCTAAAGATTAAAAAAAAAAATTGTGAATAGTGTCTTGTAAAAAACATCAAATACAAAGGTATTTTGAAATTTAATTTGGGTCGGGCCTCAATTTTAATATAAGTCCATTTGGGCCCATTAGTTGGAAAGTGGTTTGAGGATAATTTCAACTCAAAATTGACCCGGCCTATAAACGCTTCGGGCCACGTTTTATATTTTATTTTATTCCATAAAAAATTAAATATGACCCAATATAATACGATTCGTGGGCCGGGCTGGATTAATTTTAGTAATACTCTAAACGGGCCGTTTGGACAACTGGAAATATACTCTAAATATTTTATTTTTATTTAAAAAAAATTAATGAATAATAAAAATATACTCCACTCGTCAATGCTGCTTGTCTACTGGTCGGATCTGATTTCAAATCCAATATTCTTACATAGATTAGATTTTATTTTTTATTTTTTATTTTTTATTTTTTTAAAATGACGTGGAAATTCGCAATCGTTATCTGAAAATACACATTTGGTAAACCCCCGACCGAACGTAGTAATACCCTGAGAACCAATCTCTGGGGAAAAATCACACTAGATTAATTTTGGATTTATCATTTATTCAGAAAATCTATCAGTATATTTTTATAGTTATTATTATTATTATTATAACTTTATTCTCCCATTAAAAAAAATTAGGATACAAATTTCAAAATATATAATATTCCCTCTGTTCAGCACTAAATTTTTTATTTATATTTGGTGTTATTATTTTTTAATATTAAAAATATTTTTATATTTGTTTTATTTTTTGTACAAATAACATTATATTAGTATTATAAGATTGTTTTTGTTTTTCCCCTTAATTTGTACTACATTATTATATAATAATTAATATTTAAATATTAACATGCAATAATTTAATAAGAAGATTACGGATGGACCGAGGGAATATATTTTATTGTCTCATAAAAAATTAATATTCTACACGAATATTATTTTTATATTATCGACACAATTTTTTATATTTCACTCAAAAATATGTATATTTCAAACTAAAATACTAAATAAATATATTAACAAGTTTATACCATTGTTATCTTTTTTTTTGGTGTCTTTGATTTTAATTTGAAATTAAAATTTAATTTTAATAATATTTATATGTGACTTTTATTTCAAAAAAATATATATTTATTAAAAATTATAGAATTTGAATATTACTATTTTATTTAATATAAAAAAACACACCATTTATTTCATTATTTAGTTTAACAATATGTTAATAGGTAACAACAACATACAAAGACCCCCCTCTCCCAGCTACCCAACCCAACTACCCCAACCAGTCCATCCACCTCCATATCTCCGTGATATGGAGTTGGTAGTATTATTTTAAATAATACTACCTTCATTTTATATACCATGTTTGCTACACTGTAAATACGGTATTTTAAAAGTGATGTAATTAGTAGATAATTAAAAATATATTAGTGAAAATAATTATCTTATAATATAAATAATTATAAATTAAGATAACTAATTAGTGTGATACCAGACTTTCTCACTACTCATTGGCCAAAATATATTTTATATTTTAGGTGCCGGTAAATTACTTATATATTAAATTGCTTATAATTTGGTATATACGTTACCTATTTATTAATAATAAAATATTATCATAATTTATATGAAATTCTAGTAAAATACAAATAAATTTGATAAATTATTTGGATACTAGTGATGTAAATTAAATATAGATTATTTGAAAATTTATTGTATTAATTAAATACAAATTAAAATAAATAAAACAACTAAATAAATAAATAATAATTATGAAAATAATAATAATAATAATAAAATGTAAGGCGGTGGGATGGGGTAATAACCTCGCCCCCACCTTATCCATTTCAATTCAATTAGAAGAGGACAGGGAGAATAATAATAATAAAATGTAACCCCGTGGGCCGGGGTAATAAACCCCACCCCCACCTTGTCCATTTCAATTCAATTCGAAGAGGACATGGAGAAAGGCAAACGCGGAAAAGAACAAAAAAAAAAAATTTACGCCGAATTCGTTAAAAGCCTAATTCATGTATTTTTGTGTTCATGAATTATTACTATTTTATTAAGTAACGGAAGTTTTGAGTATAAATAATTATTTAGTAAATTGGGGTAATATTTGTAATTAATTGTTATTAGATACGAGACTGGAATCATTAAAAGGGCTATAAAAGTTAGGATTATTGACGTTTTTGGCGAATTTCAGGTAAGTAGAAACTCATTTGCAACTACAATGTATAATATATTATTTTGTAAGTTATTTATGTTTGTTTGATAATATGTGAATATCAGAAAGTTGTGATTAATATTATGTGATTGTGTGGTTTGAGCCTGTGAGCTCCGTATACAAATTGGTTTCAGTATGTGAGCTCATTATGTGATATGGTCGAACCTGTGAACTCTATATTTGATGTTGAAGGAGTCTGTGAGCTCCAAAATTGATGTGGTTTGAACCAGTGAGTTCAATAATATCTGTATATTGTGAAATATGTTGCATTGCATTTTCATTAAACATATATATCATGCATTGAAATGAAATAAGATGGTTTTACTATGTTCGACCGCTGATTATACACCGAGGGCGGGAGAGACGACCTGGGGAAACCTGGTGTAGGCTACCTGGTGTAGGCCACCGTCTATTGTGACTTTCCATACAATGCATAAACAATGCATTCGGAAGAGGCGACTTGGAAAGAAGCGACCCGGGGAAACCTTACGATGAGACCCGGTGTAGGCTACCTGGTGTAGGCCACCGTTTGATTTGAATATATGGATATTGAGCTCTTCCGGTGTATAACAGTATGTCTAGGGGCCCTGGAAAGTATTTCATAAATAAATTGGTAATTTCAAACGAGAGCACATTCTGTATAGTGAGAATTTTGAGATAAACTTCACATCATGCATAATTTCTACTTACAGAGCACTCAATTTATGCATTGTAGGTAATCCTGATGATATATGACTTGGTGGACAGACTGGAGTAGCAGTGGCGCTCTTACAGGCATTTTGAGTTACCGTGTACATAGATGACGACCTACGGGCAGGACCGTGGCTTGTTTTGCTTCCGTTGTTCTACGGAGATTTAGAAGTTGTATGGTGTTGTTATAAATAGTATGTCGATTACGTAGTTTTTGATATGGTTTGAGATCCTTTTGGTGAATTTTAACAGGTTACCGTTGAGTTATGTTATGTTTTGACGAGAAAAAAATATATAGCAGGTTAACAGATTGTTATATATATGAAAGTAAGTAAGAGGGATTATAACATGTTTACCGTTTACAAATAGGTTGAATTGCCGTTAGTAGTATAGTGTAAGTGGGGTCGTGTCAATAAGTCTAATTAAAATTTAAAAAAAATTAATTAAAAAATTTAAAATAAGATTAAAGTGTGTAATCATTTTTCAAAAAAGAAAAGTGACATAAAATGTGGGACGGACAGAAATGTGGATATAGTATGTGGAACGGAGGGAGTAATATTTTAAATTTAAATTAATTTTTAATATAATATAAAAATAAAATATTAATTTAAATTTTTTTGGAAAAATAGGAAATAGTAAAATTTGAATCGAAACTTATCAGCAAACATAGCCTAAATGTGTGTTTATACTGTGATTTAAGTTTTTTATTTAAATAGTACTGTGTACGTAATATTATTAAAAGAAAATTAATAGTATTTTTTATAAAAAAAAAAATTATAGAGATTAGATAGTAAAAAAAATACGAAAAAAGCCACTTATTTCTTTAACGATGAATCTGAATTTTAATTTAAAAATAATAAAATTTATAATATATTTGATATGATACTAATAAATATTTTATATATAAATAAAAACAGTTTATTTTTAATGGGAGAGAAAAAAAAATATCGTTTCATATCAAAGTTTTATATATGAATAAAAATATTTATATAATAAAAAGATAAATAAAAATATAAGAATTTTTCCTTTTTTTTAAATCTATAATATATATATATATATAATATAAAAATTTTGATTTGGTATTACATGGCATAGGTCCTCGGCTCCTGTGTGACAATTTAATACTATAAAGTAAAATATTAACAATATAAAATATGTACGTGGCAGCATCTCATTTGATGGTTTCGAGGGACAGACGGATCTGTATTTTTTACTTCATCCGTCCACAAATTAATGTCCTATACTTTCCTATTTAGGACGTCCAACAACTATTATCCTATTTTTTTTTTAAATACAAATTTTATATTTTTATCCGTCATTCATTTATTACTTTTAATATCTACCATACATTTAAGAGCAAATTTGTCCATTCATAAAAAAAGACAATCACTTAAAAAACCATATAAATATACTTCAGAACAATAAAAAATAGACGGAAGAAGTAATTAATTTGATTTATATTTATTATATATAATTTATTAAAAATAAAAATCTATCAGTTTTATGAAATCATGACCATTTAAAATAAAAAATATAGTAATTATTATGAGACTTTGTAATCTAAAATACACAATGAAATAGAATATTTTATCTATCTCATAAGATTATATCGTAATATTTTATCTGTCTCATAAGATTATATCGTTTTTTATTTTTATGTGTCTCAAAATAAAAATATTATTTTTAAATTTAATAATTATACTATTTATTTAATATAATAAAAACTTTTATAATATATTACATAAATTTTATTATTTTTATATTAAATTTTACTAATAAAAATATTTTTTTTTATTTTGAATTAATATAATATTAATATTAAAAAATATACATAAAAAAGTAAAAAATAAATAATACCGTTGTTGCGGAAGGGAGACGATACTTTATTTTAATTTGAAATATGAATGATGTGATATAATTTGAAGTTTGAAGATTTTAATCATTTATTGTTGTTTTCAATGGGAAGACACATGGGAAAGAAAACCATGGCACGAACTTTTAAGTTTTCAATTGTACAAATCTTCCGCAACTTTTTACTCCATTCGTCTTTTAAAAATCTTTTTATTTTTATATTTTTTTTTTGTCCTATAATAAAAAATATATATATTTTTAGACAGAATCGTCCATAACTTCTTTGTGGTTTCGAAATTTAGTGTAAATTTTCCCTCTATTTTAAAAATTGCATGACGTCCCCTTATACTTTAAAAAATGTTGTATGAAACCACTTTGTGGTTTCGAAACTCAGACTAAATTCCCATTTTATTTTAAAAAATTGCATGACGCTCACTTATACTTTCAAAAATATTACATAAAACCCTCCTACCATGCAAAACATATAGATAGGAAATCATCTTCTTATCACACAAGAAAAATTTCATGGTGGTGGGGTTTTATGCAACGTTTTCAAAAGTAAGGGGGTACCATGCAATTTTTAAAGTATAGGGAGATTTTAAGTTGAATTTCGAAACCACAGGGGAGTTATAAGCAATTTTACATTTTTTTTAATAACTGTACTATCTACCTAACATTACAAATATCCTTCTAATTTATAATATATTACACAAATATCATTAATTTTATATCATAGAATACTGATAAGGATAATTTAGTATTTTTACATTTATTTCTACTATTTTCCAATATAATACTAATATTTCTAAAACTCCATGCAAAAAGTAAATGAATATATAGATATAGGACATAGGGAGTATTATTTTTTAATGAGGTGCAGAATAAGAAATTGTTCAAATATATATAATTTTTTATATAAATGTCATTATACTAGTATTATAAGACACTAATATAAATATTTGTATTATTACCTCTTGATTTGAATTAAATTTTAATATAATAATTGATATTTAAAAATCAACACGTAAAAAAATAAATGTGGACCTTAGGGCCGAACATGAGTAATATATATAATCTTTAATATTCAAATTTCTATTTGTCAATAAAATTAAATATTTCATTATAATAAATTATTAATAAAAAATAATTTACTAAATTTATATATTAAAAATATAATATTTATAAAATAAGTGTCGAACGAGTTCGAATCTTACGACCCGAACTTAATCAATCGGTCACATAAATATGGAAATTGAACAAACACGGGATGTAGCTGAGGGAATTAAATATTAAATATTAATAATTGTATATAATAATATTTATAATAAATAAATAATATTAAATAAACAAACTAATTTTTTTCTTAAAGTAATCATTAAGAACACTAGATATACATTTTTACTAAAATATAACGGTGTATTATATAATTTAGCATTTTTTTTATAAATTACATCATTCTCAATTAAAAAATATATATAATTATTATTATTTTCATAAAATATTTAAAATATAATAAAAAATCATTCACCAAAAAATTACTACTCCCTCCTTCCAATTGAAATGTTGTCATTTTTCATTTTCGTCCGTTCCAAAATAAGGATGTCATTTCCTAATTTAGTAATTGTACTACCTACTTAACATAATAAATACCATTTCAACTTACACTATATTACATAAATGTCAATACTTTTATATTACACAATACTAATATGGGCATTTTCGTCTTTTTCATTACAACTCATTATAATACTAATATTAAAAAATCTACGTGCAAAAAGTAAACGACAACCTTGCATCGGAACGGAGGGAGTATTATAAATTTTCAAAATATTTTTATACTCCTCCGTCTACATAATTTGTCAATATTTTCTATTTTTATCCGTCTCATATAACTTGTCCATAGTTAAATTATTTATTTATCTTAATTTATAATTATTTTTATTAATACACTTTTTAATTACTTACTAAATATACTTTACCTAAATTATCGTATTTGCAATAATATACCCAAAATATAAGACGAATGGAGTAATTTCTAATAATCAATAATAAAATTTACACTATTTTTAAAATATTAAAATAACAAAATCTCGTTGCCCGCGGTAGTTGAATATGCTGATATAACGGTACTAAACAACACAATACTTTTGTTAAGTCATTGTCAGCATCACAGTCTTTACATTAGCATTTCGAATTTACTATTCTTGTACTTATTTCCAATGGAAAGAGAATATTGTAATAAATTTAAAAACAATACCACTTCATTGTTAGTAAAAATATGAAATACTCTCTCCGTTGTGCAAATGTGTGTTCATTTGACCGGGTATGAATTTTAATAAAAATAAATAATAATTAATAATTTTTTTTTATAGTAAAAGAAAATATAAAAATAAAATAATTTTTTACTTAAAAAGGAAATAAGAATATTTTTCCGATAACAACCCAAAAGAAAAGTAAGTATAGATTTGAACGACGGAGGAAGTATTATTTTGATATTTTTATCTCATGTACTTTATTTATAAATTAATTGTACGTATAATTATTTGTTTATTGATTTATATAAAAAAATTAAAAAATATTTTCATATTAATAAATAATTAGTTTTATTATAAAAGAAATTATGTACTTTTACGTGAGATAAATAAACATATTCTTGTATAACTATATTTTCATATTGCATATTAAAATATATTGTTATTAATATTTAGTATTAAAAATAAATAATTTTCATAAAATATATATTTGTAATTCGGACAAACATATAGTATATATTTCCAATTTACATATTTTTAAAAATATTTTTTTATTTATTTTTAGAGTATATAATATCTATTTTTATTTAAAATGCTAAATTAATTTTACAATATTCAATTTCTAACTAATCGAATATATTTGTTTTTTTTAAAATAATATTTGCACTACTGTTTAAATAAAAATATATTATTTAAATTAAAATTTTAAATTCGAATCAAAACCAAACAAACTTTAAATTATTTGCTGGAAATTAGATTGAATTTAATTTATTTAAAATAAATTTAAAATATATATCTAAATAAATTTATAAAATTATACTCTTTTCTATGTCCGGTGTAACATATTTGTTTATTTTCTTTACACAGATAGTAAAATTATTTAGGTACTATTTTATGTTTTTTTCTAATAATAAATTAAAATTGATTATATAATTTTATATATTTAGATGATTTTAATATTTTTGTTAAAACAATAAATATTTTAATAGAAATTAAAAATATTTTGATATTTATATAAAAATTATTTTTACTAAAAAGATATTTTTGATTATGACATACCAAATATGGTTTTTTCTTGTTAAAATAAAAACAAAATTTTAGACTGTATTTATTTTTGCTAATTATATACAAAAGTTAATAATTTAATACAAAGTACTATCTCCAACCATTTATCAAGTTGACATTTACTTTTTTTTGCGTGTCCATATTTGATAAAAATGTGTCTATTAATATGTTATAACAAAAAAATAATAATATTTGGATAAAAGGTTATACAAATATAAAATATTTTTAATATTAAGTACAATTACACTAAAAATAAATATAAATTTATTAAATGAACGAATAAAATATTATTATTTTTTATTTACCTATTCCTGCTACTAACCTTAAAAGAGAAAACAAATATATTCAAAATTAATGTGTATTTTCGTTTTCTTAGTTTGGTTTGAAAAATTTTGAAAATGCGCATTGAATAAATCTCGATTGAACCTAATACTCCGTAAATTAAATTCGACGAACAAATTTCGTTAAGTGAAAGCATATGTGACAAGTGATATAACGCTACCTTTGTCTCTATTAACTGCTGTTATGTATATTATTATTAGTATTTTTTTTTATTATTATAATACTAGTAGAAAATGTTGCACGGCACTTCGAGTTACGTTTTTAAGATTTTTTCGTTTTATATATTATTTAAATATATTATATTTAGTAGGGGTGTCCAAAAGTAAATCCGATCCGAAAAATCGAACCCGTTCGATCTAAAATTTTTGAGGTTCGGATTTGGGTATTTCGGGTTTGAAAAAAATCAGGTCGACTCGAACCAGAAACGAAAAAAATTCGTGTCGTATTCGGGTCGTGTTTCGGGTTGACCTGATAACCTGAAATATCAAAATCAGGTTAGGTTTTGAGTTTCGTGTTTCGGGTTGACCTGAAATTTTTTTTATTATTATTTTAATTTATAATATTTATATTATTTTAAATATAAAATAATATAAAAATTAAAATAAAAATAATATTTTTTAAGTCAATTTAATTTTTTTTAAATTTTCGGGTCTGTTTCGTGTCGGGTTCGTATCAGGTTTGTTCGGGTTTCCTAAAACTAATTCAAGTCAACCTGAACTCGACCTGAAAGAATTCGTATCATGTTCGGGTCTAGGGTTTCATGTCAGATTTCGGATTCGGATCGAGTTCGAGTTGACAATTTTTTTGTTATCCTCGTGTCTTAATCCGACACGAACACGACCCAAAAATACGAATTGACACCCCAAATATTTAGAACCATAAGATAATATATAATGTTGTCATTGAAATGCAAGTCTGCTATGCATATATATACATGTAGGTATCTAGAGGGACTGAAACTTGTGGATTGAGTTGAAACTTCTAGAAGCAGCCATGGAAGATGATTCCACCATTGTTCTCTACAGCTCGCCGGAGCATATCAACACCATGTTCATTCTCGCCAAGTTCATCACCAAACATCAGCCTACAGTCAAAGTCACCGTTCTCTGTTCTGCTCCAGCTCCGGCGGAGGTGGAGGATATGGCGTCCGTCACTTACCACCGCATCCCCGCCGCTGTTCCTTCGGTACCGATCGACGATCCGGTGGAGCTCCTCTTCGAAATTCCTCGCCTCAACAAAGCAGACGTTCGCGATGCGCTCCAGGAGATCTCTCGGAAACTCAAAATCGTAGCGTTTGTCATCGATTTCTTCTGCTACTCGGCGTTCGAGGTATCTACGAGCTTGAATGTTCCGACTTATTTCTATGTTAGCAACGGTGGATTTGGCGCTTCTTCGCTTCTGTTCTTTCCGGTGATTGATGAAATTGTTGCTGGAAACATCGCGGATTTGGATGAGTTTCTCGAATTTCCTGGAGGACCGCCGATGCACACCTCGGAATTACCCAAGCTGATGGCGTTCCGTCAGAGTAACAACTATCAACACTTTCTGAGAACCGCCATGGAAGCTAGGAAATCGAAAGGAATCATCGTGAATTCGTTCGATGCTCTCGAGTATCGCGCTAAGGAAGCATTATCAAACGGTTTATGCGTTCCGAACGGCGTAACTCCTCCAGCTTACTACATCGGACCTCTGATCGGCGAAACCGCCGGTAAAAGTAACGGCGGCGTTCACGAATGCGTGAAATGGCTCGATTCGCAGCCGAATCGAAGCGTTATATTCCTTTGCTTCGGTAGAAGAGGTTTGTTTTCGGCTAAACAGGTGAAGGAGATCGCCGTCGGATTAGAAAACAGCGGTCACCACTTCCTCTGGTCGGTTCGGCGTCCGCCGGAGATGCAGAGCTCGTCGCCTGCGGGGGAATTTGAGTTGGATGAAATCCTGCCCGACGGTTTTCTAGAAAGGACGAAAAAGCGTGGGTTAGTTATAAAATCGTGGGCCCCACAGAAGGAGGTACTGAGTCACAACTCGGTCGGCGCGTTCGTGACTCACTGCGGCCGGAGCTCCATACTTGAGGCGGTGTCGTTTGGGGTTCCGATGATCGGCTGGCCGATATACGCCGAGCAGCATATGAACTGCGCATCTCTGGTGGAGGATTTGAATCTGGCGGTGAAGATGGTTCCGGCGGACGGCGTCGTGACGGCGGAGGAATTGGAGAATCGAATTAGAGAGCTGATGGAGACGGCGACGGGGAAGTCAATCAGGCACCGTGTTTCCGAGATGAAGGTGTCCGCCGCCGCTGCGGCGCGGCGGAACGGAACGTCGGTGGCGGCGCTGGAGAAATTTATCCGATCATTGCGTGAAGGTTAAAAAAAGAGGTTAGTTACTGCGGTAAAGTAATGTTATTTGCTGGTAATTAATAAAGTAACGTGCGACTGTCATTATTGCTGAATTAAAAATGAATATCGCGAATGATCTTCTCTCTTTCTTAAACGCAGAATAAAGGGTATGTTTCTCAAGTACGGTTTGGGCGATATCACCGTGCAATTATCGCGTATGATCTTCTCTCTTTCTTAAATGCAGAATAAAGGGTATGTTTCTCAAGTTCGGTATGGGCAAAATCACTGTGCGCAGTGATTTGCCCGACAAACTGGGTACACATGCAAGCCGCTGCAGTGCAGCAGAAAAGGCTTGCAAACATTGTTTTTTTCTTTTTTAATTTAAAATATGAATATAATTCAAATATTTTATTTATTTAATATTAATAATTATTATAAGTTTGAAAGATATATAATATATATGTCTTTTTATAAAAAATAAAGTTTTCTATAATACAAATAAATAAAAATTTAAATATATATTGAGTATAATATAAATTTATAATCAAATCATACAATATAAATTTTACCAATTAAATTTAATACATATTTATACTATTTTATTTATTATTCATCATATCGATACACATCAAAATTGCCTAAACTCCAACATAATTCAAACACAAAAGAAATAACAATATTCAAATTCATCCCAAAATTCAAATAAAAACCAAGCTCAAATCCAAATTTTCCCAAACCTTCCTAAATAAACATTTGATTTTTAGTAATTTCTCAGTCCCTTAACAATTGATTTTTTATATATATATATATACGTTTTTTTTAAAAAAAAAATAAATTATTAAATCAAAATACTTTCTTATGAATTTTACTAATTCATACAAACCCTCTTCAATTTCAATTTAATTTTAAACCCCCCGACATAACCATATGAAAGAACTATACTTTGTTTAGACAGAGGTGTTTGGAAGTTTTGGAATTTTGAAAATTTAGAAAAAGTAAAAAAATAGTACTCCCTCCGTCCCGTTGGAAGAGTGGCTTTTGCTTTTTGCACGTAAATTTTTGAATATAATATTATATTAGATTGTAGTAAAAAAGACAAGAATATCCCTATTAATATGGTTTAATATAAAAATAATGACATTTGTGTAATATATTGTAAGTTTAAAGGGTATATATTATGTTAAATAGGTAGTACAATTACTAAATTAGGAAATTGTAACCTTATTTTGAGACGGACAAAAATGAAAAATAGTAACATTTCAATGGGACGGATGGAGTATTTAATTTGATGTTTTGTGAGAGAAAAAGTATATTTGATGTGATATTTTTTAAAAAAAAAATTAAATAATATCAAATGAATGAAAGTGTGTTATGTAAACAAAACTCTAAAATCACCATTCTCCGTACCATTGGCAAAATAAAATTACTTTTCCCTCGAGAAAGAAAAAGTCTCTTATCCAAAAATTCTACAAAATTAGAACGGTAAAAAAGCACTTAGAATAAAAGAAAAGAATGAAGACAAAAATAATAATAGTGAGAAACATACCTCATCGACGTGCCCGCAACGCCAACTCGAGATTTTCCCGTCGAAATTACAGCCGTTACGGAGGAACTTTATCGAGCACCTCATGCGATGCCGTCGATAGCCCTAACGATGGATTCTAAAATCGAGTTGTACTATGTGCACTTATAAGACATTAACGTACAAAAGATTATAGGTATTAAAAATACAAAATTAAATTTTTTTATTTTAATCATAAGAATTCGTATATATTTATAGCGATATACAAATTGTCTGAATAAGACAAAAATTCGTATAAATAAAATAACTGCCATAAATATAATATATTACTTCTAAATATATTTTAACGTACCTCCTCAAACTCAAGATATGATCCAACAAGCTTGAGTTTGTCACAAGTGACCGAAAAAGATATAGCCGAGATCTTTTATATACGAATTTGAATTCGCCAAGATTGACTGAAAGTGGTGTAGACGTCTACTAGATCAGAGTCATAAACATAACTCTCAACACCATTAGAGTTGAAAACACAGAATATTACCTCTCCTCTACGCCTACTGTGATTTGACTTGTCGAACCTAGAGTATTATATTTTGTGAAAAAAATAATAAATTTTTATTAAAAATATATTATGTAAAAATATTCATTCCGTCTCATATCTATGTATCCATTTATTTTTTGCATGAAATTTTTAAAAATATTTGTATTATATTGAGATGTAGTAGAAATAAAGTATAAATGATTAAAATTAGTATTATGTGATACTAATGTAATAATATTTGTGTAATACATTGTAAGTTGTAAGAGTATTTATAATGTTAGGTAAATAGTAAAATTAAAAAAAAAATAATAATCAATAAAAAATAGTTATATTAAAAAATGTTTCCAACGGACAACACTGATGTAATGATACGAAATCTAACTTATTTGGACCAAATACAAAAGTGTTTCAAAGACAACAGCCCCACCCCAAACCACTATTTTGATTATTTGTTCAGAGTAAAAAATGGATATTTTTATGATTCTGCAAAATTGCCGATGCAATTGTTATGGTTTATAAATTTTTTCTTTTCTTTTTTAAAAATATTTTTTTTTTTTTTTTAATTCCAGTAAATAGAAATTTTTTGTAATTTTAGTCCTCTAGCGCCGGAGATGTTCACGTGACACCCATGTGGCTGCCGGAGGACATGTGTCCGCCAAATCAGCGACACTTGACGAACACGTGAATATTTATTTTATTATTCTAATTTTTAGTTTACATTTTTTTTTGAAAAATAAATTATGTTGTTGAAATTAATAAAAAGGCTAAATTATATCCTTGTGTTTTTAATAAAACAAGTATAAAATACCTCGTATTTTATTTATTTTGTAAAATTTTATTATATTGAATTAAAATGTGCACAAAATATATTTTAAATAAATATAATTTATTAAAATAGAAATGTATCAAATGTTACGCTACAATTCAAATGAAAAATATATTTGAGGTCCGTTTGGATTAGCATTGGAGAAATACTTTAGACTTTTAATTTTAAAATTATCTATTCTTGTTTATATTGATTTTTTATTAAAAACATAAATAAATAGTTTTTGGGCTCCAAAAATATATTTTCTAGAAGCACCTTATTGGGAAGGGTGATAAAAATAGGTACAATTTGAAAATTTGATCAAACCCGGCATAGAAATTTATACTTGAGCCTAAAAAATAAAATTCAAAATTTTTCGAGCCGTGCCAAGCCCAGTATACCAATGAACCGGATCGTGTCTGGCTCGACCCGATTCATTAAAATTAATATTTAAAATTTAATATATTTATATATATATATATTAACTAATGAAATAAAAATAAAAATGAAGATAGATCCGATTTCAAATCGGATCGTGTTTGGGCCTAGTTTCTCAAGCTTATTTGAAATTGGGCCATGCCAACTCAGCATGCTTCAAATCCGGATTGGGCCGATCCGGCTCAAAAATTTGATATGGCCCAAATTGCGACTGAAGGGTGTTTTTGAAAAAATAAAAAAAATTTTAAGTTATATTACAACTTTGTCCATAATAATAATAATAACATAAAAACAAAAATAAAAATAATTAAATTATATATTATACTTAAAATTAAAATTAAATATATATTTTTAATTTTTAATTTATACGTTAATTAAAATTTAGAAGATAATATTTCAAATGCAATTTTTTTAAAAAATATAAAATTTAATTATATACTAGTAGATAAATACATATTTTTAATAATAATTTATAAAATTTTAAAATGATTGTAGAATAAAATTTATTTAAAGTGAATTATATTTTTAGCTTATAATTAAATTAAAAAAAAAATTAGCTCATTCCAATAAATCAATAGAAAATATTTAAGCGACAACAATCATACCTACTTAGATAAGATTATTTTGTTTTTAGATAATAGGAAGATTATAGTTTATTTTTTATTTAAAAATTTTTGAATTGAAATAATATAAGGTGTGTTTTTCCACTCTCTGGCTCTTCCTTCTCTTTTTCTTAATATACATAAACATATATTTTCTCCGTCTCATAAATATAATTTTAATTGGGTTGGACACTAGATTTAAGAAATATTGATATTATATTGACAGTGGGTGAAAAGTATAGATAAAAGATTTTTTTGCCTTTATGAGTGTATTATTGTAAAAAATAGTAGCAATTTTGTAATAAAAATAAAAAAAGTAGGGATAGTTTTACGGTGATATGATTATTTATGGAAATAAGACTATTGCTTTGGGACGGACAAAAATTGTAAATAAGACTATTATATTATAACGGATGGAGTATTTATTTCCCGAGGGGCGTAAAATCAACAGTGAGACTATATATTACGAGATTATTGTAATAAAGTAATTTTACTTTTTTTTTTGGTCGATCCCCTTAATATTTCAATTTGATAACTGAAGTCTATATAAAAATTGTCTAATCAATTAATTTATTTGGCAAAATTGGTTCTTGGACGCGGAAGAAACACACATAGCCCCATCTGCACACCACCTAAAATGTGTATCAAAATATTTTTAAAATTATAATAGTAGTATTATTTTACAGTGGTTAAAATTTTATATAGTACTCATATAAATAATATTTACTCCATCCTAATTAAAGACCTTACTTTTATCATTTTTATTTATTTTATTTAAAAATATCTATTTTTATTATAGTAAATGTAATTTATATACAAATAGCACAATATTCATAATTTCTACAAAAATATCCTTTTTTTTTTTTTTTTACTTGTAAAAATAAAAATAGCCAAATTATTTTTTTCTATATTTAGTAACTAAATAAAAACTAGTATATATACATTTATGTTAGATGATTAAATGGTGAGTGTGGATGAAGAAGTTTGGGGGATTGAACAGTTATTATTTTAATGATATATATTAATTTGATTATTTAAAAATGATTTGGTATCAATGTAGGTGTGTTTCTTTAGGGAGGTTTCGGAAAATTTGGATTTGGCTTTGGTTTTTATTTGAATTTTGGGATGAGT